AGAGCTTTTGTTTCCTTTGGGAATGAGGCACAATGGAGACTGTGGCATCTTTATAGGGGAATCCCTGCTTATGTGAGGGTTCTGTTTCTGGCCTCCGCATGTGTCAGTAGGACTCACACAAGTCCATTCTACCAGTGGTGGAGGAAGCCGCTTGCGCATCCGGAGCGGCAAACATGACGTGCACCCGCTGGCGGGGCGATCCACCCATGGGGGAGTGCCGATCCTCCTGGAGGTGCCAGCGCTGCCCACGGATCACACAAATATGCCCATCAGTGGCACGCCAATCCTCCCGAGACCAACAAGCTCTCCTCGCCACAGCGCTTCAGAGCTCGCCTTCTTGTTGCAATCAGATCTTCCTCCTCCTCACCTCTTGTCAGCACAGAAGGCCCTCCTCCTAGGGGAAGGAAGGAGCGGGAGCGAGGGAGGGAGTGAAAAGTGTAGAGAGGTGGGATCGTCCAAGGCACAAATTGGAGAGAGAGAGAGAGAAGCTACAGACCGAGGAGAAAGAGGAGCTTTCACATCGCTTTGGGGACATGTGTGCGCTGGAGGTGCACTGATGATCTGCGAGCCCCCTGCACTGTGCCTTTTTGTCACCCCCCTCAGGGATGGCACCCAGGGCGTGCCGCCCCCGCTCCCCTTCATACACCCCTGCATTCTGCCCTGCCCTGCCCCCTTTCTACGCCAAATACAGCACACAAGTCAGTGGTTGTGTGTTCATGCTGATTGTGTGCAAGTACGATTTATTTACACATATATACAACTTAAGCCTACAAAGGGGAGTTCACAGCATTAACACCTCAAAAAGGTCTTGTTTTTCCCATAGCCGCAACCATGGATTCAAACCGAAATCAGACATTGCTCTTGAATGTTGCTCCGAGTCTCTCCCCAGCTCACTGCTTTACTTCCAAGTCACATCATTTGCAACTCAGCACTGTGTCAAAGTTCCATAAACGTAGGTGCAAAGGTAAAGGGGTTATCCACAAGATAACGGCAAACTGCTTATTTGTGGATTTCCCTCCCATTGTGCAATCTTCTCCCAAGGCCTTCAGTAATGACAATGATGGGCAGCGACTGGTAGTGCAATAGGCAATGCTGTATGGACCATCATTCATCAGGACTGCCTGTTTCCTGTTTTAAGAGGAAGCTAATGCCTCCTCATTTCCTTGAGTTACGCTGAAAGAAAAGGAAATGTTATCAGTCACTTGGAATTTCCTTCCTCTCTCCATAATATGGACTATCTCTGTTATGCAGGAGGCTGTAAGTTATTTCTTTGGCAGAGAAAAGTTTGCCATTAAGCTTGAGAGGCAATGTGTGTGTTAGAAAAATCTTCTGTAGCATTATCCTCTCTTCTCCATATGCATGAACATAGGAAATCCACCAACTCAACTTCCATCCTTTAATTAATTGATGCACTGTGTATACCTACAGTATTTATACAGTGGTACCTCGGTTTAAGAACAGTCCTGTTTACGAATGATTTGGTTTACAAACTCCGCAAAACTGGAAGAAGTGTTCCAGTTTGCAAACTTTACCTTGGTCTAAGAACGGAATCCGAATGGTGGAAGGGCACTGGAGGTGGGAGACCTCATTAGGGAAAGCACGCCTCAGTTTAAGAACGGATTTGGTTTAAGAACAGACTTCAGGAACGGATTAAGTTCGTAAACCAATGTACCCACTGTATTTCTATTATTTGTATCATTTTCCTTCCAAGGCACAAAGGCTGCATACCTGGTTCTCCCCTGCCCCATTTTATCACAACAGCCCCGTGCAGTTGTTTTGACTGAGAGATAGTGGCTGGCTCAAGGTCACCAAGTGAGCTACTTTGCTGCAAAGAGATTTGAAGTCTTGCTTCCCAGGTCATAGTCTAACACAATAACAGTATGAAATGGGGTGGAAGTTAATATGCAAGTAAAGGAGGAAGGAGCGTAACCAATAAGAGATTTGACATGGGAAAATGGAGTGGAAATTAATAAGGTCTTTGGAATGAAGTGGAAATTAATAAGAAATTAGGGGAAGGGTGGTGGTGCTCAGTGGATTTAATGGGGCAAATGGATAAGACATTTTGAATTAGGCCACACCCACTTTGACATTAAGCTCCTAGAAAGTTGGTAATGGGTCAGTGGTCTTGGGTCAGCCTGAAAAGGGTTAGTTACCCCTGTTCTAAGCACTACAAATATTGGATCTTACACTGGCCCATATCAGTATATCCTGATGCAGTGGTGATCAATGTCAGTCTTTGCTGTTGTTTTATAATGTGCACACTAGGTATCTAGCAACCATCTATGAGCAACTGCTGGTGGTGCCATCACTGGACACTGCCCAGTTGATGCTGACCTAAGAAAGGGTGGTGGTTCCCCATTTGTGGAATACCTTCCCCATGTGGTGTGTATGACTTTCCTTATTATTAATAACATTCAGAAGTTAAAAACTCAGGCATTTGATGGCTGAAAGAGACTGTTCTTGGCAACCTTTACTTTGTTAACTGTGAGGGTGTGTGACTGTTTTAAAAAAATGTGTTTAAATGTTTTAAAATATGTTTTGGCTTTACTTGTATTGCTTTACTGTTTGTTTGTTTGTTTGTTTGTTTGTTTGCTGCCCTGGGCTCACTTCGGAAGAAGGACAGGAAAGAAATGCACTTAATTGGTTGATTATAAAGCTGCAGGGACCAAGTTCACACACAGTTTCCTTTACTGGCATAGCCAATAATGAATGAATGTGTAGCTGTCTCGTATGTTACACATGAATGCATACCGTCTATACACATGTTGCTGATTCAGTAACCTGTGAAGCGGCCCACAGTATTTTCACATGGGGAAGGCTCGACATCTAGTCACATCTAGCTGATTTGGGGTGCCAAATGGCTCAGTGAATGCTGCAGAGGTATTTGCAAATACAGTAGCTGAGTTGTTGTTGTTTAGTCGTTTAGTCATGTCCAATTTGTTGTGACCCCATGGACCAGAGCATGCCAGGCACTTCTGTCTTCCACTGCCTCCCGCAGTTTAGTCAAACTCTTGCTGGTAGCTTCGAGAACACTGTCCAACCATCTTGTCCTCTGTCGTCCCCTTCTCCTTGTGCCCGCCATCTTTCCCAACATCAGGGTCTTTTCCAGGGAGTCGTCTCTTCTCATGAGGTGGCCAAAGTACTGGAGCCTCAGCTTCATGATCTGTCCTTCCAGTGAGCACTCAGGGCTGATTTTCTTAAGAATGGATTGGTTTGTTCTTCTTTCAGTCCATGGGACTCTCAAGAGTCTCCTCCAGCACCATAATTCAAAAGCATCAATTCTGCAGCAATCAGCCTTCTTTATGGTCCAGCTCTCACTTCCATACATCACTACTGGAAAAACCATAGCCTTAACTATACAGACCTTTGTTGGCAAGGTGATGTCTCTGCTTTTTAAGATGCTGTCTAGGTTTGTAGCTGAGTTAGTAGCAACCAAAAGCTTCAGCTACCCAAAGTCCTTCTGGGTTTACCAGAAGACAATATGTACACTGTGACGTACCTTTGAGCACCTGTAAGGAGCCAGCTGGATGATGGTATGAACAGCCAATTACAAATATATGAGCGATTTGTGCCTTCTCTCCCTTAGTGATTGCCTGTACTCTCTGCATCTCATTTCACACTTGTCTTTGCACTACCAGGCAAGTGTTGATGGAAATAAGCCAACTGACATTTATGACAAGGCTTAACTTGCTTGCATTCTTTTATTCCTTGGGCAAGCTAGATGTCATAGAGACACGATCCATGTGTCAGAATGTAGGTCATACTTAATTGCTAAAAAGGGGTCAGATGGGGGTTGAATTAAGGTCCAGCATGGGGTTGCTGAAACCTTCCTCTGCTTGCCGTCTTTGCCCAGAACTTCATTCTCGTTATTTTTATCGCAGCAGCAATTATTTTCTTTCTCACAGGACATACGGCCTATTTGTTGAGCATTCATCCTGATTTGCTTGGACAAAGCTTTTGTGGGGGTTAGATTGTACATAGTCTTTATTGAGCATTCATTCTGATTTGTTTGTGAGGATATTATCTTACAATAAGCATTCATTGTGTATTCATACTGGTTTTCTGGCAGGGTGTTTACATGTCTTGCCGTTAATCATTGTTCATTCCACACTTTTCAGTTCGTTTCCCTCTTCCCTTCCTAACCGCAAAAATATATCCCCCCACCCCCTTTCTTTTAAGTGGATTGGTTGTGCTAGGGCAACAGAGCGCTTTAATTCACTTTAATTGCACAAACCTACATTTCCTGGTATGCACTTGAATCCCTCCCACAAAATATCAACAGTCTGGATTGGATGCACTCATAGCCCCGCAGGGTGAAAAGCAACTGAGGAAAAGCAGAGGTTTTCGGGGGGGGGGGGGAGAGCTGCAACTCAGTTCAAATACTCGGGTCTGTGTTGCTTCACTGAAAAAATATAAGTATAAAAGGAGAATTCCTGGATTCCAGCATCCAAGTTTGGGACACCACATTGGCTGAGCCATAATTTTGGTGTTTTTGAACTAATTCCTTTCCAGTATCCCCCCTCACCACGACCATAAAGTATCAATTTTGTGATACCAAATAGACTACAGCACGTTTTCTTTGCCTCTTAGTAACAGCCCAAAGGTCTTCTGGGTCAGTGATTTTTAAAGACGTTGGAATAAAAGGGAGCTGCCACCAAGTGTGCTTTTTAAAAACATTAGATATGCATTGAGACACCTCTCCCTTCCATTAAGCCCAGCTGCAGCTGCATTTCATGGAAGGGGGCAGTTGCTTCCCCAGCAAACTGATCTGTGAAGTAATTCCCCCACTTCCATTAAACAGCTCACCTGGGCCACCTGCCGCATTATTAGTGGCCACACAAACTTCAGAGTGATGACAGCCTATGTAAGAGTACATAGGAACACATATAGGAAGCTGCCTTATACTGAGTCAGACTATTGATCCACCCAGCTCAGTATAATTTACACTTTCTGTCAGTAGCACTCCAGGGATTCTGATAGGAATCTTTCCCAGTCCCACCTGGAGATGCCAGGAAGTGAACCTGGGACTTTCTGAATGCAAGGCAAATTTTCTACCATTGAGCTAGGGCCCTTACATAGGAGTTAGCGGCACTGGACACTCTGGATACTCTTTTACTCCTAAGTAAACATGGATATGATTGTATCTTAAGTCTCTTCTGCACCAGCTAAGACTTCTTCCTTCATTACAGCGTGCTACTCCTGCCTGCTAGTTGCCAACACATGCACCAGCCATGCCTCCCTGGCCCATGCATGACCGGTATCCATCTTAAGGGGCTATGCACATATTAATGAACTATGCACACATGACTGCCTTCATCGGACACTGTCCATTAGGATTCCTGCCATATGTAATGTGCCCTATATGCTTGCATTGGTAGGATGTAGTCTCCTTTCATACAGACACTGATCATGCTCCACTTGGAGGGACATGGCTGATGGGTGCATAAGCACACCTAGGGGCAGGTCTAGCCCACTCATGCATTTATACCAAATATCTGAAGAGGGTTATAACATGTGTAGAAGAGAAGCCCTGGCATGGGCATGAAAGGCACTCTTTGTGACTGTAGAGACAGAGGTACCAGAACAGCCCTATAAAAGAGGCTCATACTGGTGACTGCCAAATCAATATGTCACCATAAAGAAGCATTACGGAATGAAGAAGGATTCCACGGAGTTGTCTGCCATTCAGCCCAATTCATAAACCAGTTAAGTGTTTGGATTTACCTAATGTACAGCACAGTCCTGTGCATGTGCACTTGGAAGGCCTTCCTGAGTTCAAAATGGTTTGTTCCTTCTATGTTAGATTGCTCTCTGAACTCAAGGGGACTGGGCTGCTGAAAGCCTAGGTGCCTAGATTTGAAAATTTCAGCCATGTTCCTAAAATGAAAAATGGCTCCCCCCCCCCACATTGATTCACATTTTATTATGCCTTTGTGTTCTTCCCCCTTTGCACAGATAAAATATGCATACAGTTACATCTCCTTCATAGATACCATGTTCAATGTGTGGCGAACGTTCCTAACAGCCCTGGCCAAGAGACATTTTGTTCTCCTTGGCTGACGTCATGCTTCCAGATGTCAAACAGACGCCAAGGAAGAATTATGTCCGTGTGCACTCATGCCAGCAAGTACAGCAACGTGGACAAAAAAGGGTGCTGAAATCGGGGCGATAGAAGAAGAAGATAGAAGAAGGGCCCTGCTGGATCCAGCCAGAGGCCCATTGAGTTCAGCATCCTGTTCTCACAGTGGCCAAACAGATGCCTATGGAAAGCCCATAAACAGAACCTGAGCACAACATAAACTCTCTCCACTTGTGAATCCCAGTAACCGGCATTCAGAGGTATTCTGCCTCCAACAGTGGAGGCAGAATATAACCATTGTGTCTCACAGCCACTGATAGTTTTATCCTCCATCTCTACTTCTGGCGGGAGAGAATTCCATAGTTGAACTTTGTGCTGTGTGGAAAAGGACTTTCTGTTTTGGCATGAACATATGCCAAGAATGCCCAGGTATTTGCAACAATGTGCTATGCAAGATGAATCTGCCATATTTTAGATATTAGCTTGTCAAGAAAGTGAGGTTTTCTTTACAAAATATAATGTCAAAGTCCTATATCTGAAACGGCTTATACAGCAGGCCATTGCTCTTCTTCATACATTAAATGCTGATGATTCAGTTGGGTCAGAGAACATTCCCTTTAGTTGGGTCAGAGAACATTCCCTTTAGTTGGGTCAGAGAACATTCCCTTTAGTAACATAAAAATATGTGGTGGAATTTGGGCAACCTGGAGGGGAGGATTCTGTTTCCTTTACATCCAAAGGGCACTCTCATTTCTTGAACACAGTGATATGAATGAGTATGTATTATTATTATTAACTGAACTGAGACAGATCTCCAACTATTTCATTTCCACAAATGAACTTGTCCTCTCTGGGTTGTTGTTGTCGTTTAGTTGTGTCCGACTCTTCGTGACCCCATGGACCAGAGCACGCCGGGCACTCCTCTCTTCCACTGCCTCCCGCAGTTTGGTCAAACGAATGTTCATAGCTTTGAGATCACTGTCCAACCATCTCGTCCTCTGTCGTCCCCTTCTCCTTGTGCCCGCCATCTTTCCCAACATCAGGGTCTTTTCCAGGGAGTCTTCTCTTCTCATGAGGTGGTCAAAGTATTAGAGCCTCAGCTTCAGAATCTGTCCTTCCAGTGAGCACTCAGGGCTGATTTCCCTAAGAATGGATAGGTTTGATCTTCTTGCAGTTCATCCTCTCTGGGTACCATTACCTGTTTATTATTTTATTTTATTCATTTACTAAATTTCTATACTGCTCTTTATTCAAGGATCCCAGGGCAGTTTGCAGTCATGTGCTTTAAATGTGTGGTGTGGCTGTGACCTGATTTAAAAGCAAAGACAACATTTGGGTTAAAGATCTGCTACAAAAGCATAACTGTCCTACTATATTTGATCAACTGGTCTTTGTAAACTTCAGGAGATGCAGTGTGAGAAATGTGAGGCTATGCAATGAATTGTGCCTTTGGGCCAAATTAGATAGTCGCTTAATAACTTAATAGATACCAAACGGCGTTTCCATGTGCTCTGGTTTCCGTCACAGTGTTCTGTTGCATCAGAAGCAGTTTAGTCATGCTGGCCACATGACCCGGAAAGCTGTCTGTGGACAAATACTAGTTCCCTCAGCCTAAAAGCAAGATGAGCGCCACAACCCCATAGTCGCCTTTGACTGGACCTAACTGTCCAGGGGTCCTTTACCTTTACCTTTTACATACCATGTAGTTATATATCTTCTTTTTCCTTAATTAATTTCAGACAGCGGGAGGATTCTTACTGAGAAGGCAGCACTCAGGGAAAGGGAGCTTATCTCTTTACTTTCATACTGCAGTCAGAATGGATATTGCCACCCTGTGCAACTAGGAGTCTTAGAACAAAAGTGTGCCCCCAAAATGTAATGTGTGGGTGAGACTGACATGTGCATAACCTCTGAAACAGCCAGTACACATTGTATGTGCATATACTCTGTATGTGTGACTGAAGATCAAGAATGAGCATTATATGTGCAGTTTATACTTGTGTGAGCTTGTACACATCCATAAGGGTGAAGCCAGTGACTTTGTGTCCCCCACTCTATGTGCATAACATATTGGACTGAGATCACAGAGAACCATGTTCATATCACTTAGTCATGACCATTCAGTGGTTGACCTTGGACCTAACCTGCCTCACAGGGTTGTTGTGAGGGTAAAATGGGAGAAGGAGCCGCACATCCCACCTTGAATTCTTTGAAGGACAATAAAGTGCATACTCTGACTGTGTCCATGCTCCCGTTTGCACTGCACCCAGTGTGCTCCTGCTGCTAATTTGGGAAGTAATCCTCGCACGCTGTCAGCCACACAGTACGTGCCTATCCTGTGTCAATCTTGCCATTTCTTGTGGGTTCCCCGACTTTTATTGGAATTGAATCAAATAATGATCTAGTTGCATTTTAAGCCTGTAGTGTGCGCACAGCCCATGCCTGAAATCTACAGAGTGTCATACTGAAGTATGAAAAGTTCCATGTACACAACACAGCTTTGCCTTGTAGGGTCTGCAAGCCAAACATGAGGCCTGCATTTCCAGAAAACAATCTGGAAAGGGAAATTTGTTTTAAAAAACAAACCGAGTGATCTAGTGTTACTTCTCAGGAAAAGAAAGCAATATACTAAAAAAAAAAAAAAAAAAAGACATAAAGAAAGCAACGTGTTTTTGTCTTTGAAAAACGTTCTTTTGAACATAGGTGAGGTGAGGACAATATGTTACTTAGTTTTTTTAAGCCATGGGTCCACTTTTCAAACATGAAAGGACAGAGGAGGGAGATTCGGCAATGGAGCCAAAAGTGCTGAAAGAGTTAAGGTCTCAACCACCCTGTTCCAAAAAGTGATTGATGATGGTGATGTGTAACATTTCAGCTGCTCCCCCACCCCCCCCAAAAAAACCCTCCCTCCTCTCTCCTTCAAAAGTGTGCGGAAGTGGGAAAAGGAGGCAATGTTCTGTTGATCTGTTAAACTGAAGCTCCCTCTGCCTCTCTTATTTCCAGTGGCTGAAACTGTTGTTTCAGTTTGGGCTGGAGCTGGCCCGAAGTTATCCTGACATTTCTGGGAGGAGATCCAAAAAAGTGGTTTTGGAGGTGGGGGGGGGGGAGGAGGAGGAAAAATAGAGGATAGGGAGAGGGAAGATTAGGAAAGGAGAGCAAGGTGAGGAGAAAGTCTTTCCTCAGTATCACATTTGTGCGGGTGTTTGGATTTTGCCTGGAAAATCTATTAGCCTTGATGCTTTGTCTCTCTGGAGAGAGACAAAGGAGCTGCACTCCACGGAGGAGGAGGAGGAGGAGGAGGAGGAGGAGGAGGGCATTGATGGGGAAGTTTGTGGGACTCTAAAAAGAGGGGGAAAGAGCACAGAGCTCCAGCAATAGCAGCAAGCAATTCTAACATCAGAGAAATGTGCCTCTGTGTGGCTGCCTCCTGAAAAGAAAAGGGGGGGGGGGAGTCAGAACTGAGGCTAGATGGAGAAAAGCAAAGACCCTTTAGAAAAATCCCTTTCATTGCACCCAGCTTGGTGAAGAAAGTGAAAAGAGAAAGAAAGGGGAAAGCAGGAGGGAAGGGAGCCATCGTGAACTGGACATTGCCTGGAGCCCGTTTTGTGTAGCAGAAAAACTGCCGAGCTGCCTACAGCAGATCTACATGGCAAAGCCCTCAGTCTAAAAGAAGGCTCCGAGAGAATCACTTCTTGAAAGGAGAGTTTCCCGGAAGGGTAAGTTTTGACACTGCTCTGCAACTATTGAGGGACAAGCTGACATTTGTGTATGTATATGTGTATTAAATGTGTAGGCAGATGCATGTGCGGAGGCAGATGTTTGAACAGATCCCATTGCTGATTATCTCAGTCGTTTCTCAGCCTATGTTTTCTTGAAATGAAATTTCCACACTGCTCCAGTGTGAACACCATAAAGATAGCGGCAAACCGTCCTAATCTGATACGCAAGCTGGCCAATCTCCCTTCTTTGAGAGAGAGAAACTAGAGAATGCTGTTCTCTATATATTCGTGCCTATGTTAAGAGTGGAGTTCCATCTAAAATGGAAAAGGGGGGCAAATTTGGAGGGTGCTGATTCTCAGAAATGTTGAAGGAAGTTCAAAGCATCTAAGAAAGATTAGGAAAATTTCTCAGGAAGGAAAGTGTTTTTGCAGTCTATATGAATACCCAGTATGGTCATTAACACTTGTCCCCATCTTCTTTTATTTTTAAAGTCAATCCCACAATGAAGTGGGCACCGGTTGTGAGTTTAACTGTGCTGTGGGCTGCGTGGCTAGTGTGTGGCATGGAAAAGCCATTGAGGCAAGCTGACAGAGGGAGGCATGGAGTTAGGAGAGTGCCTCTGGCCTATAGGGGCAGTAGCAAATCAGCTGCACAGACGAGGAGAGCTGGTGTGTCCCACAGACTTTTAAGCCCTTCTGGGAGGTTTCCTCAACGTCCTCTTGTCAAAAGGGATTCTTTGGAACCAAAAAGGCCACAAGCAGCCCCTCTAGAAGATGACTCCCGTGCCCAGGTGAAGACTGGGGGGACTAAAGTACGGCTGACACAAAGACCTAAGGTGGAAATGGTTAGGGATGAAGGGCCATCCACTGCGTTTCGATCGCGCACAGTGCGTTTTCCATCTGGGTCTAGTTCCCCCAACATTCTGGCTAGCTTTGCTGGGAAAAACAGAGTCTGGATTATCTCTGCTCCTCATGCCTCTGATGGCTATTACCGGCTCATGATGAGCCTTCTGAAGGATGATGTCTATTGTGAACTGGCCGAGAGGCATGTCCAGCAGATTGTCTTGTTCCATGAGGAGGGCGAAGAGGCAGGGACAGTCAGGAAGATAACCACAGAAGGGAAAATCCTGGAACAACCTCTGGATCCCAGCCTCATTTCCAAACTCATGAACTTTCTGAAGCTGGAGAAGGGCAAATTTGGCATGGTGCTGCTAAAGAAGACATTGCAAGTAGAGGAACGGTACCCTTATCCAGTTAGGCTGGAGGCCATCTATGAAGTCATTGACCAGAGTCCCATCAGGAAAATTGAGAAAATAAGGCAAAAAGGCTTCATCCAGAAATGCAAAGCTGCTGGGACAGAGGGCCGGGTTGTTGAGGAAGGCAACAATGGTGCTAGTGTCACTAGGGCAACACCAGGTGGTGGACATGTCCAACCAGTATCCAGGAAAGAAGAAACAAGGAAAAGCATTGTGCAGCCAACACGGGTTAAAACTGTGAAGAAGTTTTCGACAACCACACTGTCTCCCCCTCCAACTAGGGCGCCGACTCTTCCTCCCACAACTCTCAGGCCAATCACCAGAATGATGACAATAGCAAGCAGGCCTACAACCACCACCACCACCACTGTGCCGACTACACAGAGAACTTGGACCACAAAATCACACAGCTTGCTTCCCACAACTCCTGAGATGACTGACGCTCGGGTGACAGAGAGTTTCTCCTCCCCTGTATGGAAAGAGAATCGCAGAGAAAGGAATCCAGCCCACACACAGAGGCAACAGACCACCACAAGGAGACCCAGCAAAACCACTCATTATGACACTCATTCAGAGGTCCCAACAGCCACCTCGGAGCATCCCACGAGAGCAAGTGCCGGACGATACAGAGACAACCGCACAGACCGGAAGGACTATAACAGTCGAGGTTCCAGTGTCACAGCAGGCCAGCACAAGCCTGCTAAAAGCAAACCACCTAAAAAGAAAGCCCAAGAGAAAATACTGAGCAATGAATACGAGGATAAATACGACTCAGGACAGCCTGCTGTTCCTCGCTTAGAGGAAAATGTTCCAGCGGGACATATCCCACCAAAGAAAGGGAAAGATCCAAGGAAACATGACCGCTTAGATAAACCTGAGAAGAAGAAGAAAGAAAGATCAGAGAAGAAAAACGAGAAACAGGCCAAGAAGGACAAAGCTGAAAAGAAAAACAAGCAAGAGAAAGAGCGCAACAAGAAAAACAAGAAAGGAAGCAAAGCGGACAGCGAGGGAGTCCTGAAGTCCAATGCCAAGCCTTTCACGCAAACCCCCAGGAAATCTGTGACAACACTTTTGGATTTATTTGAAGGCAGAAGACGTCTCCTGGTAAGTAGATTATACATGGGCATGCATCACTAAAGGTCAGTTCACAATTTAGGCTGCAATCCTAAACCCACTTACCTGGGAGTAATCCCCATTGAATTACATAGGACTTACTTCTGAGTACAATTGCACTGGAAGTTTCTTACTGAGGCCCTCTGTCTACCTTTATGTGTAGCAGACAAAGCAGGCAACCATCACACACTTCTGTCTCCTGAAAGCCTTGGGTGCCCATTTTTATTTATTTAAAACGCATCACTTGCTCTGGTGGCATCTCTTCGCCCCTAACTGCTTTCTGGGGAAAGCAGGTGATACCAGAGTGAGTTGAAAAGAAATTGACAAATCCTGCTGGAAGGTAGGACTCAATGTCAGCCCAGTTTTATGCAGCCCTTGGCCTGATTTCAGGATCCCTCTGCAAGCAGTCATTTCAGACCTCTGTCAAGAGTGATCTGTTCCTCCCACACTAGAGAGAGAAAGAAAGAGGGTGGCCCCACCCACTGTTGACTTCAACTCCTCCCACAGTCAGCAGATGGCCCCTGACAGATTTAAACTCCTGGACTGTGGCCCTGAAACACTGTTCAGTATCCCCATCACATGACAGGGAAGACGAACCCATGGCTCTCCAGATGTTGTTGGACTATCTCATATCTGACCATAGCCCATGATGGATGGGACTAATGATGGAGTTTGGTGACATCTGGAGGGCCACAGTTTCTCCACCTCTGCCAAATGATCTTTAGTCTGTCCTGGGCATATTCCAAAGGCATAAAGCCTAATAATGTGATGTATGCCTTATAAGTCTCATAGGGCATATGATGCAACCTTTCTCAATCATGTGCAGAAGCTGCCAGAAACCTATAACTGGGGAGGTGAAGATGGTAGAATCTGTATTTGGCTAGTCCAGGGCTTAAAAGAAATCCAAATAAGGATGTGCTATGTTCAGCATGGTTGCGTTGTCACTGTTTTCATATATATTTGAACTCATAGCTCTTCCAGTCGACATCTGTTCACAGTAATGTTGATAACTTCTGGGTTTCAGAACCAAGCCAACTGTTTTTGGCACTTTTCCTGGGCAGGAACATAATGCATTTGCAAACATATCCCTTACAAAGTTGTTGGTGAGATGCACAGAGTTGCCTTTCTCTTAAGTAGAACAGCTTGTGATGAGCTTCTGAACCTTAAAAGCAGCACAACGTGGCTTTGCATCTCCAGAATTTAATAACTTCACATATTATTAGCTGGCTCCTCTCTGAAATCCTTTGACAGAGGACACAAAGCAATATGCTCAGATGTTTTCCTTGGCAGGAGGAATTCAGCTTGAAGGCATAGTGTGACAATTCAGACACCCTTCATAGGCCACATTTTTCATACACAGTAATCTCCATGAAACAAAAAGCATCTACATTACATCTCTTAAGTGTACAACATTTGTTTTGTTTGCCACAAAGTATAATGATTAGGAAACCATGCAATATAATGTGTGGCCCATAGCCTTTGGTAAAGAAAAGTTCCTTATTTTTGTGTGCGTGCCATATTTCCCTGAATGCTTACAGAGAAGTAAATGCAACTTGGTTGCAATGTGGCTTACTTCCAGGTAAGTGTGTACATGTTTTCAGCTTTACAGCACATACCTAGGGCATGCTGGCTGAGAAGTAAATTCCACTTAGTTCGATAGGATTTACTCCAAGGGCATAGGATTGCAGCCTTAGTGTGTCTTCCTTCTGCATATTAACCTGCTTAGCTGTTTGGTATAAATAACTGCTTGAGTTCTTTCATTTTGAGGGTGAATGCTTCTCCCAGATCTTAATTAATTAATTGGTTGATTAATTGTGATAATGATAATAATAATAATGATAATAAGAATAATACCTGGGTTGTGCAAGGTCAGCTTTCTCTGTTGCTTGCAAAAAGGAATTAAGCAGCATGTACAAAAAAAAAAGTTTTAAAGCAAAGTTTACGGCAGAGCAATGGCAGGTTATGCCCTGATGAAGCATCATTTCAGGTATGAGGAATACATACAGGAGTGTTTGTGTGCCTTTAATGAGGTGCTAACTTTTATGGAAAGAAATTAGTGGCAGGACAGGGTGAGGTCAGGATGAGATCAGGATGATAGTTAACGGGATAAGCAGAGATATAGAATTGTAGAGTTGGAAGGGACCACGAGGGTCATCTAGTCCAACCGCCTGCAATGCAGGAATATTTTGCCCAACGTGGGGCTTGAACCCACAATCCTGATATTAAGAGTCTCATGCTCAACTGACTAGCATATAAAAAGCAGATTGCACTGACACTATAAGTAGATGAGACGAATGCTCTCATATTGCTCTTAAGATGCCTACAGAGAAACATTGCAAAGCAGAGCCACTGTTCAGGTGGTCAAAATCAGGTGCATCCACGACTATGATTTCTTAGCATGTGTTGGGTACTGAGGTCTATTCCACCAGTGAAAGCCCTGATTACTGTCCCATACATGGATTTGCCTCTTAATGAAGCATGCGCCCGTGAGTGGATTTAAACTATAAGCCTTGTTTGCAAATGCAGCACCAACCATACATTTATTATTCTTATTGATTTACTTTGCAAACTGTTTAGACCACTTAAATATGAAAATATCCAAGCAATGTTTTGGAGGGGGGGTGGCGGGTGGAGAGAGCCTTGTGCCTTAAAGGTGCTTTCAATGTATTGTGAATTTACAGGCAACTTTCTTTCTAGCATTGTTTCAACCAAAGCAATCAATCTTTCTTTTCAAAGTGTAGCAGATTAGAAAATGTAACCTAATCTTCATAGTTTGACCTTCATAGTGAAGTCCTAATACTTAGCAGGTTATGGTGGTTTAGATTTAGGGAAAGTCCTTGATCAAAGCAGAGAAGAGATGCCAACTGACCAGGACATAATGTCTTGGGCTGTTTGCTATGTCTTGGCCTGCTCCTGTGACGTCAACAGCAGCCAGATTTGTAGAAATTTTCAAGATAAACTTTTTAATGGTATGGAGACATTCAAGGTCCTGTTAAAGAAACAGAAGCAAGAGCCAACTCTGAAATCTAGACTTATCACTGGCTTTGACTTCCTGACTTCCACCTACTGTTTGTGTCTGTGGTTTTGCTTCAGGCCCATCTGTTTTGGCTCAGTTACGTTGCTTTTGTTTGCTACTCTGCGGTGTGGAAGTGCAGTCTGAAAACCTGAGTTCATCCCCGCAGAGGATGCAGCCAGTCTGCGTGTATAACATATACTAAAATTAACCCCCTGCATGAACAGGCCTCCCCACATTTTTTAAAAAGAGTGAAATATACAAGTATTTGCTTACAAAACAGCTGCTCAATGTGAGTAGGGGAAATTGGGATTACTATGGAGCAGGGAGCAACAGGGGGGGAAGGCTTAACTCTCCCAATGCTGTGGCCCTGGTCTAAAATCAGGGTCTTCAGTTGCAGTATTTAGCCTTTTTTAAAAAACAAAACAAAAAACCGTGGTAGGTGTAAGCAACAAATAATCTCCTGCTATCACTTTTGAGGTAGGAACTGGAGAGAAATACAATTTTGTTTGTGTTGTAATGCGAGACTACCCAACTTGAACCAAGGAATGGTGGCACTGCAGACCTGATCTCCCAGCACCACTTATCAAGATGATATAGGGTACTGTAGGGCAGTAGCAAGTTTGGGGTGGTGTGGGTGCACCAGCAGAAACAATCTGGTGCTGCTACCAGTGCATGTGCACCACGCAGACCTCACTGCTACTCTGCATACACACTGTCTCGGTAGGCAGCGGCAAAATGGCACCAGGAGGCTAAGTCCATGGCGGGACAGCCCCCACACTTCCTGACTGCTCCTGCCTGGAGGGAAGATAGGATATAAATGTAAATAATTGTTGGGTTGGATCAGACTTAGTCATAGATGTATTGAAATCAATGGGACTTAAGATAATCATGGCTAATTTAAGCCCCACTGAAACCCAGCCAGATGGGCGGGGTATAAATAATAAATTATTATTAATGGATCTGTACTTCAATATGACTAAGTCTAGATCTGACCCATTATATTGGATCTCTTGCTAAGGGCTGTGTGTGTATGAAGCAGTGGCAGTTCTGAGGCTTGAATTTGGCGACTTCAAGCCTGGAGGCAGAAGCTTCCACTTCATACCTCTAGAAGTTCAAGGAAACTATGAAAGTTCAGGAATTTTAAGGTGGTGTTGTCACAAAATGGCCTCTCGCCTTTGTTGGCTGTAATCAAGGTAATCCATGACTTCATCAGCCTTTAGCTGCCCAAACCCTGCTCATTTTGTTTCTTCTGTTCCTGTCCATTCAAGTCCATTTCCATGTTCTGTGCTATTGGCTGCCTTCTGGATACTGACCTTTGCCTGACCATGGTGCAATTGCTTAGAGAGCCTTCAGGAATGATAATTAAATAGACCCCTCAGGCATTACTCAGATCCTGGCCTGCGACTCCTCATGCCTGAGTGCGTTCCCAATCAACAGCCAAGTTTCTGGCAGTGTACTACAATCTGATCCAGTCCTATGTAAATAAAAGGCAAACACCATTGGTTTGCTGCCGGGTGAGAAATTAAAACCAGCCACCACTTTAATCTAAAGTTCCAGTTGCAAAAGGTTGATAGTGTATTACCATATCGAACTGGCTTAGCACAAGCACACAAGCAAGGGTGTTCCCAGTGAGGAGACTGTGGTGTTTCTCAAAGGTTAAGCAGTGGCTATTTCCCTCTGGAATTTCTGGCCTGCAGTAAGTTGCCACATAATGCAAAAAGCTAATTTTCTTTCTTTATATAAAAAAAAGTTTACATACTGCTGCAACATAAAGTTATATCACAGCGGTTTACAACATAAAACCAAACAATATAACCAGAAAAAGTTAAAAGTAATTTAAAAGCAAAACAAATTAAAAACAATCAACATTAGATCATTGTGTGGGGGTGTACTCTGAATTGCCTGCATACCCAGTGGTACAGGAAGTTTTCAGCAGGCCTTTAAAAGTTGGCACAGAAGGTGCCTGCTGAATCTCTATGGGCAGGGAGTTCCACAGGATGGAGCTAATGACACAAGGTTTGGTTTCTTGTTGTCAAACGAGCCGCACCAACACAGAAAATGATCTCTGAGGTATCCTGAACCCAAGTTGTTCAGGGCTTTGTAAATCAATACACCAACCCTGAATGTGGCTTGGTAGCAGGCAGGCGATTGTGACATATGTTGTCAGTGTTTACCTCAGTTAATAGTTTTCTGAAAGACCTCCCCCCCCCCCGCGGCTTCCACTGTGTACTTGAACAGTCACGTATAACACACCCTAAACTTATTTGCAACACGCTTAAGGCATTGTTTAATTGTTTTACATAGGAAATCTGGGGGCTGGGGTAGGCATTGCATTTGCTAGGTGATCAGCATAGCGAATTTTGTCATCCCTTTTGGAAGCCATCACTGACATGCGGCAGGGGCAGAAAAACTCCCTCTGGCTTGGAGCCAAATATTCTACTGTGCAGAGGGTGGAGGGCACTTCCCCCCAGAAAACTGGCCTTGAGGGGTCAGGGGACACTCTAGAGCAGTGGTTTTCAACCCTCGGGTGCCTTGATGATGGCCAGGGGTGCCACGGGCAACACTAGCCTCTGTCCCTCTTTCCTTCTCTCCCTCCTCTGATGCCCTCTCACATCTCTGCCTCCCAAAGGCTTGCACAGCTGTTCGTTGGGGCAGCCCTGGCTACAAGCTCCTCAGGCAAATAATGCCTCTGGGGCTGGCCAGGGGGTGCTTCCCAGGCCCCTGTGGGGCAGTGTAAGGAGGCCCCTCTCTTTGGGGCAGGGGGGGCAGCTCGGAGACCAATGGAAGCAGTTGTGGCTGCCCAGAGGACTCTCAAGGAGAAGGGAGATGAGGCTGAGGGAACACTCCCCAAGGGAGGGTGTTCGAAAAGGGGTGAGGGGCTGCCAGCTCTGCAGGCAAGGGGTGACATAACTGGGTTCCTGAGCCCACAGGGGTGCCGCAGAAAGAATGTAGTTGGTCAAGGGAGCCGTGGGCCCAAAAAGGTTGAAAACCTCTGCTCTAGAGTGTTTTGGGGGGACTTTTTTGCTGGGGAGGGTATGGCCACACACATGCATAAGTGCAGCTTTGGATAAAAGCATATGTAATTAGCTCTGACTCATATGGTGAGCTGAGAGTTGCATTAAACATTCTAGATGGGAGGATAGAAGCAGATCCCTCTGGCAAATATATTATGTAGGCCAGGCCTCAGGGCTGCATCCAGTGCTAGTCCTACTCAGAGGAGGCCCATTGAAATTAAGGACCAACTTAGGCTCATTATTTGGTCTACTCTGAGTAGGGCTAGCATTATATACAGCCCGTTGTCTATGAGTTGTTGTGAAAACTATGTATGACTTCCGATACTAACATGGTTCAAAAACCAACAATCTAAACCTTCTGTTCTCTGTCATCTTCCTAGCTGATCACAACTCCCAAGATTGACAGCACCATGTATGTGCAACAGAGAGATGAGTATCTGGAGAGCTTTTGCAAAATGGCAACTAGAAAAATCTCAGTGATCACCATCTCTGGCACCGTGAACAACAGCCGCATGAAGATTGACCACTTCCAGCTAGGTTGAAAATCCTTTCCTTTAATTTCTTTCTGGGCAATAGAGTCATGGAACTAGTGCTCTTTTTTAAAAAAAAGAAATCAAAAACCCTGAGAGTCCCTTTGTGATAATATGGTTCTTCCCTCTCCCACCCTTTGCATTTGCATAGTTGGTATTTCCCCCGTTTGGTTTTCCATGGCAAAAAGTTCAAATAGTTGGAGCATCACTGTGCTGATCTATCAAGTCAATGAAACAGCAGAAAGCAGAGAATTGTGACCTGGCCATGCCATAAGCCAGGAAGTCATTTGGTTCAAGACTAGGAACATCTCCTGTCTGCAGATCTTTGTATTAGTCCCTTTCAGGTGTTTATTTATTCCTAGAGCGGCTACTGGGCTGTCCACATGGCCTCCTCCACATCTGACCTTGTCATGAGTGGAAAGTTCTGAAGATGCATTCAGCTAAACATGGCATTTGGCTTTCCTGTGACCAAGAGCCCTCTGTGATGTAGGTTCCCAGTTACAGGGAGGACTGTAAGCCCATTCAGAAGAATGTGCTTACAATCCCCTTCAGACCTTCCCACTCTCAGTTGAGGAAGGGGGTGGCATGTGTGACCTATGGACAGAATAAAGATGAACACCTAAATAGGGTTTTTTATTCTGCTCATATGCTCAGTGTCTAGCTTATTTTGCAGGTCTTTGGTTATAGGCTCATATTATCTAACACACACAAACCTGACTGGCTAGTGTTAAAAAAAGAAGTTATTGACCTTTGTCCATGTGTTCACACTTGTCATTCAGTGAACCTTACATTCTTGCTGTGAAACAATGACAATTTTATAAAGTTAAAACTTAGACATGTTGGATTGGTTTTGTATGAAACCAATACAACAATAACAATAAACTAATAAAATTCACATTGAGGCAAAGTTCATTTGTCATGAGTCCTTGGAAAGTTTGATAGTTTAATTGCAGTATAACCTCATTATCTGAATAGTTTAGATGGTAACCTAAAGATTCACGTGCTCTTAAGTATTCCTGTTTACAGAGGAGTGCATGAAATAGTGCAGAAATTGATATTTAGCTGTAAAAGCAGATTTGGGCTACCGTTGAATGCTTCTGAAAATGCATTCATGTAGGTTGTTACAGATGCAGCCTTTCTTCATAATCATAATGTTTCAAAATATACTGATTTCCTAATATTTCCAAGTATTGGATTTGGGCTGCTCCTTGGGTGTTCCTCTTTGCAGGGGAGAATTACACCACAGGAGTTCTTTTTTCAGGCCGTGAGGGTCTGAGAAAGAATGAATGATGAGGACGCTTTATACAGATAAAAAAGTTTTTTGATATCTTATTCATGGGCAAGAGCTGCACTGCTGTGTAAACATAAACAAACAAGCATACTTGGCCTCAATTAGTTTAAAGTGTCGAAACACCAACTTTGAATAGGGAACAGCAGGAGTTTAAAATAGATCCTGGAATTTAGCACCCCCATCCCATGAAATCTCTCACCAGTTCTCCCCCCCCCCCATGGCATTTCTGGTTGGCTTACTCTATTTGGTTTCATCTTGTGGTATTAACTTGCATATTGTACAGAAGCCTTATAAAAGTGATTTGTGTAGTCTTGCCTTCATGGACTTACGCACCCTAAAGAAACCAAAACCTTAAGGAAGTAAACACTTTATACACCCTTGATTGATGTAAGTTTTGTACTGACAAACAGCACAATTCTATACAAATCAATGCAGAAATAAGATCCATTGAGTTCAGTGACACCTAACCCCAGGACAATGGGTACAGGGCTGCAACCTAAGTATCTAACATTATGTCTCTGGGTTGATGGTGTCAAGGTTCTCACTGGTCTCCCTTCTATTATTTGGGCTGTTTTGCATTAGCAGCTTCATATATGAATGTTGCTCAAAATGCTTGTTTAGGAAGAAGTAATGTTTTTTAAAACTTCACTCACTTCCCCGTCGAAAAGACTAAATCTTTTTGGTGGGTACGTCTGAACAGAAGGTGAACAGAAGAACTTTCCCCCTTCTTCCTTGCTGTTCAAAAGTGATTTAGGCTTGTTTGGCAGTAATCTCCATGTTGTTTTCCTTTAAAGACAATGAGAAGCCCATGAAAGCGATAGAGGATGAAGACCTCGTGGACCAGCGTCTCATCAATGAGCTGAGGAGAGAATATGGAATGACATACAATGACTTCTTCATGGTGCTAACTGACACTGATATGAGGGCCAAGGTAGGGAGAAGTATATTAGCCTGGGGAGATGCATGAGTGAGGATGAATCAGGACAGAGTGGGACAAAAAACTGTGCTAGTACCTGAAGAGGCAAAAGAAGTTGAAGATGGTAGGAATCATGGAACCCAAATCCAGATGGTAGGAACCAGGGATTTTGGTGGGGAAATGCTCACTTGTATCCTTACAGCTCGTGGCATTAGGAATGGAGGAATAATTTGATTTTGGTTGCATTTTAATGAGAAACTACCTAATTCACACTTATTGAACCAATATAAAAGCCCAACATAATAATCCTTCAAAATCTGCACTTCTCCGAATATTGTAATGCAGTTCCTCAACCAAAACATGTTTACAAAAGTGCATATATTTGGAGAAAGTCTGCACAAAAATACAAATATATGGAGAAATTAACACTAAAATGCTGAGGAATTTCATGAAGATTTTCTAAAATGCAAGTTGCTACAGAAATGTGGAGAATTGAATTAAAGATTGGATGAACGAGAAACCAAAACTGACAGATTCATCCATTCCTTCATGGCATTCAGCTCCTACTACAGAATGATCCTGCAAAGTGACAGAAGGCACTCACTATAAAAAATCTTCAGTAGCATGAACATGACTTTATTTACATATGATATTTAATTTATACTCAACCTTTATTTAATCATGGAACTCAAAATGGCAGACACAGAATTCCCCGACCAGAACCAGACCTGCTTCGCTCACGTGCTTTCAACCATGCCTGAGACCCATCAGTATTAATCTGTCAAGAAGAATGAAGCTGACAGTATAATGACATTGGCCATTAACTTTAAATGGGAAAGCAGATGTTAAGAGATTTGTTTGCCATCAAACCATTTCTCAATGTTTCCTTTTACAGCAATACTATGAAGTGCCCATAGCAATGAAGTCTGTTTTTGATTTGATTGACACCTTCCAATCACGTCTCAAAGATATGGAAAAGCAGAAACGTGACGGCATTACCTGCAAAGATGACAAGAAACAGTCCCTGGAAAACTTTTTGTCCAGGTATTTCCTAAAGCCCACCTGTGGCTATGAGAGCTCTTTAATAATGCAAATTGGTTTAATATTAAGCACTTGTTGAACATGTATTTTCCATTAACTGATTACTCTGGTCAAAAACTCGCAATCATCTTCGTAGTTGTTAATTCCAAAACAGAGAGGTGGTTGAGTTCAGACCTGTTTATTGTTTCCAGTGAATATCCACTGAAATTAATAGACCTAAGTCATGTTCATTCACTTCAGTAGGTTTATTCATAGTAAGACTAGCATTGGATACAACCCTACGTTTCTGCTAATGGGGAAACCGCACAATTTTGTTTGCAATTAAATATCTAGTAATTAAAGTTAGATACCTAATAATTAAAACTGAGCACAGAGTGAGGGAAGTACATTTAGAAATAACCACTTATAAGAACATTTATAAATGGAAATATCTCCAAACATCATGTTTATTATCCTCACCTCCACCCCTACAAAATGGGCATTCACTGATTGTAATGGAGAGAGACCTCTCATTTTCTATGAGCGTTGGCAGTACTAATTTGTTTTCTATAATTACCTCTCCCCCTGAATGAAACAGCATGCAGCAGCATAATTTCTCAGCCATTGCTTCTCTGGGAAAAGCATTCAAAATAATGATGTTGATTGTTCTTAATTTGCATGTCAAGTCCCAGCAAAGTGAACAACCGGTGGTGCCGGGGGGGGGGGGGAGAGAAAACCCTCCAGCTTCAGAGAGGCAGGCTCCTAATTTGTCTCAAGTTAGAGAACCCAGTCTCAGACTCCAGTTCTAAACACACATGCTTGGGAGCACGTACCATTGATTTCGGTGGGATTAAACCACAGAGCCCAGGACTTGCCGATCAGAAGGTCTGCGGTTTGAATCCCCGCGATGGGGTGAGCTCCCGTTGCTCGGTCCTTGCTCCTGCCAACCTAGCAGTTCAAAAGCATGTCAAAGTGCAAGTAGATAAATAGGTACCACTCTGGCAGGAAGGTAAACGGCGTTTCCGTGCGCTGCTCTGGTTCGCCAGAAGCGGCTTAGTCATGCTGGCCACATGACCCGGAAGCTGTACGCCAGCTCCCTCGGCCAATAAAGCGAGATGAGCGCCACAACCTCAGAGTCGGCCACGACTGGACCTAATGGTCAGGGGTCCCTTTATCTTTACCTAACCATGCATAGGACTATGTGGTAACAACTAATAAAATGACTAAGGGATTGTCAGGTTTAATTAATTGGGGGAGGAAGGAGAGGGAGCACACATACTGTTAAAGAACGGAAAGGGAAAGGTCAGGAAGATACCGGTAGGTATAAACAGGAGCGCAGAGGTTCCATATGTAAGACAACATCTGTAGCTGTTTAAGATACCATTTCCTGCTTTGAAACGGCACATGTTACTCTGTACATTTCTCTCTATATAGTTAGCTTTGGCTCTTCTGTTTTTTAATGTACAAAATAACCCACACTCATTCACTTTCCTGAATAAAGCAATGGAAGGTGATCTTCAAAGGAGAGGTGTGGGGAAGCTCAAATGGAAAAAAGTTACATTAGTTCTGCCTGCCTAGGAAAAAACACTTGAAATTTTGACAGCACAACAGAATAACCTGAAACCTAAAATGGCATTTCAAAGACATTTGAGCACAATTGCTTCCTCATGTTTGCAGTCTGTTGGATCCACACAACTTAAATCTGATTCCCGCTAGAACCAACAGGACTAAATTCAGTTGAAATAATCTTTGTGAATAGATTTTCTTCACCTATTCTCATTCCAGATTCCGATGGAGGAGGAGGTTGCTAGTGATATCTGCTGCCAACGATGAAGACTGGGCATATTCACAGCAGCTTGCAGCCCTTACAGGGCAAGCCTGCAATTTTGGTAAGTCTCCATATGCTGGCTTTCAAGCTATTAACTACTCTTGGTTTTGTTTGTTTTTGAAGTCCTTTGCACCAGCGTAAGGACCTTCAAGCACATGGGCCAGATTTAGCTTATTAACTACTCATAACCTTATACATTTGTATAGTACCATTTGCTACAGCAATCTTGTTCTTTTCATGGGATGTATATTAAGAGGGGGGTGCATCTAAGAGCAATTTTACCCATGGCAGCCTGAATGTGGCAGCTGCCAAAAATTGCTTGTGTGCACTCTGTGTAAGGTTTGGAACATGTACCAATCTGATCATTTGAAGAGCTTTGCATGCCAGCAAAAATGTCTAGTGCTGTCATGGAGAGATTGTCTATGTGTTCAAGTAGAAGAGGTTGGCAGCCTCCACATGCATAGTGCATGAGAACTGGGCATACGATCACAGACCTAATTCAGTGGCATTCAGCATTTCATTGCCTATAAGAGCCTTTGCCAACCTGGTGTCCTCCAGATGTTTTGGGGCTGATGGTGGTTGTAGTCCAAAGCAGACATCAGGCTAGCCTCCAACATCTGTTTCGTCAAAACATAGCAGGGAATGAGCCTCCTCAAATCCTTGTGGACTGCTTGAATCAAGTGATTCTTTAGTACCTTCTTTGATTGCTGTAAAATAACAGTTTCTAAGTTTAGAATCTGTGCTCAAATTATTGGGAGTGGGGAAGGTAGGAGGAAATCTATAACCTCCCCGCAATTTTAGCCTGATCATGGTTCCTCTGTAGCCTTCTAAAACCATTAGCAAAGAGCATCTTCCATCCATAGATTTGGGCAAATCTATGCAATGTTCCTAAAGAAACTGCATATCAGCCTCCTGTATTTTGAGCTTATAGAATTGTGGGTGGGTGTACATCTGAGAATGTATTGACATTTTGCAGTACGTTAATGTTTGCCTTTCACTTAGTAGAAAAAGCTTGCATCAGTCTTTGACACCCTTCTTGTTTTAACAGGTCTGCGTCACATAACTGTCCTCAAGCTGTTAGGTGTGGGAGAAGATATTGGTGGAATGCTGGAATTGTATCCAATCAATGGTGAGAAATTATTTTGAGTTTGTAAGACAGCTCTGTGTGCGCCTATCATTCTGAGCCATATACCTGTATGATGTATCACAATTCTTATTATTATTTTAAAAATTAGAATGCATATTATTGTAAGTTTATTTTCAGTAGTTGTTCTCAAATGGGTCTTGAGTTGTGGCTGCAAGAAAGGCCATAGAACGTGAATGAGAGTCACACATGAAGCTACAGCACAGTCCTATCTCGCGCAAATCCTGGAACATGCTGTATCCCAGTAACAACACTTGAGAAATTGTTTTAAGGAACTTCCCACTGTGCAACTTCCCATGGCCCTAGTTTGTTTTAGTGGGCAAACAGATGTATGAAAAGCATGCCCCTACAGTGATTGTTTAAACTTAATTTATTATGTTCTGTATTTCTCCAACATTATTATTAAGTTGCCTTGGGAGTTTCCTGAAGCCAGGAGGACAAAAAACAAACAGCCTTCCTCAGCTGTAGTCTTCTTCAGGCATTATGCCCAAACAGGAAATAGGGCACTCTGTGCATACTGACCTTGCTGCCAAAGTCCCTATCCCACTTGCTTGGTCCCTGACCTTCCTATGTTGAGCCAGGAAGAACTGAAGAGGGCTTCTGGCTGCATTCGGTTTAACATGAGTAGAAGACTCAATGTGATTGGGTGCTAGTGTGGTCACAGCATGCATAGGGATGGTGAGGCAGGGCCCTCATGACTTCTGCGTAGGTTGATATTTCCTCTTCAAACATAACACCTCAAAACCTCTGGAGAAGCACACACACACACACACACACACACACACACACACACACACACACAGTATGTTTAAAGTTACCAGCTAGATTAACAATACGTAACAACTGAAAAAACGGGCAACATACAAAATTATCGTACTTCCTCAAGTCTTTCATGCTATAATTCAATATAAGGAGAAAATAATTCAGGGCACTACATGCAGTGAAAGGGGTGGGGGGAAGGAATGAGATACCACAAGCTGGCACAATTCTCTCCCAGTTGGAAAAACTCAGTTACATAAACACGAGTAATTCAACTGAACTAGAGGAGCTCAATGGCACTCCCTTTTAAACCAAAAACACACGTTCTCCTTATTAACCTGCACCCCACAGATATCCAAGAACAGAAATGGAGCCCCATTCGCTTCCAAAGGGCACTGGAAAGCCAAAGAATTTGAGCACTGAGGAAACGAGATCCTAGTGGATACACTTTCAGCCCACAGTGAGGTTAATGTGCAAACCTGACCATTTTCCAAAAAAAGGCATCTTGCTTTTTATTGCTGTGGGCAGGAAATGATGTCCACTTGGCTGCCCAGAGTCATCTCAACCACCATCACGCCTCCAGCCTGTTCTACTGCAGCTGCATATATAGTACGCTTGAATATATATTTTGCTTTTAAGAATGACCTGTCTGTGTGTCATAAGATGCTGACGCTATTCCTAATCTCCGTCTCCTCCTAGGGAGCTCCAGCGTGGACAGGGAAGAGCTCCCTGCTCATTTGGTGAAAGACATCCGCAATTATTTCCAGATCAGCCCCGAATATTTCTCTATGCTTCTGGTTGGAAAAGACGGGAACGTCAAATCCTGGTACCCTTCCCCAATGTGGTCCATGGTGATTGTGTACGATTTGATTGACTCTATGCAACTTCGGCGGCAGGAGATGGCCATCCAGCAGTCTCCTGGCATGCGGTGCCCAGAGGACGAATACGCCGGGTATGGATACCATGGCTATCACCAAGGGTACCAGGAAGGCTACCAAGATGATTACCGCCATCATGAAAGTTACCACCATGGATACCCCTATTGAAATTAGGAACTTAACCTTTATCTGCACCCTGCTTTCATCTTAGTAGCCATTCAGACCACAAGCAGCCAGATGTGGGAAGCATTTGATGGTCACCAGACCATGTGTCTTTTCTTCCCTCGTTCAGTCAAGGGACTACTAAAGTATCGGACTTTGGCCTTCTCTATAACACGCATGATGTGAAATAGGTCAAGCCAGTATCCTTGGTGCCTTATGGAATAAAGACTCCTTTATATTCTGGAGCACTTCTAATCTGAAGGTATATCTTGGTGCTATGTATGTATAGAAACACCCCCCCCCAAACCCTGACTCCAGTGATGGGCATTGTACTGTAGGCAGAATATAAACTGTAAAATAAGACACTAACACTCCTATAGCTTCCTGTTTCCCCATGCCGAGGGAGGAAATATTTATTAGAAAATGTTGTGAATTTTTGCCGAAGTGGAGGAATGGTGGATCATATTACAAAATTTGCCGCTCAAAAGAAATCCTTTTAGAAAAACTAATGTTAAAGGGTTGTTTTTTTAATTAAAAAAAATGTTTGGGGTAGAATGATTTATTTTATAACATGCCAGCTCTGTAGTATAACGGTTTCACCTGTTATGGAAAACTTGAGATTGTTAAAGGTTTGAAATAATACAGTGAGAGATGATTTTGTGCCAACCATGTTGCTGCTTTAGCTGTGCCTCTTTATCTTGTTAAGAGTTTTTCTCCCTTTGAAGGCAGGAAGCCATTCAGCTCAGGGAAGGTCCTGCCTGTGGGACAGAAGAGGTGGAATAACAGCACTTTCCAAGGAGGAAGACATCTTCTCCCTATCCTAAGTTATCCTACTGCCTTGGCAAGGAAAGCTGAGTCATTCTCAGAGAGTTCTTTAAGGAAACTGAGACATGCATCCTAGAAACCTAAACAAACAAACAAAAAAACCAGAAATCAGCAGTAGATTAGCAGATTAACAAAAGGGCTCAAAGACTCATCTCAGCTCTAGGGCAAGTTCTGCTGCTTTCACCCCCTGGGAACAACATTCCTATAAATTGACACCTTGAAGGAATTTATGCCAGGGGCTATTGTTTCAACGTACCACATATTTCAATCGCGAGCCCTCTCAGTAGACCAAGTGTTGCCAATCTGATGCCCTGAAATATACTTGGAGTCGAGAGTGGATTTCATGCTCTTTATTCAGCTCATAGTGGTGAGGAGGAATGGAAGTTCCCCCAGAATGTCTGCTTTATATACATTATTTACACAATGGGCCCCATGTGATTGGCTAATTCCGGGATTCACCTGTAGGCCAATCAGGTTGTGGATTCACTACCACCTGGAGCTGGATTGGGTGGCTCCTGTAGACCAATCATACTGCTGCATTCTGAACCCTATTGTTCTAGGACTAATCAGACTGCTGCCTTCTGGATCCTATTCAACTCAGTACATAACATGCCCGAAGGTGCCATGGTACCTATGAAGGCTTCTAGTGGCACACCTGGGCAGGTGTCCCAGACTCTGAGCTGCTTTACTACTACTATGGTCTCCGGCCTTCCTAGAAAGAAAGTTATGGGACAACATGTGCAGGTAACTTCTAAGTGATTTCTGCAGTGGTGTGGCTAAATTGGATATTTTTCATGGTACTGAGGAATGCCATGGAATTGTTGAGTCATCTCACAGATAAGCAAACAAGCCATGAATTCATAGAATTGTAGAGTTGGAAGGCACCCCAATCCAACCCAACCCCCTGCAATGCAGGATTTGTTTCTCCAAAGCTTGGTTTCTTTTCCATCTGCTCTTGCCTCATGCCTCTGTAGCTTGACAAGCATCTTGTGGTGGGGTTGCCATGGCTAAACAAAGGTGTTGGGTTTGAACATAACATCAAATCCTGGCTACTTTTTAAAAATTTAAAACAAGCCATGGTTCATAAAGCAACAACATACCAATGGCTTCACATTCGCCCGTTAATCTGTTGTGCTGGGCTTAGGTGTTCAAACAATCCACACTTTCGTTAAACAAATAATGGCTTACCATTATGTGCAAACCAGGCCAATATCAATTACAAATTACTACAGTGGAATGCAAAACACAGCAGAAAAGTGAGGGTTTCCGCTGGTATTCATGCACAGTGCACAAGTGGAGACAGAGATCTGTATTCAGTATAGAAGTAAGATTATTGTTTTTTAAGTGCAAGGATGTCTGCTTGAAACAATGTCCCCTATCCTCTCCCCACCCCCCAATGCTATTTCTGGGGATTCTCCCAACCCTTTGCAACAGATTTGGGAGGGAGATTGAGGGGAAAGTGAAAATTGTACTGGCTTCTGCTAGCACAATGAGTTAGTTGAATACAGCCCAAAATATGTGGTTTGAAAGTCTAACTACTCCTGTTTAATGTCAATCTTCAGGCTGTGTTAGGCAAATTTATAAGTGCAGACCTTTTATGGGAGGAAATTCTCTGGGAATGTTTAAGTAAAAATCTCTCTGCCTTTTGCTTCTTTAACTGAAATGTAATCTGAAGCTAATGGCCTCACAAATGCTTTCTGGAAACATACTAGCAAGGACAGTTGTAATTGTGGTCAAAGTGAGGAGACCCAAGCAATTCAAATGCACACTACATGCAGTGGAAAGCACTAAAAGTAAACTGCACAACAGTAGTCCAAGCTCTAACTCTTTGTGTTATTTTTTATTTTTTGGTACTAGGAGTTTCCTTTGCAAAGCAAGCTATCTACAATGGTACCTTGGTTCCCAAACAGCTTAGTTGACGAACAAATCAGCTCCCAAACGCCACAAACTCAGAAGTAAGTGTTCCAGTTTGTGAACATTTTCTGCAAGCCGAATGTCTGTTTTGGCTGTCGGCATTGTTTCTGGGGCCAATCAGTCAATCATAAGCCACATCTTGTTTGGGAACGTTTTAGAAGTCGAACGGACTTCCAGAACGGATTGAGTTCGAGAACTAAGATACCACTGTACTATTAATGAAAATCATCTGGAATCTTTATTTGGAAATACTTTTAACAAAATCAAATTTCACACAAGCCAAACAAAGCAAAGTTTCCTCTCTCCTAGGGCAGAACTACATGTTACACTGAAAAAAAATGTGCTTTCTCAACATGTCTGCATTTAAATATGAATGGAGGAGCAGGGGGACATCTGAAGGGGACAGACTGAAAGGCAGGAGAAACTTAAGCCTTCCAGCACCTCCCCAAAATTATCCTAGGTAGTTTTTTGCTGCAGCTTGGTTTCTTTCCAATCATGGCAACAAAAGTACTCTATCCCACCCCACATATAACACAATAGCCATGCAGGGATTTGCAGGGGAGATTTGGGCACAGGAAAGGTTACCATGAAACCTCTGGTCCTATATTAGTATTCTTAGAGAAATATTTGTTCTCCCTGTATTGTATGATCCTTGGCTAATAGGGGACTGTTATAAAATGTGGGCTGGTCTACAGGTTAAGCTGTTTTTCAGTATTTTAGCTTTCTTCGGGCTGTGTCCTGGATTGAAATAAAGGGACAACTAAGGGCATTATTTGCTTGGGCAAGTCACCACAGGTTTTACTCCTCTTTTGCCCCAGGAGACTCCAGAGTATCCAAGGTATTAATAATACCTGGGATAAAGTGGATACCCAACTTGTGAGTTGCATGCAATTTGTGGAGCAATTTGATGTGGCTCACAAAACTGCATTAACAGAACAGTCTGTATTCATATGCAGTTACTGGCAGCATATATACCCATTCGTGTTATTGCCACTTTGTAAAAAATAAGCTTTGGATTTCTGCTTTATCATCCATAAACGTCGTCTTTCCTCATGCATCTTCTAGCCTTAAAGGTAAAGGTACCTTTGACCGTTAGGTCCAGTCGTGGATGACTCTGGGGTTGCGGCACTCATCTCACTTTACTGGCCAAGGGAGCCAGCGTACAGCTTCCGGGTCATGTGGCCAGCATGACTAAGCCAACCTTCTGATCGGCAAGCCCTAGGCTCTGTGGTTTAGACCACATCGCCACCCACGTCCCACACACACACAAAAATCCAAAATCCATTTACGTTGTAGTTTATTTGGCCGTGTGGACTGTAAAACAATGAAAACACCACAAAGAGGTCCCACATTTTGGTTAACACCAGGCACTATAAGGGAATCAGGCAGAGTTCCTTAATGAATGCACTCGAATAGCAACAACAAAAGAGTGTACACCAGGAAGCTCCTGTTCTGTTATACTAGCAAACAACGGAACAGATGTCTTACCAGCAAGGCTATCACAAATGCAAATGAGGAGCTAAAGCACAATCAAAACCACTGTCCACATAAACCACACCTGCTTCAAAGCTGCTCTTAGGAGCAATTAGCTCCTTATTTCAAACTCTGTTCAAATAAATAAGCCAGGTTCAAAGGAATGCTCCATTTAGACTTGTTCCAATATACTTTTGAGTTCTAGGAGTGTCATAAAACAGTTTGAGAAACCCACAGAAGCTGCACCTTTCCATCAACAGACACAAAAATGAGTTATTATCTGTGCAATAAGAAGCAGCAGCTTATGTGATCAGATCACCACTTCCTGGAGTATTTATCTACTTCTGCAAGATAAGGGCCTGTATTTCTTCCCATCCCACTGCTTTGTTGCTGGGTTTCTTTGTTTTTTGGCAAATAGGGACTTGGGCTGGAGGTGTAAAACTGAAGCTGTGACAGTTCAAGTATTACCAAGATTTTGAAATTATATTGTAGCCCCCCCTAAAAAGAAATACAAGAGAATAGAAATCAGAAACACCTGACCTCCTCGCCCCATTTCTGTTCACACTATTTCCTTTATACATAGTCTCATCCCTGAATGAACCCTAATTAAATTACAAAACATGCATTTCCTTGAATCATACTTAACAAAAGGCATTGTTAAAAGTTCTAAGCCTACGCCCATAACATTGTTCTTTGTTACTTTTTATTTTATCCCTCATATTTTTGTCCCTGTGCTGCACTTTTACACAGTTGTAGTACACAAAAAAGTTGTATTTTACACAGAGACAGGCATTAAAGAGGACAAGAGATAAAACTAAGGGACAAAAGGCAGAGTGGGCACTTATGCCAAAATCAAATATGGAGAGGCACTGCAGCCTGCCATTTCAAGTGGCAAGAATAGGCCAGTACAGGCACAAGTTCCTTTCATCTGTGTGCTGCCCTTTTACACGAGCTGTGAAACAAACCAGGAAGTTTCAGTTAATATATCATCTTCCGGATACATTCAAACTAGGAAAATATGGTTAGTGACTTCTAAAGAAGACAGGATATGAAACCATAGTTTAAAGTTGGCTTTTGAATCCTGGCTGATTTGGAAGCCGTTAACGATAGTCAGGGAGATGGAATCGTCATGGGAAGCGATAATTAAGTGCAGCTTCTTGGTTTGTTTCACAGCTCGTGTAAAAGGGCTGCACACAGATGAAAGGAACTTGTGCATACCCTGTGCTCCTAATTCAGTACTTATCACATTTGAAAATGTGAACAAGTGCATTGGGTTCTAAGGATCCATCAGCGGGATGACAATTTTGTTTTGTGACAAGGAGGGGAGAAAATCATTGTGAGCCCACACAGTGTGGGTGGGGGAACCTATTGCCCTCCAAATGTTGTTGGACTGCAACTCTACCATTACTTTACCACTGGCAATTTTGGGTAGAACAGATGGGAGTTGTGAGTCCCAACAACATTCCCACCTTTGCTTTAGAAGCAGCATTCGATATCCCAACAACAACTTTCAGGCTCAAGTATAAGGATACCTAATATTCATGAGTAAAACATAGCACCATAAACACCAGGAGGGTATATAGTGTTCTTCAATATGTAAGCTTTGGATTACTATATTGCAACTGCATCCACCACTGAGCTCCACTTCACATGGTACCAGTGGCATCCAATGCTACTCCTATCCAAGAGAAGAACTACTGGAATTAATGACTATGACTAGTTTATGTCCAGTAATTTCAGTGGGTCTACTCTGGGTAGGACTAGCACTGTGGACAGCCCAATACTTTAAAGCTGCTCCTGTAAAACAGTTTAAATATACATCTAAAAGCATAGTTGTGCGTCTGACAAATGCACTTCTTCAACTGTGCAAATCACAGAAATGTGTGTCAGGAACCATGCGTGGCAACAGCATACACACATGGTGGTAAAGACACATTTGACACTGTTTCAAATACCCCTGAAATATGAGTAAATCCTTAGATGTTTGTGCATACAATTGTGAATAGTTTGACAGCTCTTATCTCCAGAATACTGTAAGATGAACAACCTCCATGGCTCCATCTATTGATTCTTCATTTACATTTGCTCTGAACCAAGGTACCTCGGTTAACTTCAGTAGCGTTAATGCTTTCTTACATTCATGTGAAAGAACCAAGTGAGAAAGTTCCAAGTGATGCTTCCAGTTCTACGTCTCTTCATCCAAAGCAGTCTGAACTAGCAACCATTGCTGACCGCTCTTTCTGCAGGAATTCTTCACTCTCGTGAACTACAGAAGTCAAGTACATAAGAGCAGCTGTGCTGGATCAGACCAAAAGCACAGCATCCCACTACGCACCATGGCCAACCTGATGACTATGAGAAGCCCAAGAGCAGGACACGAAGGCTCCTAATCCCCAACAACATGTATCCAGAGGCACCTGTATTTGATCCTGGAGTCCTCATTAAGAACCACAGATAGCATCATCCTCATCCTCTATGAATAGGTCCCTTCCCTCTTCAAGACCCCTTCACAGTAGTTAATCTATTACCTTGCACAGCTTTATGAAAACACAAATTAAAATCCCACCTTAGTGATAAGAAAGAAGAAACTTCCACCTGTTGGTCACGGTCCGAACCTCCCCCCACCTCCCAGGGTAAAACTTCATTTTCTTAAATAAGAATGTCTGTACTTCAAAAATCCAAAGTCAGGCTATAAGGCCTCTTCTTCCGAATCATGGTCACTGTCTTGCTTCGTAAGTCTCTCGAGTTCTTCTCCATCCTACAGAAAGGGGAAAGAGAGCGAAAAGGCAACATTAGTCTATGCTTGGTTAACATTTTCAACTGATAATAAACAAGAAGTAAGCACTAAATATTTCAGCTTTGTGAAGTGACAGTAATTTATAGAATATTCTTGTAACAGGACCCACAATCATGGGCTTCACTTGACCTGGGTATATTTTGAAACTGCTGCAAGATCTTTTCATTTCAGCTGGGGTTTCTTATGGCCAGGAATCAGGGGTGGGTGACTGGGGGAAAGAGAGAGAACTCCAGAGTTAGCAGACTCATATGTATCTATGTTGAGGCTGGAGAACCTGGGGCCTGAGGGCCAAATGCTATCCTTCAAGGCCTCCTTGGGACTCTCTCCAGGTCACATTCCTCCCAATGCCACACTTCTTCCTGGCCTGGCTCTGCACTCTCCTTGAGTGCTTTTGCCTGGCTGGAATGTGTCCTTGAGCTGCGATAATGCCTTGTTTGCCTAGAAGGAAATATGTGGGTCTAGAAACCCCTGCCTTTTGCATGGCTTCATTGTAAAGGTAAAGGGACCCCTGACCATGGCCGACTCTGGGGTTGCAGCGTTCATTTCACTTTATTGGCTTTATTTACTAAGCCGCTTCTGGCGAATCAGAGCAGTGCACGGAAACGCTGTTTACCTTCCCACCAGAGCGGTACCTATTTATCTACTTGCACTTTGAGGTGCTTTCGAACTGCTAGTTTGGCAGGAGCAGGGACCGAGCAACGGGAGCTCACCTCGTCGCAGGGATTCGAACTGCCGACCTTCTGATCGGCAAGTCCTAGGCTCTGTGGTTTAACCCACAGCGCCACCTGCATAGCCTACTGTAAAAAGGCAAGAGCCACACCTGTTTTTCCACCCACTTGGTGCCTCTGGCCATGCCCACCCCAGGTATGGGTCCTTCAGAAGGTTGCCCAGGACAGACTGTAGCTCTTGGGCTGATCAGTGTCCCCCACCTTCACCTGTTCGCATTATATGGCGTAAAGGCCCTTTGCTAGTGCCAAAGCTATGCTTTAGTGTGTCTCTTTCGAAGCATGTTCTTTCCCAATTCACTATAAAATCATTTTCTGAACTACCCGTTCATTAAAGTTAATCCCCCTAGGGTGAATCAGATCAAATGCTGAAACAAATAAATACCAGACTAGGACACAAAGAAGCCCAGGTGCCTAGTCTTCCAAATATGTGGTGCTGGCTCTGAGTTTATATGGATGCCTATGAATTAAGAACACTTTATGAGCCTAAAAGGTCTATAAATATTTGTTGCTACAAGCCATTTATTAAGAATTAGGAGCTGAACTGCAAGCAGGAAGGCTGAATGGAAACAGGCAGCAGGTGGCAGCTCAAGCAGCTGCCTGTGAAGGTTGCATAGTAAAACTTTACTGTCATCCTGAGCAAATAATCGGAGTGAAGATCATGCAAGGTCAGTTGTAACAAATGGTTACTTTGAAACAATCAAGTGAAAGTGATAAAACCGAGCAGCTGGGTTTTAAATCTCTTTTGGATGCTAAGGCTGCAATTCTATGCATGCTTACCTCAATAAATACACTGGGAAACACATCTGAGTGCACCCTGGAGCACAGATCCTACATATTTTCCATATGTCCTACTACGCTTATCTTAGATCTCTGCTGAAACTTTTGCTCTGTTATGTATTAATAGGTAAGACTGTTTACTCCTCTCTTTTTGTATCAATTGAATAATATTTTTATAGGCTACTGCTGATGAGTTTAACATGCACTGATATATCCAGAATTTGAGTTCAGCAACAGGACAATAAAATTTAACTATATTCCCTATTATTCTGCAAAGGTACCACACAGATGCATCTAGCAGGAGCAGGACAAGCTCTGACTTGACAGTCATGAAATGATTTGTTAATGGAAAAATTTAATCACCTGCACATGTTTTGGGGAGCTGCATCTGCGAACTGAACCCAGCAGAAATCCAAGATCATAGATGCAGATGTGAAAGCTCCCTCTTCCTATAGGTCTTCCAAGTTATCACTATAAAGCATTCATTCAAGTGTGCACAAATGTTACCCAAGAGCAGCTTTAACTGTCAACAGCGCCCTCTGGTGCCCACTTGCACAAAGAAGCGGCTATAATTCAACACAGCATTAAGCCCACTGAAATCAATAGTCGTAAGCGCAGTTAAGTTTGGGTCAGGTTGCCGGCTTGCTGCCAGCACATTTTGTCATTTCTCAGCTCTACAGATGTCTATTACAATGACACCAAGCCAACATTCTTGGGTGGCTGGGAAATGTCTACAATGACATCAGGTGCCTCACAAAAGCATGGGTTTGCAGCACCGTAAGCAAGTGAAGCAGAGCCACTCATTTGCAAAGGGGTAGACCTGCAGCTAAACCACTAAAGCCTAAACCTCAGAGCCAGTGTGGTGTAGTGGTTAAAAGTGAGACTCGTAATCTGGTGAACTGGGTTTGCATCTCCGCTCCTCCACATGCAGCTGCTGGGTGACCTTGGGCTAGTCACACTTCTTTGAAGTTTCTCAGCCCCACTCACCTCACAGAGTGTTTGTTGTGGGGGAGGAAGGGAAAGGAGAATGTTAGCCACTTTGAGACTCCCTAGGGTAGTGATAAAGCGGGATATCAAATCCAAACTCTTACATCAAAGCAACAGCAGTGGTGGTGGGATGGCGTCAGCCGGCCCGCGCAATGGACTCAGAACAAACCCCTTCCCAAGCCTTACCCCATTGGAGCGCTCCCAGGGCCCTCCACCGACTTTGCTCCTCTCCCACTGAGCGGTGTATTCCACACATCGAGGGCTGCTGGAATGGTAGATGAATATGGACAAGAGCACCACAGGAGCTTGCAGGAAGAACTCCAGGGAAGGCTTGAAGTCAAAAACAAAGACAGACACCGTGGTGATGATCACGGTGGTGACCTGTGCAGACAGGACGTGAAACATGTTGTCTCGGAACTTCAAGATGAAAGCCACAGAGAGCCCCAGGAAGGCAGTGACGAAAATAAGGGCGACAGAGAACGCATTGTGCCCATAGAAGAACCCACAGTGTTCTATCCGGCGCCTGTTTTCAGGGCGCAAGCTCAGAATCAGGGCGTTGAACATGGCTCCGAAGAGGTACAGCTTGGTGTTCTGTACAAAGATGTTTTCACTGAACTGGCCTCCTTCTTTCAATATCTTTTCATTGTAAATGTTGGCCAGGGCAGAGATGAAGCACTGCACCAGTATGAGCAGGTGCCCTAGCCCAAGGGGAATGGTTCTCAGGGCTCCAGTGGCAGCAGTGATGTTCCAGCTTAAGCTGGGGAAAAGCCACGTTCTCGTGCAGTTCTCTCTTCCTGAGCACTCTTCCTCCAGGCTGGCATACTGCAGGCAGCTGTTAGAGTGGCTGAAATAGATGTCGTGATGGAACCCATGCATGGCCAAGCTATGCTTGTGGCTTCCTGTCCCAGCCGTGAGGGCGACAATAGACAGGAACAAAATCAGCAGGGATGCCCACTGCACCCAGGAGAGTTGCCGCCTGTGTGTAGACAAAAAAAGAAGACTCAGTGTACACGGACAGGTGCGAAGCCATCCAGCAAGTCAATCCCAAACAGCACAAGTCATGGGTAGAAATATGCTGCCTGTCTTCTTTGCCGAGGTAGCTGCACAGACACAATCTCTTCTCAGCTCCCCAAAAGTAACATTTTCAGTGCTACAACACATAAACCAGGAGACAGAAAACTGCAGGTATGCTGTACTCAAGGACCAGGATTTCAATCAGCAGTTTAGAACATCCATCTCTCTCACCTAATACAGTGGTACCTCGGGTTAAGTACTTAATTCGTTCCAGAGGTCCATTCTTAACCTGAAACTGTTCTTAACCTGAAGCACCACTTTAGCTAATGGGGCTTCCTGCTGCCGCTGTGCCGCCGGAGCACGATTTCTGTTCTCATCCTGAAGCAAAGTTCTTAACCCGAGGTACTATTCTGGGTTAGCGGAGTCTGTAACCTGAAGCGTATGTAACCTGAAGCGTATGTAACCTATTATACAGGTACCACTGTATAAAGATTGAATTATTTTGTATTTGTTGAAACTGTTGAAGGTGGACATAAGGATATCAGAGAATCCATCCCTATGTAGAATATGGCTCAGCTAGAATATCCTGACAAGACTACTAAAGCCATCATTTTGGGGACTCTAAATGCACAAGGGCCATCTGAAACACTGAGGACTAGCTCTTACAGAAATCCTGAAGGAAACTAAATACATAGGACAGGAGGCTTATCGGTGCTTGGCTTCAAATTAATCTGTAATGCTGGTGACGGAATTTGTACCTGCTGCATAGGCTTATTGAAAGTCCAGTCCTAAGCAAGTTTACTCAAATGAAATTCTGTCTCATTCATTGGGACCAAAGCACGTGTGTTTTGTTATGAACAACCAACAAAGAAAAAGAACCAAGCTCAGGCAGCGTCAATAGCATGCTCATTAACACATAAAGACTTAATACATATCTGAATTTATTTTGGCTTGCTTTAAATTTCAAACACCTTTATATTCTTGTTTATAACTGATTTAAAGAGATCTTGGTGAATTCTAATACCAACACTAGAAAGAAAGAAAAATATTGACTAATGAAAACATGCTTCCACTGCTACTTACTTCAGCACAATTCTGAACAGGAGAGCAGTTGTTATAATGACAAAATTTGAGAAAAGCACAGCCATGGCCTAGAGAAAAAGAAGTTGAGGAGCAAAGTTACATGCCAAATGCAACCTAGCAATGGGATAATCAGTCTGTAATGCCCTTTTATCAGGAAGGTCTGCACTAATCTTGATATCATAGCTGATGCTTCTTAGTCTGCAACGGCAAAAAGAACGTCTAAAAACCTCACCTGACTTAAGAACAGCTGAGAACTTGTTCTGAAAAACTTTTTATCCTGTTCTTTGTCTTATGACCCCAGGGCGGTTTATAATGTTAAAAGATTAGACAATTGACAAAAAAGGCATAACATAAGAAGAAGTGTGATGTTTGTGCCTATGTGCTTCCCCACCTCCTTTCACTATCTTCTTGCATCATGGTTATTTGAAACCATAATTTCCTCTTGCATCTGAGACTGAAAACTATGGTTTCATGTTGTTTCATTTTGAATATTTATAGAGTGCTTTCTACGGTACAAGTATGGCTCTTTAGAAGGGGTTAGCACAGTGTTTCTCAAACTTAGGTCTCCAGCTATTGTTGGACTACAACTCCCATCATCCTTGACCACTGTTCCTGCTAGCTAGGGATGATGAAAGTTGTAGTCCAACAACAGCTGGAGATCCAGGTTTTTTGGGGAAATGTGTTAGCATGATGCTTATTTCCAACCCAATGAACCACTGTTATGTTTGAACCACTCTTATTTCTTACCTTTCTAGAACACAGCTCTTTTCCTTATGACTAATATCATATGGAATTTTTTCACCATGGCTCAATTAAATGGGGAAGATAGCCCATCCTTGAACTTGTAGGTTTGAGAGACATGCTACTGTCCCCATTTAAAAATAAAAACAAACCTAGGCTATACATACCCTCTGAACCTGCCCTGTTGCACTGGGTCATAGCTAGGCACAATACTCCAGATAAGACTGGTGTCAATTCCCTTAAGATTAATTACTAGCTATTAGATCTTGCATACAAGTTTTTGTTAAACCAAGTGAAAAACACATTTCCTTATCCATCCCCTCCTGTACTATAGCTCTGGCAGAGCCTACCCTAAGCATCCAGTTCAGCTACTGAGATATTGTTAGTTCATCTCAACAGGTTAAAAAGTGAAAAAAAGAGGTTCCCTGCAGTCTCGTTGACTTGACCATAACTTGGTTCAAGTTAATAGTAAGTATAGTATGGGACACATTCTCTGTTTACAAAAACCTTGAGCATAAAGTGCACATTGAATTTCTAAAGTGTGACTTACTGGCTGGAGATAGGACAAGACATAGAAGACAATCAGGTTATCCAGAAAATAGAGGAAGGCGGGAATTGACCACTTAATGTAGCTATTCAATTGCCTCCATGAGCTACAGCCAAATCCACTATGAGAATAACCTCCTAAAAAAGGAGTAAATAGGGAAGAAAGGGGGGGGGATCAGTTAAACACTCTTAATTTGCTTCATATCTACACAAGGGTGGCTAACCTGCAGCCCACCAAACTTTGCTGGACTACAAGTCCCATCATCCCTTACCATTGGCCACGCTGGCTCAGGCTAATGGGAGCTGGAGTCTGACAATCATAGAATCATAGAATCATAGAGTTGGAAGAGACCACCAGGGCCATCGAGTCCAACCCCCTGCCAAGCAGGAAACACCATCAGAGCACTCCTGACATATGGTTGTCAAGCCTCTGCTTAAAGACCTCCAAAGAAGGAGACTCCACCACACTCCTTGGCAGCAAATTCCACTGTCGAACAGCTCTTACTGTCAGGAAGTTCTTCCTAATGTTTAGGTGGAATCTTCTTTCTTGTAGTTTGGATCCATTGCTCCGTGTCCGCTTCTCTGGAGCAGCAGAAAACAACCTTTCTCCCTCCTCTATGTGACATCCTTTTATATATTTGAACATGGCTATCATATCACCCCTTAACCTCCTCTTCTCCAGGCTAAACATGCCCAGCTCTCTTAGCCGTTCCTCATAAGGCATCGTTTCCAGGCCTTTGACCATTTTGGTTGCCCTCCTCTGGACACGTTCCAGTTTGTCAGTGTCCTTCTTGAACTGTGGTGCCCAGAACTGGACACAGTACTCCAGGTGAGGTCTGACCAGAGCAGAATACAGTGGCACTATTACTTCCCTTGATCTAGATGCTATACTCCTATTGATGCAGCCCAGAATTGCATTGGCTTTTTAGCTGCCACGTCACACTGTTGGCTCATGTCAAGTTTGTGGTCAACCAAGACTCCTAGATCCTTTTCACATGTACTGCTCTCAAGCCAGGTGTCACCCATCTTGTATTTGTGCCTCTCATTTTTTTGCCCAAGTGCAATACTTTACATTTCTCCCTGTTAAAATTCATCTTGTTTGTTTTGGCCCAGTTCTCTAATCTGTCAAGGTCATTTTGAAGTGTGATCCTGTCCTCTGGGGTGTTAGCCACCCCTCCCAATTTGGTGTCATCTGCAAATTTGATCAGGATGCCCTTGAGTCCATCATCCAAGTCGTTGATAAAAATGTTGAATAAGACCGGGCCCAAGACAGAACCCTGTGGCACCCCACTAGTCACTCTTCTCCAGGATGAAGAGGAACCATTGATGAGCACCCTTTGGGTACGGTCAGTCAGCCAGTTACAAATCCACTGAGTGGTAGCATAGTCAAGACCACATTTTACCAGCTTCTTTACAAGAATATCATGAGGCACCTTGTCAAATGCCTTGCTGAAATCAAGGTAGGCTACATCCACTGCGTTCCCTTCATCTACCAGGCTTGTAATTCTGTCAAAAACGAGATCAGGTTAGTCTGACATGACTTATTTTTCAGAAATCCATGCTGACTATTGGTGATCACAGCATTCCTTTCTAGGTGCTCACAGACTGTTTGCTTAATGATCTGCTCCAGAATCTTCCCTGGTATTGATGTCAGACTGACTGGGCGGTAATTATTTGGGTCCTCTCTTTTCCCCTTTTTGAAAATAGGGACAACATTTGCCCTCCTCCAGTCTGCCGGGACTTCGCCTGTTCTCCAGGAATTCTCAAAGATGACTGCCAGTGGTTCTGAGATCACACCTGCCAGTTCTTTTAATACTCTTGGATGCAGTTCATCTGGCCCTGGAGACTTGAATACATCTAAACTAGCCAAGTATTCTTGTACTATCTCCTTAGTTATTCTGGGCTGTGTTTCCTTTGCTGAATCATTTGCTCCAAATTCTTCAGGTCGGGCATTGTTTTCTTTATCGGAGAAGACTGAGGCAAAGAAGGCATTGAGGAGTTCAGCCCTTTCTGTGTCCCCTGTTTGCATTTCACCTTCTTCTCCTCTGAGTGACCCCACTGTTTCTTTGTTCTTCCTTTTGCTACGGACATACCCATAAAAGCCTTTTTTGTTGCTTTTAACCTCTCTAGCAAGCCTGAGTTCATTCTGTGCTTTAGCTTTTCTGACTTTGTGTCTACAGTGTCTAGAGGGGAACAAGCCCCCCACTCCAGCTTTTGCCCTTATTCTTGGGTTTAAAGAGGCACAATCCTTGAATAAATAAATTCACAGTTTGGGAATCTCTTGGGCAGGCTCAAATATGAAACTATACCATGCTTTCCTGAAAAGATGTTTTGACTAAATGCTTGCAGTCATGTTCTTTGAAATTCAATCTCCAGTCACTGGGTTCTTGATCTTCTTGCTAAGACTGATTTCCTAATGTGTTAAAGGCATTTAAATGGGAACTTTACCACATATATTCAGTATTTTGAGTCATTTGTGTGAAATAGCTTGCCTCAGGGAAAAGGCTACTTTGCAAGTGTTCTCTCTGTTGTGGCAATCGTCAAGTTTTTCAAAGCACTATTTCAAACAAACCTCCACCCAAAAATGACTCCACATGAAAAGTCACGATGTATGCACTTTTATCATGTGATGAAACATGAATTCGGCCCACAAGGCAAGTAATAGCTTTGAATGCTACACAGCTTTAAAAGGGAATTAGTAAAATTCATGAAGAATAGGTTTATCAATGACTTTATAGAACTCCTAAGTTCAAAGGCAGCATGTGACTAGCTACTAATGGCAAGAGAGCGGCCTTATACAAAGTCAAACCATTGGTTCATCAAGCTCATTATTGTTCACACTGACTAGCTATGCCACTCCATGGTTTTATACAGCAGGCATTCCCAGTCCTACCTGGAGATGCCAGGGACTGAACACAGAACCATCTGCATGCATGCACCCCACACCACTGAGCTGGAGCACTTCCCAAAACAGTACTTTTCAGCAGAGCAACACTGCATCCTCACAGATCCCATATTTTGTGAGTACAGACAATGCAAGACAGATTCATCTTATAGCTGCCTAAATTCCACTGATACATAGCAAGCAACTAGGGAGGACATTCTTGTAGCTAAATATTGTGTAAGAACCCGACCGTAACAGCTTACCTTTCCTGGTGACCCAGAGTGCCATTACCAGACAGAGCACCAGCTTAACTAATTCCGAGCACACATTCACAGTTGCAGGAAGATAATCATACTGGTTATCTGAGAAAACAGAGGGTATACAGTATGTTACAAATATCTACACCGAAAAAACTAGCAACAGGTGGCCTGTGTGTGCATGTATCTTCAACACAGATGCAGATGTAGGATTTGGAATACCAGCAACTGCTGCCTTCATTTTTATGCAACAACTAAGTTTTCATGCCATACAGCTGTGAAGAATGCATGAAAATATTCATGTTGTTGCTGTTAGAAAGCTTGGTAGATTTAAAAAAGGGCTTTGAGGTTCAAGGGGTAAGGCTTCTGTAGTCTACACATTGTCCTGCCTCCCCCAAATCACCATTATCATGCATCTCATGCTCTTTTACCCTTTTCCTCACAAGGAGCAGGTAAATATATCAAGTGACATAAAAGAAATGCTGGTAGTTCTGCTTGATATCACAGAAAAGTTATCTGACTACACAGAGGGCTTATTACAACTGATCTTCATGGCTCTGAAGAAAGAAAACAGATTGCCAGGTAATTCTGATTAAAAAATTAGGACTATTTACATTCCCTGATAATATTGTAGCCTCATGCTAGTAGAGAGCATGAAGACAGATAGCATGCTGATCAATCATGTTGTTATCCATATAGAATTAAATATTCAAGCATACCTTCATTGGCAGAGTATTTCATTAGAAGGATACGACTTGATCCCAAGGTAACAAAGGTACCTCCTAGAAGGAATGTATACATGGCTGGCTTGGCCCACCGGGCAGGCTGACTACAGCACCTGGACTCCATTCCACTGCCTTGTCATCAGTGCCCTTTGAACAGCAAAGCAAAAACTTATCAAGTACATCCTTTCAGAAAAACAGCAGCATCTGTTTTATTACTAGTGAACATGACAACACCCAATAGGCTATTAGTGCTTTGCTTTACGTAACCTGCATGAAATTGTGTTTTTTCTGTACATGCTTGAACAATATTCTGGAGGCCCTAATCTAATCTTCTTGCATTGCTATTCCAAATAAAACCATTAAAGCACCTGCAGAACTGAATGTCACAAACATTTTAAACTAAGATCCTAAGAACGTAAGAAGAGCCTTTCCTCACAGTGGGAAGCCCCAAGCAAGACCTGAGTGTAACAGCACTTTTTCCACTTGTGATTCCCAGGAACTGGTACTCCGAGGCATACTGCCTTTGAGAGCAGAGGCAGAAGATAGCCATTGTATCTAGTAGTCATTATTAGCCTTATTCTCCATGAATTTGTCTAAACCTCTTTCAAAGCTATCCATGTTGGTGGCATCACCCTATCTTCTGGGAATCAATTTAATAGTTTAACTATGTGCTCTATGAAAACAAATGCTTTTTTTTTTTTTTTGGCCAGTCCTGAATCTTCCAACGTTCGGCTTCACTGGATATGTCAGAGTTCCGGTCTTACAAGAGGAGAGTAACTCCTACCTATCCGCTCTCCATCATGTAGAAGGTTTATTAAGAAACTTCCCTTGTCTCAGCTGAATAAGCTGAAAGGCTTATGGCATCTGAAGCATTTTGAGACAAGAGCTCCAAATTATGCAATAATATTTAAAGAGTATGAAAAGTTTAGAATTTTACCTTCTTCTATGTAAGTAATGTTTTATTTTGGCATTTTCGTAAGTGATGAACAAAATCAACAATACAAACACACACAACAGCCCATCTAAGCATTTGTAAATCATCTGCAAATAAACAAAATCGGACAATAAAAACATAGGAGCTGGTGTAGCAAAAAGGGTATTTTTCTTTGCTCCTCCTACCTTCTGCCCTGGCTAGCAAGAGTGCAGGGCTCTGGAAGCGGCATCAGCTATGCCGCTGCATGAAGCCCTGCTGCTGACAGCCAGGGGTTGGATGGACAGGGATCCTAAAGAACATTATTTGATAATACCTGCCAAGTAAGGTCTAGGGAACTAAGTTATACCCCATTGCATTTTGCATAGGAAGAAAGGGAAACTCAACACATTATTTTAACAAATATAACTCCACATCCTCCAAATTCACACTATTGTTCTCCATTTCTCCCTCTTGCACACAGTTGTGTCTTTCCTCCTGAAAACTAGCTGAAATCAAAACTGCAACATCAGACCGATTGTTTCATAAACTGACTGAAATGAACAAATTGGCCAATCTTGTGCAGGTATGTGTAATAGAATAATAAGTAATTATCCTTTATATAGCACAGGTCAAGTGTTGAAAGAGCTTTAGATACCCTATCTCCGTTATCCGTACAACCTTCTAACATGGATTAGTATTATTATCAACTTATTGCAAAGAGTTTGTTGGGTAGGCGCTTTATAAGCAGCCCAACACATAGTTTCTGGCATAGCTTTATCTTCAATTGAGGAAAATCTTCACCTGTTACATTTCTGTATATGTAGCTGCTGTTAAAGGCACAGAAGACAAGCCGGCAGCCTCAACAGGCACCTTGAGGCTACAGGAAATCACAGCTTCCCTTCCCGGAATGATTATTATGTTTTTATATGTGTTGGAAGCGTCCCAGAGTGGCTGGGGCAACCCGGCCACATGGGCCGGGTATAAATAATAAAATTATTATTATTATTATTATTATTATTATTAATAATAATTATTATTATCCTGCAGCTGCGGTGAAATTTGAACTCGGGACCCTGGGCCTTCCTAGCCCACCTCTCGCACCTTCAGCCTCTCAGAGGTGTCGTTGTCTGACAGCTGTTGCTTTTCTCTTCATACATCCCTTTCCTCGCCGGCCCCAGCCTCTGGCCGCTCGCCCCTCACGCGCGCGCACAGAGCGCTCAGCCGCCGCCACTTCCTGCTCGATCACATGACACGAGCGACGTCCGAGAGGGAGGCGGTGCCATAGAGGTACGGTAATATTCATAGAGATAGGAAAGGTGAAGAGTAGCACATACAAAAAGTAACCGTGTTGAGGGAGACGGAATTGGGCAATACCGGGTTTTTGGGAGGGGGGCGATATTATTGATTCCTACTAATAAAGGTATCGCCCCACTGTGGGTTTTAAAACACACCAAAGCTGCTGTATGCATTGGGACCGGGAGCGCCAATAAGGATTGAGGTGCTACCGACGTGTGTGACCTGACTAGGGGAAGAAATAAAGTCGTGCGACTCTTTGTTTCCTATCTCTACGGGCGACTATCTCCGTCCGCAGCCGGGAGCCTTTTTCTTCCCCGCCCCTTCTTCGCGCAGGCGCAAGAGATACCTTTCAGGGCGCGGGACTCTGCGTCTGCCTCAGAACAGGACGGAGGAGGGAGTGTGTTGAGCGAATCCCGTGTCCAGGGGCCCCCCTCACGTGACTCCCTCCTCCGACCCTCATTGGAGGCACCGGGGGGGGGAGGGGGCGGAGTCCTGGGTGGCGGCGATCGCCTGGAAGGGAGGCAGGAAGCGGGGCGAGCAGTTGGGCTGGCTTTGCGGTTCGGTGGCCGGCGGCGGCGGCGAGAGGCGCCCACCTGGCCCCGCCCGCAGCACCGGCAGAATGCAGAGCGTCATTAACACGGTGAAGGGGAAGGCGCTGGAGGTGGCCGAGTACCTGACTCCGGTGCTGAAGGTGAGGCCCCTCCCTCAGCCCCCGGAATGGAGTGCGCGGGGCAGCAGCCGGAGGGAAGGGCGCGGGGGGGTCCCCGTTGTCATGTCGTTCCCATGGGGGGGGGGCCCGCTTTTTCTCCGCCCGCCCTCGCCAAAATAGCATTTCTGTCGGTGAGAAACCCAGAAGCAGCCCTCAAATAGGCAACCAAGAGCCTTGTGCAACCCTGAAGACTCGCGCGTTTTATTTATTTATAGTTTTACCTTGTAACTAAAAGGAGCCCCTGAAAGCTTTGTGCCAAAACGCCGACAACAAATCGGCAGTGCCAAGGCACCCTTTTCTGTTTCCCCTCACCACTGTTTTTGTTTTTTTGTTTTTTGCTCTCCCTGGAAAATGGCTACAGTGGATGGAAGCAGGCACCCTCCTCTGTTATATCCCCCTCTTAGGAGGAACGGCCCTTTATGTGACCCATAAAACCGTGCAGGTTGTATGTTTACCCTGCAGGAGCTGTCAAAGGTGGCCTGTCCTCCTCTCTGAAGGTGGCACGGCCTTGTTCTGTATGTCATGTGTTAACAGTGTGCTTACAGTGCACATTTTCTGTGCTGGTGGTGGGATGTTTTGCAATGGGTAACGGGTTATGTGTTTTGATGTGTTTCGCTGGCCTGTGAACAGGTATCCTGCAAAAGAACTGGTGCAGCACAAACTGAAATATGTTTGCTAAGTACAAAGGTCTTCCGTTACTGCTTCAGGTTTCTGAGGAATAAATGCACTCCAGAGCCATAAAGAATGCATGTCCCCCTGCTCTTACAGAACACTATTATGACAGCTTCTTTGGATAAGTGGTGCTGCTGTGTTGCATTGATGCATGGAGAAGGAAGGATACTTCTATCTCGTTTAGAAGAGACACTGTCCTTGGAGAAAACAGTAGAATAAGCATAATTTATTCAGGAGCCAGAGAAAGAATGGAAAAAATCCAGGTGGTGTGCGTATCTGGAGCCTAGAAGTTGTAACTTTTATGAATGGCTCTGCCCATAGTTGGCATTTTTAAAAGCAGATGTGGACTCAGTCCCCACAGCTCTCTGAATGATTGTCATTTTTTAACAGTTCTTCTTTAAACAGATGACAGATGGGAGTTTGTGATAATGTAGAACCAAGCAAATTAAAAGCTGAAAATATGTAAAGTTCAAGCTGCATGTTACATTGAATGCATTACAAGCAGCTATGCTTCTGTTTACAGTCATACCTTGGGATAAATTTGCTTCAAGTTAAGTATTTTTGGGTTGTGCTCCGCGGCGACCCGGAAGTAATGGAGCACGTTACTTCTGGGTTTCGCCGTGCGCACATGCGCAGATGGTCAAAATGACGTCATGCGTGGAAGCGGCAACACACGGATGTGGGTTGCATTCGCTTCAGGATGCGAACGGGGCTCCGGAATGGATCCCGCTTGCATCCCAAGGTACCACTGTATTCTTTACTTAATCATAGATGCTCACACTACTGTTATTGGAAGCACAGCAGATGGAGAATGGAATTTATCCCTTTCCTTCTTTGCTGTGACTCTGCTCCCAGAATGGACACCCTTCCTCAATGGCAAAAAGGAGCAGTAAAGACTCTTGGCACCAATGGGAACTTTTTTTAGGAACATTTGTAGCCATGTTGGGGGGCAGTTTTGTGGTGTTCACAGCTGGGTGGGAGGGTATAAACCTCCATTTAATGTTTGCTGTGCTCCTATCCTCCACGGCTTGAGACTGTCCCCCTCCCATAAAAGCATGACAAAAATTATTTTTAAATGTAGATGCTTATTGCCACTAAGTGAGAGATAATACTGTTGGAGCTCAAACAATATGTAAACATATTCTGTAAGTACTTAAATCAGTATACCTAGATCTGTTTCAAAATATACAACAGTAGCTTGTTTACAAATCTACAAAAGTTACAAACACGTGCAGTATGTGTGTTTTAAGACTAAAAATATATGTATATAAGAAATATGCTAGACCACTTTTAGGAACATAAGTTTAAGTATCCTAACTCAAAATTTGTCTTCATGAGCAGAAATGGAAATAACTCTGGCACCCTTGAGCTACGTATTACAGAATCCATCCTTTTTCTGCTCATCTAAAAGGTTCCATGGCTTCATCTGAATTTCCACTTTAGGATGTCCTAAAAATGAAGATAGAAAAATCCCAAAATTTTGTATTTGTGTGTTTCCTGCTTGTATTCTTAATATGGGCCAAATTTTATGCTTGCTGCAGATGATAGAGGGATTTAAAATGTGAATGGAAAGCAAGAGGCATAAGAAATGACCCTGGTCAAAGTTTGTAGTTATATAGCAGAGCAAAGTTTTTAGTGAATTTCTCATTCTACAGTAATCTTTGGTTTTCCCCACCCCACCCCAATTCTGGGCATGTTTCCCAACCAGACTGCAAAACTTGTCAGTGTATGTTTTGTTAATTTGGGGCAGTACTCAATTAAACAGTTACCCTAGTGCAGTGACTTTTAGCTGTGCAATGTACCACTCCCTCCTCACTCCCCATGAGCCCCTAAATCTGCTCCAGAGGCTGGGGGAACTCTAGGTGGTGCATGGAGGGCACATGGGAAGAGGAGAGGGGAGGATGGGGAAGTTACATTGTATAGCTAAAAGTTGGTGTTTAGTTGAATACTGCCCGTTATGTCTTGCCTTTAAGGATCTCAGGGTAGTATACACAAGGATATATAACACTATCATCATTTTATGAGGTAGATTAGACGCTTAGTAATATTGACTTGCCTGGCCTAGTTTGTCTTTATCCTGAGACCTTTACTTTCAAATCTAAAAAGTCATCTTTTTATTTTTCTTCTCTATTTTGACTGTAGGAATCAAAGTTTAAAGAAACTGGAGTTATCACTCCTGAAGAGGTATGTATACACTTGTCGGCTTGTTTTTCAAAGTAACTTTTTGAAAGTAGTAAAACAAGAAGTTCCTGTTGCAGAGTTTTCTAGTTCCTCTTAATGCAAACTACAATTGTGACAAAATGCCAGTATTTAGTCCATATTTTCTTGGAAAAGTCATTCACAATTGTGAACATACCAACCAGATCTCTGTACCCACTACAACTGAAATTGTATGTGCATACAAACTGGATTTTTCTCTGTAAAAATGCATCGGGTTGGGCTGCAAAACAGATCCCTTTTCTAGCTATTCTAAAATGCACGGTATTTGTAAGCTGCCTTGAGGGATGCTACAGACAAAAAGCTGAGATTTGTACACTTCTTAAATTAGTGCATCAGCTGTTCAAAAATGATTTTAAGTGGAAATGTGGAAATATTACAAAATTTGTAACTGCTTCCTCTTCCTGAGAGGTCTGCAACAGCAAACACAATAATATTTTCAAGTACTTGTTTAGCATCTATTTCAATCAGTATTTTCCTTGGCGTTCTTCTACTATGTTCTAGAGTTTTCTCAGTATATTGGTGCTCTTGTCTATGCAGCTTTCCTTGTAAATGAGGGACATTGTGTCCCCCTCACTAGTCTAGCTGTGGACTGTGACTAAATACCTGCATGTACCTTTCAATTTGGGTCGTGCTGTTATTTTATTTAAAGATTTATATGCTGCTTTTGAAACCAAACATTTTCACAAGCAGCTTACAATCAAGATCCTAAAAACACTTTAATTCCAGTAGCTTCAAAAATTAAACTAAAATCAGTAGCATAAAGAGATCCCAAACTATTACTATCACAAAACAGCTTTACCATTGAAAATCCAGTCCACACACTATTTTACTTAAAGACAGATTGAGATTAAAATGTCTATCAGAGTTGTCTAAAAGCAAATGGGTAAGGAGCAAAACGAAACTTCTTAGGAGGGAGTTCTAAGACGTGGGACCTGAAAAGGCTCTATCTATTGTACCCACCAATCTAATATATTTTTAATGGGCGCCCTGCAAATATGTACTTGTATCTGATCTTATGGCAAACAGTACTTCCAAGTACAGTGGTACCTTGGTAGTTGAACGGCTTGGCTTCCGAACAAATCAGCTCCTGGACACCGCAAACCCAGAAGTGAGTATTCCGGTTTGCGAACGTTTTTCAGAAGCGGAACATCCGATGCGGCTTCTGATTGAGTGCAGGAAGCTCCTGCAGCCAATCGGAAGCCGTGTCTTGGTTTTCGAACCATTTCGGAAGTTGAACAGACTCCCGGAACGGATTAAATTCGAGAACCAAGGCATCACTGTAATCTGGTCCCAAACAGTTTACGGCTTTAAAGCTGAATATCAGAATCTTAAATTGGGCCCAGAAGTGAATTATCAAACAGACTTCAGATTACGCGATCTAGGTCTTAATATTTTACCTTGGGACACTACTTATTTGAAAGGTGCTTGCAAAGTAAGTATGTAAGACTCGTGTAGCATGTGAAAGAAGGAGAAGACACAAGAGGTAGGGTTAAGAATTTTTATAGAAAGAAAATAGGCATGCCCAAGATTCACATGTCTGGTTTTTGGCCCCTGCCTTCACATACCACAAAATGGATGAGGCAGAACTTATTTTTTTTTTTTACTAAAGCATGGTCAGTTGCAAATGCAGAAGAAAGTAATTGCTCATGACTGTGATCTAGAACATTTCCAATGATGTTACAAATAGCAGGAATACAGAAGTTTGCACTGAACTTAAGAGGCCTTCCCTGTTTTCTTTCCCCTTTTTAAAAAGGAAACTGATTCGTCCAGTTTTGGCATAATATTTGTTTCTACTGTATTACAATTCTTTTCAAAGGAACACCAGTACCTGAAGCTTATGGGAGATCTTGCAAACCTTTTTCTGCCACCCGAAATACAAACTTGTTCAGCAAAAAAAAAAAAAAACTTCTAAAAATTGAATGCTAGCAATTAAGGCTAGATTTTTTGACCTTAATTCCTAAATGTTGATGGAGTGGCAGATTTTTACTGCAGAGGGATTCACTGATAAGAATTTAATCTTTGATGGCAGTGCTTATGGGTTCTTTTTAATCTGTCTTCAAGTTATTATATGAAGCCACTGAATACTTACGTTCCATGCTTGGCTAACCAGGAAACTTGCATCAATAAAATAATTTAGCTCCCTCTGCTTGCCTGATTTTTAGACTGGACCTTCGCTGCTTTGAACTTAACACAGTGTGCATAACGGAAAACACATCCTAACAGTAACAAAATTCTCCCCTCCCCATCTTGTTATTTCAGCAAGATGTAAAGATATAGGGTTATATTGAGTGCTGCTGTTCTGTTAGCACAGCAGACTTCTGCTTGTGCAGTGGAACTTCCCACTCCTCCACTGCCATCCACACACCCTCAAAATCTGCTCCAAAGTGTTGAACGATTCCCCAAAACAGATTTGGGGAGCATGTAGGGGAGGAAGGGAAGGGGAAGTCCTGCACTACTTGAGATACAACCTGAAGACTTGTTTGAAGATGGATCAGTTAACTATTGTGGTTAGCTAAGCATTTCTACTTCTCCTCTGTTCTGACAGTCCACTAGATTTTCCTAGTAGTTGTTTATTTAGTGCAGATATAAGTGGCTGTTGCTCACTGTCCCAAGAAGTTGACACTGCAATAAATATTTAATATATTAAAGATGGTTTTTCTGTCATTCTGTCTCTAGAGAGAGAAGAAAGAACCTTGCTTAGATGTGACTATTTGTGATGGTGATTATTTAGTGCATGCTTCGTTTTGGCTTTCATCACTATATTTTTGGAGCATGTCTTGTGGCTGTATGCCTTTAAAATATTTAGTGTGTAAATGCCAGCTGTTGCACTTGGCTTGTGGATCATCCCATTAACAATCTATCCAGGAATCCCATTCCAGTTGGCAAGTTAATTGCGTGACGGTCCCATTCAGACAAAATATTTTCTTGCATATGCATCTGCAGAAATTGTTCTAGGAGCAATTGTCTCTGAATTGGGAAAGACAAATTACTGAGCTGGTATCAGTAGGATTTGATCTCACACTTACTCTATACAGCTATAAGTCATGATGTTAAGGCTACTGAGGCTGGTGAAACTCTGTATATATCAGATATTTTTCAGCCTTCTTCTGTTTTGTGTTTGGCAGTTTGTGGCAGCAGGAGACCATTTAGTTCACCACTGTCCTACTTGGCAATGGTAAGTAAGATTCTACAAAAACCACCTCAAAAGAATACATAGGGATGGGTAGCACATTCACTGTCTGGTGATTGTGAATGTGCACGTATTTCCCACTGCGTGTGAGAGAGAAACTATACAAAGACTCCTGATTTGTATAATTCTTCCCCCATCCCACCCACTTTTTTTGAGAAGGTGTTGCAGAATGGACTTGAGCATGTGTAGCTTTACTTCGCAGTTGTACACCATTACTTGAGTGTATTTGCTCCACCCCTAAACATTGCCGTGATACATAATAGACAAGGTCTAAATCCTTGTAAGAAGTCAGCTAGTTTCCTGTCTTGGCAAAGGTTCTTCACTTAATCAGAAGTTCTACATTCATTATAATGTGCAGAGTGAAGACCTTTGACTTCTGAACATAAAACATGGACACTTGAAATTGCTCAAGATATGTGTTGTATTTTTTGTGAGCTTGTACTGACTTCATTTTCAATTTAGCTTTTAAGATTTATCAGGATACAAAGGCAAATATTTAATATACCAAAAGAGGGTTTTTTATGTATAGTTAGTGAAACATTTTGCATTAGCCGCACTTTAAAGGTGTTTTTTAGGATTAGAACAATGGTAGGATTGAAAAATGCCTATCTGTCTACAACTTGTAACAGGCTTTGAGCAGTTCCTTTGGTTTGAGCTCATAGAAGCCCCTTGTCTCCTTCCTGCAACAGATACAATAAGCTTGATGCACTGCATGTTGTAAAAGGGGAAGCAGAAGAAATGCAATTCTGAGAATGCTCTTATCATTTAACAGAAGTGGAAATGCAGACTGGGATTGCATGTACTAGACAACTAGGTGTGTCTTCCAAAGGGGAAAAACTACTTGGGTAGTTTGCTCTTTCCTTCCTCCCCCCTCCTCCCCCCTTTCTGTGCCACAGGGCAAATAATCTTTGAAACTGGTCAGAGTGTTTTTGTTTCTGCTTTAGCAGAAACATGAGTCTGTTGCATAAGAGCCAGAATTGGTCTCTGATTGTCCGCAGCTTTTCACAGCCTTACTTCATATTTTTAAGGGCTACAGGAGAAGAATTAAAGGTCAAGGCATATCTCCCAACAGACAAACAGTTCTTGGTCACTAAAAATGGTAAGTTTGGCACTAGTGCTGTGATTGTGACTGAATATGCACCAGCCACAGCCCTGCAGATGTATCTTTACTTTCATACTTGCTGTTGAACCACCTTTGATAGGCGTTCACAGTTTTATATCTTGAGAGTCGCTATGTGAACTTTTGAGATCCTTAGCCTCTTTCTGTGCATGACATGGGTAAGCAAACTGTGCTTGTGGTATGGATTACTTGTATGAGTAATTTGGTGCTGTTCTGTAAACATCTTTATGCAGTGCATAATGTAGTCCAGATGTGTTGGACTACAGCTCCATCATCCCTGACCACTATGGGGTAGGCTGGCTTGGGTGACTCGATTGGTGAGGGACAGCAGGTTGAGATTGGTGAGGCAGCAGGTTAGACTAGAGGCCTGAACAATTCTTTCAATATCTGCTTCTGTCTTGATCCAAAACAACAAAACTGAATGAAGCTGATAAACATGTACTTTATTTTTATTTTTTTTAATATAATATTTATTGGTTTTACAAAAAAAAAATTCCAAAAGATGCAAAAATACAAAAATTCGACAAACAGAAAACAACCATAACAATAACAAAAAGCAAACAGAGATAACAATATCCATAACAAAAAAAAGAAAAGAGAAAAAAAGAAAAAGAAACAGAAAAATTTAAAAAGTATTATACTTTCATTTAACCTTCTTATCATTACCTAATTCTTTGACTTCCCCACATCTCCCCGCTTGTATTTCCATTTAAGAACTCCTTTCAGCAAATCCTTACCCTCCTTTCTTTATCTTAACTCAAAAAGTTAATCTATTTATATATAAATATTACAACTTTATCGATCAAATATTCCATGCTCTTAATCACAAGGCTTTTGCCAATACCAGTTATTTTCAATCAGACCTCAATTTAACATTCATTAATTTTATAGTATTTCTGTAGATAGTCTTTAAATTTCTTCCAATCTTCTTCCACCGACTCTTCTCCCTGGTCACGGATTCTGCCAGTCATCTCCGCCAGTTCCATATATTCAATTACCTTCATCTGCCATTCTTCCAGAGTGGGTAAATCTTGTGTCTTCCAATACTTTGCGATGAGTATCCTTGCTGCTGCTGTTGCATACATAAAGAAAGTTCTGTCTTTCTTTAGCACCAATTGGCCAACAATGCCCAAGAGAAAGGCCTCTGGTTTCTTTAGAAAGGTATACTTAAATACCTTTTTCAACTCATTATATATCCTTTCCCAGAAGGCCTTGATCTTTGGGCACGTCCACCAAAGGTGAAAGAATGTACCTTCAGTTTCCTTACATTTCCAACATTTATTATCGGGCAAGTGGTAGATTTTTGCAAGCTTGACTGGGGTCATGTACCACCTGTACACCATTTTCATTATATTCTCTTTTAAAGCATTACATGCTGTAAACTTCGTACCTGTGGTCCATAACCGTTCCCAGTCAGCAAACATAATGTTGTGTCCAACATCCTGTGCCCATTTAATCATAGCAGATTTTACCGTTTCATCCTGAGTATTCCATTTTAGCAGCAAGTTATACATTCTTGAAAGTGTTTTAGTTTTGGGATCTAGCAGTTCTGTTTCCAACTTTGATTTTTCCACCTGGAAGCCAATTTTTCTATCCAAATTGAAGACCTCTCTTATTTGGTAGTAATGCAACCAGTCTCGCACTCTATCTTTTAATTTTTCAAAACTCTGCAATTTGAATTTATCTCCTTCTTGTTCCAAGATCTCCCAATATTTTGGCCACTTGGCCTCCATATTGGACTTTTTTAGGGCCTTTGCCTCCATTGGTGATAGCCACCTCGGGGTTTTATTCTCCAATAAGTCTTTATATCTTATCCAGACATTGAACAATGCTTTCCTGACAATATGATTTTTAAATATTTTGTGAGCTTTAACCTTGTCATACCACAAATATGCATGCCACCCAAACACATTATTGAAACCTTCTAAGTCCAAAACATCAGTGTTTTCCAGAAGTAACCAATCCTTCAACCAGCAGAAAGCTGCTGATTCATAATAAAGTTTAAAGTCTGGCAGGGCAAATCCCCCCTCTTTCTTTAGCATCAGTCAATATTTTAAATTTTATCCTGGGCCTCTTGCCCTGCCAGACAAACTTAGAGATATCTCTCTGCCACTTCTTAAAACAGTCCATTTTGTCTATTATTTGTATCGATTGAAACAAAAACAGCATTCTTGGCAATACATTCATCTTGATGACAGCAATTCGACCTAACAAGGAAAGCTTCAAATTTGTCCATATTTCTAAATCCTTTTTAATGTCCGACCAACACTTTTCATAATTGTCTTTAAATAAATTCCCATTTTTAGCTGTCATGTGAATCCCCAAATATTTCACTTTTTTTACTACTGTTAAACCTGTCTCATTCTGAAACCTCTCTTTTTCGATCGGTGTTAAATTCTTCTCAAGTACTTTAGTTTTAAACTTATTCAGCTTAAAACCTGCCACCTGACCAAACTCTTGAATCAGTTCTAATGCTCTTTTCGTACTAGATTCTGGCTCCTGTAATGTCAGTACAAGGTCATCTGCAAATGCTTTCAGTTTATATTGTTTCGCTCCGACCGTTATACCCTTAATCAAATGGTCCCTTCTTATCATATTTAACAAAACCTCCAGAACAGAAATAAAAGTAATGGGGAAATTGGGCAGCCTTGTCGTGTCCCTTTCTCTATCTTAATTTCCTCTGTTATCACATTATTAACTATTAATTTAGCTTTTTGTTCTGAATAAATTGCATTTATACCATTTTCAAACTCTTGGCCTACCCCCATCCCCTGAAGATTTTTCTTCATAAAACTCCAAGAAATATTGTCAAAGGCTTTCTCTGCATCCACAAAAATCAAAACTGCTTTAGTATTGATCTCCTCTTGCAGCTTCTCCAGAATATCAATTATGTTCCTTGTGTTGTCCGAAAGATGTCTATCTGGAAGAAAGCCGGCTTGGTCCTTGTGAATCACTCCTTTTAGCACTTTTTAAGCCTTTTTGCTAAGATGTCAGCAAAAATTTTGTAATCCACATTTAACAGGGATATGGGCCGGTAGTTCTTAAGCTGTGTCTTTTCAGTCTCAGCCTTTGGTATAAGTGTAATAAATGCGTCTTTCCACGACTCTGGCGCTCTTTTCCCCTCTAAAATTTCATTACAAACCTCAGTTAATGGTCGAATTAACCAGTCTTTCAAAGTTCTGTAATATTTTGAGGTTAAACCGTCCGGTCCTGGAGATTTTCCCAACTGCATATTCTGAATGGCACCTTCAACCTCCTGTTCTGTAATTTTATAATTCAACAATATCTTGTTATCCTGAGAAATTTTGTGTAATCCATTGGTTTTCAAAAATTGCTCTATCTCAAATTCTTTCTGAGGCCCTTGTGTGTATAATTGTTTGAAATATCTCTGGAAGCATTTCCTAATTTCTTCTGGATTCTGGATATTTTTCCCTTCCACTTCCAAATTAGTAATAGTATTAAGTTTTTGTCGTTTCTTCAACTGCCAAGCCAGCAATTTCCCACATTTATTTGCCGATTCAAAAGTCTTTTGTCTCATTTGTTTAATTTTCCATTCCACTTCTTGATTTATCAATTTCATATATTGCACTTGGTGCAATTTTATTTCCTCATACTCTCTTGTGAATTGGGCTTCACTCTCAGTTTCTTCTCGCCCTCCTTTATTTTTTCCAGAATTTTTTCCTTCTTTACGTTTTGGGCCTTCTTCTTAATTGAATTCTGTTGAATCAGGAAGCCCCTCATAACAGCTTTGCTTGCGTCCCAGATTACTCTTTTTTCTACAGCTGTATTCAAGTTTATCTCAAAATAGTCCCTCAATGTCTTTTGGGCCTTCTTAATCACCTCCTGATCTCTAAACAAGGTGTCATTCATCCTCCATCGGAAGGAACCAGTAGATGTTAACTTCATCTCCATTCTCACGGCGTTATGGTCGGAGCATATTTTTGGGCAGATCTACATGATAAACATGTACTTTATGCAAAACTGAGAGAACATTCAAATACTGTACCAGTTCTTTATGATTATGTCATACTTAGGAAATAGTATAATAGGGCTTTACCCACCTTACAATACATATGCTGATCCTTAGGTCTTCTGCTTTTAAGCAGCAGTTCCTCTATGTGATGCTGAATCAAATGCTTCAGTAAAATTCAGGAAGGCACTTGCCCTTAATGCGTATAAGTTTCAAGTGACATCTGTACTGCTTGCTAAATGCTTTCAGTGTATTTTAGCTCCTAGCTAAGTTAGTGTCTGTTTTGTGCCTGGATACATTTGGATTCCCCAGAGCAGTAAGCTTCGCTTAAGACTAAACCCATTCTTCAAAAACGTGTGCTGAGATTTGTGAAGTGTATACGTTAACCTCCAGTTCTGAAAACCCTGGGAGAATTTATCTCCAGCTGATTTTGTGAATGAACAGTGTTCGCTGTTTTTTGTAGTGCCATGCTATAAGCGATGTAAACAAATGGAGTATTCGGATGAACTGGAAGCCATTATAGAAGAAGATGATGGGGATGGAGGATGGGTGGACACATATCACAATGCAGGTATTGTGTATTTGTCTTGTATATTAAACTTATAAATGCCCAGCTTGCGGCCTCTATTCTCATGTACTCTGAATAATGCTCTAGAACACATAAGTGTCCAGACCTGGAGACCATCTTCAGATTTTAGTTTTCCTCACTGAATCTCGATCCTTAAGCATTAAAAAAAGCAGCCATTGAAAATTATGAGTCACAGTTGCCATCACCCAGGGTTTGGGGTGGGGAGCAGCTGTTTCTGGAATCAAAATATTAGCAGGTTTCTCCCTAGTTCTGACTATATCTGTGCTCTTTACAGGCATTACAGGAGTGACAGAATCCATTAAGGAGATCACACTGGAGAGCAAGGTATTAACTTGTGAATCTGTGGCTAATATGCTGATGGGTAATACAAAGTGAACCCTGGGCTTTTTTTCAGCCGGAACTTGCTGGAACCCAGTTCTGGCACCTCTCAGGTGGGCACCATTGCCATTCTAAGAGAACAAGGGAGGTGTTCACGGTGAGTTCCGGCACCTCTTTTTCTAGAAAAATAGCACTGAATAAACCTAACAACTTGGTATGCTTGTTGGCGTAACTGCTCTCCCCGAAGAAAAAAATATTTTCCCTGTTATGTCTCTAGTGAATGGGAACAGTAGGTTAGATGCCTAATATGAACCACAGCAGTAAATCCCCTGCATACTTCTGGATTGAGGGAGGCACTCTTCTGTAGATTAAATGCAAGCATATTCGTGAAAACAAACTCAGGAAAGTTTTTGAAGCCCACAGTTAACAGAGCCATGTTATTTAGGTTGGCTAATGTGAAGGTAGCCAGCCAGAGCAGTGCAGAGATTTAAAGCACATTTTTGTCCTTTCGTTTTGGCGGCTGGTTTAGATAGTTGAGCAGCTAATTTGTGGTTACATTGCAGCCCCCAAATTGCTGGTTACCTAGCGCAGGGATGGGACTCCTGTGGCTGTCCAAGTGTTTTTATTTATTTATTAAATTTCTATACCACCCTTCGTCCGAGAATCACAGGGTGGTTTACAGTATAAGGGCACAAACAAACATACATAGCATAGTAACAGACAAAAGCGACAAACCTTCCCTCCTTCAGTTTAAAAGGCTATAGATTGGCCTGGGAGAAGAGTAGAGGAATGTTTTCACTGGCACCAAAAGATATGTAATGATGACGCCAGGCAAGCCTCCCTGGGGAAGGCATTTCACAAATGGGAGCCACCACAGAAAAGGCCTGTCCTCACGTTGTCACTCTCTGGATATGTCATGAAGGAGGCATATGGACACAAGTTGCTGGCCTGCAACTGCCCTTATCCCTGACCATGGGCTGTGCTGGTTGGGGCTGGTGGGAACAGAGTCCACAGGTTTCCCATCCTTGACGTAGACTGCTCAAATGAGGGAATGGTTAAGTTTACCCTTGTTCCATCTTATCTAGAAATGGCTGGACTGAGTTGTGCTTATGCTTGGCAAAAATGCTTCATTCTTATGCAAAACATTTCTAATTTTCCCAAAAGAGAAAATGTATTCAAGAGTGGTAAAGTTTGCAAGCTTTGTGGTTGCTGTCTTCAGTTTTATCCCAGCCAGGGTGTGCAGTCTCTGATGCAGCATAGGAATGTGAGGTCACCACTTTTAAAAAGATACGGCATGCTTTGAGAGGGCTGTACAATTTGAATTTTAATTGAAAAACTAGCTATAACTCGTTGCATCAGATTTCATTTACAGCAGGGCTTTACTGCCATACAATATTTTCGTATACCTTCATGATGATCAAGAAACAAGCTTTATTGACACATTTATTGGTACGTTTTTGGTCCCACAGCGAGTGGCCAGTTTGCAAGTTAGTGGAGTGATTCAGTCTCCCCATTCATGGAATTGCTGAGTGATCTCTTAAGTTTGATGCATGAATGCTCTAGTCAGGAACACTGAAACAGTACATTGCTTTTTCTTGTCTTCAAAGGACAATACAAAGTTACCAGAGCGCTCAGGGTCTTGTGATGATGAAGATGATGATGAGGGAGAGGCAGCTGATATGGAAGGTAATGGCCACTCACTTGAAGGAATGCTTCACTAGATCATGTTGTTGTTAGGTATGAAGCAGAAGCAAAACAATAATGTTGCCATCATTGCACTTTTGAGGCCATTTTGTGCAGGGAATTCTTTCTGCAGAAGATGCCTTCCTGTGTAGCGTTGCAAACTTCACTGCAGTTATTTAAATTCATGAAACAGTCCCTTGAGGTGGAGGGGGATTGGTTGTTGCTCTTGTGGACAAGAAGCAATAAATTCAAACTGAGACTCCAAAGATAAGCTGGGAAGAATTTTGTAAACGTTGGAACCCAGTTGAGAAAGGAGAAAGTACTGGGGAAACTTTCTTAATGGAGGTCTTAGATGAGAAGGAGGTTAGATGAATTTTTAATGGGTTTCATCTGTGTAGATTTAATTCTGAGGCAAGAGGTTTGATTGGGAGTTACTCATCACTTCCAGTGAGGTGTAGAGACTAGAGCAGGGGTCTGCAAGGTTTACCTTGCCTGGGTCGGTTCACTTAAGCAGAGATTCCTCCGTGGGGTGGATCACGCATGAGCGCACCCGTGATTTCCTGCGCCTGAGCACCCACAATTTCCTGCGCAGACACGATTTCCGGCATCTGTGCAGATGCAATTTCCCGTGGTGCGGAAGTGAGTCCCTGCGCCATGCCGGTTTAGCACAGTGCACTGGGACTCGCCGGGTAGCTCGGATCTGGGGCGGCTCGTGGGCCGGTTAAATGATCCCCGTGGGCCGCTTGTGGCCCATGGGCCTTAGGTTGCAGACCCCTGGAGTAGAGTATTGGACTCAAATGTAGGCAATCAGATTCAAATACCTGCACAGTTGTGAAGCTCTCTTACTTCATCACAGGGTTATGGTGAAGTTAAAATGCCTCTTGGAACCCCTTGCAGGAAAGAGTTACAGTACTTCCTTCATGAAGCAATAAATTTAAAAGTAATATATTCAAAGAGTCACTCACTGGAGTTGAGAGTACATGGAAGAAATTTGTGTTTCTACATTGTGTTATGTAAGATGGAATGTAAGTGATACAAAACTAGCCCAAGATTATTTTTGTCTTGTTCCATCCAAATAGTCATGATTCTACTAGCCATCCTGAGTGTCTTGAGGAAAGGTGGGGTGCAAGTGTGAAAGACTGATAATACCTTCTTATTTTCAAATTTCTCTACCAGTAGTCGTAACGAATCAATAAGAGGAACTTAAAAGACGTAGTCATCAATTACTATAATCACACAACTGGTCTGACAACTCAGCGGCATTCTGATGAGTAGGGCACAATACTTCCAAGGGACAGGTTAGGGGAAAAGAAGCTAAGAAAGCCAACCTAGTAGAAAGGATGATACCAAGACAAATTAAAATAATGACAATTACACTGTAGTCTTAAGAGAGAGAAATGGCATGCCATTTGGGGAGCCGTCTGGAGCAGATTTTGGGGGCACATGAAGATGAGGGTGAAGTGCCTCGAGCTTAAATCTGCTCACACAAATTTGGATTCCATCTAATCTCTACTAATCACTTGTCTGTGGTCATTAACAAATACGGAAAAAAGATGCCAAGAGGACAGAATTGGCCCCTTTTAAGTTTTGGAACGCACAAGAAAAGTATATGCTCCTAAATATAAAAACTAATTCAAGAAGTAACTGTAGGTGTACTGCTAGGAAATATAATCAAATTCATAATCTTCATACAGAAAAAAATGGTAAAATTCCACCATAGAATATATTTATATTTACAGGGGGAGCTATACCATAAAGCTCCTTTGAACCATGAGTGGTTTTTCAACCACACTTTCCCTTCTTTTCCTTTTCTCAACTCTCTATAGTTTGATTGGGCTCCTCTATCTTAACCTACACTGCTCCTTTTCTTTCACCCTGATTTTGCTTGCCTCTTGGGCACTCTACCCAGCCCTCAGCCTGCCTGCTTTTTCCTACCACCCTAACACACAGAATGTTTGTCAGCATTCTGTGACAACATAGCAGCTTATCCTGTGGGTGGGGTGACAACTGGTTATGTGCACCTCAATATAATTTAATGTTTATATTGAGGAATGCATTCTTTGTTACAGCATACACTGCAAAGTGTATTTTTAAAAACTTGATAACTTCATTCTTAATCTGCAATTTCCTTGAACACCCTGGGCACACATAAATATTTAACAAAAGCAGTAAATAGTAACATGATCTTTTTATCTCCTTTCAGATTATGAAGAGAGTGGGCTATTGGAGACAGATGATGTAAGTGCACTGTGTTCATTGGGCAGCAGCAATGTCTTTTCTGACTTCAACATATGTCAAGTAGCATATTCTTTTAAAAACTGCATGTGGACTTCATATGTATATTTTCATTAAAAACTAACCACCAATTCAATGAAAAGATTTTATACCACCACCTAATGCCTGTAGTCATTGAATTTGGTGGGGAGTGGGCAGCAGCTGACATTTTAAAGCTATCAATTTATTTCTTAAAATCTTGAGCAGGCAACATTGGATACAAGAAAAATAGTGGAAGCTGCTAAGGCAAAAGCTGATGTTGGAGGAGGAGGAGGAGAAGAAGAAGCTATCCTACAGACCAGGACGTATGACCTTTACATCACATATGACAAATACTACCAAACACCAAGGCTCTGGTTATTTGGTTATGATGAGGTACAACATTCTTTTTTCCTTATTTGAATCTATTCAGAGCTCAGTAGTGCAATAAAATTGGTAATAAGTTATGGCAAGGGGCCTCAGACATACTGTGTCAAAGATCATGCAGCCTTCTGCAAACAAATGTAAACAAGCTTTCTTTGGTGTCGCTCTTGCATGAAGCTTACTTTTGTGGTGTGCACGGGAAGTCAGCAAGAAAATAACAGAACTTGTTTCTTGCACTCAGCTCCCTGTTGACCAAATACATATTTTTTATTTTTGCAGTTCCAGTGTGCTTTGACTATATGTGATTTTGGCTGTAGGCACAATCCGTAGAACGTAACCCCCACCTAAGTTGCAGGCTTACTGTATGAGGCTTGCAAAGCAAGTTCTGTTTTATGTTGTTGTTATTAATTTCATTTTTATACTGCTTTACTTTTTATGGGGGGAAATCAAATTAGTTAATGATGATGATAATTTTATTATTTGTACCCGCCTATCTGACTTGATTGCCCCTGCCATTCTGGATGGTTTCCAGCAGATATAAAAACATAATAAAACACCAAACATTAAAACTTCCCTATGCAGGGTTGCCTTCAGTTGTCTTCTACAAGTTGTATAATTATTTATCTTCTTGGCATCTGATGGGAGGGCGTTCCACAGGGCAGGCATCACTACTGAGAAGGCCCTCTGCCTGGTTCAGTATAACTCCTTGCTGTGAGGGAAGCACCAGAAGGCCCTTGGAGCTGAACCTCACTGTCAGGCTGAACAATGCGGAGTGGAGATGCTCTTTCAGGTATACAGGGCCAAGGTGGTTTAGGGCTTTAAAGGTCAGCAACGGCACTTTAAATTGTGCTCGGAAACATATGGGAAGCGATGTAGATCCTTTAAGACCAGTGTTACATGGTCCCAGCGGCCACTCCAAGTCACCAGTCTGGCAGCTGCATTCTGGATTAGTTATAGTTTCTGAGTCACCTTTAAAGGTAGCCCCATGCAGAGTTGTGCAAATGGGAGATAACCAGAGAACACTAAAACAACACACTAAAACATCAAATAAAGCAATCCAGAATAAAACACTATTTGCTTGGCTGAAATTCTTTGTTTAATTACAGAGAAGGAATCTTTGCAATTTGTCTTTACTTCTCTCTCTCTCCCTCTCTCTCTCTCTCTCTCTCTCTCTCTCTAGCAACGACAGCCATTAACTGTAGACTATATGTATGAAGATATTAGTCAAGACCATGTCAAAAAGACTGTGACAATTGAAAACCATCCCCATCTTCCTCCACCTCCAATGTGTTCAGTTCATCCGTGCAGGTATGCTTCAGTCTGCATTCTAACAGCATATGAATTTACTAACATATGAAAATATGTTATACTAGCATATGAAAATATTCATGAAAAAAGTTTTGGTGGATGAAATGTGTTTTGTATTCTGGCCACTTTTTAGCATCTTTTTATTCTTTATTGTATTCTTTATTGGTCTTAAACTCTGAAACCCTTTTCCCCAGCACTCAGTTCAAACTGCTCTCATTCAAATTTATTGGGTCTGTTACATAGTGCGCAGTGTCATTTGAGCGGACTTCCACTCATGCAATGGAAAGTCCTCTTCTTCTCTTTCTCTGTCCCCTGCAACTCTCTAGCCCATCCTGCATGTGTTCTTAAAGGGTCTCCCAGTCTCTGGAGTAGATCTTGGGTGTTTTAGGGAGCTGCATGGAGACAGGAAATCTCTTCTGCTAGTGGGTGGATGCTGTTGGATTTTGCCCATTGGACTTTGATGGCTGGGGGTCTTGCCAACGAAAAGTAAATTTTCTGGTTTTTTTCCACTTTTCAAACTCTCCACAAGGTGTCAGGCAATGGTCCTGGAAATGAGAACAGTTGTCATGCTTCAAGCTGCAATCTCAGGCTCTGCTACTTGGGTTTCTTTGTTTTACTTAAAAAAAAATCTTTTCAGGCTGTCTGTTTACACAAAACGTCACACTTTGCTATATGTACAGAACGTGCATTTGTCTTCACTCTAAAGCCCTAATCTTCTTTTTTTTTTTTTTTTTTTTTTTGCAAGTAAATTTTTATTCAGAATTTGTATAAAGAAAAGAAAAAAGAACTAACAAATACAAAAATAAACATTTTAACATAAATTATTCATCCTATTTTCATACTATACAAAAAGAAAGCATATGTTCATACAAAGATAATAATATAACCATTAGGCTCTCCTTAGCCTTTGACTTCCCTTCACCCTTTTGGTAAGTATCAAATAAGTCCCGGGTTGCGTAATTAGTTTATTAAAGTTTATAGTTATTAGCTGATAAAGTTTTTCTAATACCGCCAGTTCCTCCTATATATCCGTTCCAATATATTTCCAAAACTTACTCCAATTTTTTGAAATTTCTGGTCGTCTTGGTCTCGTATTCTGCCTGTTAATCTATCTAGCTCGGCATAGTTGATCATTTTGACCTGCCAGTCACTTATGTTAGGAATAGTTTCTATTTTCCAGTTTTGTGCCAGCATAATTCTTGCGGCTGTGGTGGCATAGAGAAATATTTTTTATCTTCATTTTTATTTCCTTACCCATTATTCCCAGCAAAAAGGCCTCAGGTCTCTTGGGAAAAGTGTATTTAAAAACTTTTTAAGTTCATTATAAATTGCTTCCCCAAAAACCTTCACCTTGCTGCATTGCCACCACATATGGTAGAGGTCTCCCTCCCCTTCACCACATTTCCAGCATGTCTTATTTTCTGATCTATAGATTTTAGCCAATTTTGCCGGCGTAAGATACCATCTATAGAGCATTTTCCAAACATTTTCTCTCAAACTCGTACAGGCCGTAAATTTAATGTCTCTATTCCACAATTTCAACCACTTTTCAAACTCGATGTTATAACCGAAGTCAATTGCCCATTTAATCATTGCCTCTTTGACTTCCTCGTCTTTTGTATGCCATTCCAGTAATATGTCATATAATTTAGACAATGTTTTGTTTTTGCCTTCTATTATTTCTATATTGAATTTTGATTTCTTGTCCTCAAAGCCCATTTTTCTTTTATCTTGTTTTAACATATCATTCACCTGATGATATTGTAACCAGCCGGTGAATTGATCCTTTATTTCCTCATACGGTTTAAGTTTAAGCCCTTGTTCTGATTTTCTTAGCAAATCTTCGTAGGTGGCTGTCTTCCCTTCCATGTTGGTTTTTTTTATTGTTAAGACCTCTACTGGTGAAATCCACCATGGTGTTTTTCTTTCGAGAAGGTTCTTATTTCTTTCCCAGACCTGATATATTGGTCCCCTGAAAATATGGTTTAAGAAAGCCCTGTGGACTTTCACCTTCTCGTACCAGAGATATGCGTGCCACCCATACCGGTTATTGAAACCTTCTAAATCCAGTAGGTCTCTGTTCTCCAATTTTATCCAATCTTTTAACCAAAGTAGGCACGCTGCTTCATAATATAGGCTCAAATCTGGGAGGGCAAAACCTCCTCTTTCCTTTTTATCAATTAGTATTTTCATTTTAATCCTTGGTCTTTTCCCCTGCCAGATGAATTTCATCAGGGTTCTCTGCCATTCTTTACATTGTTTTAGACCTTTAATAACTGGAAGAGTTTGAAATAAAAACAACATCCTCGGCAAAACATTCATTTTAACCACTGCTATCTTCCCTAAAAAGGAAAATTTCATCCTCCCCATATTTCCAGATCTTTCTTTATTTTTTTCCATGTAACTTCATAATTATCTTTATATAGGTTTATGTTTTTGCCGTAATCCACACTCCCAAATATTTCACTTTTTTCACCACCATGATTTCCACTTTTTGTTCTAGATCTTTCGTTTCTTCCTTAGTTAGATTTTTAACCAGCATTTTAGTTTTATTCTTGTTTACCTTAAAACCTGCCACCTCTCCAAATTCCTCCAGTTTTTGTAATGCTTCTTTTACACTATCTTGTGGATCTTCCAAAGTCAAAACAATATCGTCGGCAAAGGCTTTAATTTTGAATTCCTTCTTTCCTACTCTAATTCCTTTCACTTCTGTTGCCTCCCTCAGTCTCTTATTAAGTACTTCCAAAATTACAATAAATAATAAGGGGGACAGGGGCAACCTTGTCTGGTCCCTTTATAAATGTTAAAATATTCTGTTGTATTGTTGTTTATCACCAGCTTTGCTTTCTGTTCTTTGTATATTGCTTCTATGCCTCTTCTAAATTTTCCGCCAATTCCCATCCTTTCCAAAGCCTTCTTTAGGAAGTTCCAGGAAACATTATCAAATGCCTTTTCGGCGTCTATGAAAACCAGTGCGGCTTTTCTGTCTATTTTCATGTCCAGGTATTCAATAATGTCAATCAAATTCCTTACATTATCCCGTGATTGTCTCCCTGGGAGAAATCCTGTTTGATCACCATGAATTTTATTAATCAAGACCTTCTTTAATCTTTCCGCCATTATGTCTGCAAATAGCTTATAATCATTATTTAATAATGAGATTGGCCTATAGTTCTTTACTTCCATAGTGTCCACCTCTTTTTTAGGGATCAATATAACATAGGCTTCCTTCCAGGTATTAGGTATCTTTCCTTCTCTCAATATATTGTTCATAACCTCTCCCAGCACTGGTGATATTTGGTTAATTAATGTTTTATAATATTTGGCCGGAAGGCCGTCCGGTCCCAGCGCCTTCTCAGCTTTCATCTTTTTAATAGCCTTTTTTATCTCTTCCTGTGTTATTATCTCATCTAGTGCTGCTCTTTCATCTTCTACAATTTGTTCCAGATGGTGTTTTTGCAGAAATTGATCTATTTCTTGTTCTGTTTCCTCTCCTCTTTTGTACAAATCCTTATAATATCTTTGGAATATTCTTTTTATTTCTTTTGGTTCTTCCATAATCATATCTCCTTCTTTTATTTTACTGATCGTATTCAACTTCTTCCTTTCTCTCAACTGCCACGCTAGATATTTCCCTATCTTATTTGCGGACTCAAAGTTCTTTTGATTCATCCTTTTAATTTTCCACTCTATCTCTTGGTTAATTATTGTAGCAAATTTAGCTTGTAGTATTTTTAAGTTCTGTTTTAAACTCTCTTCACTAGGGTTAACAGTTAATTTTCTTTCATTTTCCATAATCTGTATTAAAATCTGCTCTTTCTTTTTTCTTTTTCTTTTCTTAATTGGGTATTTTTCTGAATCAAAAAACCCCTCATGACCGCTTTTCCTGCGTCCCACACCATCTCTATGGAAGTTTCTCCATTTAAATTCCACCTAAAGTATTCTTCAATTGTTTCTATAGCCTTATTTACTATAGTGTTACCTGCTTAAGGTGTTGAAGTTAAATGTTCTTAGGCTTAGGCTGTTTACTTCCATCATATTGTTTTTGCAGTTTAAAAGGGTGGGAAGATTCTGGGATTCTCCTTCGTTTTAATAACAGGAGCATACTAACTTTTAAAACTCAATTTAAAAGTCCAGTTCTGTGTTCTGCCAGAACAGGTGAACACCTTTTGCCCTTACTCTGGCAAAGTCCCTTTGACTTTGTAGTCAAAAGGACAGTTTAGCATCTCTGGCAAAAGAGACTGAACAATGCTGAATGGAAATCTCTGGGAATAACAGCATGACTGATTTTCAAAAATAAACTCTTATTGGGCACAAGTAGCTCAAGTCCTTTTCTGTCAGCAAATAGGAGTGGGGGCTATATTGCTGTTTATATTCCCATACGGAGAAGTTTAGACCCCTTAAGTCTGGAAAAGGAAGTAAAAATGTAGTGCCAAACTCTGTTGTCCAACTGTTTTGCCATTTTGGTCACTTCAAAGTCTGTGTTTGACCAAGTTGAAGGGCTTTCCGCTACCTTATTATTAAATGTACATAAAATAGCAAGTCTGTCATGTACAACAGACTTATTGTATTAAGCCTGATAACAAGCCACTGGTGTTAATGGGCAACGGGAGCCCAGTAAGAATGCAAGAATAATATGAAACCAATGTTTGCTCAGAGTTTCCTAATATTGTGTTATGCTGAGTTTTATTTTGCTCATTCTGCTGCACAACATCTGTTCTCAAAAATGTGGCAATCATTTCCTTAGTAGGATTCATGCTGAACTCACTAAGAGGGTTAATAGACTGGCACAGTTTTCACTTCCGCAACTTGAAGTAAAATCTGGTGTCCCTTGAGTTCTTCTGCTGTTGGCTGAATCCTTTTTTTCATTTTCATTTTCCAAATTGTTTAAAAACAGCAGTTTTCCATCCATGTTGTTTAGCTTTCTTAAAGTATTTCATTAGTTAATTAACAATGCAAAGTTGTGTTCAGCATCAGCATCCTCCCAAGTTTTCAGCATGTTGTTTTGGAAAAGACTTCCAATAGTTATTGGCTCTGATGGTGTTGGGCTGCTTGTCCTGCTCTCATCACTGTCTTCCTTTTACTTTTCCAGCTTCAGCAGTTGCGTGAGGGTATGTTATGGGAAAGAGTTACTGGGAATTGGTTGTAAAATACTCACCACTTGGGACTGTTTTGAGTGCTTAATGAGGTTCATCGCAAAGGCTGCAACCCTAGTTAATGCAGCACTTCTGTGTCCTTGTTGTGATTCTGTTGGAAACGAAGTCCTTGAATAGGGTGATTGCGATAGATGGTGGAAGAAATACTGGTTTGAGTAATGTTTTAAATACTATATTACCTCCAGGTAGTGATGTCTGCTTTGGATGCCTATGTGTGTTAACTCTACGTTAGAAGGCCAGTCCATTAGCTGTGTCCAGTAGCCATTCAATCCCTGATAACCTCCCTGGTCCTGTTTAGTCTGCACTGGATTGAGAGGAAGTTGTAATACCAGACTTGCTGGCATACAGTTCTCCTGTGCTGCCGCATTATCTCTGCCAGTTCCACTAATAACAATGATAAAATAGGAGTACAGTGAATACTAGTGCAGACTTGCCTTGCTGTTGCCCAAGCAGTAACCAGAGATGGCTTGAAGTAGCTATTTAAACTTTATTTTTCAATTCTCATTGCTTGCTTCTGCCGCCAAGAACTATCTTGCATAGAAAGTGTAATCAAATAACTTGCTGTATTATACGATAATGCAATATATGTATAATTCAAGATATTCACCATTTGCTTTCAGACATGCGGAAGTGATGAAGAAAATCATTGAAACTGTGGCAGAAGGTGGGGGAGAACTTGGAGTTCATATGTATCCTTTTATCTAACTGCCTAAAATAGGGTTTGTTTGTTTTTTGTTTTAAAAAGGGCTCTGCACTGATTGCTTGTCTGTTTCTCAGAGTGTGTTCTCCCACTTTCCCCTCAAGTGCATGTTCAAGTTTCAGGGGGCACTGCTACACTCAGCTGTGCTAAGGCACTTAAGACTGACTGCCTTATAAGAATGGCCCGCTTTGGGTGTGACTATCACTAGGTGATGTGAATCGAAAAGATTCTTATAATTAATCCATGGTTCACACATGGCTAAGCCAAACATGAGTGGTATCCAGGGAAGTAGTTCTATTAGTGCAAGGACGTATGGCTGTGCAGTGGAACATCTCCTCTACCTACTCCCTTCTCTTCTCTGTTCCCCCTGAATCTGTTCTGGGGGTTCACCCATATTTGGGGAGGGTGCATAGGGTGTGGAGAGGCAGGAGAAGTTCTGTTGCACCTCCAGAAGTCTACATTGTTGGATACTATCCAATGTATTTTTTCCTTAATGCAGTGCTATTGGTGATATCCACCTAAGTTAGAATGAGCGATAAAACTGATCAATTAATACTAGCCGTAATAGTTACTTTCTACCACAATGGTTGGAGCCTGTATGTCTCTGAATACTCATCACTTGTGAGCACAATTGGAAAGAGTACCGTTGTACTCATATACTGCATACAGGCTTCCCATAGACACCTGTTTGGCCACTGGATGGATGCTTGACCTGATCCAGCAGATTACTTAAGTCCATTGTTCCCAATAGGCCTAGTTTGCACAAGCAGCAATAACTATAATAAAAACTAATTGTTCAGTCGTCTTTATGCATGTGGGAGACACTCTCTGGCCATTAAAACTGTTCCACTAGACTAGACTGGTAGCCTTATCTATCTTTTTCCAAATAGGTACATTGGTGCTTGACTATTGAGGAAGGTTGAATTGTTAAAACTTGTGGTTTTTACTTGGCTGCTTTGGGGTTAAAAACTTGCTTCTTTTTGTGGAACTACTGGGTTGATTTTCCTTAATTAAATATTCAGGTACCTTCTAATTTTTTTGAAATTTGTACAAGCAGTCATTCCGACAATAGAATATGACTACACGAGGCACTTTACGATGTAATTAGGGGAAAGAATGTTTATGCTAATTATTGATTCTAATTTTTAAAAAGGAATAACCCATACCTGTGACTGACTTGTTTATCCACCATGGTATACAATTTCTGTAATGTACCACTTCTATCAAGTTTATGCATCAAAATAAAATTCCACTACCAGCCTTACTTTTTAATAAAGACCTTTATGTGTAAAAATAAATAATAAAACACTTTTTTTTTCATTCCTGTGCTGTGGGTACATAGAGGGTTTTTCTTTTTCTTTGACATATAGTACTGCGAAGACGGGGGAAAAGAAAGAAAAGAAAAGCTCAAACCAAGATCCCAATTCATGTTTGTTTTTAATAACATTTTATTAAATTTTAGCAAGACATGAAGTGGAAAATAATGTGTGATTTCTGACTAGTGGCATTTCAGAATAAATTGACCAAGTTGCTTAGGTAGATCTTAATACACACACCTTAAGGCACACCTGATTTTCCAAGTGCACATTAGTCTAGGTCCCTATTTGACTCTAGAAACCCAGCTCCTCTCATGCTCCTTTGAACATCAGATGGGAATGAAAGCATGACTGGGTGTGAAGACTAGGAAAAGATGTGGCATCACTTTTTTTCAGTTTAATGCTAATATACTGAAGAAAAGCATGTGCAGCTAGTGAAAGTTGCATCGAGAACTATACCTGGTATGTGCTTTTCTATCTGGAATACTAAATTTCTGTCTGCAAAGATAGTACTCAAACCTTGTTTTCAGAAGGTTCAGCTTACGTTTCACCAATCTCCTTAATGACATGGTTGCCTTCCCTTTTTATGTCACCTGTACATGAATGCCCTCTTACGCACTAAAGATATCGATACCTTTTCCCTACTTTCTACACCGCGTGTTCTTTTAACTAGGAAGTGAGATCAGAAATGTCAAGTGTCAAGGAGGATTCAAGGAAATTGGCCTCTTCATGCTGCCGTTGCAGTTGGAAGGAATAGGCAGCAGCTGTGTCTTCCACCCAGCAGTCAACTTGCGTCAACCGAAAAAATGTTCTCAATAAGTGAAAATAATACAGCTTTTTGCATACCTTCTGATGGGATGGTGGGAGAACCTTATTGGCTCCATTTCTACCATGGAAGAAAAATAAGATTCATAAAAATAGAATGTGGAAACTACAACATATAGTTCAGTTAGAACCTATTCTATTCTTCTATGGATGTTGGCAAATGCATTTCCCTATCATGGCCAACATTTTTACATAGGAGTTGTGAATTTAAGATTTACCGTATTTTTTGCTCTATAAGACTCACTTTTTCCCTCCTAAAAAGTAGGGGGAAATGTGTGTGCGTCTTATGGAGCGAATGCAGGCTGCGCAGCTATCCCAGAAACCAGAACAGCAAGAGGGATTGCTGGTTTCGCTGCACAGCGATCCCTCTTGCTGTTCTGGCTTTTAGGATTCAGAATATTTTTTTTCTTCTTTTCCTCCTCCAAGAACTATGGTCTGGTGTGTCTTATAGAGCGAAAAATACGGTAAATCTGATGTTCCATCCACTAAATTTCTGCTGCAAAAAAGTAACACTGTTCAACTTACGTTTCAGATAACTTCATGTTTCCCGAAGTATCTTAAATACTGCTCACTTTAGACTGTAAATGCTTACAAGCTGCTTCTAATCTGTTTTTGAACATTTTAATCATCTCTTTTACAGCAATAACAATGGGAACGGGAATGCATGTTTTTTAATGCAAACTTTTGCAAGTCAAATGGAAATATAACACAACCCAAAGATTTGGACAGGTTCTTTTGTGTTCTGGACATGGCGTGGGGGTAAGGGTGAAATCTGCAGATCACGACCCATCATTCTGTTCATTATACTGCTATTACATAGGTAAAATCACGTGCCCCTTCCCTTTTCTAGCAACAGCTTGTGTTCCAAAACTCTGGTTTCTTAAATCGCATCATGTGTTTTAATTGCCTCTCCCACTTCAGGAAAAAACTATTTTACAGGTTCCTATGGCACTAATCTCATTATTGTAATTCAGAAGTTATAAAACGATAGCAAAACCCAGAGGTAAACATGGCTTCTTTTTCTGTGATGTAGAAAATGATAGCAGTGATTGGTTTGCTGTCCCCAGTTCAGAATCCTCTGGAGGCAACCTGCCAAGTCCCAGTCTCCCACGTGCATTCCCCCAAAAGGACCTGATTGTTTGCTGCTGGTAAATATTAACTTCCCTCTGTTTGCGAACTAGGGAGAAGAAATAAAATAACACTTCTGTGCTCACTGCATACATGGTCTGGAGTTATATTCTGGGCACCATTTGACAGCATGGCTGTCTTTTCCATTTTGAAGTTGACCTCGGAGCAAGAAAGAGCAAGGTGGTTCATCTAGTAATGTTTACCCTGGCTACGACGTTAAAAGCCCTGTTGTCACAAATATGTGCCCAGGCTAGCTCCAACGGCACTTGAGAATTTAGATCTCTAAAAACTGATACTCTGGATCAGTGTTTCCCAACCTTTTTTATAATTTATACAAAATACATAAAATGATAGAAACATAATGAAATATTGTTGAGGCAGAAAATCTGGAAGGGATCCTAAGGGTCATCTAGTCCAACCCCCTGCAATGTAGGGAACTCAGCTAAAGCATCCATGACAGATGGCCATCCAACCTCTGCTTAGAAACCTCCAAGGAAGGAGAGTCCAGAACCTCCAGGGGAATATCCATCTTCCATTTATTATAAAAAGTAAGCAACACTTATTTGACCCCAGTTATTTGACGCAGAGTGGGAAACCTACAGATACAGTCCAAAAGGCACACAGGGAGTTCTGTGTATATAGGAGAATTTTAAAAAGCAAGTCCTCACTGACCTGGTGCAAAAAGATCTTGGCATGCAGAGGAACCCTGGCTGCCTAGATAAAACACCATAGCCACACACCGTTATGTGGGAGTAAGGCCCACTGATACCAGTTTCCCAATGTTTGGCTCCCAATGTCTCAAGTCAGCAGGAGTTTTAAATCACTACATTTAGTACACTAGATGTTGGTGTCCTGGCAGAATACAAGCTGATAAGACAAGTTTTCAAGTTGTGTTATTCCACCTACAAAATAGTGTAAGTTGCCTCATAGATTTAACACTATAAAGTTCAGCAACTCTGGGCTGGATTAGTGGGCTCTGAGCTCCAATATACCTGTGTATATTGTGTGTGTGGTTTCCTGCCCTTTAATACAGGTGGGCTTAATAATTATTAACAATGTTTTATTTCATAATTTTATTATTTATACCCCACCCATCTGGCTGGCTTTCCCCAGCCACTCTGGGCGGCTTCCAGAACATATAAAAACATAATAAAAGTCAATACAGGGCTGCCTTCAGATTGTTCTTTATCTCCTAGACATCTGATGGGAGGGTATTCCACAGGGAGGACACCACTACTGAGAAGGTCCTCTGCCTGTTTAAAGCTCCCATCATTGCTGGCTGGTGCAGAAGGGAATTGTAGTTCCCAAATCTGGAGGGTTCCATATTAGCTACCACAGGGTTAGAGTGGGAGACTGGGGTTGGGGAGCCCCAAGTTCAAACCTTGCTTAGCCATGAAGCTTGTGGGTTGGATGACCTTATGCCCATCGATTCAGCCTGGTTTACTCCATAGATTTGTTGTGAGGTGAAAATGAGGGAACAACCAGGCATGTTGCCTTCAGCTCTTTGAAGAAAGAGTCAGATACTCATGTTCCACAGGCCCCTACTGTTCTAGCAGGCCCTTGACTACTAACTGGTTGTTGTGACAGGGTCTTCTGAGGGTTACTTATTCATTTTCTGGAAAAATATTTATCGTGGGTTTATAGTTCTATCTGCTTTCATTTATGTTGTGAGCTGCCTTGGGTCCTGCACCAGAGAAAGGCGGGATATACCGTATTTTTCGCTCTATAGGACGCACCCGACCATAAGACACCTGGTTTTAGAGGCTGAAGGGGCGCTGTGCAGAGAGGGAAAGCTGTGCAGCGCCTCTCCAGCGAAGCAAAGCCAGGAGAGCAAGAGGGATCGGTGCGCACTGATCCCTCTTGCTCTCCTGGCTTCAGCGAAAGCAACGTGAAACTTCTGGAGCGCAGCGGGAGCAGTCCTGCTGCGCTCCGGAGGCTTCGCGTTGCTTTCGCTGAAGCCATGGAGCCTGCATTTGCTCCATAAGACGCACACACATTTCCCCTTAATTTTTGGAGGGGAAAAAGTGCGTCTTATAGAGCAAAAAATACGGTAAACAGAATCATGGAATTAGTATTTATGTAGTGAAATGGTGTTCTCGCCTTCAGACCACAGACCCAAATTGGCCAACCTTGGGCTACTATTGGCCAAAGCTTTCCAAGGTGTTCTCCACATGACTGGATAGCCTGCTATCATGTCCTGAATCTCTTGCTACCACCCCATATACTCCTGCCCTAGTGGGCAACAGCACAAATAAACCGCATGCTTCTCCGTGTGGAGTGGAATCTGCTTCCTTGCAATTTGTTCCTTGGAGGAGAAGGTGCTTGTGGAGGAGGAAGAGGGGAAGAACAAGGCAAATTCAGCAGCTGCTTATCTCGACTACAATCCTTTCAGCAATGAGAGAGAGAGGCGGAGGAGGAGGAAAAGAGCAATGACCTAGGCGTCACGAATGCCAGTATCCCTTGCAACACCAGCCACAGCGAAAGCATTTTCCTGGGGAAGTTGCAATCTGCAACACTAAAAGTACGGCCTATACCTCATGTGTCTCTCAGCAAATCTGCATCAATGGGAACTGGTGCCATGGCCCTTGTCTACAAACATCTTCTCTTAATGCTGCTGGGCGTAGGCTGGCCAGGTCTGGGGAATCCTAATGCGGAAGCAGCTCGGGTCCGAGAGCACTATATAGTGGCTCAGGTCGCTAACTGGAGCTACAGTTCCCAGGCAGAAGACCTGTCCAGGTAACTAAATGTGTGTAGCTTATTTGGGGGTGTAATGGGAAGGTGAGGTTTCCCCACCCCTGAAGAATGGGCTGCTAGGTTAACCAAGATAAATGTTAGTTTTAAGTTGCTTTCAATGGTGTGACTTCTAAATTGCCGTGATTTTTGGATAGATTTTCTGCTAGTGTTACTCATCATTATTTTCATCTATCTATTGTTGGCTTTCAGCATTTTGCTGCTTATTCACTTTTTACCACTTAGAATAATGAAATTTGCTCACATGAGGCTTCTTTCTCTCTGATATACTAGTTTGTTAAGTGCAAGGAAGTTGTTTCCATGCAAGCAAGAGAAAATTCAGATGTGCAGCTGTTGTTCTTCGACTTTGTGATGTATTTTCTTGTTTGGTTTTAAGTAGCTTTATGGTTTTGACTGTGTATGTTCATTATTTCTGTGTGCCATATCGGAAATACAGTACTACCTATTAAACAGGGAGAAAGAGAGGAGATGTGCAGGCCATCACGTCTGCTGTCCTATCTAATTTCAGCCTTAGACTGGTTTGCAATGCAAATATAAACCTGTGTGGGTGAGAATGTCCATTTGATCACTTGCCCATGCTTAGATGCCAACAAAAGGAAAGAGAGAGCCTCAAGGGCACCTTTTAACTTTTTATGTAAAAATGTCACAAGACATTCCCAAAGCTTGATTGAGAATAAGAAATGATGCTCTGCTAGCTTCTTAGGCAAGTGGAGATTTTTATTTTTATTTTTTGTCCTGGCTTCCTTCATGGGTGTATCCAGGATTTTTGTTAAGGGGGCGCAGGACTTGGTGGGCGGCAGGACTTTTATGGGGGGGGGGTCAGAAGTGATGTGATTGGTCAGTTAGTTAAGTATTTCTGTTGTTCTACTTGATGCAGGGTGGGTAGCTGCTGCCTCCGCCCCACCTTGGATAGGCCCATAGCCTCCTTAAAAATATTTGCAGCCTCACATTCCCAAATCTTTGTCTTGTTGGGTAAACCCACCGATCAGTCACTTACCTTTGTAACTTGCCTTTTGGACTAATGTCCTGAGCCAGAATGTCATACGCACTCAGATGCACCTATGGAACTCCCACACATTCTGGGCTCACTCTTGAATGACTAGTTGAAAAAATGCACTCAATAGTGTTGAATCTGTGAGGCAGGTTCTGCCATTGGCCACTGTGAGAACAGGACTAGACGGGTTGTTGGCTTGGTCCAGTGGGGCTGTCTGCATGTTCTATCTTCTTTAAAAATCTCAGCTTTTCTTTCGAAACAGAGCAATGTTAAATCTGAGTGTGTTGTGGCAGCTTTTTACAAAGGCTCAGGAATTTGAGGGGTCTCAGTAAAGCTTCTAATGAAGCGCATACACCTGCCTTCCTGATTTCCTCCTATTGATCCTCCACATATTCTTGCTTTTGTGTACATCTCTGAGGCTTATTCCATTCAAGCCGGCCCTAACACAGAGTTGGAATAGATTAGGATATAGTAAATTCTGAAAAATAACCTTATAGTTTATTTAGTGGTTTTATTGGCCACTCTTCAGTTAACAATAAACTAATAACTTCAAAATTGCAATAAAGCACAGCAAAACAATTTAGTGTAAAATTGGGCAACAGATATTGGTTATAATATAGTTATGGAAGCATGGGAATAATTATGGAATACAGATGCAGTCATACCTCGGGTTGCGAACGTGATCCGTGCGGGAGGCATGTTCGCAACCCGCAGCATTCACAGCCTGAAGCGCCATGTCTGTGCATGTGTGTGACGTGATTCGGCGCTTCTGCACATGCGCGTGATGTCATCCTGCGCTCATGCGCCGAAACCCGGAAGTAACCCATTTGGCGCGGTCTGCAACCTGAAAACGCACAACCCGCAGTGTTCATAACCCGAGGTATGACTGTATAAAATTTACAGCATGCTATGGTTTAAGAGAAAACTGTATGAAAATGTTATATAGATGGTATCTAACACCAAGTAAACTGGCAAAAATGTATAAATAAAAAATGAATAAGTGTTCGAAATGTAAAGAGAAAGAAGGTACTTTCTATCATACGTGGTGGTCTTGCACTAAGGTTAAAGCTTACTGGGAAATGATATATAATGAATTGAAAACAATGTTTATAATAACATCCGTTAACAAAAACAAACCGGAAGTTTCCTTCTGGGAATTATAGGGGTAGAACTACCGAAACAGTATAGAAATTTATTCATGTATACAACTATAGGGCAAGAATGTTATTTGCACAAAAATGGAAAGAAGAAGTCCCGACGAAAGAAGATTTGATACAAAAACTCATGGACTATACAGAAATGGTGAAACTTACCAGAAAAATAAGAAATAAAGAAGATAAACTTTTTATAAAAAATGGAAATGGTTTATTGAATATGTACAAATAAATTGTAAACAGATATGGACACTGGCAGGATTATTGTAATAACCTGCAGTTTCATAAGAGTAAATAATTAAAGTAGATGAATAAAAGAATAAGTTCAGTTAATTTAGAATATGCAGCAAATGATAAATATAAATTTAAGGAACCACAGAAAGAGGAAGAAGGAAGTCGAGTTTTGAAATGTGAAAATGACTGTAAAGTTATTGAAATGTGTATTACTGAAAACCACAATTACTATTTTTTTAAATGTAGTGTAAAATGCCCATGTAAAACCTCTTCACACATTTTTAAAAGACCAGAGGAAGGAAAAAGAGTGCTCACATGGTGCCAAAAAGAAAATGAGAATGGTGCCAGGCATATTTTTTGGGAGAAAAAATTCCAGAGATTGGGTGCCTTTACAAAAAAGGCCCTGTCTCCTGTCTTTGTTTCAGCAGGTGGCTCTGCTGAGAATACAAAATGTGTTTGGTACACATGTTGATTTCTGCAACTGTGCTTAACTTTCATAATGCATTTTACAGCATAGAGTTCTTATAAATATATTCCACACGGAAGCTATTTCCTGTGATAGTTTTAAGACTCTTCTATTTCAGATTACCAAAATCAGATCATCTATTTAAGAAAATTATCTACAGCGAGTATGAAGCAGATTTCAAAAAAGAAAAACCAAGAAATGCTCTATCAGGTAAACACAGAATGATTTTCAGATATTGCTGGTGAAATTTTCACAGCATGGTATAATCTCTCTGCTGTCACAAATCCAAATTAACAACATTTTAAATCACTACAGGTTTATTTACCCATTTAGGTCACAATCCAATGGATGTTCCTGAGGTTAGAGGATAAAGTGGATTTCCCCCCTCGGCCTGCAGTAAGGCAGGTCTGCAGACAGAGGCGGGACATCCTATTTGCAGAGAAACCACTACTATCCTTGCCACTTAGCCACTGGTACTCTGGTGGTGGGGTGGGTCAAGGGAGGTTTAGAAGCCAAAGTCCTCTTATTCCCTAGACAGGGCCCCCAAACAGCGTGGGTGGGGAGAGTACATCTGCCCTGGAGTTGGCACTCTGATCTGGGACAAATGGGGAGGTTAAAAAACAAAATAAAAGAGTAGCCCCAAAATGAATAACACAAAACCTAGAGAAACACCCTCCCACTCGGCCAACATGAACCCAGTAGGGCTTTGGATTTGCTGCCTCTCCTCTCCCTTCCTATGGGTCTACTCTACCCTCTTTGAGTGCCTGACTCAGCTGCTTCTTACTTAGCTGGTTGAAGAGTTATAGAAACTTCTGACTTTTGCCTGGCTGGAATGCAGCCTAGGGTTCAAGGCATGAATCACATTTGCTATGACCCTGCCCACCTTTTGCCCCTGGCCACACCCAATACTGGCATACGGCCCCTGGAAGCTTATCCATGAGGAATGTGGTCCTCAGCCTGAAAATACTCCACATTCTTTTTCTAAGTTTTAGAGGTACAGGTAGGTGGATCCTGCTGCTCTTTCATATCCCTGGCCACCTGCTTGCAGAAAGCAGGTGAACAGGTAGCAACAGCAGTGAGAAGGAGCATGGCCAGGAGACGGTCAGTAGTCATTTTTTCCAAATTACTCTGTTCTTCTCCTTGCACTGATAATTAGATAGTTTCCATTGTCCCATTAATGACCCCAGATACCAAAAATGCACTTGTGCAGAACAGCTAACTAGAAAGTGACTAATCATTTCAGTAACTAGTGTTGTATCGCTGACTCAAAATATACAAAGGATGCCTAGCTGTTGTTCCTTTCAATGTTATTCTGCACGTTGCCACAAAGACTGAGTTGTGGCTTCCTTCTTTCACTTCCACATTGTTCCAGAATTTCCTGCATGACACACAAAGTCTTCTACAAATTTTAATGATAAATGAGTACAGTGGTATCTCGGGTTACAGACGCTTCAGGTTACAGACTTCGCTAACCCAGAAATAGTACCTCAGGTTAAGAACTTTGCTTCAGGATGGGAACAGAAATCGTGTGGTGGGAAGCGGTGTACACATAGCATTAGTCAGAACCAATCTTTCCTGTATATATTCTGTCATTTCTTATGAACTACTGTGTTTTGATGCTCCCCGCCCCCCAGTCTCAATCTGAATTGAGAAAAATAACAACCCAGCTGTGTGCAGTGGCATAGCGTGGGGGGTGCAGGGGGGGCCGGCCGCACCGGGCGCAACATCTGGGGGGGCGCGCTCGCACTCGCAGCTCTCTGCCCCTACCTGGCTCACTCTCTCTCTCTCACTGCAGTGCTGGCTATGCGAATCCGATCTGAGCCGCTGGGTCGCCGCCCACTGTGGAGGGGGTGGGTGCCAGGCGTGCGGTGCGGAGAGAGAGCGAGGGACTATCTGGGGGAGGGACAGTGCAGCGGCCGCCCAGCGCAGCGCTGAGCGTGGGAGAGAACCACACCAGACCAGACCAGGCAGCAGCAAGAAGAAGCTGGCAGCAGCGGCAGGTTAGGGGTTAGGGGGCGCAAATTACTTGCCTTGCCCCGGGTTAGGGGGCGCAAATTACTTGCCTTGCCCTGGGTGCTGACAACCCACACTACGCCGCTGGCTGTGTGTCAAGTCAGTAATGTGTATGCAGCCCAAATACAAAGTTTCCTACCACGCTGATGGAGTGGTCTAATATTGTTAGTTGCTTGTACCTCTGTTTTGTATGCGATTTTCCTTGTTTTTAAGTGACTAGATTTTTCAGGCATTCCTTCAATGTGTTGGTAGGGTGGGGTGGGGAGAATTGCACTGGAAGGCTCAGCCCCCTGCCTGGGCATATTCATTAGAACATGAACTCTTCAGATCATCCCTCACCATAATACCATGTGGTTATATATAATCATTTTTCAATGTCTTTCTTTATTAAGACTTTGATTAATTTTCCTATTCATTAAATGTCTCCCAATATTTTCCTTCATCTACCTGCAAAACAATTCAAGATTAAGCAGAATTGCCACGCCTAGCCAATTCTCTTTTCATGCATACAGCGGTCACAATGGATTCTACCGGTTTATTCTTTTAAGTGTTCCAGAACGAGTATGGGCTACATAAGTAGCAAATACTTGTTCTATACCAGAGCTTTCCAAACTGTGTTTCGCAACACATTAGTGTGTCAGCTGCAATGTGTAAGTGTGTCACACGAAGGAATTAGTTTAACCTCCGATTTGATAGTAAAACTGAATTACTGTGTCATGAAATGATGCAAAACTGAATTACTGTGTCGTGAAATGATGCATATCTAAAAAGCATGTCACCAACATGAACCGTTTGGAAAGCTCAGTTCTATACAGTGGTACCTCGGGTTACAGATGCTTCAGGTTGCAGATACTTCAGGTTACAGACTCCGCTAACCCAGAAATAGTACTTCAGGTTAAGAACTTTGCTTCAGGATGAGAACAAAAATTTCGCAACAGCGGCGCATTGGCAGCGGGAGGCCCCATTAGCTAAAGTGGTACCTCAGGTTAAGAACAGTTTCAGGTTAAGAACGGACCTCCAGAACGAAGGTACCACTGTATAGGAAAATTTAGGCACAGGCCTTTTAAATTTAGCTAGGCCATAGGCTCAAAAGAAAATGGAATCATCAAAACCATACCCTCCAACTTTTACTAACCAAAATCTGGGACCCCTCCACCATGCCATGGCTGCATGCCTGCGACCCCCCTTGCCTGCCCAGGTTGCCTCCGCCCTCTGCCATCACTGCCATACCTCCACCTGCACTGCTCATCCTCCCTGCCCTCTCGCTCTGCTCACCCTCCCCACCTGTGCCGCTCAAAAATGACCCTAAAAGAGAGCAAAAACAGCAGAAATAGCGCCTAGCAATTCCACAAGCTTTTGCAAGCACAATCCTAGGAGCCCTTGCACTGACCGTTGAGGCCTGTGGAGAGTTGGAATTTGAGCAAGGAGGTTTGGAGGGAGCAATTGTGGTGGAGTTTGGTGGATTTTTGTTTTTGTTTTTAAGAGTTTTCCAATATCATCATCTCCTTCTTACGTCACAGACAAGCATAAAGCTCAATTGCTGCTCTGAACTTATTGGAGGAAGGTTGGTGTGTGTTAACAAATAATAACATTCCTGCCCTAAGGAATGATGGTGCGTTCTAATAGCCACTTGTGTGTGCAAGTTTGTGTCTCAGTCAAAACACAAGTCTCTTTTTCCATGTTGTGTATTTAGGGATTTCTCTTTCTCTCTTTAAAATATATTATCATTTTGGTAGGGCTTCTGGGGCCAACACTACGTGCTGAAGTGGGAGATACACTTGTCATTCATTTTAAGAACCTGGCTAATAAACCACTGAGTATTCACCCACAAGGTATAGCGTACAGCAAACATTCAGAAGGTAAGTGCTGGTAATGTGACTGTGTTGTCAGATATCTCGGTGACGATCCTTTCATATTCCTGGCTTCGTCAGCCATCAGGACCAGCCAACCAGAGCTCCCATTAGTGGAAATATGACTGTAATGGAAAACTTAAAGGACACACCAGTCAGGAAGCTAGACGAGAACGTTATTTCTTTTAAACAGGAGCGAATCCGTAACAAGAAACTTCAGCCTGTCCCCTCAGATATAATGAAGTCAAATGCCACCTAGTGACTAAACTATATAACAACATCAGAAAAGCTAAGGTCTGTCTCAGATTTTGATCAGATCCCCAGCACTGAGAAAGAAAAGGAAAAGTGGATATACTTTAACCTGGCTTAGGGGTAAAACTGCAAGTGCAAAAATTTCAACATTTTAAACAATGAGATATATTTTGTTGGGCTTCACGAGGAATGTTAGATCTGTGTCCTCCTGTATTTTGTACTAGGCATCAGCCAGTGACTGACACAAGTTGTTGTTTGAATTGCAAGGGATAATGATACCAAATTGGTGTAGCTGACCCCCAGAAATATATTGCCATGCCTTTAATATTTAAATAGCGGCATATTAAATAGAACTAATTCTTCTAGAATGAGCTGAGAAGAAATATCCATATGCCATTTGCATAAGTAAATGGAAATATGTTCTTCCAAGTAATTTCTGCAAAAGAGCCCTCGATATACAATGGTAGAGGAGAATGGTAAACTGAAACAAATTGGCAAGTTTCAGTTTGCACAGCAATAGCAAATAGTGTCAGGCCCCTGTAGAGCTTGTCCCCAAATGACTGGGAAGCACGGGGTGTTCTCGGTATGACAGCCAAGTCCAGCAGGCCTCTGGCATCCCTCCCTTCCAGCTGGCTTAGCCCTCCGAGGCCCAGGGCAAGTGTACCCAGCTGTACCTCCCCTGCTCCCACCGCATGTGCACGGGCCTATGTAGGGCTATCTAAGTACCTGTTCTCCTGTACCGTATGTGCATGTACAATCCTCAGGCAGGGCTGTATAAGAAAGCTGGATAGATTGGAGGAACCTGTGACCCTCCAGATTTTATTGGACTGCAACTCCCATCACTCCCAGCTTGCATGGCCCATGGGCAGGGAGTGATGAAAATTATAGTTTAACAGCATCTGAAAAGACACAGGTTCTCCATGCCTGGTAAAAAGAGGACATTAGACTCAGCGTGTATATGGATAGGTGGGTGCATGTACATTTATTTATTCATTGCTTCATAAGGGCACTGTTGGTATTATTATGTATGAATAATACATGGTGAATCCTTGCTTCCCTGCCACTGAAGGTTCCTCATATTCCGACAAGACATTGCCTATCGAAAAACTGGATGATGCTGTGCCTCCTGGAAAAAGTTATAAATACGTGTGGAAGGCCACTGCAGGAACTGGACCACGGGAGGCTGATCCTCCTTGCCTCACCTATGCCTACTACTCACATGAAAACATGGTGCAAGACTTCAATTCTGGCCTTATCGGTGCTTTGCTGATATGTAAAAACGGTAATAAAACATTTAGGTTGAAGAAACCAGCAAGTGTTTGTTGGGGATTATCTGTAATGTCCCTTCTTCCCACACATGCATTCCTGTTTATCATCTGCCTCAGCTCCTTGGCCTCTGACAAACTAGGCCCTTTTGACAGGAATAATTTCTCTTCTAGCAGGCCCAACTCTTCAAGACTCAGCCCTGTCCCCTCATACTTTGGTCTGGCTAAGGTGTCCTCAGCCCCATAGAGTTGGTGCCTATGCTGGGAGAGAAACCCTAGAGAGCTGCTGTCAATCAGTGTCAACAGTAATGAACTTGATGGGCAGCTTCCTAGGGGTCCTTCCTTGTCTATGTCTTATTTGATGAAACACTTTGTCCCCCCCTCCCACCCCAATGTCTGTGACAGGCTCTTCTTCTTCTAGGAAGCCTGCATGAAAATGGAACACAGAAATTTTTTGACAGGGAATATGTGCTGACGTTTGCTGTGTTTGATGAAAGCAAAAGCTGGCAAAAAGGATCTTCCCTCGTGTACACCATTAATGGCTACGCTAATGGAACACTGCCAGGTACTGTATATCCTGTTAACCTAGATGGATTTGCTTGACTGACTGCCATTACGGTACAGTGATTTTGAAACAAAAGTTTCCAACTGCTGTTCTTTTGCGTTTCAGATGTACAAGCCTGTGCTTACCATCGCATTAGTTGGCATTTGATAGGGATGAGTTCTGCACCTGAGATCTTCTCGGTCCATTTCAATGGGCAAACCTTGGAGCAAAACCACTATAAAATGTCAACGATCAACCTTGTCGCAGGAGCATCAGCAACAGCAAAGATGTCTGTGAGCAAGACAGGAAAGTGGCTCATATCGTCCCTTGTTGAAAAGCATCTGCAAGGCAAGGAGATCTTTCTTCAGCAGGCATTGGTGCAACTGCAGCCTTCATTACCTTCTCTCATATAGCAGTTGTACGAAACATGCAAAATCATCTTAACTATAGCAGCACTTGTGGTGATGGAGGTGGGGGCTAGGAAAACAATCTGGCATAAATTAGAACTGCTGTTTGCATATGTTGACTATAGAATAACAAGACACCTGTAACTACAATTGTATTTTGTTAGCGGGGGGTAGTGAAGTGTCCTTTGTCCACGATTGGCTCACCACTGAAATACAGGGTGAGTCCTTTAAAAGAGGCCCTGTGGATACAGGGTACACATGTTCCATAGGGCCTCTTTTAAAAGACTCACCCTGTACATGCAATGATTTTCAGTGGCCACCACCATCTGTCCAGATAGTCATGTGATTCGCTTTAAACCCTTGGATGTGTTGTTAGTTAAGCTGACCCTTCATACTAACTAACTAACTAACTAACTAACTAACTAACTCACTAACTCACTAACTCAGTAAGAAGACAGTACAAATGTCTTTTGTTTCATTGGTTAAGTACAAATGCCTATGGATAAGCCTAAACCTTTATTAGTTTAGTCACTAGATTAATAAAGCAAAGTTTTACTAGATTAGCCAATGGAGGCTGCTTTTAACTCATGAGGAAATATTTAAGTAGGTGAAGCTGTGAGCCAAGAGCAACTTATTTATTTGTTGTGACCAATTTGGTTCTGATGTGCCTGTAATAGGGAATGAAAAAATAAAATATTAAGAGACATCTTTTTCTTTTAACAATAAGCGGTAGTTTTTGTTTCTTAAAGTTATCTTCTGCTGTCTTCAGTGTCTCAACAATGCATTTACATTGAGATTATCATAATATGCTCATTTATGTACATTTAGTTGATTAAAACCTATATTAAGCCACTGAAAATGCTTTGTTTAGTTATCTTAGTTGTTACTAACTATGCAGAACTATCACTTGTAAAGACATACTCTCAAAATAATTTTTGCACCTGTACAGCTATTAGTAGGAAGAAGCTGCATGGATTTATTTAGCATCCTGAAGAAAACCCAAGCCTGTCGCTATGAAGACATTGTTTAATTTTGTTAAAAGTATGGCATTGTGAATCATGAGCATAAGTCAGGTCTCCAAAAGGCTCTGTCACACTCCAAAACAAACAAGGCAGTATTGAATTGTTCCCTTCCTTGAATGGAAAGAGTATTCCCATTTGCAGAAGAGGTTTTGATCTACTGGAATCTCTGCTAAAGGAAGAAGAGGGGAGGCAATGTCCACTGATTCCCCCCTTCCCCTGCAACCTCCCATGCCACCTCCCACACTATTCTGGAAAATCCCCCAACCTGTTCTGGGGAAGGTGGGGCCCCAGAAGGGAGGAGGAATTGATGAAAATCTCACCCTGCCTTCTGTTAGTGTAGGGTAACCACTGTATCATATACCTATGAGCCAGTGTGGTGCAGTGGTTAAGAGCAGTAGACTCGTAATCTGGTGAACTGGGTTCGCGTCTCCGCTCCTCCACATGCAGCTGCTGGGTGACCTTGGGCCAGTCACACTTCTTTGAAGTCTCTCAGCCTCACTCACCTCACAGAGTGTTTGTTGTGGGGGAGGAAGGGAAAGGAGAATGTTAGCCGCTTTGAGACTCCTTAAAGGGAGTGAAAGGCGGGATATCAAATCCAAACTCTTCTTCTATGGATGTAAGGGCACAAATGGATTCCACATACTGCTGTGTGTTTCAAGATGCATTAACATGGCTTTGTTATTTATACCTTAAGAGAGTAATGAATGGCTAATAGATTCTTTTTGCTGGCTAAAGTGGTGGAGATTTTGATCGCAGCAGGAGACAAATGTACATCTTTCAGAGGTCTCTAGTAAAATACAAATACAAAATCTTTAACTTCCACCTGGTTTGGCTGAAGGGCAACAAGGAAATCCCTTGGGAATGCACGTTCCTTTACAACTAACACTCATGCTCTGTCTTTCCAGCTGGAATGCATGGTTACCTCAACATAGAAGACTGTGGAAATCCAGACACTTTAACGAGACAATTATCCTATAAAGAAATACGGATGATTAAGGACTGGGACTTTTACATCGCTGCTGAAGAAGTAATCTGGGATTATGCTCCGGAAATTCCTGACAGTGTTGATAGGTAACATGATAGAATATGTTGGTTGAGGGGTGTGTGTAGACTGGATAAGGTTCTCAATTCTTAGGCTCCATCCACACTAAACATTTAAAACAGTCTCACACCACTTTAAACAATCCTGGCTTCTCCCAAAGAATCCCAGGAAATGTAATTTATTTGTTTAAGTGTGCTGAGAGTTGTTTTACTGTTTCCCTCACAGAGCTACAATTCCCAAGGTGGTCAATCCCTCTTCCCAGGAAAATGGGAATTGTAGCTCTGTGAGGGGAATAGGGGCCTCCTAACAACTCTTAATACCCTAAACAAATGGCACTTTTAAGGATTCCTTGGGGAGAAGCCGTGACTGTTTAAAGCAATGCTTTTTTTCCAACCAGAACTCACCGAAACTCAGTTCTGGCACCTCAGGTAGATGTCATTGCTATTACAGGAGAACAATGGAGGCATTCATAGTGAGTTCCAGCACCTCTTTTTTTCTAGAAAAATAGCACTGGTTTAAAGTATACATTTAAATGTATAGAGCAGATAAGACCTTAGAACACTTAAATTCTAATCTGCTTGGTTAACTTTAAATGCTCAGGTTCTACCACAATTCATCTACTTGGTGACGTTGACAGGTGAGAGAACTAGTTTGTGAGGTAGCTTGAGGGGAAGTTGGAGCAGCAATGGCAGTTCTGTGGGAAACTTGGTCAATAAATAGCTTCTATTTAACTTGAGTCAGTATCAGACCACTGTAGATATAGCTCCATCTGTACAGCATGAGACTCTTGATCTCAGGGTCATGGGTTTGAGCCTCACATTGGGCAAAAGATTCTTGCATTGCAACGAAGTGGGACAAAACATCTTTAGTGGTATTTAACATAGTTTTACTCTGAATTGATCCCCTGAAATTAAGGAACATGACCAAGGCTGCATTCACGTGACAATTTATTCTGTTCTCCTTATGTTTCACTGACTGTTAATTGCTGCATTGTGCCTGGGCTTTCACAGGATATAAAAGCCATTTCCAGAAATATAGCAGAATATACAGCAAGTTCAGCACTCATTTTGGTGTTATTTGCAAAAAGATTTCATTCTGGAAGTAATACCAAAATGGTGCTACCATATATCCAGAGGTGGTTTTTATGTTATTTGAAAGCTCAAATATAATGTGAAAACAGCAGTTTGGTAACACGTGCAGAAGAACTCTACTTTCATTACTCTACTTATTCCTGCCTTTTTAGTGGGGTTTCGTTGGGTTGCTACAATGCATATAATCATTTACAGCAGAATGACTAGTGGGGTGCCACAGGGTTCTGTCTTGGGCCCGGTCTTATTCAACATCTTTATCAACGACTTGGATGATGGACTCAAGGGCATCCTGATCAAATTTGCAGATGACACCAAACTGGGAGGGGTGGCTAACACCCCAGAGGACAGGATCACACTTCAAAACGACCTTGACAGATTAGAGAACTGGGCCAAAACAAACAAGATGAATTTTAACAGGGAGAAATGTAAAGTATTGCACTTGGGCAAAAAAATGAGAGGCACAAATACAAGATGGGTGACACCTGGCTTGAGAGCAGTACATGTGAAAAGGATCTAGGAGTCTTGGTTGACCACAAACTTGACATGAGCCAACAGTGTGACGCAGCAGCTAAAAAAGCCAATGCAATTCTGGGCTGCATCAATAGGAGTATAGCATCTAGATCAAGGGAAGTAATAGTGCCACTGCATTCTGCTCTGGTCAGACCTCACCTGGAGTACTGTGTCCAGTTCTGGGCACCACAGTTCAAGAAGGACACTGACAAACTGGAACGTGTCCAGAGGAGGGCAACCAAAATGGTCAAAGGCCTGGAAACGATGCCTTATGAGGAACGGCTAAGGGAGCTGGGCATGTTTAGCCTGGAGAAGAGGAGGTTAAGGGGTGATGTGATAGCCATGTTCAAATATATAAAAGGATGTCACATAGAGGAGGGAGAAAGGTTGTTTTCTGCTGCTCCAGAGAAGCGGACACGGAGCAATGGATCCAAACTACAAGAAAGAAGATTCCACCTAAACATTAGGAAGAACTTCCTGACAGTAAGAGCTGTTCGACAGTGGAATTTGCTGCCAGGGAGTGTGGTGGAGTCTCCTTCTTTGGAGGTCTTTAAGCAGAGGCTTGACAACCATATGTCAGGAGTGCTCTGATGGTGTTTCCTGCTTGGCAGGGGGTTGGACTCGATGGCCCTTGTGGTCTCTTCCAACTCTATGATTCTATGATTCTATGATTTGTGTTAACGTAGATTTTTCTAAATAAACATTTCCACCCACATAGATGTACTCTCAAAAGAAAAAGATGCCTATCTCCCCATTTACAGATCTTCTTTCTTTTCTTTCTTTTCTTTTCCTAATTCTTTTCCCAATTTTAAAGGAAATATAAAACTCAGTATCTGGAAGCATTTTCCAATCACATTGGCAAGAAGTATAAAAAGGCCATATTCAGACGATATAAAGATGCCAGCTTCACCAAACGCATAGACGATAAAAGGGCCAAACAACATGGAATTCTGGGGCCTATTATCAGAGCTGAGGTCAGAGATAACATAAAGGTAAGTACTGAGCAACAGGTATAAGGACAGAATCTAAAATTTCATTTTATTTAATTCATGCATAGGACTTACGCTACATGCATTTTGACTATCCAAAATTTAACATTTATCTGTGTTTATATTGAGTTGGGTCCAACCGAAGCTAATTGTACTCGGGTCCTGTTGAAATCTATGGGTCTTAACTTAGTCATGACCAACTTTTCACAATGATTTCGGTGGAGCTTAAGTGCCACTAATTTAGGCTGGACCCAACCCACTGTCTCTCCTATGCAGTGCTGTGTTGAGGACAACCCTCTGCATAAAACATGTTCCTCCATGAGTCTTATTAGCCAAATAATTTATCCTGCACATACAGTTGCTTCTAGAAATTATTCATTAGTTACATTCCTCCAATTGGTTTTATGGTTATCCTGTACATCTCTCTGGTTACAGTTAGTAGAAGAGTACCTTTTTTATTTTATTTTTAAAAACCTATTATTATTGCTTCAACTTCTACTACTATTATTGCAAACGTCTTGTATAAAGCATTACTGCCATACTGAACACATATTCTCCACCTACATTTTAAACAGATTGTATTCAAAAACATGGCCAGCCGACCCTACAGTATTTATGTGCATGGGGTTACGCTTTCAAAGGATGCTGAAGGAGTTGTTTATCCTTCTGGTGCCAAAGGTTGGTAATTCATTACTTCTGCCTAGATTTCCTCCTATCTTTCTTATGGTGGCTAATATATATATATATATGAAATAGCTTCCCTAGCAGTTCAGTTGATAGAGGTGTTCCTGTTGTCATTTTCAAAAAGCTTTTTTTTAAAAAAATTTTTTAAGGTCATTCCTTTTTAAAGGGCTTCAAAGCTAACTGTAAAGTCAGTAGCATCCAAGGGAAAGGTAAAGGGACCCCTGACCATTAGGTCCAGTCGCGGACGACTCTGGGGTTGCAGTGCTCATCTCGCTTTACTGGCCGAGGGAGCCGGCGTACAGCTTCCGGGTCATGTGGCCAGCATGACTAAGCCACTTCTGGCAAACCAGAGCAGTGCACGGAAACGCCTTTTACCTTCCCTCCTGAGTGGTACCTATTTATCTACTTGCACTGTGTGCTTCCAAACTGCTAGGTTGGCAGGAGCAGGGACCGAGCAACGGGAGTTCACCCTGTCGCGGGGAATCGAACCGCCGACTTTCTGATCAGCAAGCCCTAGGCTCTGTGGTTTAACCCACAACGCCACCCACATCCAGGGGTACTTCAAATAGGAATGGAAAGCTGGAGAAACTAACTGGCTAATTAAGGACAGAGCTGGCCCCATCATTACACAGAGGGAAGTGGCCACCTCATATGACAGATGCTGGGGTGGGGCAGTGGCAGCAACCTCCTGGCCTTTCTTCCCTGGCCCCACACCCCTTTGCCATTCTCCTCTGCTGAAGGACAGAACTGTGTATTCTATGTTTTTCTGCTTGAGGCAAAGGGCAAGACAAGCCTCCCTGCCCTCCCCATTCCATATACAGAAGCAGAAAAAAAAAACATATTGAGATGCCTCCTATTTCCATGATAAATGGCTGCAGAATTATTGCAACAGAATTAATTTTGCTTCAACTGGACTTCTGAGATGCCCCGGCTAGCTCTTTTCTGTTATAAGAAGAGAGCTTGTAGGTGTTAAGGGTTGCTGTGCTCAGAGATCCTGCTTGAAGGCTTCCCATGGGCATCTGGTTGGCCACTGTGAGAACAGGACGCTAGATGAGATGGGCCATTAGCCAGATCCAGCAGGCTCTTCTTACGGGTGGGGATTCCCTGATTAAGGAAGTGATGTAAGCACAATAGTCCAATGGGAGAGGCATAGGAGAGAGATCCTGATGGTTTCCACTCCGCTTCTTTCTCCTTCTGCATGTCAGAATAAAAGTCATACAATATGTGAATTCACACCTTACTCCAGAAAAAGAGATGTGTTTCAGCTGTAGCAGGAAAAAGCACAGAACCCGAGTGTCTGAAAGGGGTCTGCAGGCAGTGTTTGCACACTGTACAGGGTAACTGCCATTTGCTTCTGCTCTTATCATCTTACTCCATTTATGTCCTTATTCCATCCAGAGAACAGCACTGAGGGTAAACTAGTCCAACCAGGGGAAATTTACACATATCGTTGGACTGTACTCGACACAGATGAACCCACAAGCGAAGATCCTCAGTGTCTCACCAGATTTTATCATAGTGCTGTTGATATAACAAGGGACATCGCCTCAGGACTTATTGGACCACTTCTGGTTTGCAAACGCAGGGCACTCGACGTGAAGGGAACACAGGTACTGTCAAGTATTGCAAACTGAGAGAGAAAAGATGGCGGCCGTAACGCTGCTATCTCAAGGTTCTGAGGCAGTATGCCTCCAAGGGCTCATCCACACTTTGCTTGTTCTGTTCCTGGAAAGCCTGGTTCTGAGAGGTTTTCTGCTTGTCCCTGACTTTCTAGGCATGGGTGTGAGTGGGAAACAGGATTTTGAACCAGATGGTTTTATCCAGCAGAACTGCTCTTAGGCTCTTGGGGCCAGACAAGTTTGAATGCATATTTTAGTCATGTAAACAGCACCCATGAAGAAGCATGAGCAGCCACAGGACCGTGCTGGGGGTGTATGGAGATGGAACAAAATCCCCTCTCCAAACTACTATTTGCATTTCAAAGAAGTCTCATGCAGAATGCCTGGATGAAAACATTTTTGCCTGGCATTGGAATGAATGTTTTGGTGCCACATTACCTGCTATGGACAGGGCATTAGAGATATGGATTGCCATAGATCAGAAGACTCCTTCATTGCCATCAACCTTATTTCATATGGTGGAGGAATCCAGAGGAAGGTCTCAGATGATGACTGTAGTGCTTGGGCAGAGTCGTGTAATACTTTTTTTATACATAAGCACCAACCCTTGGTTCGTTCCTGGAAAAAAATTGGTTGGTAGCCAGTGTGGTTCTTTAAATTCTAGCAAGATGCATCCTGTATAACCAGATCCATTTGGCACAAAACTTAGCCCAGTGGCCTGCTTACTAGCAGAGGTTTCAAAGGTTATAAGGGCATGGATAACAGTGGTCAGGCTACCTATGTCTAGAAGGGTGTCATTGTTGGTGCCCTAATCTGAACTAATGAAAGGCACTTTATGCCATAGAAAGCACTGAATCCAGTTCAAACAATGAACCTGGATCTTCAAGAGGAATTTGACCCCATTCAGACCAGGTTGAACCCTACCTCCCTGGTCGGATGAATAATTTATCTGGAATGAGTTTTAGTTTATTTGTGCTCTACCACTCAATTACTGAACCCAAATACTGGTTTCATTGAATCTGATCAATAGTCAAAGTAGGGCTGAGTGTCTTCTAGCAAAGGGGAGAAATTGATTAGGTTTGCATTTTAATGATAAACTATCAAGTTTGCCCTTCCTGGAATCAATATATGAAATGAAACACAGCTCTTCTTCAAAATTTGCACTTCTTCAAATTATGCCATGCAGCTCTCCAACCAAAAAGGGGTACAAAAATGTATATATTAGTGAAAACAATGCTAAAATGCATTGTGTTAAACTTGGAAAAATACTTATGCTAGGCTAAATTGCATACAAATGTGCATATTAGGAGAAATATGCACAAAATGCCTATGAATTTTCATGCAAATATATGCAGAAATGGGACAAACCAAACTAAAGATTGGCAAGGTGAGAAACTGAGAGAAATAAAAATTGACTGATTGATTCATCTCTTATATTATGAATATACACTGATAACATCTGCCTCTCTGAATGACTTGTCTAAGCAACTTAATGTAGATATTAAATAGTACAGGAGACTATGCCACTGGATTGATCATCCAGGTAGGAAAGGAATCAGCATAATTGTCTAGAATTCCTAAACAGCCTGCCCAGGTTTGATTGGAGAAGAAATATTAGACCGTATTGGCAGACAGAGTATAATGGAATTAAGTAAATATGAAGTGTAAAGATAGAGGAGAATTAAATATTTTTGAATGTTAAAATGTTAAAATAAGCAAATGATAAGAAGGCTAGAAGGATTTGCTGGAGATACAATTTGAACTAGAATACAAAGCAGAGAAGTGAGAGGAAGTCACGGAAATAAGTAAATGGGAAAACGGTTTGTTTAAATTGAATTTTTCTTTTGTTACTTTTTTATTGTGATTTTTTGTCTTGTGTTTTTTTTTTTTTTCTTGTATGGTGTGTCTCTTTTGTAAGATGTATGTGATTGGTTTTTCTTGCTTTATTTTTTCTTTTTTTGTAATCTTAAAATTTGAATAAACATTTAAAAAAAAATAAAAAATAAAATAAACAGCCTGCCCAGGTTTGAGATTCATTGTTTTATAAGTCAGAATGGAGTGCAGAGGGTATGCGATCGGAAATGATGGCATGTCTTAATGCTTTCCAGAATAAGGCTGACGACGAGCAGCAATCCCTCTTTGCCGTCTTTGATGAAAACAAGAGCTGGTATTTGGAGGACAATATCAAGAGATTCTGCAGCAATCCCTCTACTGTTAAGAGAGATGACCCCAGATTTTACAAGTCCAATGTCATGCACAGTGAGTAGAAACCTGACCCAGAATTTCACTAAGCCTCTGAGAGCTCAACTTCAGTAGTGTGAAATAAAATTATGTGGGTGTTTTTTAGTTTTTAATGGAAGAATAGCATGCTGTTTCCATAATGCTTGACTGCTTGATGGCATTCACTACACTACACCAATACAATGCTACAAGTTACATAGAAATAAAGTGATAGACTAAGGCGGCAAAATTCAACATTGTACCACTTGAGAAGAGGGATCATATTGTTTTGAGCTTGTCATCGGATTGCTTTGATCAAATGTCTGGGGCAGGGCCAGCCCGGGACTTTCTGCCACAATCTGCAGCCTCTGTCACATGCAGTTCTATTTTTAAAAACTATGTTAATTATAAATGTTTACGCTACAAATGAGCAATCATCTTTTTGAATGCTCGCCCTGTGTAAAAAAAAGCTCCCTGCATGAAGTAACTTAGCCCAGGTTAATGTAATCTTCCCCTTGATGAGTTAGTTATTACGGTAGATGCAGGGAGCCGCCTTATGCCTGAGAATATTAAACAAAATACAATTAAATGATAAGATCTTCCCATGCAGTCAAAAGTGGTAGAGCCCAAATTTCTGCTTTGTCATTATGTGTAACATGTTCCTACAGGTGTCTGTTTCATTCCTCTTATAATGTCCATCGGATCTGGAAATTTGATATGCTCCTGGTAAAGTTATATATTCTTTGTTATATTGTTGTTGTCGTTTTTATTTTAGCTATCAATGGCTATGCATCTGATAGAACAGATATCCTTGGATTTTGTCAGGCTAATATTATTAAATGGCACCTCACCAGTGTTGGCACACAGGATGAGATAGTGCCAGTGCATCTTTCTGGCCATACTTTCCTGAACAGAGGAAAACATCAAGATATCTTGCATCTTTTCCCAATGAGTGGTGAATCGGCTACAGTGACCATGGACAACGTCGGTTAGTAGCAACCTATAAATCCTGTTCTCACAGTGGCCAATTAGATGCCCATGGGAGGCTCGCAAACAGAAGCTGAGCACAGCAGCACTCTCCCCTCCTGCCGTTTCCAGGAATTCATATTATTCAGATTGTTTCCCTTTTCTTTAGAGTGATAGTCTCCTTTCCCCAAGAGTGGCATTCTCCCTGACATTAGTGGAGCTATTGGGAGTGGAACAAAACCACAAAATCCCCCAAAGGCCTCATCCACCCACCTTTCTGCCTCTCTCAAATTTTCCAGGTCAGCCACCTTGGCCTCAAAGGAACAAAATTGTTCCCAGAGAGCCAGGAGCTCATTGGACCAAGGACACCTCCACCCCTGCTGGCTTTCTACCTGCCTAACTGTTTTGTGGTTTACTGAGTTACTTTATTAGAAACTTACATTTTGTTTGGGTCAAGGAGACGAGGGTCAGCGTAGTGTGCCCTGGGTTTCTCACTTTGCTGCTGAACTCGCTTAGCTGTTGTAACACAAAGCCTTGATGCTTTATCAGATGGGCCTCTCTGTAGCTCAGGAGTTGTAGTCCAACAAAATTTGGAGGTCCACAGGTTCCTCATCCCTGTCTTGGTGGGAGACAACATATTGCAAAAAATAATAATATATATATATATTTGTAATAGAGTTCTCTGGTTCTGCAATATTGTAATGAGGTTAAAGTTTGGTGTGAATCCTTTACCACCATTTGTGAGCCACAGAATTTACATTCAGGTGTCCGAGAAAGGCAAACTGTACAAGTAGTATGAATAATGCACATTATTCTGAATTTGCAGGAACCTGGCTTTTATCATCATGGGGTTCCCATGAGATGAGCAATGGAATGAGACTTAGGTTTAGAGATGCCACTTGTGATGATGTTGATTACACAGAAAGTTATGATGACGCTTCAGATTATGCACTGGTCACATTTTCATCTGAGAAAAGTGACACAGCAGCACTAAAGGAGGAGAAAGCGGACAGAAGTATGATAAATGAAAATGTCCTTGATAACTATGAGGATCAAACTGAAGATGACTTAGAACAAGATATGTATGCTTTGATGCTCGGACTTCGATCACATCGTAATGGATCGATTGCTGAAGAAGAAGAAAAGCTGAATATCACTGCTCTTGCCATACAAGAAGAAATTGACAGCACCCGCAATAAGACTGATGGTAATGTAACTGTGAACTCACATCTGGTGTTCACAAATAACAGCGATACTTTACATGGTGATAAAGTGTTGGAAAGTCCAAGCAGTGCTTCGAATACAGCTGCACTTGACTCCCTCCATCCTAATTACACATCTTTGGCAAATGATACTTTGATTGCAAATGTTGCCGCAGTGGTTAGAAACTGGTCCTCTGAACAAGGCAAAAGTAACCGTACTTCACATGGTGATGATGTGCTGAAAAGTCCAAGTACTGCTCCGAATACAGCTGCACTTGACTCTCTCCATCCTAATTACACGTCTTTGGCAAAAGACACGTTAATTGCAGATATGACTGCAGTGGTTAGAAACCTGTCCGCTGAACAAGGAAAAAGTAACCCTACTTTGCATGGACCTTCTACAGAGAAGGAGCAAGAAGATAACGAAGGTGAAAAGGATACACAGCATGAAAAGAGGGAAAGGCAAGGTCTAACAGAGGCAGTATTATTTGCCCTTAAAGAGATGTATGCCCTGCTGTTTCATGTACAACAAAAAAGAAATCTTTCTGCTTTAGACAACACCACTTCAGATATTCCATTTCTTCCCATTCCCAGTGCAGAAACTGCTTCCAGCTTAGATGCCAGTCACCTTTCACATTATCTTTATGATTATGAGGATGAAGAGGAAGCAAATACTGAGTTTTCCATGCTTTCAACAAATGTACCTTTGGCTGGAGTAGAGACAGTGGAAAACAATGGTTCTGAACAAGAGTTGTTGGAAGATCAACAATATGATGATTTGACTTCTGATGGTATGTTAGACAGCTTTGCTTCTACTCCCATCCCAAAGCCCACAGAGAATTTGAAGGACTCACCTCAGCAGAGGCCAAAGTGTCCTCCCAAAAAGATGGCTTCTGAATGGAATATTGTTTCTGAGAAGGTGATTTATGATACAGAAGCAGATCTCACCAAACCTGTTGACAATAAACTACAGAACAGCTCCAGAAATGTCACCTTGTATCCAGAAAATACCATGTTCCTTAGCAAGAGAAAGCAGGAGACATACAAAGCTGGCTCCCAGCTTGAGTTAGGCCAACTAGAAATGAATAACAAGCAGGAAGCCCTGAATGAAAAGAGAAAGGTGAATTGTACCGTCAGTACACCTGGAACTTTCCAGAAGGCTCGGCGAAAGAAAAGAAAGCCAAGAGTCTTAGCACCGAGAACTTCCAAACCTCTAATGTCACCTAGAGGATTTGGCAGCAACCAAGCCTCCATTGAACGCAACCATACCATGCTGCCAAATGAGGTGTATGATACTTTGACACCAAAAGAGGATAAACCAGAGGTCAAATTAGGTTTTATAGGCGACGATGGAGAATATATGGAATATGACATAGACAGCACAATCTATGACGACAGCAGCAGTGGCTCTTATGAATATGAGACAGTACACTATCACGACCCATATATAAGAGACCCCCGACTTGACAGTTATACAGCACGTAACCCAGATGACATAGCTAAGCATTACATCCGGACTATGAACAATGCAAACATAAGGAGATACTACATTGCAACCGAAGAGGTTCTCTGGGATTATGCGGGACCAAGAAAAAGGTTTGGATGAATTATTTCTCTCTGACCCAATTCCATCTTGCTGGCTTTAGTGCAACGCGCTAAGCAGTGCAATCCTATTCATGTCTACTCAGATGCAAATCCCCCCTCGGTAATTGTGTTTAGAATTGCAGCTTAAAACCTTTTAGAATACGTCAGTCTTTATTAATGGGCTGTTTTTATTTATTTTAAATAAATAAATAAGTCCATTTGTTTCTGGGCAAATGGTTGCCCAAAGTGGCTTACAATATAAAGCAACAAATGATGAAAAGAACAATAAATAATATACCGTATTTTTCGGACTATAAGACGCACTTTTTCCCCTCCAAAAATGAAGGGGAAATGTGTGTGCGTCCTATGGGGCGAATGCAGACTCCTTGGCTTCAGCGATAGCAACGCGAAGCCTCCGAAGCCTGCGCTCCGGAGGCTTCGCGTTGCTTCCGCTGAAGCCAGGAGAGTCTGCTCTTTGAGGCTGGCGGTGGGGGAAAGCAGCGCTTCCCCCATCGCCAGCCCCAGAGGATGGGGGGCCGCAGGAAGGCGCGCGACGCCCTCCCGCTACTCTCCAACCCTCCTGTGGCCTATTGCGGGAGATGGGGTAATGCCCCCACCTCCCGCAAAAGCCGCGCGCTCTTTAAAGGGGCTCCGCGGCTTCTGCGGGCTTTTCTAGGAGGTGGGGGAATTCCCCCACCTCCTAGAAAAGCCCGCAGGAGCCGCACACCCTTTAAAGAGCGAGCGGCTCTTGGGGGCTTTTCCCCAAGGAGGGAGAAGGGACTGATTGGCCGTTTCAGTCCCTTCTCCCTCCTGGTCGAAAAGCCCGCAGGAGTCACGCGGGGCTCCTGTGGGCTTTTGCGGGAGGTGGGGGAATTCCGCCACCTCCCACAAAAACAGGGAGAAGGTCTTGGGTAGCGCACAGGCTGCGTGCAGCCTGTCCGCTGCTCCCGGAGCTGCGGGGGGGAAATCATATTTTTTTCCTTGATTTCCCCCCCTGAAAACTAGGTGCGTCCTATGGGCCGGTGCGTCCTATAGGGCGAAAAATACGGTAACCATAAAGCAACAACTCATCAACAGTCCACGCACACTCCATCAGGACTGATCGATTTTGGGTACTTCTTGATCATCAGAATCAGGTGGTTAAGCCCGCAAATCTAGGAAACTATTCTTTTTTAATTTATTCATTAGGGGATAATGGGTTGTACCACTTTGTCATGTGTAGAGTTCCGCTCATGCAAGGGGACTTGCTCCCTATATGTCCTCATAATCTGTTCTGGATGGTCCTTCAACCCTCTAGAGCAGATTTTGAGGGTGCATGAGGGGCTGCAGGGGAGAGGAGGGGAAAGATTCATTCCACAAGCAGAAGTATGTTGCAGAAGCAGAACAGCAGCACTGGGCACAATCCAGTCTCTTTATTTTCTTTCTTTAAAGCACAAAATACTTCGGTGGGGCTGTTTCAGGAAGTACACTGAGCGCCTCTAAGCAGACGGGCAAATGCAACCATGTTTGCTTAGTTATATTAAATCAGTTAATGTTTAATATTTTTACCCCACTCTGCTGTTGGTAGAACATTTCACATCCAAAATGTACAATGCAGTTAAAAACAAAAACGTCATGTCAGTTAGGAAAAATGTTCATGTAAGCCACACCAAACAGCAATCAAGTTAAAAACAACAGCAGTACTCATTCAAAGAAAAATGATTTTTAGTTTCTGCCTACAACGGCAACAAAGAAGGAGTTGGGTAAATCTCATCCTGTCTATACAGAAGGGCCCTGTGAGCTACAATTCTCAAAGTTCCCTAGGAATAGGAATTGACTGTTAAACCAATCTGACAATTATAGCTCTGTGAGAGGAATATGTTCACCTAACAATGCTCAGCATTCTTAACAAACTACAGTTCCCATGATTCTTTGGGGGAAGCCATGATTCTTTAAAGTGGTGTGATATAGCTTCAAATGTACAAAGCAGATTGGGCCAGAGTCACAGAGCCGAAATAGATGCCCTTTTGCTTTGATTCTGCAGTAGCTTCACCATTTCTCAGTCTCCAAGTGCTTACTGATATTAAAAATTTACCCACAAAAAAGTTATTGTTTATTTACAGTCTTTTCATCTCAATCCTTCCATGTCCTCAGTACAGTGAAAAGTGGCCCAGCCAGGACAGGGTACAAAAAAGTGATTTTCCGAAGTTATCAAGACGATACTTTTAGGACACCTGAAGCTGGAGGGGAATATGAGGAACACCTTGGCATCCTGGGTCCTGTCATTAGAGCTGAGGTGGATGATGTCATCCAAGTAAGTTCATGTTCCCAGTCTTTGAATAATTGAGGGCATTTCCCCCCCCCTTTTTTTAATAACTTCAAAATAAAAAAATGGATTTCATTTTTGTTTGGGTGTGTTAAAAGAAATAAATAAATTCCCTAAAAGACCATGTGTCTTCTTGTGGCTGAGTTCAGGACTGGGCATTACTAATGAAACTAGAAGCATAAATATATATAACAAATCCTTTTGAATGCAGCCTGAACAATACTCGCCAATGTGCTCTGAATGCAACAATATTGCATGAACTTCTTATAGCATGGGGGGCGGGGAATATGTGATATGGCTCCCAGATTTTGTTTGACTTCCATCAGCCCCAGTCAGTATGGCCAATAGTCATGAATGGCTTTTGGAGTCCAGCCATATCTGTAGGACCACAGGTTCCTTCTCCCTGCTGTAGTCCATTTACATGTATAACACATAAGGGTTTCTTAGTCTGTCTTCTCCTATGAGATTTTCTACTGCAGAAAGCAAAGGTGAAGTGAGTTTCCTTTCCTTCTCATTACCCCCAACTCTTGAAAGTGTGAAACATGGTTGAAGGAAACTTCCACTGACAGCAATGAAATGCATGCACTACAAACTGACCTGCAACGAGATGGGGCAGTGTAATTTGTATTTTAGATATATGTTGCCATTTTTAAATCAAAACCGATAGCAAAATGATTCAAATCAGCCAGCCATGTCTTCTTTCAGGATTCCATTCTCTCCTCCCAGATTTCCAACAGACACTTAGCATTCAATGGCTACTGAGCATGCCCAGTCTTCATTGGATTGGTGGGGGGAGGGGGTTTGCATGGGGGGTCCCTCCTAGATTCTTTTCTATTTTTTTTTAACTTCAGCAAACTTCGAGACTTACCTCCAAGCCTGCTGATATTCTTTGGTGTGGATTTTAACTACATGAGTATCAACGCTTGGAGAACTGAGCTTGTTAAGAATACACAGAGTAGGATTACTGTAGTACTAATTTATGTGTGCCGTACATGGGAGCAGAAATGCATAGCAAATCTAAATTCCAGGTAGGGCTGTGAATGGCTCCTTTCTGAAATTCTGGAGAGCTACTGCCAGGTAGTGAAGACAGTACTGAGCTAGATGGATCAATGGTCTGACTCTCTACAAGGCAGCTTGTATTGTTCCTAAATTAAACAACTTGGTTACAGTCAGAAGACAGGTAGCGACAACCATTTATAATTAAAGCATTGCATATGCCCAGCTTGTTGATCTGTACAGACAGACAGCTGTGCACAATAAGTACATCCCAAGACAGATTTTCTAACCTGTCTATAGTTTCAAAGAAATTTTCCCATGGGAGTGGAGTTCTAGATGTGACTTGATGTAGTCTCCAAAATCTGAACCCAGGATAATAAAGCTTTAAGTTTTTGGAAGGGAGGTTTTCCACCTTCATAACTGCTAATCGCTGTCCGTTCAACCAGGCAGAGGGCCTGCTTGGTAGTGGTTCCCACCCTGTGGAATGCCCTCCCATCAGATGTCAAGGAAATACAGTCGTCTCTTGGATCCCAAACACCTTGGTACTTGGACATTTTGGCTTCTGAATGCCGCAAACCCAGAAGTGAGTGTTCAAGTCTGCAAACGTTCTTTGGAACCCGAACGTCCAGCAGGGCTTCCGCGGCTTCTGATTGGCTGCAACAGCTTCCTGCAGCCAATCAGAAGCCGCGCTTTGGTTTCCTAATGTTTTGGAAGTCGAAGGGACTTCCGGAACGGATTCTGTTCGACTTCCAAGGTACGACTGTAAACAACTACCTGACTTTTAGGAGACACCTGAAAGCAACTCTGTTTTGGGAAGTTTTTAATGTTTGATATTTTATCGCTTTATGATGATGATGTTGGGAGCTGCCCAGATGGGCAGGGTGTAAATAAATTATTATTATTACTATTACTATTATTATTATTATAGATTCACTTTAAAAATCTGGCCTCCAGGCCATATTCTCTCCATGCCCATGGGCTTTATTATGAAAAGTCTTCTGAGGGTAGAAGCTATGATGACCAGTCTCCAAAATGGTTTAAAGAGGATGACGCAATCCTGCCAAATGGCACCTATACTTACGTCTGGCATGTGACCCAACGGTCAGGACCTCCAGAAGGTCAGAGAACATGTAAATCCTGGGCCTACTACTCTGCTGTAAACCCGGTAAGGCAATCTAATACAGAAAGTTTTTGTTTTTCTTTTAAAGCAGTAATACTTCTGTGGAATCCTCTGAGTGAAAAGGGAAATGAATTCTTTCAACAGTAATGAAGAACATGTTGGCTAATTTGGCTTCAAATTTGTATGCCTTTTGCTTTTCAGATATATCTTGGATTTGAGATTCCCTTAACATTTAACATTCATGAATTACTAATATGATTTAATTTATTATCAGCCTTTCACAAGCTGGTCCCAGGACAGGTTACAGCAATTTAAAATTCAGGATTTAAACAGTTTAAATTTATTACATATGAATATATCTGCATCAGAATGAAGTGAACTGATGCTTTCAAATAAACCACAAGAGCAGCAATTCATTTATCTGAGAAACTAATTTTGGAACCTCTTTCCTGTCTTGTTTTGTAGGAAAAAGATATTCACTCTGGCTTGATTGGGCCAGTCTTGATCTGTCAAAAAGGAATGCTTGACAAGTATAGCAAGCCAAAGGACATGAGAGAATTTGTCCTGCTTTTTATGGTCTTTGATGAGGAGAAAAGCTGGTACTTCAATAAATATAAAAGAAAGACTCATGCTGAGAGGATTTCCGGAGCAAAAAGGCACCATAAATTTCCTGGTATAGATGTTTTCCTTTGTCTACTATGAGATCCCTAGTGATGACGAATAATAACTATGACTATATTGAAGAAAAATGATAGGGATGTTTTCTGAATGTTAACATTTTACAGACACAAAACACTTGCATGAGATTTTTTCTCTCTCTGTTGTCACCCATGTTCCTGATAAGAGTTCAAATATAGTAGGTTTACAGTCAGAGGTCTCAAATTGTTTTAGCACAACCAGTCCTGCTATTGATTATTCCCTTGCACTAATATCAAACTCATCTTATCTTATTTTGCTTCAAATATTTTCCTGTTTCATTCCAAGGCCTCCCTCTTGATACATGTTAATGTATTCTGTTAATATTTAGTTAACAGAAAAAATATAATTAACCTCCATCATAATATACAAGTCGGTTTTCTCTTTATTCGTCAAACTTAACACTATATCCTTACTCTCACTTTCAAATTGAATTATTCTATTTAAAGAAAGTTTAACTAGAAAGGCAGAGATATTTCTCAAGGCCATTGTTTATCCCATCAGTGGGCACTAATGAGCAAAAGTTAAAAAGTTTTAAGCCCCTTGGATTTGAGCTTATATTTAACTCTTTTCCATTGAAACTGGAAGGGCTTGAAGTATTCAGTGCTGACTGGATTACATCCATTTTAATTTTCCACATCCAACCTGACATTTGTAAAGCTAACTTTCGCTAAAGCCCTTGAAAATCGCAGGTGGCAAGGAGCACAGTTCCTGGGTGCATTATTTGAAGGTGATGCCTCCATTGAGAAAATAGGGACCAACTATGTGTTGTGGTTCTGTGATTAGAACTTCCAACATAATTGTTGTCTTGTAAAACCAGCCAGTTGGCGTGTCCCAGTTTGGATGGTAGTGCCTGTAAATCTTCGTTTGCTACTAGCAACTTCAGGTGGTGGTGGTGGGGACTATTAGAGGCTTCTGCAGCTTCAGAGAAAGAGGTGAAACAGGACGTGCCGCCCCTGGTGACAGCAAAAAACAAATTACCCAATGTTGCCACAAGACCATTAGATTTCCAGGTTACTACTGTATGCTATGATGATACTATCTTAATTAAACCACGGTGCTGAAATATTCTTCTATGTCAAGGCTTTGAAGAACTAAGTAGTTATAGAAATTGCAGTTATGCATCTCAACGTTTTTTTAAAAAACAACAACCACAGAAGGATATGTGTGCTGTTTCTTAATCTCTGATCCCATGTTCTTTTTTGTTCCAGCTATTAATGGGGTTTCATACCACCTTCAGGGGTTGCGGATGTTTACGGATGAGAAGGTCCACTGGCATTTGATAAACATGGGTGGGCCAAAAGACATTCATGTTGTTAATTTCCACGGTCAGACATTCACAGAACAGGGAAGGGAAGATCATCAGCTTGGTGTCTATCCTCTTCTTCCTGGTAAATATAATCAGATGGATCCGTATATTGTTGTCAGAAAATTAAATGCTCTTCTCTATGGTGTTGGAATGACTCTGAAGAATTCTTAAGTAGTTATATCAATGTGAATAAAAAAAGAATATGATTTTTTTTTAAAGAATGACAAATGACTCAGTCCATGTAGGTGTATAAACAACCCCTGATTTCCATGGTAAATGGTTGAGAAATTATTGCAATAGAATCCACTTTGCCTCCATTAGCCTTCTGAGATGCACTGGCTAACTCCTTTAGGTTACATAAGAAGAGAGGTGAGAAACTGGATCCAGCTGGTAGTCTGGATCCTAATATTCTCCATCACCACGGGCCACTTTGACAGGGGAGCAGGCACCCACCACCTGTCAATCACCTGCGATCACCTTGACATCGGGCTAAGCATTTCTCTTTGCAGACTGGGTTGAATATAAGTTAGTATGCAAAGAGAAAATGTTCTTGTCTACAGATCTGCTCTGCTTTATTGATTTTTATCAGAAATCCTAACGTATGCAGTGAAAATATAGCATGAGAATACATAGCTGGCAGTCTAAGGCTGAATACAGTGGTACCTTGGGTTACATACGCTTCAGGTTACAGACTCCGCTAACCCAGAAATAGTACCTCGGGTTAAGAACTTTGCTTCAGGATGAAAACAGAAATTGTGCTCTGGGGGCGTGGCAGCAGCAGGAGGCCCCATTAGCTAAAGTGATGCTTCAGGTTAAGAACAGTTGCAGGTTAAGAACGGACCTCCAGAATGAATCAAGTACTTAAGCCGAGGTACCACTGTATGATTTAACCAAGAGCAACCAAAAAAACTGGATGTTTGTGAAAGTTCAGGAACCTTGTACCTGATATCTAATTCCTGTTAGTGCAGAATCTTAAAAAGCAGTAGGCTTTGGTTAAATATGATGCTGCTCTACACTTCTGACCACATTTGCAGTTTAGACATGCTTAACAAAAATGTGCATGCATTTCCTTTCTGCTTTTAAGGTTCATTTGGTACTGTTGAAATGAAACCGTCAGGAGCTGGCACGTGGCTTTTAAAAACAGAAGTCGGTGAATATCAGGAAGCAGGAATGCAAGCCTCCTTTACTGTTATAGATACAGGTAACAGAGTTTAACCATATTGAACCTCACAAAACAGGATACATAAGTGTCATTGCATGGTTGGGAAGCAGTGTGTGTGCAGTGGGATTAGCTATTGCTAGTAAATGGAGCGTTGTGTTGTATCCAATACAGCACTGGTCCAACTGTTAGGATCGTCCTACTCGCGTGTAGGACCCTGGCAGAGACACATGCCCGACTAGCATGTTCTTTCCCTCCTGGTCGATCGTTCAGAAAGCTTCAAATGCTTTCTTCAGCCCGAACATCACAGCGACTGTACCAAGAGGCATCAGCACACTTACGATCCTGCAGAGTATTTGCAGTTTGCATAACAGAACTCAGTAGCACAGCATTTTGGCTAATCTACATTTATTTGCATATAATACACTCGGAGCATTCTGACTTAGCTCCTTCCTCTTTCTCATCAGACAGCAAAGAGAGAAAGAACAAAGGACAATAGTCCCACTTCACGGAACACAGTAATACCAAAACATCCTGTCTCCGTCACTTCCCACACTGTGGAATGTAAACACACACTGTCATGTGATAGACAACAATCCCATGACTGCAAACACGGAGCAAGAATCCTAACAACTCAGAGTAGATGCACTGAAATTAATCAAGATGGCTTACTCATGTCTATTAATTTTAGTAAGTCTATTTTGACGAAAACTTTGTTGGATGCAACCCATTGTCACTGGGACAGGCCCTGATTGGGGGGTACTGGCAGAGTTTCCAGGGATGCTGGGATCATGTCTGCCATTTTTATGCTGTTTTTTTTTAAAAAAAGTCTGGCTGTGTATTTTTTTCTTCCCATCCTAGACTAAGTGCACACAAGATGTAGCAATGGTGCATCTCCATCTCACCCCCAGGTGTATCCTAGGGTATAGGATTGCTCTGCCTACCACCAGAATTTAGGTAGGCCTAATGCGTTTGATCCCTCTCAATAGGATGCAAGCTGCCCATGGGTCTAGCAAGTGGCATTATAAAAGACTCACAGATCAGTGCTTCGAACTACATAGGTAAGTTAAATTTCAAAGTGAAGGAATTTAAGTCGTTGTTGAATAAGTTTTGTCTCTTTGTAAGTGATATCCTTTAAATTCTAGCCTTTAGCAATGGAACCACTACACAATAGACTACTGCTTTAATGAACACCCACGTTCTGTGGTGGCCCAACATTAACATTTCCATTTTCCCCCATTGTGGTAGACATAAATTATCTTTCATGGTACCAAAATGGACAGCACAAATGGGTAATATACTAACTAGTAGGCATGCAATATAACATACTGAATATAACGTGTTTGTTTAAATATTTTTATTTACAATATTTATAAATATTACAATATTGTAATCTTTACAATATTACAACAACAACACATTTTTTTTCCAAATATAAACAATTGTGAATTGTCCTGGCATTTGTACAGACTCTTATGATGTATTATAATTCTTATTCTAAAAATCATCACTCCATTTTTCCATATTTGTTAGTTTCTTACCATAGTCCACATGATTAATATATTATATAAATATTTGCCACATATTGCAAAATGAAAATAGATTATGCTTGCCTCTGGCTGCTCTAATTTGACAGGTCAGTTTCTCAGCCATTCAGTGTGGTTGGGATGGTGTTTGGTTTAGCAAGCAAAGACCTGCTCTATAAATTGGTTCTGAAAATGCCATCTCAACCTACGACTTGCCCTGCTGGTGATGAATTATCAACAGCAAATTTTTCATTTGAAATGCATTACACTGTGTTTGTTTTAGCAAGTTCTAGACTGCTCCTAAGAGGGACGTGGGTGGCACTGTGGTGTAAACCACTTAGCCTTGGGCTTGACGATCGAAAGGTTGGCGGTTAGAATCCCCACAACAGGGTGAGCTCCCGTTGTTTGGTCCCAGCTCCTGCCAACCTAGCAGTTAAAAAGCATGCCCAAAAGTGCAAGTAGATAAATAGGTACTGCTCCGGCGGGAAGGTAAACGGCATTTCCGTGCGCTGCTCTGGTTTCGCCAGAAGTGGCTGAGTCATGCTGGCCACATGACCCGGAAAACTGTCTGTGGACAAACGCCGGCTCTCTCAGCCAGTAAAGCGAGATGAGCATCACAACTCTGGAGTCATTCACGACTGGACTTAACTGTCTGGGGTCCTTTACCTTTTTAAAGAAAAATTCTCACTCACTATTTTGTTTAGAGATTGCCAATGTATTATTGATAATGTTTAGTATCTTGTCCATTCGTGTCATGAATGAATCAGTCAGTTCAAACGTGTTTCCATCAAAAATGCAAGGAGCATGCAAAAAAGGATGGTAAAGACCTTGGCTGTTCTGTTGGGTTAGAATGTGTTAGCCTATTGTAGTTTGTAATGGGATTCAATAGCTTTTATTTATTGTTAATAATGTAGTTTACAACCACAAAACTGCTTTTTTTAAACAGTTGTTCCGAAAACTGGCATCGTTTAAGCTTTTCAGTTTCCTTTTGCAAAACATTTTCTGTTTGGTCTTACCCAGGATACTGGGAGCCTAAACTGGCAAGATTAAATAATGATGGAAAATACAATGCTTGGAGCGCTGGGAAGAACGAAAGTGAACTTCCCTGGATCCAGGTATGATTTGATCACAGAAACAGTTTTATGAGTATAGATTTGAAGTAACTTGATTTAAAATAGCTTGCTTTTCTTTTTTAGCTTAAATAAAAAATGCTGAGTTGAAGGTATGATGGCCTGTGTGGGTAAAAGAACCGAATTCGAATATCCTTTATTAGGCATAGCAAACCACACATTATCAAACAGACACCATATACAAACTGTGCAAAATACAAGCTCAACATAACAAGGTTTGTCCCAGTCAGATCTTTAACTCCAGAGAAAATCAGTTTGCATAAATAATACAATACAACACTACCATATCACCGATCAATTTGTTGTTGTTGTTTAGTCGTGTCCAACTCTTCGTGACCCCATGGACCAGAGCACGCCAGGCACTTCTGTCCTCCACTGCCTCCCGCAGTTTGGACAGACTCATGCTGGTAGCTTCGAGAATACCATCCAACCATCTCGTCCTCTGTCGTCCCCTTCTCCTTGTGCCCTCCATCTTTCCCAACATCAGGGTCTTTTCCAGGGAGTCTTCTCTTCTCATGAGGTGACCAAAGTATTGGAGCCTCAGCTTCACGATCTGTCCTTCCAGTGAGCACTCAGGGCTGGTTTCCTTAAGAATGGATAGGTTTGATCTTCTTGCAGTCCATGGGACTCTCAAGAGTCTCCTCCAGCACCATAATTCAAAAGCATCAATTCTTCGGCAATCAGCCTTCTTTATGGTCCAGCTCTCACTTCCATACATCACTACTGGGAAAACCATCGCTTTTACTATACGGACCTTTGTTGGCAAGGTGATGTCTCTACTTTTTAGGATGCTGTCTAGGTTTGTCATTGCTTTTCTCCCAAGAAGCAGGCGTCTTTTAATTTCGTGACTGCTGTCACCATCTGCAGTGATCATGGAGCCCAAGAAAGTAAAATCTCTCACTGCCTCCATTTCTTCCCCTTCTATTTGCCAGGAGGTGATGGGACCAGTGGCCATGATCTTCATTTTTTTGTTGTTGAGCTTCAGACCATATTTTGCGCTCTCCTCTTTCACCCTCAATAAAAGATTCTTTAATTCCTCCTCACTTTCTGCCATCAAGGTTGTGTCATCTGCATATCTGAGGTTGTTGATATTTCTTCCGGCTATCTTAATTCCGGCTTCAGATTCATCCAGCCCAGCCTTTCGCATGATGAATTCTGCATATAAGTTAAATAAGCAGGGAGACAATATACAGCCTTGTCTTACTCCTTTCCCAATTTTGAACCAATCAGTTGTTCCATATCCAGTTCTAACTGTAGCTTCTTGTCCCACATAGAGATTTCTCAGGAGACAGATGAGGTGATCAGGCACTCCCATTTCTTTAAGAATTTGCCATAGTTTGCTGTGGTCGACACAGTCAAAGGCTTTTGCATAGTCAATGAAGCAGAAGTAGATGTCTTTCTGGAACTCTCTAGCTTTCTCCATAATCCAGCGCATGTTTGCAATTTGGTCTCTGGTTCCTCTGCCTCTTCTAAATCCAGCTTGCACTTCTGGGAGTTCTCGGTCCACATACTGCTTGAGCCTTCCTTGTAGAATTTTAAGCATAACCTTGCTAGCATGTGAAATGAGTGCAATTGTGCGGTAGTTGGAGCATTCTTTGGCACTGCCCTTCTTTGGGATTGGGATGTGGACTGATCTCCTCCAGTCCTCTGGCCACTGCTGAGTTTTCCAAACTTGCTGGCATATTGAGTGTAGTACCTTAACAGCATCATCTTTTAAAATTTTAAATAGTTCAGCTGGAATACCATCACTTCCACTGGCCTTGTTATTTGCAGTGCTTTCTAAGGCCCATTTGACTTCACTCTCCAGGATGTCTGGCTCAAGGTCAGCAACCACACTACCTGGGGTGTACAAGACAGCCATATCTTTCTGGTATAATTCCTCTGTGTATTCTTGTCACCTCTTCTTGATGTCTTCTGCTTCTGTTAGGTCCTTACCACTTTTGTCCTTTATTACGGTAATCTTTGTACGAAATTTTCCTTTCATATCTCCAATTTTCTTGAACAGATCTCTGGTTCTTCCCATTCTGTTGCTTTCCTCTATTTCTTTGCATTGCTCGTTTAAGAAGGCTTTCTTGTCTCTCCTTGCTATTTTTTGGAAATCTGCATTCAATTTCCTGTATCTTTCACTATCTCCCTCGCATTTTGCTTGCCTTCTTCCCCCGCTATTTGTAAGGCCTCGTTGGACAGCCACTTTGCTTTCTTGCATTTCTTTTTCATTGGGATGGTTTTCGTTGCTGCCTCCTGTATAATGCTGCGAGCCTCCACCCATAGTTCTTCAGGCACTCTGTCCACCAAATCTAAATCCTTAAACCTGTTCCTCACTTCCACTGTGTATTCATAAGGGATTTGACTTAGATTGTATCTTACTGATCAATTAAGAACCACTAAATCTCTTTATAATGGCCTAGTCTTTCTACATAGACAGCACTCAGAAATTCAGCCACTATTAAAGTAATTTGATCATTCCTGTCCGAGAGCAGGTCCTGAACCGTTGGTAGCATAGAATTGAGCCTGTTGAGTGGACGGACTCTAATAATTGTCTTCTGGCATAAATGCCAAAATCACAAGAAAAGAAAATATGCTCCAAAGTATCATGTTCCTGTTTACTACATTTGCAGAGATGCTCTGATTCTGGGAGAGCTAAATATCTTCCTCTTACTATCATCGAGGGAAACATATTAAATCTGGCTAACATAAACAGGCTGCACAATTCACGATTCTTCAGATTTGTCATGTATCCCTTTTGGAAAATCTCTGCACAAAGGGAGATTTAAATAGAGAGGAGAGCAAGTGCTGTGCTTTGCAACCTCAAGAGTGGAGAGAACACTTTTTTTCTGAAAAATTCTTCCTGATAATTTCCCAAGTAACTTTGGGGTCAGAATTTTCAAGGGTAAAAGAACCAATAGACTAGACATCAGAAGGTCCTTAAGCTTTGAACTTCTGGAATAGCCTGATGGATAAAGTTGCAGGCCGAAGAGCATTGTTGTACTTGAAACAGAGTAGGATAAATTTATTAAACATCTCTTGTAACTGCAAAAATGGAAAATGTTCAGAAAAGAGCATGCAGTATGATTAAGGAGCTGGAACAACTCCCCTATGAGAAAAGGTGGCAACAATTGGACCTTTGCAGGTTAAATAAAAAGCGGAGTGAGGGGTAGGGCATGACAGAGATCTATAAGATAATGCATGATGTGGAGAACGTGGTGAAATTTTCTCTCATTATACCATAACTCACAGGACTGTCCAATAAAGCTAAATGATGGAAGAATCAGGACAGACCAAATAAATTCTATTTTCATGCAAAGCTAAACTCTGGAATTCACTTTCAGAAAATGTAGAGCTACCACCAACTTGGATGGCTTTATAAGAGGATTAAACAAATATTCCATCAATACTATCCAGGACATCATGCCTCTGAATACCAGTTCCTAGGAGTCACAAATGTGGGGAGTGCTGTCACATTCCAGTGCTGCTTGTGGGCTTCCTACAGGCATCTGGCTGGCCTGTCAGAACAGGACACTGGACTTTGATGGGCTTAATCTTAAATTTGTGGGGCTCTAAATAAATTCATATTCTTCCATTTGAGACTGTTGGGGTCATATTTTCCTTTTATGAGCTTTGGAAAGCTTATACCTTCCCTCTTCTTTGAAGGTATCAGGGACAGCTTCAATCTGAGATGAGATGCTAGGTGATGTGGATTTGTATCAATATAATCTGATGGATTGCCATGTTTGGTGTCAGGCCAAATTGCCTAAAGATGCCTGGCTGGGCCTGTGTGGCTTCTTGATAGTCTTGTGTGAGTCATCTGGTGGCCCAATAGGTTGTTTGTGACGAGATAACAAGCAGTGGGTTAAAAGTTGTTTGGGTCTGGGAATAGGAATAGGGGATTGACCTATAGGCCCTGTGATCACGTCTGTAATCTTCTCAACTCTGCAGTTCTGTGTCATCTTTGAAAAAGAAAATATTAAGCCTATTGTAGTGGCTACGAATGTTTTGAAACATCTTTCTGAAGTTCATGGCTGAGACAGAGAGAGATTTGAGGTCCATCTGCGGGCTTGCGTGTGCTTAGGGCAATTTGGCACACTTCTACTTCATCAGCTAGGGTAGAAAGGTCACTTAATACTGTTTATTTGAATTCTGAATATCTAGAGAAAGGGCTTTTGTACTGGTAAATAGTACCACTACTGAAAGAACATAAACAAAAGACAATGCCCCCAGAACTTAGAAGGAAAATATGATTTTAAAGGAAAATATGACCTATCAACAAAAGTGTTGTTTTCTACTTCTGACTTGCTCTCTGTTTGCCCCTTGCTACAAAATGGTTCATGGCCTTCACCAGGTCAGAAGATCTTTGCTGTATCCAGTTATATATTCCTGTCACTGTGCAATCATGCAGATGCCAAATGTTTTTCCATTTTTGGTATGGTTTTTTTTTGTCCTACGTGAGACTCTTGATTTTACTTATTTCAAGTGCCCCAAATTGCTTAACTCTAAAGTAGGACTACATAACCTTCTAAGGAAATGTACCTTGCTCTTAAAAAGTCTTGTTTTAGCCATCCTAGGCAGGTAGTTTATTGAAGAACTAGTGCAGGTATGGCCAAATTTGGCCCTCCAGATGTTTTGGGACTACAATTCCCATCATCCATGACCACTGGTCCTGTTAGCTAGGGATGATGGGAGTTGTAGTCCCAAAACATCTGGAGGGCCAAGTTTGGCCATGCCTGCCTAGTGGAACTGCCTTCTGTGGTGGATGTCCTGTATTCTGTATGCACTGATTGGAAATGAAGCAGTGTGACTGCCCCAAAACATTTGCTGGCACAAATAGTATCAAAGGTGGGATTGTGTATGATTTCCCCAATAGGATAATGAGCACCAAGGCTGACGAGGACAGCAGTGGGGAGCTGGTACAAATTACTGGGGCCCAGTGGTCTGGAAGGGACCCCAGATCCTAACTATCTTGCATATGTTTTTGTCTTTCTCAGTGGCATCATTACAGACAGAAAAACAATAAAGCTGCATATTATATGAAAAAATGAACATTGAAAAATAAAAATAAACTGGCTGAGTCACAACATACACGTAGAACTAGTCATATACCATGGAGTTTTACATGTGCATGTGCCAAAATCACACTTGTCTTTCTCACAAAGAGGATACCTTTCCAATGAAACTGCACTTATATGGATCTACTGTTTTGCTCCTGTATAGGTGGACCTAGAAAACCAGGTTCTAATCACAGGCATTCAGACTCAAGGAGCCAAGCAGTTAATGCGTTCCTTGTATACAGTGGAGTACGTCATTGCCTACAGCAAAGATGGAAGAAAATGGGTTGCTTTTAAAGGGAATCACTTAGGAGCACAGAAGGTGTGTATATTTACTGTACTTGTCCCTGTTTTCCACTTGAAAAAAAAAAGGCAGCAGGCATTGAAGTTTTTGCCCAAGGGATAATATACTGTAGATTAATATAAAGAGAGCCAATGTGGTGCAGTTGTTACTGTTAGATTCCTGGACTATGACAAAGGAGATTAGGGTTCAAATTTCCACTCAGCCGTGAAGCTTACTGGGTGACCTTGGGCCAGTCTTGCCGCCTAATCTGCTTTACAGTGTTCTGAGGATAGCTTTTTCACCTTCCTTGCTCCACCCTCCAGCCCTGGGAGCCTTTATAAGAGACCTGTTCTGCTACCTGTTCTTTATTGTAATTGATAAGTGCAGACTGTTAAATTATTATTTGCTGATGTTTAATTTTACTGTTTACTGTTGGATTCTAATGGATTATTGAATATTGCTTTATTTTATATAAATTGTTTATTTTAAAGTTATTGTGACTTTTTGTATAGGATCGGATTGTTACTATTAATGTTCAATATTTTATTATTTTTATGTGTGTTGGAATATGGGTGGGGTAATAATAATTATTATTATTTTATTTTATTTTATTTTATTTATTTTATTATGCAACAGCATTGGAATAAAAATTGGTTCAGGGCTATTATGGTCCATCTTTTTTAGCCCGAGCAATTGTATAGAAATCATGTCCTCCCTTAAAGAGGGCACATGTTGTGGTGAGACCTGGAAACCGATCCCCTGTGTTGTGGGTGGGTAAGATTCGTCAGCCACAACAACCGATTGGTAGGTCCCTCATAGCTAGGTGCAATCTGGCCAATGGGACACAGTCCAAACGGTTCGAGGGACCTATTTATACCCATTCACATGACCCAGAGCTTCCTCTTTTGGCGCGTGCATTCAGAACACCTGACCACCTCTCCCTACTTTTAGGGCTTTTGTGCTTGACCTTGCTATGATGTCGTGTGTCATCTTTCATTGGGACAGGGGCATGGAAGGAATTTTCCCCACTAGGCTGATTGGCTGTTGCCATTTGGGTTTTGCCTGCTGCGTAGCAAATTGTCACAACTTGTAAGGTTGCATATAGGCTCTGGTTCAGGTGATAGCGATGGGAGAACGCTCTGCCATCCCTATGTGAAGGGTATTCCATAAAAGGAATCCAGGGACTCAAATGGTTTGGTCAAGCCCTGAGAGGGGGTTGTGCTTGTGTCTGAGTCCAGGGGGTCATCTGGGTGGCGGATATAGTCCGTTCCCGACTTTTCGCTTATCCAGGTGTTCACCCTTGGCTGACCTATGCTGGAACCCTGGGTCAGCGCTACCTGCATGGCAGGGAGCTAGTCGAACCAGGGCCTATGGAACCACTCACTTTCTGTAATCAATAAAGTTGTGGCCTAAATTCTGCCAAAAACCAAAACTAAAATTTGAGTCAAGTGTGAATTTATTTAAGGGGGAGGTTTCTGGGTCTATACAGGCAAATGGGCAGAATCCATGTAATAAAATATACATGAGATACTTCACTGGGAGTGCATCCATTAACAAATACCGCAGAATTACTTACAGAGCTCTTTTGTTTCCACTAGGTGTTTGAAGGCAATTCAGATGCCCATGGAATAAAAGAAAACCTCATTGACCCTCCTCTTGTTGCTAGGTATATTAGGGTGTATCCAACCAAGTTCTATAACAGGCCTACTCTTCGTATGGAACTCCTGGGTTGTGATACGGAAGGTAAGACCTGGACCCTGCAGCTGAGGCCTTTCTGTGTGTACATCTTTGCTGTAAACCATACTGTTGCTTAGGAGATCTAACCAGGATGTGTCCATATTTTTATGATAGATTGCTTTATGCCGTTGGGAATGGAAAGTGTGGCTATCAAGAATGTGCAAATTACAGCCTCTTCTTATAAGAAGACTTGGTTGGGTTCATGGGAGCCATCTCTTGCCCGCCTCAATCTCAAAGGAAAGATGAATGCCTGGCAAGCAAAGGTAAAGACGAAAGCTGCAAAATCAAAGCTTCTGCAGTTGTTTATTTTTTTAATAATGTAAAAGTAGAGTAAAAATAAAATAATCAGGGTCGCACATAAGCTAACCATCATATTAAAATAGCATATAAAGAAATCAACAGAAAAAGAGGAAAGAAGTTAGCGCTAGTGCTAGTGAATGAACTCCGTTAAAAAAAATTAATACCTGTAGCTTGAAGTCATTGGATCTACTCCAGTGTACACAGGCTCAGCAGCTGTAATGCCTGCAGGTGATATCCTTGATTAGTATATACACTTAACCCTGGAATACTGAGCTTATTAAGACTTACTTCTGAGCAGACATATATGGAATTGTGCTTGAATGAAGTGTTGGTTATTTAGCTTTACATTTTTCATTGCTTTCTTTTAACAACTATGTTTTATTTTCTTTGAATTACTTCCACTTTACAAATTATTTTGATTTTAGGTCAACTAATACATATAATTAAATAAAGAATACATGGAAGGATGCTAAACACTTGGCTATTTTAGAGTCTTCGTCCAGCGTTCAGTGACCCTGTGCACTTCTGTAGAACTCAGTTAAAGATTTGCATGTATTGGATATTCACCAGTGAACTTGCACAACTCAGTGTTATTATTGTTCTCATTAATTTTACAGTCCAACAACAACCAACAATGGCTGCAGATTGATCTCCTTCAATCTAAGAAGATAACAGGCATCATAACACAAGGAGCTAAATCAATGTACAGTGAAATGTATGTGAAGACATTTTCCATCCTCTACAGCGATGATGGTTCAGTGTGGAAGCCTTACATAAATGATTCAACTTCCACGGAAAAGGTACCAATTCTTCCTCCCCCTCCCTATTTATTATTTTCATTTATGCTAAGCATTAAAAATGTTGGCCACCTCCGCCCCCACTACTGAGGTCTCCTTTAACAGTCTTGATTTGCCAGGTTTGACTCAGTGACTATACTGCCAAATCATTTTGCTTCACCAAGGATTTAGGGTTCTTACAAGCAATATAGGGACCAGTGATCATTAGATACGGCTTGTGTAACGCAGAATAAAATACTGGAGCTACATCTCCGAACAGTGTTTTTATTGTAAAGATCAAAATCTAGAGGCCTTAGGTCCAAATTCTAATGTGTAGTGGATCCCCCTACCACACTGTGGGGACTGGAGCTTGGGAAGATCTCTGCCTGAGAACTTAGAGAATCATAATAGGTACAGTGTTTGCCGTGGACTCAAAGGATGGCCCAATGGCCTGACACATAAGGGACTGCACAGGTTTATATGAACTTAGATATTATGTGCCATTGTGGGAATATGAGTTAGTCCAACCTTTTGTCTACTCATTGCGCATTCATTCTCCACTATTGCCCACTCATTTTGTTATACTTGTTTTCAGGTGTTCACAGGCAACATTAACAGTGGTGGCCTAGTCAAGAACTACTTCAGGCCACCGATATTTTCCCGATTCCTTCGTGTCATTCCAAAAACATGGAATCTGAGTATTGTACTTCGGATAGAACTCTTTGGCTGTGATGTGTTTTAGGGGCTGAACAGAAGACTGTCATACTGAAAGCCCCATAACCTTTAAGCTTGCTGATACCAGATGTTGTAAAAGGGGAAACCAGAACAAAAAACTCTTTTAGAGTGATTATGGTGTGCGTATACAAAGCACTTTAAGCTGTGGATTGGAATAGCTTTGAAAATTCAATTAAAAGACATTCATACCTATTTAAGTACTGTGAATGCATAAGATAAACAAGCAATTGTATTTTTCATTATCACTGTGAATAGATACCTTAATGTATTACCATCATTGCTTTTGCCTTCTTCTGCACTTCCTACCTTCCCTCTTCCATGCTCAGAACAGCATGCTTAAACCAGATAGTAAGAACAGGAATGAGGAATGGGGTCAGGAGACTCTGATCAGTGAGCTGTCAGCAGACGTATGAGCTTTGTTTACCAAAGGATTCTGAAGAGCCATTCCTTCAAGGGAGGTTAGTTGGTCATCTTCTAATTCAGGGGTCACCAACGTTTGTAGGTCTGTAAGCACATTTGGATTTTTGAGATTGTGCTATCAACACCACCCACTTTTCATTTCTCCTCTGCCCCACCACCATGAGAGACAGAAAGATAGTGCACATATTTCCCTTACTATGGGACCTGGATAGAAGTTGGATCTAGCAGAATTAATTTCAGCCTTGGAAAGGGCATAGAGCTGAAAGAGAAGTGGGTAATAGAGTTGCTCTTTCAACTTCCTCCCTAAGGAGAGGAAAGGTAAGCCCCCTTATTACCAAGGAGACAGCTCAGAGGGGGCACCTGGGCAAGACCTCAGGAGCTCCACTACAGCCACAGGTGCCACGTTGGTAACTCCTGTTCTGATTCTTCACAAAAGCCATCCCTGCTGCTGCTGATAAATGAACATTCACAACATTTGTCAGTATAACTGATCTAAGTAGACAAACACCGCCATTGGTTCTACATTATCTCAGATGAGTTCCAAAGTGAAAAGGGCAGTTCCCAAAGATAAGTAGGAAATCAAAGAATTGTAGAGTTCTGTGATTTTCTGCATATCATCTAGATGTTTGTGCTTCCAACAATTATTGACTTCATTGTATGTGGGGAAAGCGTTTAAAAGAACTTACACTGCATATTAGAGAATGATTTAAGATGAGTAGAAATGGTAATGTAAGGTATGTCTCCAAATGCACAGTCATGTATTTTGCTAACTATCTATGGTTAGGTCTTCCTTCCATGACTTTGGAGGTGGATTAACACTGAAATTCCTAAGCGGGTGGTAAATCTTTCTGCAAGATGCTTAACACTTTTTCAGGAACTATTTCATGATGTTATTCATATTTTCTGAATAAAATGCAAAACAATGCATATCTAATGTGTAAAAAGCACACTTGGTGGCAGCTCCCGTTTATTCCAACAACTTTAAAAATCACTGAACTGGAAGACCTTTGGACTGTTACTAAGAGGCAAAGAAAATGTGCTGTATTCTTATTTCTGTATAACAAAACTGACACTGTATGAGGGGAAATGCTAGAAAGGAATTAGTTCAAAAACACTGAAATCATGGCTCAGCCAGTGTGGTGCAATGAGTAAAGTTTGCAGCCTGGGTGCAGGAACTTAAGTTCAGATCCCATCATCTCTGAACACTGGCCATACTTGCTGCTGGATGGGATTTGGAGTCCAGCACAATCTGGAGGTGGCACAGATTCCCCATCCTTCACCCATGGATAGCAAATGTTGTTTCATTCTTTCCTGCTGTGGAACAAAGGCCCAAACTATATATGATGTAGGAGACATTTACTTCTTCTTTTTAAAGTATAAAATCAACTGGGGAAGGGCCTGAACAGGATCCAGTCACTGGTGCTATTGGAGGCATTTGACTCCATTCCCCTACACTGTTTCCCCAACTAAAATCAATTATCGCAAAGCTGCTATTAGTTCTAGTTGAGGAGTGGTGAAGCCCCCACATGAGCTAACATCAATTTAGAAGTGGCGAGCAATTTCTATAGAGCAAATGGTAGGGGGAGAAAGGGTGAAACCTTGATCAATTTCAGCCTACATCTGCTTTGAACGAAATAAAAAGAATTTTGAGAAATCTCATCATGACTTTCATGCAATTTGGCCCAAAGTCACAGAAAACTGGATAAGTGCTTAATTAGATCTAATCTGAGGCCGTGGTTGTTTTTAAAAATCTGAAGTTTTTTGCCAAGCTGACTACTGCTAGATGCATCTGATTCACTTTATCAAGCATGTTAAATTTTTAACAAATCATTCATTGTTGTTATTTCTTATAACTGTGAAGGATGAGTTTACTTCAAAGCATCTGACTCAAACTCTGGGTTGCAACATTATTATGTTTTTCTGTTCAGAGTTCCTGCACACAGCCAGCTCATATGCTTACCATATGAATATTATTCTTCCTGTATTCATTGTACTTTATTTAAACTGGATTTTATTTTCCATTTCACTTTTGGCAAATAACATTGTATTGGTCTTAAACAATCAGCTATGATCCTAGCTTAGCCTCTGACATCCAGCTATTTGTAGGGCTGTTGCACAAACACGAGTACATGGATATACTGTGTCGCCTGCCTTTACCAAGGCAGATAACTCAGGTTGACATAGCAGAGGTAAATCCTAGGATGCAAGGAAGAGAAACCTGAAAAAGTAAAGAAAGGAGCTACAGCTCTGCTTTGTTGTATCTGTGTGGTGCTTGAGCACACCTTGGCAAAATAATTTCATTGCAATGTTTTCGCTCCCATAAAATATGCTAATGAAACCGAAGCAAGCTTTTCATATATTTTCTTTAATCCTTCCTCATAATAGCAAGGATGATTTGGCTAGAAATAGTCTCATTTCACAGTAAGAAATTGAATTTGAGAACTACAACACAATTCTATTCATGTTTACTTGGAAGTCCCACAATATTCAGTTGCTGACATCCAAGTAGCTCAGTATTTGCATGATAATTTTAATACAAATAATTTTAGTACTTTATAATTAATGCAATATTGTATCATTGATTATTCTGTTTAGAATTTGTGTAGCTTAACTCAGGCCAGCATTTTAAACTTTTCAGTAGTGTACATCATTAGCTCACATCTTAATTACCGTATTTTTTGCTCTATAAGACTCACTTTTTCCCTCCTAAAAAGTAAGTCTTATGGAGCGAATGCAGGCTGCGCAGCTATCCCAGAAGCCAGAACAGCAAGAGGGATTGCTGCTTTCACTGCGTAGTGATCCCTCTTGCTGTTCTGGCTTCTGAGATTCAGAATATTTTTTTTCTTGTTTTCCTCCTCCAAAAACTAGGTGCGTCTTGTGGTCTGGTACATCTTATAGAACGAAAAATACGGCAAATCAGGAGCTCTTTACAATATACTGTATAACCAGGAAATATTATTTTCCCTTTCTATCTGTTGGCCCTGTCTTTTGCAATACATTCAGCTGATCTTATGTGGAATAAGGTGATTCCTGGGTGACTACACCTGAAATTTCAAAAGACCATGCTTAGTCATTAAGCAGAAACAGTCTCGTGTATGATGCTTGCTACAACGTGCTTTGAGAGTGCCTTCAGCAATAACTGAAACTGGTTTACTCTGGTGAAATAGATAGGTTCTGAGGTGACTTCACTCTGACTTTGTACTTCATGCAAAATTCAACAGAGAGAGGGATCCAGATTATGTTATTAGGTTGATGAAGACTCAGGCTCCCCAAAGTTTCAGAGGGGAGAAGCTCCTTACATGATGTAGTCTAGACTGAAGTCTTGTTCTAGAAGTATAGACTAATCTAGGCAGGGCACAGAAGCAGCCCTGTTTCCCGAGCCCTTTCCACTCCTTGGAGCAGGGCCTTTTAAAGCCCTCAAGAGTCCTGGGTGGGGGGGGGTGTACATTCATTCATTTGAGAGGCTCTCAGGAAGAATGTACTGTTTGTCAAAATCCATGTGGTCCCTCTGTGTATGAGACCTGGGCCTATCCTGAATATTGTGGACATTTCCCTTAATATAGAGCAAAGGCTATTTTTAGATCTGACCTTGGATCGGGGTAAAACTCATGAAACTCAATAACAGAAGTTCAGCAAGGAAAGAGAAAGGATGCTGTTGAGTGTACAGAAGGCAAGCCTTGTGGCTAGTAACCTAGTACACTAATTCTCAAGGATTCCTCCTGCTATTTCTAGATCTAGATAGCAATCAATTGTGACAACACAGATTCAAAAATAATGTGTCAGATCAATGGGTCCTAAACTACAAAGTGATAGGCAAAACAGTCATGAGAACTGGTAGTGGTTGTGACACCATATTATTCAGAGCCTCTTTGTTTTTGAAGGTTCAGATAACAATTGCATCACCTAAAATTCATGTCAACTGCAGCCACAAGGTCAGATGCTTAATTAAGGCACAGCTTTTTATCTAATTGTGTGTGTGAGAGATACTTTAAAGGATACACAGAACAACAATATCCTTGATAAAATAATATAACCTAGTTGTACTCAGAGTAGACCCACTGAAGTTAATGGACATTCAATTTTTTATCAGTTATATACCACTTTATCTTCAAAGGAGCTAAAGGTGGTATACATTGTTGTCCCCTCCCCATTTTAATCTCACAATAACCCTGTGAGGTAGGTTAGGCTGAGAGACAGTGACTGGCCCAAGGTGACTGAGTGATGTGCCCATCATTAGGGTTTATTAGGGTCTACTCTGAGTAGGACATAGTGGAATACAACCTAGAAGAAGAAGAGTTTGGCCTTGATATCCCGCCTTTCACTCCCCTTAAGGAGTCTCAAAGCAGCTAACAATCTCCTTTCCTTTCCTCCCTCACAACAAACACTCTGTGAGGTGAGTGAGGCTGAGAGACTTCAGAGAAGTGTGATTAGCCAAGGTCACTCAGGAGCTGAATGTGGAGGAGCGGGGAAGCAAACCCAGTTCACCAGATTATGAGTCCACCGCTCTTAACCACTACACCATGCTGGCTCCTACTGTAAGAGAGCACAGATGCTGGGTCTAGTGGGGTCTGAACTTGGGTGTATATACTTTCACACATTACCGACTACTTACTTACACAAGTGTTTCCCATGCCAGCTTCTAGCAGTTTCCATGTCAAGAAGTTTGCCTTGGTTTCTAATGTCTAATCAACATTGGATCCTACTCAGCAACCTTTCCACAAATGTTGCAACACCATCTTTCATTCAGATGGTTCAAAACTGACTCCGGATATTACTGACGGTGACTTTTGACCGATCTGACGGCTGGATCCAAGGGTCAAATATGTAGCCTAAGGAAAGACACCTGCAGAATGTGCAAAATCCCATGGCCTGAGATGCTCTCCCAGGAACCATAGGATTCCACCCTTATACACCCTTTTGTTGGGGGGTGGGAGAACCCCAGTTAGCTATGTATTTCCATCAATTTGCATTGATTTATGGGGGGGCAGCTGCCCCTCCCTGCCCACTCTTGACTACGCCCATTCCCTTATATGACTTGTGAACTGCCCTGTGATTCTCGGATGAAGAGAGGTATTGTGATAATAACAATTTTTAAAAATTGAAAAATCACTTAGAAGCATCATTTTTGTTGTTTAGTTGTTTAGTCGTGTCTGACTCTTCGTGACCCCATGGACCAGAGCACGCCAGGCACTCCTGTCTTCCACTGCCTCCCGCAGTTTGGTCAAACTCATGCTGGTAGCTTCGAGAACACTGTCCAACCATCTCGTCCTCTGTCGTCCCCTTCTCCTTGTGCCCTCAATCTTTCCCAACACCAGGGTCTTTTCCAAGGAGTCTTCTCTTCTCATGAGGTGGCCAAAGTATTGGAGCCTCAGCTTCAGGATCTGTCCTTCCAGTGAGCACTCAGGGCTGATTTCCTTCAGAATGGATAGGTTTGATCTTCTTGCAGTCCATGGGACTTTCAAGAGTCTCCTCCAGCACCATAATCCAAAAGCATCAATTCTTCAGCCATCAGCCTTCTTTAAGGTCCAGCTATCACTCCCATATACTTTCCCATATACAGTGGTGCCCCGCAAGACGAAAAACTCGCTAGACGAAAGGGTTTTCCGTTTTTTGAGGTGCTTCGCAAGACGAATTTCCCTATGGGCTTGCTTCGCAAGACGAAAACGTCTTGCAAGTTTGTTTCCTTTTTCGTAAAACCGTTAATACCCAGGGCACATTGCTTGAAGAGGTGCAGTTGCGACTTGACTTCGAGGAGCAACACATAGCACGCGGTGTGGTAGCCTTTTTTGAGGTTTTTGAGGACTTTGCTGATTTTTGAAGCTTTTCCAAAACTTCTTTTGCAGCCATTTGGTAAGTTAAACTTTTAAAACTTTTTTGGGGTTTTTTGGATATTTGGTTGGGGTGTTTGGAATTCAAGGACTTGGTGTTGGGGAGAGGTTTGCAAGAATCTGGGAGCTTGTGTGGTTTTTTCCTGCATTTTTATGATTTTTTGTGACCATTGGGGCACTCTGCTGTTTTGTTTTTTTTTTTAAAATTTCTGGGTTTGAATTTCTGTGTGGTGGGTGGCTGGGGGAACAGTTGAGGAGGGGTTTGCAAGAATCTGGGAGCTTGTGTGGGGTTTTTTTTGAATTTTTATGATTTTCTGTGACCATTGGGCCATGTTGTTTTTTTAAAAAAAAAATTTCTGGGTTTGAATTTCTGTGTGGTGGGCGGCTGGGGGAACAGTTGGGGAGGGGTTTGCGACAGTTGGGGAGGGGTTTGCAATTTCTGTGTGGTGGGTGGCTGGGGGAACAGTTGAGGTTTTTGAAGACTTTGGTGATTTTTAAAGCTTTTCCAAAACTTCTTTTGCAGCCATTTGAGGATTTTGAAGACTTTGGTGATTTGCAGCCATTTCGTAAGTTAAACTTTTAAAACTTTTTTTGGGGTTTTTGGATTTTGGGTTGGGTTTTTGGAATTCAAGGACTTGGTTCTGGGTTTGAATTTCTGTGTGGTGGGTTGAATTTCTGTGTGGAGGGACATTTGCATGAAGTGGAAGGATGTGCAGGCTTTTGCACAGCGGCACCACCCTAACAAGCACGTGGCACATGACCTTGCGAACACTTTTAATACGACGGTCATGTCGCCTTTCAGGGAGGTGCTGAAAAGGCGGATGAAGCAGCAGACCATGGACAGGTTCTTCAGCAAGAAGCAATGAGTGGACGAGGCACCTTCGTCGAGTGGTCCCCAGAGTCTTAGAAAATGTACTGTACACTTTGTTGATTTTTAAATGTTTTTCTGTCATGTTTAGAAACTTAATTTATTGTTCCTTCAATTTTTGAAATGCTCTTTACAGTATGTGTGACTTTAAAGAGCACTTAATAAACTCTTGTTGTACCAAATTTGGCTTTGTTTGGACTTTTTTTGAACGCATTAATTGAATTTCAATGCATTCCTATGGGATTTCGTGCTTCGCAAGACGAAAAATTCGCTAGACGAAAAAACTCGCGGAACGAATTGATTTCGTCTTGCGAGGCACCACTGTACATCACTACTGGGAAAAGCATATCTATGCCTGTTGTCTTTGTCCATGGATTTTTCTTGGCAGGGATACTGGAGTGGCTTGCCGGTTCCTGCTCCAGGTGGATCACGTTTGGTCAAAACTCTCCACTATGACCTGTCCGTCTTGGGTGGCCCTGCACGGCACAGCGCATAGCTTCTCTGAGTTATTCAAGCCCCTTCGCCACGGCAAGGCATATGTTTATTAAAAAAACCAGAGAGCCCAGTGTATCTATGTGTGTGTGGTGTGGGGACACCCGCAAGCCACACCTCTCAGGTTGCAGCAAAGGTGCAGTTCTTTAAATTCCAATTCAAAGACCGCCTCCTGAAGCCCCCGCATCGCACTTCTTTACAACGCTCCGCGGGGGCGCACGGAGATTTCCGTCCCCCGCTCCCACTACCACCCCCCCCCCCCGCACCGACACCGGAAGTTGCGGGGCGTGCCTCCCGCGCGCGCCTGCCGCGCGCGCTACTGCGCAGGGCCAAGGTGCCTTTGGCGCTCGGCCGCGTGGGCAGCGGCGCAGATTTGTGCGAGCCGAGCGAGCGGTGCACTTCAGAAAGAGAGAGAGAGAGAGAGGGGGGGACGTACGCGGAGACGCCCCATCGCGGGGCTCGTCGGATGGAAGCGCAGGGTGTCCTGGACGGGCTCCGGTCCCGCGTGTTGTTGCCTCGCCGCGCGGGGCGGGCTCCGCGCGCCTTCGGCTGGGCTTTGCCCACGGCGGTGCTGTGCGGCTACGGCTTCTTCGCCAGCTTGCGGCCGTCGGAGCCTTTCCTCACGCCTTACCTGTTGGGGCCGGACAAGAACCTCACCGAGACTCAGGTATTCCGGGGGCGGCGGCGGCATTTTTAGTCCGTAGCGTTTCGAGGAACAGATTCGTCCGGGGGTCTCCTCGGAAGTAAGCCCCACCGAGCTCTGTTAGAGCTTTACTCCCAAGGGCTTTGTCCCTTCAGTGCTAGTAGCCCGGGGCTTTGTGTTTCCGCCTCGGCCGTCGGTCCTGCTAAGGAGAGAGGGCTCTCGAACATGTGCAGAGGACCCTTCCCTAGCGCCGAATTATTGCGAGTATGGGTGCCAGGTAGGCTGAAGCCCCCCCCCCCCGACCCCCCTTGGTTTGGAAAGCTAAAGCTTTTCGGGACTCGGTATGGATGAATGGCTGGCTGCTGGAGCTATAGGGGAATCCAGAATTACTGGCAGAATTACGGGTAGATTCATAAGCGCGTGATCCCCTTGGTGGAAGCGGGAGGGAAAGCGGATGTCGCGGCGGGAAAGTTTGGCACTGTCCTGAGCAGCAGCAGGTGGAACTTCTGACTTCGACTTGCCAAACGGTTACTAAAAGTACGGGGACTTTTCTTGCGTCATTAGCCTGCGATGGGGTCCTGCTGTCACTGGTATACTGCATAGCATGCAGAGGTTGACAGATCAGGGTGGGCATGTGGGGCTTACTTATTTTTACTGGAATCTTACATCCCTGTGCAAAAGGCATGCACTTAGAATTAAAGAATCCTGAGCCCACACATTTATTTTGCTTGCCGGAAATCAATATAGCTCATAATCCTTATTGAAGAAAAGTCCTTTCCTCATGTAAACACCTCTCCTTCCTTAATTTCAGAAGTACAGTATAATGGGAGTATACAGTATAATCCTTTGTTAGACGACTTGGAATCATAGAATTGTAGAGTTAGAAGGGAGCACCAAGAATCATCTAGGTCGATTCCCTGCAATGTAGGAATCTTTTGCACAAAGTGGGGCTCAGGCTCACAACCCCTGAGATTAAGAGTCTCACGCTCTACCAACTCAGCTATCCCAGACTTGGATTCAAAAATCATTGTTGATCTACTGCAGAATCATATAGAGCCATACGCTTCAAATTTTTCAGACCCAGAACCCACTTTTAACCCAAACATGTATTTGGAGAACCATTTCATAATTTTTAACCATATATTTGTAGCTCAGTTGGTAGAGCATGAAACTCTTAATCTCAAGCCCTACCTTGGGCAAAAGATTCCTGCTTTGCAAGTGGGTTGGAAAAGATGGCCCTTGTGGTCCCTTCCAACTCTACAATTATATGATTCTATGATTTGCATGGTGGTAGTGCAAATGAGTGATATAATTCCTACCAGAAGATCTTGGTCTATCTCCTGCCCATCCCTCTCCTAGATCAAACTTGCGTCTACTGTAACTGTTACTTGGAATTGCCATCATTCACTCAGTTATTATGGAGACTTCAGTTGCTGCCCGTTGCATTTTAGTGTTTTCTCATTCAGGCCTTGGCCTGCAGCAATTCTTCCAAGCTGCAGCCCTAGGCCATCTTGCATGGACTAAGCATTATTGACCCTTGGTTGAGGGCTTGGGGAGCTTACCTTTGTTGCCCATCATCATCAGCACAGGCTGGTTGACTCAAAGTTGTTGAGAGAATCTTCAGTTGGTGTGCTGCTGGCCTTCAACCTCTTCCAAACCTGTGGTCGCTTTTGGCACCGGCTCCCTGCTTCAGTTTTCCAAGGGATGTATTGTCTGCGTTTTGGAGAGAGTGCACATGCTTGACCTTCATTTTCTTAAAAATAAGTAAATTCATTTCTGTTTTTTGCAGAAGGAAAACTAATAAAAACAAAGGTAAACAGGACAGGAAAATAATGCCATTTGAATTTAGGAAACTAATCATTAAAGGGCTGAACACCTTTAGTAGGGAGAAAATCCGTCCAGGAAACAATTAAAGGCCCAATTTCAGTAATGCGCCATAATGAACAGGTAGACCTTTGCTGATTGAAGACTGCATCATTAACATACTTTCCAAGGAGTAATCCCATTGATCTGAATAGGACTAATTTTTGAGAAACCATACTTTTAAAATTTTGCCCTTGGAGACAGGTATTGCAAGGATGTAATGCGTAGGACAGCTGTCACTTGGATACTTGCTAAGCAGAAATCATGAAACAAGTTCCATAGTTCTCCTACCTCTATCAGTTTTTTAACTGGATTTTTTTTTTACCTTTTATAAATAATGACAATGAAATAATGCAGACTGTCTCAACCTTTAGCAATCTGTAAGTCCTTGCAAATGATTTTATCCTGACTGTTGCAGATGACAGCAAAATTGACTGGAGATTTTGTGATAAGGTTCTGAAATATCCAGTCTTACAAGTTTTTATCTCACTGCTGCTTTTTATACATCTTGATATCTCTTGCAACAGATCTTTTGTGACTGTTGTTTCGATTAGCTGTGTGTGACTCCGTATTTTCAATTCTGTTCTTCCAGGTTTGTGTGCTTGTTCTCCATAGTGAAGATTAAAAAACAACAACACATAACTTTTTCGTGCAAATGAGCTTGTAAACATTACAGGGTCATCTTCTATTGCCTTGTCCAACTAACCCCACGCGCACTCTGTTTCAATATGTATTTGGTACATTTCAAGCTGGAAATATCAGCCTGTACTACTACTGCAGTGTCCAAGCCTGAGATTAATAAAGTGCCATGCCAGCCAACCTTAGTAAGGCACTGCTTCTGAAACTTTGATTTTGGACCACTCTTCTTAACCTGTTTTACCTTCTCTTCTCCCTCCCCCACTCTAGCCAGCACAAGTTTATTTTTCTGCAGTGAACACATAAAAATAATTCCTTGCAGCTGTGTGTAAAGGTCAGTGGGGTGGAGCCTGAATACAGGGATGGGGAGCCTCTGACTCTGTAGCTGAACTGCACCTCCTATCAGCCATGAATATTGCCCATGCAGCCCGGGACTAGTGAGAGTTGGAGTCCAACAAGAAGTTCTGGAGTGCCAGAGGTTGCCCATCCTTTCCTTAACAGAGCAGGATATCTCTGACTCGATCCTAAAACCACAAATAGGGAAACAAGAGGAAAAAAATAGCTGTTCTTCCTGAGGTTGTTTCTTCTACAATCACACTGGGGTGATGGAGTGAGGTTGCAGTGTGGACCAGCGAGCATACTCTTCTCAATCTCCATTTTCCCTCTCTAGAAATGACTACCAAATGCCATCAGATGCTCCATGCTTTCCAAGGAACTCTGGCTGCATGATAGCCTCTCTAGAGAGAATTTGCTTGGCAACTACCCCTTGCACAGTTTGATGTTACGCAAAAGCTTGTATTTGAAAGAGCTGTAAATTATACCTGTTAGAATATGAATTTTCTGTTAACAGATGTTCATATCTTTTTCTTCTTCATTTAGGTCTTCAATGAAATTTATCCAGTATGGACTTACTCCTATTTGGTGCTGCTCTTTCCTGTCTTCCTGGCAACAGACTATCTCCGCTACAAGCCTGTCATCCTTCTACAAGGACTAAGCCTTATAGTGACATGGTTTATGCTGCTTTATGCAGAAGGACTGCTGGCTATTCAGTTCCTGGAGTTCTTCTATGGACTGGTGACTGCTACAGAAATTGCCTATTATTCCTACATCTATAGCGTTGTGGACCTAACGTTGTATCAAAAAGTCACAAGCTACTGTCGGAGTGCTACACTTGTGGGTTTTACAGTGGGCTCTGTTTCTGGACAAATCCTGGTGTCTGTATTTGACTGGCCTCTGTTCAATTTGAATGTGATCTCTCTCACTGCCGTGTCCGTTGCCTTCGCCATGGCCTGGTTTCTGCCCATGCCACAGAAAAGCCTTTTCTTTCACCATCGCCAGTCAAGCACCCAGGTCAGTAAGGAAACGAAGGTTGTAGATCCTGCCTTAAAGAGGGTTCCTGGGTGGGAAGATGTTGAATCGGAGATCCCTTTAAATAGAGATGATGAGCATCCAGCAGTGCAACAGGTAAGCAATAATCCTGTTTTCCAGGGGAATGGAAGGTACAGCTCTCTCATTGCACAGAAAATCTCTGTTGGGTTAATTGACCATTACATTGTCTGTTGCTTGTGGCATGTCAGGGCAGTTCATTGGGTTTTCAGGTGTCTGATCACTTTAAATTCTGGGGATGTGATCTTCAGCATGCCTCTGGCAGTGGAGTCCTCTTGCCTCCTGGAACATGTACAAGTTCAGGCAAATCAGATATGCCAGTTTTATTAACTTCCAGTTTATTATTCTTGTTTATGAGATGCCTCGTTAAATGAATTTTCTAGTATTCAAAGGGAGAAAAATATAGTATTACAATAAAAACCTATAATTGCGTATAACAAGCCAGCATAAAAGCCAAATACAAAAATCAAGCACAATCAAATACTGTACAGAGTGCAGAAACTGGAACCATCAAATGCTTATGCTAAAACCGCTAACCATTCCATAGGAACTTAAAAACAAGATCATAAAAGGCCTGAGAGAAAAAAACAGATTCTTTTGGGGAATCTGTTGTTGCTGGGGAAGGCAGGCAGTAGCTCCAAGAACAGGTATTCTTGTGTGTTTCTGAAGGTGGGCTACTACCCATCTTAAGAATATGATATTTTTAAACTCTAGACATTCTTTGCAAGTACAGATGCTACCACAAGCTTCTTAGGAGAGCCTATGGAGAAGTTTTGGGCAATTGTCAGGGTAAACTAGGTCCAGAGATAAGAACCAATGAAGTGAAGACTGGGTCAGAAAAAGTGAGACACTTGTGTGGAGATGCTTCTAAAGGAGTTTGCAGGACATAGTAAAGCCTGAATGAACACTTCAGCAGAAAGCAAACTTCTGCAACTGTGCAAACAAATCTAGAAATTACTTTTTAAAAATCCTGTCCCTTGGCCAGAAAGGGTTCTGTGTTTTTGTTCTTGTTTTGTTTGCTAGGCTACAATTGGTAATTAAAGCTCTTAGCATTCCATGGAATTAAAGTTTCCCAGTCAAGCTCTGCTTCCCTAGCAGAGGATTAGCATGAAGCTGAGAGAACCTGTATGGATAGATGGCAGCACTTTCTTCAGTTCTATGTAAATTAGCACAACAGTGTATTCTGGTATAGGCTAATACTGTTCCTCCTCCTCTCCTATTCTCTCATTCCTTCATCTCTCCCCACCCCTGCCTTCTACTGACATTTTGCAACTCAGGTGTTTTCGTATTGTATTCTTGTACATATTCTATACATTGAAAGTTGAATGTATTGTCAGTGCTGTGTCCACCAGCCTACTCAGTGCACTGATGTTGAGGTGATAGTTCTGAATGGAGAAAAAGTCCATTCTAAAAAGAGATTCTTTAGTTATAGGGAATGGCAAAAAAGCCCCTTATCTGCAGACTGTGTACACAAGCAAACTGCAAATACAACTTGGTCTTGGCCTAAGCACATATAATCTTAAACATCCTGGTGGAACCCTACAGATTATAGATTTCAGGCAGCAGGCTCTGTGGGAGAGGAGAGAATACACATGCAGATCTTGCATCAGTCTGCTAGGGTATTGGCGGTCTGCAGTTTTTCCCCATCTTTGAGTACAGAGCTCTATAGTTGTTCCTCTTCATCCTGTGCTGAGGTGTTTCCTTAGTTGATGGAAACTGGAGGCAGTATGTCTTCTTTGGCGCCACTGTGCTGCCCTCGGGTAGAGGCATCTGAAGTCTTCTGCCTCATGCTGGCTCCAAACTTGTGGTCAAAAAGGCAGAACCAAACACAGCTCTTCTCTCCTACCTGCCTCTTTCCCAGATCATTCATTCAAGCTCAGGACTCCATATAGTCACAGACAGTGAGAGAAAAGGAAGTAGGATTTGAGATTTTTCTTTTCTGCACCCTATAGACCAGGCCCTGGTGCCCTCTGGGTGCCTTGGACATCTATTCCCATCAGTCCCGGTCAGCACAGCATGATTTTGGAGCATTTGGAGGGCGTCAGGTTGGTGACTAGGTGTTGATGTTGGCCAGTTTTTGCAGAATTTGTACACTTGCTCCAGCATATGTTTTGTGTTCCACTTAAGGAATCACAAACTAGACTGCCATTAATAGGCTTTTCACTCTCTAAAAACAGCTTGACTGCTCTTAAAAATCTAAAACTTCAGTAAAACACAGGAGCTGAACTTAGGTGTGGGGCAGTATTGGAATTTCCCCCCTTTTCCGGTAAACTTGCTGTAAGCCGCCATGAGTTTTACTGTTGGGAAAGTTATCCTTTCTCTTTTGTTCACAAATCACATTTTGTTCACTTTGAAAAGTTACATTCTCTCAGACCCGATACGGGATAAATTACTACAGCAGCAGCATACCACTTGCAACTCTTGCTGTAGGTCTTACTGTGCAGTCATACTGCTTTGGGACATTACTTTGCTAGCCATTTCATCAGTAAAGCTGGAGGAACTATTATTATTTATTAAATTTGTAAACCACCTTTCATCCGAAGATCACAGGGCAGTTCACAACATAAAAATACAAAATGATACGTAACAAATTAAAAAACAAACCAATAACCTCCTCCCACAAACACATTTTAAAAGCCATAGAATGTTAATAAACATTGCTTTGTCCCTGTGGAAAAAAAGAGTTAGCTAGAGTAACTAGCAGCAGTGTATAGGCATTCTCTCCATCGATTTTAAGTGTGCTAAGCTTGCTTGGCTCCCATCATGAGAAACATAATTCTCTTGTACCATTGGATGCGCCCTGGCTTGTTTCTTCAGTAATAAGCAGATGTGGTTAGGCATTCTTTGATTGTGGCTTTAAACCAGATGTGGCCTAACCTGTATCACTCCTGTTGTTGTTGGATGGCCACTGGGCAGAGATGATGGGAATTATAGTTCGATAACGTCCGGTGGGTTACAGGTTCCCTAAGGGATTGGGCTACTAGCTGTCCGCTGTCGGATATTGACTAAAGATGGTGGGTTCTGAGTCCTCTCTACAATCTCTTTTTTAAGATTATGTGGCATATCCATTGCCTGTGTATTTTTGGCACATTTTGCCGAGTATTTCAAATTAATAATAATAATAATAATAATACCTTTATCATCATTGTACAACCTGTGTACAGTGAAATTAAATGAGCCTCCCTCCCTCCTCAACACTCTATTCAGTAATCATGGCAGCTGATTCTGATTAGTTTACAGCCATACCTCAGTTGGATGTACGTTGAAAAAGTATGTGGTTTTAAATATTAGGGCTGAGCGGAGTGCTTACTTGTTTCAGTTGTGGGAGGGAAAGTCGCTCATCTTGTTCATTGCCTGTTTAGTCTCTGAAAAGCTGCTTCTCCAATGCTTTTAAAAAATTGTTCTGGGAATATACTGGGTGATACTAAACTAAGTTTTACTTGGAGTAATGAACATGACTAAGTTAGGTCAGTGAATATAAATAGGTGTACTCTGAGTAAAACTTGGTTGAAAAAGACCCACTGAATATGCATATGAACTAGTACAGCCAATTGACAGCAAGGAGTAGTGCTTTCTACGCTACCATTGTCCTCGCTCTGTATGCACAAGGTGAAATACTATGCTGCTGCCTGCAGTGGAGGGGGGCAAACTCCATGAGGGCTACTTGAGAAGCCCTTGTGGCATCTCCCACAGTGTCTGTCTCTGTGTGTGTGAATGAATCCTTTCTGGGTCCTCCCCCTCCTGTCATGTGATGCAGCTTTGCATCGACTTCTCCATTCGAAAGAAGCTGGTGCAAAGCCCTGCCCCATCTCTGGGCTGGTGTGTGTGTGTGTACGTATGTGTGGAGGGGGGGATCCCCCTTCCACACATGGCAGCCAAGCTGGGTGGTGGAACACCTCCTCGCTCAGCAGCTCAGCAGCAGGGGAGGATTTCGAAGAACTTTGCTGCCGGTCCCTCTGCCCCTAGAGGCTGGGGAGACCAGTGGCAAAGCTGGGCAGTGGAAAGGGTGTGTTGCCCCTTGGGGGCAGCTTCCTCACCCTGCCTCATGGTCTGGCTGGCTGTTCTTGTACCCTCCCCCTAAATTGCTTGAAGGGTATCTGTACAGTTTTTGCTGGAGGTGAAAACTTAGCATCCTGCACCTTTTAGTTCAGCTGTAATAATTCCCCATAGCTGAATATACAAAGAGTATTATAATTCTTATCTTGATCGTAGTCATAGCAATCCCGTGGGGACTGTGGCTGTTTTTATCGGAAAGGAACTAAGGCAGAGAGCAAATGCGTCACCTACTACAGCACCTTGGTCATGGGCAGTTGGGATCAAGCATATAAATATTCGTCTCCCTTGTTAAAAACAACTGGCATGCTATGAACCTTTGGCTGTTTGACCTCAGCCATAGTGTAAATGTTTGCCCGCACAGAGTATAGGCAAGGAGTCCATGTGTTACAGCCGACTGTAGGGTGTTTGGGAGTCGCGGTGTGCAGGGCTGAGCAAGCGTTGCAAGCCCTGGGCCTTGAAAGTTCTGGGCACAGGGGTTTGCCAAGTGGCTTTTGTAGAATTCTCCATGTGTCCAACCATTGCTGCCCCATTATTTAAATGGGGCAGCAAAAAGTAGTAGAAAGACCTACTTTCTACTACTTGTTGAATGTTGAGAATATAGGATATGGCTAGCAGGAACTAGCGCCGTCCATCTTCACCCCAGAATTGCATATTTCTTTGACTAATTCTCCATTCCAAGCCACTGTCCTGCCGTCCCATTGTTTTGTCCATATATGGAGTGGACTGTTTTCTAAACAGGAATATTATATTTGTTTAATACTGTATGTAGCAATGTAATAACAGTTGAAGATTTTGGGCGGCCAGTTCATATGATGTCTCTGTGCACCACACAACCTTTTCACCTCTCTATCCAGATTCCATCATGCAGTTTTTTTCCTAGCATAAACTGGCTATTTTTGTACACAGTTATTCAGAGATCAAAAAGAATTGTGGTGGCATGTATAATCAGGCAGGGCCCAATCAAGGATGAGAAAAGGACCATAGAATCATAGAATTGTAGAGTTGGAAGGGATCCCTAGGGTTATCTAGTCCAACCCCATGAATGTATCTGAACTAGCGGTCTTCAGTTTCACTGTCATGGATTCATTTTTTTGTTGGAAAAGATAGCCAGGGACACTGCTCTCTGGTGGTGCTTCTTCTTGAATAGGAGACAGTTTTATATCTTTAGCTCAATTTAGATCTGTATTCTTTCTGTTGTGCTGTTGTACATGCAAGTAACTGACAGAAAGATTAGCTGAATTTTGTGTGTGTTTTAAATCTATGCAGGAGGAGAGAGTGGACATTGTGAAAGTAATCAAAGAGCTCTGGCAGGACTTCCTTCTGTGCTACTCGTCCCGGCCTCTGCTGTGTTGGTCTGTTTGGTGGGCGCTCTCAACATGTGGTTACTTCCAAGTCATAAACTATGCTCAAGGTCTATGGGAAAAAGTGCTGCCTTCTCAGACCTCTCCAATCTATAACGGTGGTGTAGAGGCTGTTTCCACACTGTTGGGTAAGTTCCCTCTGTAACTATTTTTTTTAAAGAGGTAAGATCCATGCTATGGGACTATGTTAAACACTAGACCTAAAGGACTAAACATACCTTACCTACAGGGTATGTGTGTTGTGCAGCTGCCAAAACTGGTGCTTTCCTCTTTCGAGCAAGAGACCCTTTCCCGTAAACGGCACTCCCTTAAATTACTGTTGAGTGAGTTTCATACGATGTGTGCATGTGATGACTCACTTGCTTTTGCTAGCAATTTAGTGTTTTGAAATTCTGTCTGGAGATGATAGTGTTTATAGCAACCTCCTGAGGAGCTTTACCCAAGCAAAGTATGCCCAGGTTTGGTACATGAATATGACCAATGCAACACCAGTTGGAGCAATAGGCTGATGCTTACACAGGCTTTTGTGCACGACCACAATTGAGTAATGATTGTAACTGCTAGTACTGGGCAACATTTCTACATTAACCTCCCACCTGTTTTCTCTCTGCCATCAAAATTCTCAAGCCTGCTTGCACCATATAGCTGTAGCAGCCCTGAAATGGGGATGGTTAAACTTTTTTGGGCTGAGGGCCACAATGACCTGTGACCAGGGAGTCACATATCAAAGTGGGTGTGGCCAATTTTACTTCTATTTAGAAGACAATTTGGGGTGGGTGGGTGTTTGGCAGGGGGATGTCTCCCCCCAATTTATTATTATATATACCGGTATGTAAAATGACATATTTCAGGGGTGGGTCTTTTGGGTGACCACAAAAACTGGGGAGGGGGGGAGTGGTGGATGTGGGCCACAGATTAGGCAACTCTGCCCTAAAGGCTAGCTAAATACAAATTAATTTGTTTTTTGCACTTACAGGAGCTGTGGCTGTGTTTGTTGTGGGCTACATAAAAACATCTTGGGCTACCTGGGGTGAGATAGCCTTAGCCATGTTTTCCCTCTGCATTGCTGCCGCCGTGTATATCATGGACAGTGTTCATAACATCTGGGTCTGTTATGCTTCGTACATAGTATTCCGAATTGTTTATATGCTGCTCATCACAATTGCAACGTAAGTAGATCTTTGCAAACTGACAGTTTATAATTAATCATCCATGTTTCAGTAAACTCAGCACAGAGCTGTATTGCATTGTAAGCATTGAATTGATGTTCTGCATTTAAGAATGTCAAACAAGCAAAGGCAATCAACATGCATCTAGATTCTTGAATTTTAGAATGCAGTGCCTTGTTCAATTATGTCTGCTGGAGCAGAAGTCAATCAGGTCAATTCAGTCTGAAATCAGAAAATTGTAATATAAGCAAAGAACAGCAGGTACTTTTATTCAATCTGGGCTGTTTACATTCTGTGGCCTAATTTAAACATGAGCTCTGTCGGTGGAGCATGAGACTCTTAATCTCAGGTCCATGGGTTGGGCAAAAGATTCCTGCATTGCAGGGGGTTGGATTAGATGATGCTCGCGGTCCCTTTCAACTCTTTTGATTCTATGGTTATGTAAGAAAAAGTGCCTGACATTTTGTTTTGAATTGAGTTATTAATGTTGCATGTAGCAGATGAGGGTTCCGTTTTCAATGTAAAGTCGGGTTTGCATACCTGGTGTCACTTTGAAACTAGGCCTGAGGTTTCCAGTCTGTCTTATGCAACCATTTGTCTTTTTATTTTTCTGGCAGTGCACATCTAATTGCTGCCATGCCTAATGACTGCGACTTTGGGCATGCAGCCAGTAAGACACTGGCAACCAGAAATGTCAGAATTAAAAATAGATTCTCCATATTATGATATCCTCGTATGTTGGGTTTCTTCCAAGCTTATTTGTTTGGGTAAAGGTGAAAGCTAGGAAGAGCAATAAGTGCTTTGTAAATAGTGCATTCACATGCATCAGCTATGTTGTGGGTTTGCATAATTCAATTTGCAGTGTAATGCAATAGTTCAGGAAAGCACACAAACTAAGACAGATTGTCCTAGTTACTGCAAGTACAGTAGCTGAATACTGAGCAATGGGCAGTAGTTATAGACAGTACATAAGTAAGAGTAGCAAGGACACAGGTATCAATAGCTTTCATCTTTTAATTGTCGTGGAAGGGAAACTGCATTATCAAGAGACTCCCATGTGTTCACATGTGGGAACAAAGAAAACTGTCTTCTACTGAGCTGGATCAGCTATCTTGGTAATTTCAACACAAGTTCTTGCTGGATTCCAATTCCAGTCAATTCCAACCAGCATGGCCAATGGTCCGGGATTACGAGAGTTGTAAACCAGCAACTTCTGAAGGGCCACAGACTCCCCACCAGTGATACTGGCACCAGCTTTGCAGGGTTTCAGACAGAACTTTCCCAGCCCTTCCAGGAGGGATTGAAGCTGGGATTTTTTGCTTGGGAAACATGTGTTCTACCATTGAGCTACAGTCCTTCCCAACTGATGTTCATTATTGTTTTGGAACAGTGCTTTTTGCTTACAAAACTGGAGTTGGGTGGGAGTTATTGCATCCAAAAGCTTAAAACCACATCTGGATGACCACCCATTTCTCCCAAAGCCTTCAGAGAAGGCTGTTGTACAACTTGCCCTGAAAAACTGTGCCAGTGAGCAAATGCAGATAAGAAGAACACCCTGATTTTTGGCAGAAGTTAATCCTATGTGTGCTTTCAGAAAAGTAAGCCCCATTGAATGATTGGAGTTACTTCATAATAAATGTGCATCAGATTGGGCTGATCTGATGCTTTGCAGCTTCAACCTAGTTTTGCTTGGCCCTCTACCAGCTTCACTGGGAAGCAGCGATTCTTACCTGGCAAAAATGACGGACTGATTTCCCACCCATTGAGTCTTCTCAGTTGTAGTCAGAATTAACTAGTCACCTCTCCATTGTGCATCTTGGCTCCTCCCTTCTGCCCACTGTTTACAAATCCTATGCAATTTATCAGTCATTTTATCATTAGAGCTCCTGGCAGTTAATATTTCAGCACCTCGTCTATCCTCCTCAGCACTGAATTAGGTCACTGTTCCCATTTTACAAATGGGCATGTCAGCCTCCATTTCCTCCATTGAACAAGCTGGGATAGTATAACCAGCTCAACTGCTTTGATTTTCCCTTTGATATACTCAGCTGGGAAATGACATCCATGTGTGTGTGTTTTGGTTTGTGGGTTGAAGCAGTAAGATCACTGCATATGCAAATATTTAAGGGCAAAATTACACATGATTGTGGCACTTCATTGTGTTCTTAAATTTGGAGCTGCCACTAATCATGTAGAGCAGGGGTGGGGAACCTTAGGCTCAAGGACCAAATGGGATTTTCCCATTCTCTCTGTTTGACTCTTGGGACTCTCCCCAGGCCAGGCCCATTCCCATAGCCCACACTTTCTGTAAGTAATTTTACCTGACTTTAATGTGTCCTTGGATTGTGGTAGTGCCTCGTTCTTACCTGGAAGAATGATGGAGGGATGTGCAAGAACTTCTTGGCTTTTGTATGGCTGGAATGCATCCTGCAGTTAGTAGAATTGTACATGCAGGTTATCTGAAATCTCAGTTATCTGAACACAAACCTTGCTACATGAACAGCTGATTCAGATAGCTGAACAGCTTGAGTTTGCCCACTTCCTTACCTGTTTGTGAAGGGAAGGAAGAGGTTTGGACAAATCAGGAGCAAGAGAGATTTCCTGGGAATGCATTGAGTTCAGAAAACAGGACCTGCATGTAGCCATTGATTGGCTCATTTTGCATGTGCACACTCCTCCCCTTTATGTGGTCTCCAAAAGGTTGCTGACAAGGAATGCAGCCTTAGGACTGAAAAAAAGCTTTCCCTCCCGATGTAGAAAGAGGCAAAATATACAGTTTTTTAAAAGCAAAAGAGGTGCCTGGGGATGAGTATAACTTCTCCCCTGCATGTAGGTTACTTTTCCATAGGCAAGTATCTTGCCAAGTATCTTTTTCTCTGCGGGGGCTTTGATGGCAAGAGTCACCCCAGCTGAGATTAAATGTTATTGGGATGAAAGCAAGCCATGGGATGGAGGATGAGCCTGTTTCCTTGGTCCCATATATATAACTCATTTGCTTTTAAAATATCTGATCAGGATATTTCCATGGGCAGGTGCATCTAATCCCAGGGTAACCAACTTGGTGCCCTCCGAAAGTTGGACCCCAGCCGGCATAACCACTGATGAAGGATGGTAAGAGTTGCTGGCTGGGATCCAATGTCTGAAGGGCAGCACACTGGCTGCCCTGATCCTGTATGATCCCAACTCTTTTGATTATTAACTTGTGTGGATCTCTTCTGTTTGCCTAAAAAGAGGCTTTTGTTTTCAGTACTCATGCTCTCTATTTCTTCTTTTTCTGTGAAGTTTCCAGATTGCAACAAATCTAAGTGTAGAGCGCTATGCTCTTGTTTTTGGCGTCAATACATTCATTGCCCTGGCATTGCAGACTCTGCTCACATTGATTGTTGTTGATGCAAAAGGGCTTGGCCTGGACATATTCACACAGGTAAGGCTCATTTTGACTGGGTGGGGGGAAAGAGGGTATACAGCCTTCCTAGTAAAGCCTTTTGTCTGCCTCAGGGCATGAGAGGTCATTCTGGTTGCAACAATTTTTCATTGGGGGGGTGGGTAGGGCCTTGTCCTATGCTTCCTGGGGGGAGGAGGGTTCCTTCATTTTCTAATACATGTTGGGAATGCTTATCTGTCTTAATGAGTTGCCGGGAGATAAAACCATTGCACATGTTTTGCTTGAAATGGAAGCTTCTCTCAGGCTTGGCTTGAAGACTGCTTCCTATTTAGATATACCTAATAAATGCATTGACAAAAATGGGTGGTGAGTGTAAAATCGAGCACAAAATGTGATTCTTACTCAGTATAATAAAATGATGGCTCAGACAGCCTGCCATCTTAGTGCCTGAGACATAAAATCCAAATAGTGACTGCCAACCTCCCATTGTGCTGAAGATAGCACTATTTATTGGCTGTTTACTGCCCTATGATGTGCAACATTACCTTACCAGGCGTCTTACCCTTCCTAATGGTAGGACTGGCCCTGATTTAGGTTAACAAACTTTGCTTCTCAGTTCACCACTCTCTTCTCTTTTTGTTCCCTGCAGTTCATGATCTATGCCGGCTACTTTGCGGCCATAGCAGTAGTGTTCTTCATCAGTGGGACATGCAGTATTATCAGGAAATCCTGGAAGAAGGAGAGGAGAAATGAAGCAACAACAGATGGTGCTTAAAATGAAGAATATGGACTTGTTAAGCCCCTGTGTTAGGGAAGGGGGATCTATTTAAATATGCTGGTTCCTATTTATTAATGTATCCAAATGCTGTTAATTCAAGACTGTTACCTAAATTGTCCTTGATACATGTTTGTACTATATTAGTAGCATAAATTAGGAACAGATTTATTTACTTATATTTTACGTAAGTAAGAATTTTATATGCAACACATTGGTCTTGGATAATGCCTTTTAGGTTAAAGCTGCATAACTAGAGATGGTCAGAAGCATCCTTGAGATTTACTGATTGCTTCCTGAAACAGGCAAGCCCATAAATCAGCCATTGAAGTGAAGGTGTTGTTGAAACTAGCCCAGTTCATGCTGTTACGGGGGTCTTGGTAGGCTGGGTTTTGCAGGTATAGAAGAAATATTAAGGCAGTGAGGTATACCAAAAGTAGTCTTAAGTCAAGTTGGACATAGCAGAAGAAGAACTCTCCCAAGGCTGGTAGATGCAAACTCATGAATATTGAATAGACTTATCATATACATGTGCAAACACATATCTCAATGTAGTAGGTCATGTCTTGTCTGCCTTTTGATATTTCTAAAGGCTCAGCTTCCTTTGATTACCCTTGCTCAGCAAGGTTAAATAGATGGATTATCCTCCTGACCTCATGTCAGTTATACATCTTCATCATAAATAATATAGGGCACAGAGAGCACGTGATGAAAATTTGGCTTGGTTTGGCATCCTTAAAACCTCAGTTACCCCTCAATTCCCTGTAAGCTTTCTTCAACTCCACAGTAGAATTTCATGACACCTGGGAGAATGAACTCTCACAACAGTAATGTTATTTTGCTTAACTCATTCAAATAATTGAAACCTCCTTGATTAGCATTTTCCTCTATTGCTAATATGTTTTCCACTGGTGACCAAATGCGTTTGACTGGATGAAATCTCTTCCTCAAGAATTTAGAATCTCTGATTCTATTCCTCCATTGTAGGATGGATGTGGAATGGGATTACACTGCAAGAGTGTTTACATGGTTTGTGTTTGTAAACACTATGGGGAAGAGGGATGCTGCTAAATTACATGTTCTATTTCCTCTTCCCTTCCACGTCCACTTACTTTGGCCACAGTTACTTCCTGTGGCTTGCAAAATAATTGCAAATGAGAGGGTTGAATGAATCAGTAACAAGGAGCATTTGCCTCAGGATTGCAGAGTTGTTTCCTGGCAAGCTGCTAAGGATGTTAGACCAGCCCATATAATGAAGCTGTTGTCAGTGGTACATACTTTAACATGAAAATCACTTCTATGTAACTTAAAAGCCACAAGTAGGTTTTACACCTGAAGACTGCACATTTTCTTTAGCTGTGTATACAGACTTTGGGAGCCCACTGCTAGTTGTGTTTCCTAATTCATGTAAATCAAGCAGACATGTGGTGTGGTTGTTGTATGCTCAAGATAGAAGTGCTCTGCAAGTAGGAAAACCAGTGTGTGAAGTAGGAGTCCTGTCCATTGTAAGTACCCAGTACTTGTTCATCTGGTGCTCTCTTTGCCACATTAAAATCCAAATGAGGAAAATGGAAATAAAGGATGGATATTACTCCTGAATTTACAGTACTGAGCCTGGCTATCATATGAGATTTAGCTTTTATATAATATGTGAAGCATACCATTTCCCCTAATGTTCAGAGAGCTTTAACTTGGACTTTAATTTTAAATATGTTTTTCATTGGAGGCAATGGATTGAAGGTTCAAGAACTAACTCATCAAAAAAAGCCAAATATATTTGCAGTTGCTTTTGTGGTGAGATCCAACTGCAGGTCTGGCTTCTAAACCAATTTCTAGGTACAAACTGACAGGACTAATATTTCTTAGTAACAAGGCCATCCATCCATCCTAAGGTAATTTTAACAGTTTACTCAAGTTGATGAGGAAATAGCCATGTGAATCCTAGATTCCTTTAAACACACACTTGAAAAACATTGTTAACAGGAACAGGTGAGAATCCGCACCCATTCAGAAGCTTGGGAGAGAAGTGTTGGGTAACCAAAAGAGGAAGCTGGACCTATAATCAAGCAGCAAATTCTTATTGCCTCTGGACCAAGATGTGACATTCATTTCATGAATGTAATTTACATGCATTAATATATATATATATAAATAAGCACTGAGGTTAGGCCTGAGCAGCTTTGGGACTGGGGGTCTGTGAAGAGGAGTTTTAACTCTTCCTCCTATTGCTGGGTTCCTAATAAAAATTACTTTTATTTGCATTTCAAGGGAAACCTCCCTTGGTGTCAAGGGGAACTTCTGTGGTATGCAAACAGCATCTTCTGAGAGGTGTTTTTTGTTGTGACACTTACAGGGAGAGAGTTAAACTCTAGGCTTCCCTTCAGCTGCTACTTGCACTGCAAATGTGAATGTTAAAGGAATGCGCACAACTCTAGATTAGCCTTCTGTGTTCCTCCTGGGAGGAACTGAAATAACTAGAAGACCTCATCTCTGGATAAATCCTGTTAATATAATGTAGATGACCAAGATGTCTTCCTTGCCTAAGAGTTGCCTTGTAGTAATTTGCATAACTGGTTATGCAGCACTAATCCAGTCTGATGAATGTAAGCTTGGAGATAGCTCCAGGTTCTCTTGCATTGTTGTAATGGTATTGGAATAGGAAAACACTACTCTAGCCAAGTAGCAAACCTATTTTTTAAATCAAATAAAATTATTTTATGATATTCTTTAAAGTTTGCTTGTTATTAATAGTGCAATGTTATAATTACATTAAATGATCTTAACAACAGTTCTTACAATTTCATGAGAAAATCCAGCTCCCAAATTTTGCTAGCAGAATAAATCAAACACACTTCTCTGTAGCTTAAGAAAATATATGTAGCTACATTACAGTGGTTTTCAACCAGTGTGCTGTGGCAACCTGGGATGCCTTGAATGATGGGTTGCTGTGGGTAACACTAGCCTCTGTCCCTCCTTCCTTCTGTCCCTCCTCTGATGCCTTCTAGCATCTCTGCCTCCCAAAGGCTTGCACAGCTGTTCATTGTGGCAGCTCTGGCTACAAGCTCCCCAGGCAAATGGTGCCTCGGGCTGGAAATCAAATGCTGCAAACCCGGAAGTAGGTATCTGGTATGCGAACTTTTTTCAGAATCCGAACTGTTGCGTTTTGAGTGTTACGCTTCCTTTTTCGGTGCGACACTTCCGTTTTGAGTTCCCTTGCTCCTGCTTCCACGGGAGTAGGAGCTAGATGGGCTGCTCAGCTGGGGAGGTGCAGGCTCCCTCGCACTTGCCATTGAGGGGTCCGCGGCTGGGGAATCCTTTAAACCTCTCCCTTGAGGGGAGCATCAGAGCCCCTGCACCACCTGAAGGCAGCCAGGCGGAATAGTTGCTGGGGTGGTGAAGGTGGAGGCAGCCCGGCAGCTGCATCTGAGAGCCCCTAAACTGCCGCTGAGGCAGCTGTTGGGCTGTCTCCACATTGCCACGAGATGCTCCTTTAAACTTACGTTGAGATGAACGCAGCTATGCACCCCTCAATGGAAAAGTGTGATGGTGCCTGCACCTCTCCAGCTGAGCAGCCCCAATCCAGCTCCTACACCCGTGCAAGCGGGGTGGGGAGGGGGTGGGGCGGAGATCTCTCAGTTGGGAAGCGGAGGCTTCGTGCTCCCCAGCTGTCATTCAAAATTAAAACTGAAACTATCCAGAAAACCACAAAGCCAACAAACTTGCAACTCTTGAAAAAGCAGCAACACAACAAATTGAAAAAAGCAATCAAATTGCAAATGAATCAGAATCACAAGAAAACATAAAACGCTGACCCTAACCCTAATTCTAATCCTTACTCTAACGCTAACCCAATCCTAAAATTAACTCTAACCCAGAAATTATCTTGTTTGATAGTAAAATTCATGTTAAATTGCTGTTTTAGGGATTTTTTTAAAAGTCTGGAACAGTTTAATCCATTTTGCATTACAGTGGTACCTCGGGTTAAGTACTTAATTCCTTCCGGAGGTCCGTTCTTAACCTGAAACTGTTCTTAACCTGAAGCATCACTTTAGCTAACGGGGCCTCCCGTTGCTGCTGCTGCACCGCCGGAGCACCATTTCTGTTCTCATCCTGAAGCAAAGTTCTTAACCTGAAGCACTATTTCTGGGTTAGCAGAGTGTGTAACCTGAAGCATATGTAACCTGAAGTGTATGTAACCTGAGGTACCACTGTACTTTCTATGGGAAAGCGCACCTTGGTTTTAGAACGCTTTGGTTTTAGAACAGACTTTAGAAACGGATTAAGATTGGGAACCAAGGTACAACTGTAGATGAATCAGAAGTACGAGAATACATCCATCCATCCATACCGCTATTCGTTATGGGTGTCTGCTTCCCAATAGGTTCTAAAGGCAGTTTACAATATACGTTTTTTTAAAAAACAAAAAACGCACAAAAGTTAATAGTGGTAGTTCTAGAATAAGCGTAACCCGCAATCTGAGATCATTCCATTTAAATTCGAAAGTCAAAAATGCACTCAAGATTACTTTTTCATCATAGGCTGCAGATAAGTATCCCAGTTGTAATAAATATACTTTTTTACTCCCCGATGCCATGAGGGAAGGAGGTCGAGAGGCCACTAGCCCTCATTAAACGACCTTGAAGCTGACCGGTAAAATGCCTTCCTTGCCAAGTTACCACATATAACCTCAGCTTAGCGGAGCAGGCCGGCGGGAGCGGATTTCCCGCCCTGCGTGACGTTTCGCGGCGTCTCCATGGCGACGGCAAAGGGCCGCGGCGGGAAGCCCCGCGTTTGTCCTCCCGCCAGCTCGCCCTGCCTGCGGTGGCTATGGAGACGGCGAGCGTGGTGGGCGGCGCGTGAGAGGCCGCGTGTGGACCTTCGCAGCCGCCGTCGTCCTCCGCTTTGGTGAGTGGCGTGGGGAGGGGAAGTCTCGGCGGCATGACGGGCCGCCGGGGGGCGCAGCGGTTACCATGACAACGCCATGGAGGGCGGGTCGCGGCCCGGCGCCGTCCACAGGTGGAGATGAACGACGGGAGGGCGAGGGCCGAGGCGGGTCTGGTCGAAGCGGACTCCGGTCTACGGCTAGCAGCCTGTCAGAGCCTGGGCTCGGTGGGGCGGCGCGGACCCGTCCGAAGCGCCCCCCTTGGCTGGTTGTCCCTGCCAGGAGGGGCGAGGGAGGCTCGGGCAGCCGCTCTCCGTCGACGGAGCCGAAGGGTCGGCGGTGAAAGGCAGGAGCGCGGGGCTTGAGCGCCTCCTCCGGCCCCGTGGTTTCGGCAGAGAGCGGGCCTCGCCCTAGGGTGGGCGGGGAGGCGGCTGCCATGGCGACGGGCGTAAATCGCTTTAGGCGCTCGGGAAGCCTCGGCGTCCGAACAGGCAGGTTTCGCCTCGGGAGGGGCCTCGATCTTTCTCATCAAGTGGCCGCCCCGAGGCTTGGTTTGGATCCTCCGACTGGATCCGGAAAGTTGGTCGGAGGCTGCTTTGCAGGCGATACCTTCATCGCCCGGCCCGGCAGATTTGCATTGTAAGAATGGGATGATGCTTGGCCAGTTTTCCTTGATGGATCAACGCTCCGCTGCTTACTTTGCAATATGTGCTGTTGAGCTTAGTGGAATTTATTTCTGAGTAGGCATGCATAAATGGTAAAGGGACCCCAGATCATTAGGTCCAGTCGTGGCTGACTCTGGGGTTGGGGCGCTCATCTCGCTTTATTGGCTGAGGGAGCCGGCGTACAGCCACCATGACTAAGCCGCTTCTGGCGAACCAGAGCAGCGCATGGAAACGCCATTTACCTTCCCACCGGAGCGGTACCTATTTATCTACTTGCACTTTGACGTGCTTTCGAACTGCTAGGTTGACAGGAGCAGGGACCGAGCAATGGGAGCTCACCCTGTCACATGCATAGGACTGTGCATTTAGTTTATCAGTAATCAGGTTAATGTGACACTTACTAAATAACAACCCGAGTTGGTGACAATTTTAATTTTTTGTTGTTGTGAACATGTGTCTGCCTAGCAGAGGGCATTTCATGCATTTCTCTGCCAGTATGCATAAGTAGCAATGCAGCGTTGATACACATTCAACCCTCGTTAACTGCAACATAAAAGAAAAGTGAATAATCTTGTAATTGGAAACATGATTAGTACAGAACAGGAACTATAGAGTTCAGGCAGTATTTCTTGTATCTAGGACTCTCAAGGAAACTTTCTATAAGTTATTTGACCCAATCTTGTAGACCTATGGCATTTTGTACAAGCTACAAAAAGCTGGGTGACTATAGGACCGGTTGGTGGTCATGAAATTTGGGTAAAAAAGCAGACATGGTCCGACAGGCAATAAAGGTATTGAATTACAGCTGTGAAATAATCGGGTTCAAGTCATGAAAATATTCTGCAAGATTGCCTTCTTAGAGTCATTAAAGTGTCCATATTCCAAAACACTTAGTTTCTTTGTAATGAAACACTTCATATATTTTTTCAATTTGTAGCTTTCCATTAAGGAACATCCACAATGAGTGACAAAAAAGACACTAGTGAATCTTCAGACACTGGAGGTCCCACAGATGGTGGGGACTACGAAGATGATTTTGAAAAAGATCTTGAATGGCTAATTAATGAAGAAGAAAAACAAATCTCTAATGATATACAGGTATTAGCAAAATACTACATTAGTCTTGTGCCAGTATCTCAATTACATATGAAATGTGCTGACGTAAATAGACTGGAATGAGAGGACATTTATGGTTCTTAAAATATTGTTGGGTATAGGCTGAGATCCAGGGAACTTAGACCTTCAAGATCAAGCCAGTGCCAACTTTCAGAAACACCTGGAGTGACCTCACCTGGCATTAATGGTACAAGAGGAGATAATTCCTTGTGTGCACCCAGAAGTGTGTGTTGGAATGAAGAGATTCTTTGGTTTGCAGTCTAGGGCTGCAATCCAAAATAATAGTGAGTAGGCTCTGTTAAACGCAATGCAAACATGCATAGGATTGCACTGTTTAAAACTTTTTAAAAAACAGGCAATCTAATATTTTATTGAGATAACATACACACACACACACACACACACACACACACACACACTTGGGTAGAAATGGTCACTTTTAAAGGAGGATACAGTTGTATCTCGGCTCCTGAACGTCTTGGGGGTCGAACGTTCCGGCTCCCGGACAATCAAAAACTGGAAATGATTGTTCCAATTTTCAAACGTTCTTTTGGAAGCCGAACGTCCAACGGGGCTTCCTTGGCTTCCAGTTGGCTGCAGGAGCTTCCTGCAGCCAATCAACTTGTGCTTTGGAAGTCGAACGTTTTGGAAGTCAAACGGACTTCCGGAACGGATTCTGTTTGACTTCCAAGGTATGACTCTAATTGACTTGGAATAACTCAGCACAATTAAGTGAGGAATGGAACCTGGGCTTCCCACATCCAAGCTCAACTTCTCAGTCATTGCACCTCACTGGCTATTCTTCTAGAATGTTGTTTATACACATTTTGAACTTAAGCTATTAAGTTTTTATTTAGTTACAACGAAAAGCAAATTTGCCTTGGGAACTGTGTGAATTGGCTCCAGGACACATAGTAAGCTGCTTTATTCAGAGCTGGACCACTGGTCCATCTAGTTCGGTAATGTCCATCTCACTGGCAGTGGCTCTCAGGGTTTTAAAGGGGACATGCTTGGAAGATGCTGGGGATTGAAGCTGGGATCTTCTGCATACAACACAGATGCTCTACCCCCAAGATACAACCCTTCTCCCATATTCTTAAATATAATTGTTAATGGCACACTGGTTGTATGTGCAGATTATACTAAACCATAGTTATGCAACATGAGCAAAAGAAGTGAGTTGCGGTCAGCCTCAAGCTCATACCCCTCCTGCCAGGGAGGAGGAATTTGAATGTTTTGCTTCTGGTTCTGCTTGACACTGGTTTGTTGTTGGACTGACAAACTGTTTACTTTTAGCTGTGATTAGTTTCAAACAAGCCAATTTCAAACGATAGTTACCAAAGCTGACTTGTTTAACACTATTTAAGATTAACCACATTTTTTAGGTCCAGATGATACAGCAAGTTTGGTTAATCGAAAGTGGAAGTGAATTATTCCAAATTCCTTCCTGCATGAGATAAAGAGAGGAAGTGTGTGGAGTAAGTCAGAGAGGAGACTAGGCTTGTTCATTTCATAAAATGGAGTTTAGCATGACATTTGAAGACAGTCATTTTATGTGTGCTTCCCATTACATACTAACATAAATAGGTACTTTGAATTTCTTTGTAGAATCATGATGAAAATGAAGGTGTTGACAAAGACTTAGAATGTATGGAAGATAGAATAAATTCTCCACAAGAATCTTTTGAAGGTGATGAAGTGGGAGAACATCCTTCACAAGAGCCTCCTGAGCCTGAGGAAGTTCTGGATGAGAAGTCACAAAATGAAATTTATTCAATACTTGAACTTGATCCTAAGCAGTTGGAGCAAACATCTGATTCTGACAGCGAAGGTTCTTGTCAGGAATCAAAGCTAGAAGACCAGGAGGATGATGATGAAGATATAAAGCGGTACATCTTAGAAAAAATTGAGGAAGCCAACAAACTACTTCTATCTCAGGAACCTTTAGATGAAACGAAAGAAAGGAAACTAAAATTCAAGGATGATCTAGTAGATCTTGAAATCCCCTCTTTGAAAGCTTTAGAAACTGAAAAAAATGATTCCCACCGGAACATTTCAGGCAGACTGTCTCAATTGCACATTTGTAATGGAGCAGGAAAGGAGGATATTTCTCTTTCTATTAATGGCGGTACAGATGATGAGCACAAGGATGGCAAGATCCTAGTAGAAAGAGATGGGAAATTTGAACTCCTCAGTATCCATGACATTGAGAGCCAAGGCTTCTTTCCTCCACTAAGTGTTTCTTTTAGTGACATTGAAGCTCAACACATTTCTCCTAAAACCTCCTACAGTACTGCTTTCAGCCCTGTCTGTATAACAAAGGAAGACTCCTTAGGTCAAACATCTGTGACCAGAGAAGGGTGCATTCGTGTCCCTCAACCACCACCCATTCGGCCATGCTCAGCAATCAACATTACAAGAAACACAGAAAGGGGGAAAAGTCCACGAAGGGTGCAGTCAGCAAATGTGAGTCTCGGTGCAAGAAGCTCTACATACTGCCTGTCACCCAGGCAAAAAGAACTGCAAAAGCAAATGGAACAAAGAAAAGAGAAATTAAAGAAAGAGGTGAGAGTACAAAGGAAATGAGAAGATCAGTGCACTGTAATTGGGACACATCCCTCCATGACTCTCCTTGGCAAACTCACTTTCTTGTTAAGAATAGCAAGGAGCATCTTGTGCAGAGTCCCGCCATTCCACTAGTACAGTTGCAAGTAGTAAGCCCTTTTCAGTTGTGGCTCTACAATTATGGAACAAGCTGCTTGTCCATATATGCACATGCACATCACTTTGCTTTCAGAAAGAGGAGCATTAACTACCTTTTAAAAAACACTCTTTTAGGTATTAGTGCTGCTTTTAGCATAATAATATAAAATCGGGGTGGGGTGGGGTGACAGGGGTTCTAGCCTAGCAGCCTGTTTTCAGATCTAGCAGGTAGATCTGAAATGCCCACAAACCATTCATGAAGGCAATAAGCTGCTCCCATTATTTATTCCCACTTCAGCTAATATTCAGAGATACACTGATTTTGAATATGAAAATTCCCTTCAGCTGTCATGGCTAATAGCCTTTAATGAGAACTGCCAATTCCACTTTTAATACCATCTAAGCTAGTTGCCATCAATTCATCATTAGCAATAATTAAGTGTTGTATACTGTATTTGCTTTCAGTGTAAGAATGTATGTATATATGTATGTATGTACAGTGGTGCCCCGCAAGACGAATGCCTCGCAAGACGGAAAACCCGCTAGACGAAAGGGTTTTCCGTTTTTGAGTTGCTTCGCAGGACGAATTTCCCTATGGGCTTGCTTCGCAAGACGAAAATGTCTTGCAAGTCTTGAGATTTTTTTCGCTTTCCCCCCCTTTATCTAATCTGCTAAGCCTTTAATAGCCTTTAATAGCCTTTTAGCAGCTAATCCGCTAAGCCTTTAAGCCTTTAATAGCCGCTAAACCGCTAATAGCGCTAATCCGTTAAGCCGCTAATAGGGTTGCTTCGCAAGACGAAAAAACCGCTAGACGAAGACTCTCGCGGAACGGATTAATTTCGTCTTGCGAGGCACCACTGTATGTATGTATCGTTAAGGCAGAGGGCACCAACCTTTTTGGGCCACTGGGTACACTGGGAAATTGTGAGGGAGTTCTGAGAGTACCAGTCACAAAATGACTGCTGTGGAGGTTTGGCATACCACAAAATGGTTGCCACATCTAAAAGAACGGAAAAAGAGATGGGCACTCAACTGTACCATTTTGTGGTCCTGGTAGCCACTATCATTAGAAAAAGACACCTATATCAGTCACCATCATGCTCACTCCTTGCACCTCTGCTCTATTCAAAATGGGAGGATGGGTGTCCAGTTTTAGCATTTAATAAAACATGGGCATGTTTAGAGGTGTGTGTGTGAAGTAGGGGAGGCTGAGCAAGTGCAAACAGGAGCTGAGCAGGAAGAGCAAACAGAAACTCACACACTCTGGATTTTTAGGGGACATATACTGAGATCTTTGGTGCTAATGCCCATGGGCACTATGTTGGCAACCCCTTCTGTAAGGAGATAGGTTTTTACCCACTTTCAATAGAATTACATTTTGCTCCTTAAAAAGTCTTGTAGGAAAGATTTGTATGACTTGAAGAGAAATCTGAAGTAGATACGGTGTTTTGCATATCCACATCTTGCTTACCTGTATCTCTTCCACCTAAAACCACTAGCCTTTATCATTAAAGCATTGCTCAGATGCAGTTCTCCTTATTGTTGGTTTTGTGCTATGGTTTGAAATTGGAAATGGGGAACGGGAGGATCTTATAAAGAGGTGCTAAGTAATATGTGACTTCACTGCAGCTGTCTCTAAACTTGAAATTCTACTTTTTTTTTATCCTTCTAGTATTTTTAGAGACAAATAATGATCATTACCATCCCCACCTAGCTTGCAGATGTGTAAATGCAGCACCAAAAAATCATTCCGTTCACCTTAATGTTCTTAATATCTCCCAGACACATTGATAACATTGTAACCTCTGGAACACATTACTATCATTACTCTGTATTCAGTTCTTTTCAGGATGGTCTAGAATAATTTCAAACACCTTTTACTACCGCTGCTTGAAGAATTGCTGAATTTTTGAATTGGGATTGTTTAAAAGTTCACATTCTTTGTTCACATTTTAATGTAAGGAAGAAATTCGGAAAAGAATACAGGAGGAGGAGAAAAGGAGAGAGAATGACATGGTCTTCAGAGCTTGGCTGCAGAAGAAAAAAGGGCAGCTGCAGGAAGAGAGACGAATTCAGAGGGCAAAACAGCTGGAAGACTTGAATAGCAGAGTAAGTTTTCCCATGCCTGTTGTCCTGCTGCAGCCTGTTTTAGTTCTAAAAAGTTGAAACGAAGAAAAAACCAATCTGCCTGACAAGGATTGACAGCAATCTCACCTTCTATTTCCAGAACTGTAGCTGCAAGCAGGTATATGGCCATGACAATTTTAGGATCACTTGCCTACAGTCAATATAAGTTATTTAGAAACCCATTTGCTATGCTGTCAAATATCTGCAAGACTCTTTTTGTGGCAGTTGTGCTATTTGTATGCTACCTTTTAATTAAATTTAACATGGCAGTTTCCCCCCTAAGCAGATGTTTGTGTCTGGTGTAGGCATCCACTGGAGACTACTTATCTATGTCATGACACATTTATTTGCCTTTATCAAACATATTTAATGCCTGGTATAACTATGCAGAAGGCATAGAAAATAAGGTGGCCTTATTTGTCTTTGGCTCTTGGGATGGTGGTGGTAAAGAGTAAGGAGTGTGCAAGACCTTTTATATATCCAAATAATAATGATGATGATGATGATGATGTCAGTTACTTCAGACTTTTTATGGCAGCTGCATTTAGCCCTTATTGTACAGGAATATTGTTCTTAATCTAACTGGAAAGTTCTCAGTAAGCTAAAGGATGGGATATGAGAATTTATAAATTCTAATATCAAACATCTCATACTAAAATCATTGTGTTACTGAGCAAAGCAAATCACTTGATAGGCAAATCTGAGGCTCGATTCCAAAAAACAGCATCCTTTTGTGACTGACCAGCTTGAAAACTGAGTTTTTTCTCAGGTTGTGAAGTTTTTCTGATGTTAAGGTTCAGACTTCCACTGCAGGTAAGTAATATTGTTTCCTCCAAAATGTGTGTGTATATATTGGAATATATATATATATTTATATAGCCTTTAGTGTATCTAGCCGTTTCTGGAAAGCTGGTATGCTGCCATGAGCCTTAGCTTCAATATGCGTGAACCTGAATGCCTTCTAGATGCGTTTTTGTGGATTATCAAGCAACTATGCCTCCTCAAAATATATACTGAATACAGTCGTACCTTGGATCCCAAACTCCTTGGTACTCAAAACCTGGAAGTGAGTGTTCTGGTTTGCGAACATTCTTTGGAACCCAAACATCCAATGGGGCTTCTGATTGGCTGCAGGAATTTCCTGCAGCCAATCAGAAGCTGTGTTTTGGTTTCCATACGTTTTGGAAGTCGAACGGACTTCTGGAATGGATTCCGTTTGACTTCCAAGGTATGACTGTAACTGGAAAGTGGTGTAAAATGCTCACATTAGCATTGTAAACAAGTTGCTCATATTTGATTTATTTGGCGTAGATCTTTGGGGAGTTTCTTTTTCTTTTGAAGCAGGAAAGCAGAAATCCAGAAGCAGCTTACAAGTCATGGCTTAGAAAAAAGCAGATAGAACACATGAAAGAAAAACAGATACAGAACCTGAAAGAGCAGGAAGAATGCATGTTTTTCCTTCCAAGAACAGCGGAAAATGACAACGCTTATAAACAGTAAGTTGTTCAGTGTTGTGTTTGTCCTGTTACTGAACAATTCCATCTCACTTTTTATCAACTTAATTTGGATTGTTTCCCTAGGAAGCAGAAGATGACAGCCTTTTGCCCTCATTTGGAAGTGTCTTCCCTCACTCTGCAGTTTTCTTCACCCGCTAGAGCCCATGTATTTCTGAGGAGCATCCTCCTGCTAAAGAGCAGTGCTGCTCTCTTAACATCAGCATTACAGCTGCTTACTAGGGTGGTACATGGGCTGGGTCACTGTGAGGACGTAGCTGCACAGGCACACCAGCAGAGTATATGGTCATGGTGGGAAGGTGCCCATGCAGCACCATATAACTGTACCTGCTGCTAAGACAGCAGGATATAGCACTAGAACAAATAATACTGAATTGCCAAGAGCCAAAATTTTAGAAAATTGGGATTGCTCCAAAACTGGTCTAAAGGGGGCTGTGGAATATCATATCATTATATGTCACAGCCCTCTTTAATTAATGATGAACTCAGTTCTTATAACAGGAACTTCAAAAATGCATATTAGCCCTCAAGCGTTATTATCTAGTCAAAAGCACTTGTGGTCCACCTAGTATTCAGTGTTCTTATCACTCTGTAAACGATCCTCTGATGCCGTGTTCTATTCTGGAGAGAGTGCTGTTTTTGCTAAGGATAAAGTAGGTGACCTGGTTTCAGTAAACCTGGAAGAAGTAATCAAATTAAGCTTGGACCACTTCATATTCAGTTTTTCAAAATAATTAATTTCTCTGCAGATGGCTAAAAAGGAAGAGACGGGAGAGGCGAGAAGAGCAAATGGCTGCCAAAGAACGAGCAAGGCAGCTTAGACAGGAAGCCAGAAGAGCAAAACAAATAGAGAACATTCTCTGTTCAATTTCTGAACCAAAATCTTTTCGCTTCACGGACCAGTACAGCTGAGATTTAGAGTCACCGGATGCCTCCAGTATGACTCTTACAGTACCTTGTATAGCTTGCTCTTGAAAGCAGCTTCTTCTGGGATGTTTCATAGTCCTTCAATAACGGCTTAATTTTCTCAATCTTACTAATCTCTCCCCCTCTTAAACTTGGAATAAGTCTCTATTTGTGAATGGGTTGGGGTGGTGTTCTTAGTTCTACAAAGCAAAAAACAGAATAAATGCCCATATGGCAATTGTGGTGTAAATCCTTTTTAAATAGCTTGCCTTGGGGACCAGCGTTATCTTCATACCAAGTATTTTGTGTAAAAGCTACACTTAAACTACTGTCACAGCTGATGGCAATGTGCTAGCACATAGCACTAAGGACTTTACCAACATCTAGTTGGCACTTACTCCTGGACATTGCAGTTTCAAAGTTCTGTCCTATTGTTCTTCCCTGTTGTACTGATCCTGAATAGGTAGTGGAGGGGGCAGTGTGAAAATAACAACTGAAACTTAATGGTATTCACCATTTCTTCAAGCACTGTTTGCTCATTTGGGGGTACTTACTGTGCCTAAGAAATCTCATCCTTTCCTAGCACAGAACCAATGGAAACAAGCACAGACTAATTTACTGCATTGGTGAAGGTAGGTAAATGTTAGAGAATGGTTCTTGTGCTCAGAACACAACTAGTAAAGTGCAAGGTGCTCTGATACTGTCCGACATTATTCTTATGTTTTTGTCAATTTGTTCTCACCCATACAGTACACATTTGATGATAAACATTTGTTTGCTATTGCAAAAACAGCACACATAATCATGCATTATTAATTTTAATTGTCAAGTTACTTAGCAAAGGTTGTTCACATATACCAGCTTTGGAAGAGGTAGAAAATTCCCCCTGCAAAATATGCAGCTAACATTTATTGTAAAATTGTCAAGATCAGAGTAGGCCAAAACTGCGGCATGTCTCAATCCATACATTCCATTAACCAAACATAGGTTGTTGCATGCAGACACAGAGCAGGTACATCTGCTTAGTATTTCAGTGTAATACGAAAATGTTAGAAATGTGATTGTCCCAGAAATGAAAGGAAAAGCCTCTTCCTTTATATATAGCAGTAGACCCTTTTTACCTATTTCCAATTTAAAAGATGAGAAAGGAATCCTCAAGGCTCATTTCCCTAAAAGTACAGGTAGAAGAGCAGTTCTGACACATTTAATAGCACCAATGAAATATGTCCTTAAATAAAGTCCACCAGGAATACTTATAGGCTGTAAAAGCTGGTTCAGTAGAGATACATAATCCACTGAGAATCACCTCCAATAGTTTGACCTAGAAGCTTGTTGCTACTCTTTGGCTTCAATTTTTGTGCATGCCAGAATTCATTTTGCCTCAATCAATAACCAAATTCATTCAAGATCAGTTTCTATCATAGTAAGAATGCTGAGCTCTCACATTTTCACCTGCTATGTAACAATTGCTATAATAGCACTAGAAACAGGTTCTAAAAGATACTGAAGCACAGCACTCACTATCATTCTAAATTAAAATAAATACTTAAACTAGTTATCTGAACTTATTCACAGAAATAAAATCCAAATGCTTGATGCTGGTAGGGTTTCTATAATACTCCCCTTCAGCCTTCTCTTGAAAAAAAGTTTGCATGTGAATTCTATTTAAGGGCCTATGCACACACTGTTCTAACATTTTCTTATTTGCCTTGGAGAACAGGTTGTGTTGCTCTTATTGCATTATGATCCCAGCCTGATAAAAAAAAGTTTGATAAAAGAACTCTTAGAGGTCTGAAAGCTGTGTGACAAGTATATTTCTAGCACAACCCCAACCTATCTGAAAAAAAGCATAGAAAAGTGAATACTGATCACTAAGAAAGTTAGCATATTCAGAGACAACATATCTGGCTATTAGGCATAGTCTTTTTGTTTTTTTAAAGCGCTATCAATTCTCCCTGGCAGTGATTGCAGCAGTTGAAAGTTATGTTCTCATATCTAGTGTATGGGTGAAACCGTCCAATATTCTTCCTTGGGGAAAGGAAAGAGGATGGTGAAGGCTCAGAAAAAGGAAGTTCTGGAGATGCTTCTGTACAAGTGCCGGGATCCAGCATTCTCAGAACCTGCAAGAAAATAATCATTATGTTATGGTGAAAGTCCTGGAGCAGTGCATTTTACATGATGAGCTTCTGAACTCCTTGCTATTAAGCAAAGCCTTACCCACTTCATTAACAACAGTAAAGGTAGGATGGGGCAATGTTTTTATATCCAACACTGTTCTGGGCTAGGGGAGAACTACTGGATGTTGAGCAACAGGTATGGAAACTCCAGTGATCAGGAATCATGACTGGTGGCGGAACTGCTCCAGTTGCCCCAGCGTCTTCAGATGCAGTTTCTTCTGCATGGGTAGAAGTCCTGCATTCTAATATACTGCACAGTTCAAGCTGTTTAGGGCCAGGGCAACTGTCCCCATCTTTCACTGAATGGACAGCCCACGTAAGCTGGGATTTCTTTAGTTTGTGACTATACAATTTTGTATTCAGAGTATGATAGACCTGTTGGGATAGGGTTAAAGGCTCAATAATGTAGCACCAGTTGATACAATAAAAAAGATAATGCTTTGTGTTTTCAGAAGATGACATTGAAACAGCATAATCTTAATGCTCAAAAGAGTAAATTGAGAAATCTTTAATAAAAATATTTTTTTTAAAAAAGGTAAATTGTGAGGCCAAAATGAAAGGGTTTTTACCATTTCAGCCATTTTCTCAGCAGGTGTGTTGCAGAGTTCTGTCAGCGAAGAGCCCTTTTTGGGACTGTTAGTGCTGTCAGTGTTTCCAAGCAGGTGTGAGGTCACTGCTCTAGCTAGCTTGTGGTTGACAGCTGCTAATTCTGCTGTACTATGAGGCTGTGCGCTAGGATAATAAGTTTGCTGCCTTCCCCATTGCAGAGAAACCAGCAGCTCCTCCAGCAATCTGTATAGAAAATAAAGATAATAGTTTATTTTGGTGACTAACATTCTAGACCACTGTGAAAAGATTTAGCAGGGTAAGTAAGGAAGGTGGGAGACAGCATTCAAATGCAGAAACTACCAGATACAATCTTGATGCTAAAAGGAACATCGTACAGTTTCTGGACAAAGCTTCTGATTGGAAATCTTGCATGAAGGACTGGGGAGACCTTGAGCACCTCCAGAGTCCCTTCCTGAAGCAGAGGCTATGACAATGTGTGTTAGAAGAATCCCAAGCCATGAAATGGTATGCAACGATAAACCTGTTGATTGTTAAGGAGATGTCAGAATGCTGTTCCCTACCCCCACCCACAAATATGGATATGAATGACCCACAGGTGCAAATGGGGAAGGAGCTGTTAGAAGTTGGGGGAAAACCAAATGTTCATACTTCTGTGCAGCAATCATCTCTTGGCGAAACTGGTCACGTTCACTTAACAGATCCTGAATTGCACTCTGTGCATCCCTGGTTTGACGCTGGAGAACTGCTCTGGAATTAGTCAGCTCATCAGTCATCACTCTGTAGAAGAAATCCCAAATGTGTCTCAGACAGGTAAAGGAATTTATCTACTTAAAATCCTAATTCATGTTACATTAGCAGATAACTTGCTGTGTACACATGAAGTGGTAATGCTTACAGGATGCACCCTGAATGGCTATAACTGAAAAATAAGAAGAAATCAGCTTGTTGATCTGAAGTACATTACGTTGTTATTATGACACTCTTAGCCTGCTCCCCACTCGGGAACACTTACTTTATTCTCATAATACTGCAAGGTATTTATAATTTAAAGTAACCATTTCGCAAACCATCAGGGCACTGTACAACAACATAAAACAATTTTTAAAAGCAATACAGAAAATTTTGAACAGCCACATAGGCCTGCTGGCATAAAAAGTCAAAAGCGAGGATGCCTGTCAAATCTCTGCTGGAAAGATCTTCCATAGGACGGAAATGGTAACAGGAGAAACCACCACCCACTCCCCTCTGGACTGTTTCAGCGATCAGGCTAGGATATGAATTAGACTGAAAGAAGGCAACTTTGAGTCAGTCACCCTGAGAACGTAAATTTGCTGCACTGACATCTGAACACCTTATCCAATGCACCTTATTTACTTTGTGCATGGACTTATCCAGCAAGGTGTAAAACAGCAGCAAGGAGGAGGGGTAATTCTGGCCGGCTACTTCTTCAGGAACCAAACTTCTAAACTGCTTTTTATCTTTGGGGCTGTGGTGGTGCTACTGATCAAGAGCTAACTGAAAAACACTGTTAGGCTTGTGTATCTTTTTATGGTATTTAGAAGTGTAAAGCAAGACACATCTGGAAGTGGAAGGCTGATACTTGGCCTGCAAGGAAAGAGGAATTGTGGATCTGCTGCATAGAAACCGACTGTACTCTCTATTTCAATCTCATAAGCAAGCCTATGAGGGAAGCAGCTCAGGGTCAGCAAGATGGGCTAAGTCTACGAAGCCCCCAGTTATACTATTCAAAGTTATATGCAGCACAGGAGCAGCAGTCCTCAGAAAGCCCAGCATTTCCAGCCTTCTTCCACCTCATCAGTGGCATCTCCAACTGTACTGCTATGCCACTGCTCAGGTCTAGGTTGCTGTGAATAAGACACAAGGAGTTTGACAAGGCTTTCCTTACCCTCAACTGTCTTTTGGCTCTTAGCACCCAAGGATCCATCTTAATCTTAAACAGCCATCAATCCCCCACAAATAGCTTTCCTGTATCCCACACATGGGGTCTTTGCATGTCCTCTAGGGGCTTAGAATGGATTTATGTTCAACTCCAGAACTTCCGCTCAAGGTGCAGATTACCACTTGTAGTTCAGCAACATTTGGTGGGCCAAAGGTTCCCCGCAGCCTTTATAAAGTTGCATTGAGGCACAATACCTGCTTGCTAGGAATTTGCTCCTCCAAACATCACACTGTATAGACATCCGCTCTAATTGCTCAGATAATTGAGACACATTTCGCCCTAGGGCCTCATTTTCAAGGATCAGTTGATTTTTTTCACGTGCCATGCGTTCAAAGTGATACTGCAGGTCATCCCCCACAGAAGCAACAAGTAACTTCTTCAACTCCCGATTGACCTAAGACAAGACAATTATTTAAACATTCATCATGTGTCAACAAGGAATATGATCAAGCTACCCCTGGTTAATATTGAAGCTATCAAGTACAAGATGCTAGAAGGCTCCCCTTCCAAGCTTAGCAGATTTTCATAGTAAATATATATAGGACAGATCACTAAGAGACAGGTGTGTATCCTTAAACAAGATGCCTGGATACCCAAACTATAAGCACACTAATACTGTATGCTAAGATATTTGATACAACTGTAGCTGCTTAAAGTAACAAATACTAAGGCGCAATTTGCTAAAAGATAAATATATACAGTGGTACCTCTAACAGTGGACACGATCTGTTCCGGGGTGCTATTCACACCCCAAAAAGTCCGCAAGTGCGGAGCGTGATAGAGTGCTTCTGCGCATGTGCGAAGTGCGCAGAACGCTTCTGCACATTTGCCACACGTATGGCGAAACCCAGAAGTATACACTTCTGGGTTTGCTGCATTCGCAAGCTGAAAAGATGCAACATGAACCTAATGCAACATGAGGTATGACTGTATACATCTCAGAGGCTAGTTTGCAGCTTCAACATGTTGAGACCAATAGCTTTCATGTTGCCACTTCCATGAATTGCTTCTACAATGTCATACCCAATTAGCTGATCATATTGATCTCTGTAACATCCTTGCCTCCAGAAAGCATTGGAAACTATGAAAGTTGCATGTCTCCATAGCACCATAGGATCAAAATCATGCGGAATAATTCAGGTATTCAAATGTGCTAGATACTCATATGGTCTCTGTATGTTTTCCCCTGTGGGACAAATAGCTGCTTGGGGTGGGTAGGATCTGCTTATGTCTCCACATGGGTGCTGTTAACTTTTTTTAAAAAAAGGGCAATCCTCATCTTGTATCACATCTAGTTTGGTCTTAAAAAATGAGTGTGTGAACCATCTGAAAGCTGCACTCCTGGCATTTTTTCATAGTGGGTAGAAGGAAAGAAAAGACTTAGTAGACAACTACAGTATATAGCAGAATTGGCCCTTAACATCCATGAGCAGAACAATGAGGATGAACAAATGTTACTAACTGCTGAAAGAAGGTAAAACAATACATTTCCCTCAATTTAGTCTTTCATTTGATGTGCATTAATTCAACACCACCATCCAAAATTACTGTGATAGAAACTTGTCCATTAAAATTGCTTGCAGGCTTCCCATAGGCTTCTGGTTGGCTACTGTGAGAACAGGATGCAAGACTAGATTCAGCAGATCCCTCTTCTGTTCTTAACTGATATCCCATCTACTTTATTGCCTTTTTTATGGTCAGCACAGCCACAACAATCCCAATGATACATTCAGGACCAATTTATATGTGGTTGTGAGCTTACACACGGTCTACGAACCCTTACCTGCATAGGAACTCCACAAAACGAACACTCCTAACTATTGAACCAACCCATATACATTTACTGACATTCCAACAGACACAGAGCTGGCAGACAACTACTACTTTCCTATGGGCTGGGGCTTAAACTATGAATATCTTTAACAAGACACTGAATGTGTAGCACTCATATACGGATATGGACTTTTTAATTATAATAGATACCATCAGTGTCACCTCTTGATCAGCCACTGTCTTATAATAAACACTCATGCCTCATGCCTAACTCTAAACATACACTAGGAAGGACATCCCATTGGATGCAACTGAACTTACTTCTGAGGAAGCTTCCATAAGAGTGTGCTATTTAGGATGGAAGAAACAGGGAACATATTGTTGAATGGGGTTTCCTCTATCTTCCCATGAACGCTTCTAAAAACCAGATAGTTGTTTATTTCTTTGACATCTGATGGGAGGGCGTTCCACCGGGCAGGCGCCACTACCAAGAAGACTGGTTCCCTGTAACTTCCACCGGGCAGGCGCCACTACCCTCTAACTGGTTCCCTGTAACTTCGCTTCTTGTAGTGAGGGAACCGCCCAGAATGCAATATGAATAATTGTTATATTGCAGTTCCCTACTGGGAGCCCCGGTACAGGGCAGCTTTTAAAAGGAAAAAAAAAGCATAATGGATTAAATCCACTTCTTGGTCCCTCACCTCTGTTTGCACATGGAGCTGATTGGAAAGGCCTTCCTTATCCTGTAGCAATCTTCTTTCGGAGTTCTTGAGCTTTGCTATTTCACTTCTAAGCTCTTTTTTAGAACCCGAAATTTCATCTAACAGAGTGAGGGTTTCTCTTTGGTGTCCTGAAGACTTGGGCATCTTTGCATTTTTGGTAGGAACTACATGGTTTATAGCAGCTTTGGGAACCAGGATTCGCACAGCTTCGATCTCCACGGCCGTATCACCTTTTATCTTCCCTAGTTGAAGAACTCCAGGACTTAGTGAAGGAAGAGCTTTCTTGTGTGGGCTTCGATGGGCATGACTGGCTGAGGACTGGATTACTTCAACAGATTTGGGCGGTTGCTCCATTTCCATGCCATCCCCAGGTCCACGGATGGGTGAGGTGGCATATTCAGCTGAAGCTTGGAGAAAGAAAGCAGAAAAGTTAATGCAAAAAAAGATATTTTGGTGAGATAAGTACTTGTCATTGTGTTGTGTCCAAAAGCTTCTGTTTCTTCATTGCACCCCCTCCATTGCATGCGACACTGTTAGCCAAGTTTTTAAAAAGAAAATTGTATAACTAGACATAAGACCAATTTAAGAAATTGTTTGCTAGTTGATTTTAACAGTGGCCATATTTACACACTTAGTACCACCCCCAAAAATGATAGTTTGAAGCAGATTACCGCTCAGATAGCGTGATACAATATAGCATACTTATTTTTATTGATTTAATGTCTGAATATCTGTTAAGAAAGGTTTTGTAAATTTGATATACTTGGCAATAAAAAATATTAAGTAAAAACCCTAAATGATTAGACCTTGCAATTACCATACATTTAGCCTACTTCTTGGTCTAAACAGATAGTTTTACCAAAGTCTTTCCTTTACCAATAAGTGAAGAATGCATAGTTTAACACAACATTTGTTTTTAAAAAGGATGAACACTTACTGTTTACTGTATTCTGTAGTGTTGTCATCTTGTTGATGGAGCTTCACACACAGCAGGTAAACACTAAGCAGAGGAAAAAGAAAAATGCATAAAATCTCTGTTGCATATTTTAGCTGCTAATTCTTCTGAGAAATATGCCAAACCAGTAGTGCATCTTTTATCAAGCCATATTGCTCCAATCCAAAAAGGCAAGCACTGTTTAGAAACTTCCTGCACACATAACCAATGAGGGTGCAAATATACACCCTAGCTGTGAGAATTCAGGATCCTTACGAATTGCTTGGCCACAACCTCTGTGCCTGTGAATGGTGGGCACAGTGGCTGCTGTTATTCTAAGTACCTAACAGTTTGCTTGGTGAATGAGACAGACCAGAAGTGATGAGCAGGGGGCATTAGAAACATGAAAAAGCAACAATAAATGCAATTATCTAGCACAGTGCATTGCAGTTGCTGTAAAGAGCAGAAAAGCAATTAACTGGACTACCAAGACATTCAACAATTTTCAAGTGGCCTGTGTGTGGGAAGCTTAGAAACCACTGCCTTCTACCAAATTAGATTATTGGTTCTTATAGCCAGGGGTGGTGCTAGGTTCTTCAAAGGTTCTTCAAAGACTTGGGGACCAGACACAATGTTGTTTTTTTAAATAATTGTGTTTCATCCATAGATCTCAGGGTGGTTCACAGTATAAAAAAGATAAAAACACAAAACACATAATAAAAACAAGAAATACACATTTAAAAGGATACAGGATGCATACAAATTACTATGTTAATTTATACATATAGATGCATATTTAGGTCAACTTCAGAAGGAGAACCACCCTGGAAGCAAGGTTTTTTAAAAAAAGATTTGGGAGCAGGGATGGAATAGAATCAATGCCACCTCTGTGCCCAGCATGCAGCTCAATATTGTCCGTGACTGGCTGTGGATCTCCAGTCAGGGCCTGCATAGCTGCAAAAGGTAAACTACCCAATACAGTTGGGCAAAACGTACAAGAGAGACGAAGAGGTTACTTTCAAACACTGCACCAGCTCTGGGTTGGCCCAACACCATAGAATGGCAAGACACAAAAACTTAAGACACAGTGAGACTATTATTTTGAAACAGGAAGTTGACTAAGGCTGCAACGCTAATCATACTTTGGCAGCAACTTTCACTGAACTGAGGGGGTTTAATGTGAACAAACATGTTCAGAATCAGGCTAGTCAAGTTTCTTCTCTTCACCATCCTGGCTCATGACAGGTCTTTTCACCCATCAGAAACTGGCCCTTGAAGCTGTTGTCTAGAGTCTTACAGTTTAGGCATTCTTAATAACTGACAAACCCAAAGAGGTAGAAATTGTGCACTGGAAACTCAGAAACTAAGTTGTAGTGTCCTATACTAGAGATAAAATTCTTTACCTGCAAAGAGGCAATAGGATGATGCTTCTTCCACAGGCTGTGTGCCTACCACAAATTCTGCAAGTGTGTCAGATTTTCACTTTGTATCTTAAATCCCTTCAGCCTCATCTCACTGGAAGCCTACACTCCTATGCACATTTACCTGTGAATTAGTCCCATTTGAATTCACTGGGTAGGACAGATGTCAGCCCTGCAGGATCCACTTTTACTAAAAACCCTCCACCAGCTTGAGCCAGGTGAAAACGACATGCGTTTCAAAATTAAAAATTCTGACCCTGTGAATTTGTTTTGAGCACTAGAACTGAAGTGAGCTCACAGTCCTCACACACTGATCTCTGCTCCCAAGTCTCTCCCAGCCCCCACTTCAGCAGCATAATTTGGCATTTCGTTGTCATTGTTAAAACAACTGGGAGTCAGAAATCCTCACCCATCTTTTCCACGCCTGCTAAAAACATTCCTGTTTAGACAAGCCTACCCAGGTGTTTGGAAAGCTGAGGTAATTTTAATTTGAGTATTTTAACTTTTGCATGTTTTTAAAGTAGGGTACCCCCCCGATTTCATCTTTTGCAAACCGCTTTGATCCCCCCCTTGTTTACAGTCAAGAGGTGTAGAAATTTTATGAAACAAAAAACAAGCCCACCCAGAAGCCTCCCGGTAGATCCTGATCCACTTTCTGCGAACATCTGCTAAGCAATATACACAGTGGCACAGTACTACGCCCGAATGAGAAAAAAACGATTCTGGCTACCCCGCAATACACTTTCGATGAGATCTACTTCCCAGGATGGGCAGTTTGGGAAATGCAGCAGCAGCATAGCAGTCAACCTTCTCTTTTTTGCGGGAAATTCCCTTATTCCAGCGTCGTTTCCAGCTGCTATCCCGGATTGTTAGATATCCCGTAGACTGTCCCCGGGACAGGTGAGGCTGCTGATCCCTTATTTTCGAGGCTCCCCGGGACAGGTGAGGCTGCTGATCCCTTATTTTCAAATCTGAAAGTTGACAGCTATGAGCAGCAGGTTGCTTCGCTACGAGGGAATTTAACAACGCGTGAAATGTCATAGTTTCCTCCCACCCGCCGCCGCCCAGGCCGCCCCCGCACCGCACAACACTCCCTCGACTTACCAGCAGCCCGGATTACTTGCGAGTAGTTTCCCTTGTCGCCCCTCTCACTCCCTCGCCATCTCCCACTCATCCGCCTTCTCTAATCAACTTCCGCTCTATTGATTTCCGCGTATAGAGGCATATCCACTAGACTGGCGCACAGAGGTTAACTTCCGGATTGCTTTCGAACTCCACGGCCTTCCCACGTCGCGAGAGCCGCCCTAACAAAACCAGTTGGGAAGCCCCGGGTTTTAGTGTACCGTTCATTTGAGTGACATCTGTCTCTCCTGCCAATCAATACAATACAATACAATACAATACAATACAATACTTATTTCCTTGGCAGAAAGGCAACAATAAAACTTCAATCCCATTTGGAAAGCTCAGCAGGGTCCGGTATGGTTTCAAATTGGATGGGGCACCGCACCGCATGTTGAGATGCCTGCATTGCAGAGGGTTGGACTAGATGACCCTAAGGATCCCTTCCAGCTATATGATTCTATTCCACATTTCTCTACCCCCCTCCCATGGGCAGCCGTCACTTGGTATAGGAAGGTGAAGCGGGAGCTTCAAAAAGAATTTATGAGGCATGACCGCGAGAGAAGGGCGCATTTGTTTACTCTGCTATTTCCTATCTCTGCGCTTCCGTGCAACTTCACAGCGATGACGTCCGCTTATGTTGCGCTCCGTATGCTTCCTTTCAATGGGGAGTAATAGCCTGGCTCTATCTTCCGTCAAGGCCTAGAGCGGCGCTTACTCTGAGCCAATCGTGAGTCTCCGCTAATGGCGGTTTTCCGCTTTCAACGGAAGTTTATTTTCCGCCACCGCGTCCTATGCGCGCTCCAGGGAGGAGGCGTGGCTTCGGTTGCTAAGAAGCGGTTTTGGTTGGCGGGCGGGCAGAGCTGGACCGTTTTGTTGTTGGAGGGAGCTAGTGTTGCTTGGGCTGAGGCAGAGGAGCGTGGAGGACAGGCGAGGACGGTACCATGGTGAGTTCCGGGGTGGGGGGGTTGGAATGATGCATTAGCTAGTCGCCGTGTGTGTGTATATAATGCTTCTGCAGTGATTCCCATTGAGGGATGGTATGTTAGCGAAGAAATGGTGCTTAATAGCTCCTCAGTGGGGGTGATTGTTTTGGGGAGGGAATGTGTTGTGACGTCACTGATTACATTTATTTACATCTTGCCTTTCTTGTGAGGAGCTCAAGGCAGTGGCCTCTGTTACTCTTCTCCTTCATTTTATCCTCACAGCAACCCTGTGAGGTAGGCTAGGCTGGGGATGAGTGACAGGCCCAAGGCCACCCAGGGAAGCCCATGGCTGAGTGGTGTTATAATAATAATAATAATAATAATAATAATTTATTTATACCCCACCCATCTGGCTTGGTTTCCCCAGCCACTCTGGGCAGCTTCCAACAGAACACTAAAATACAATAACCTATTAAACATTAAAAGCTTCCCTAAACAGGGCTGCCTTCAGATGTCTTCTAAAAGTTTGGTAGTTATTTTTCTCTTTGACCTCTGGTGGGAGGGCGTTCCACAGGGCGGGTGCCACTACCAAGAAGGCCCTCTGCCTGGTTCCCTGTAACTTGGCTTCTCGTGGCGAGGGAACCGCCAGAAGGCCCTAGGCGCTGGACCGAGCAGAACGATGGAGGTGGAGATGCTCCATCGTTCAAGTATTCAGAACTTCAAGTGCTCAGAACTTGGCCCTTCTTGTTCCTAGCCTGACAGTTTAACCACTGTACCATGGGGGGGGGGAGGATTTTGTGGTCCTCCATGTGGTGTTGGACTCCCAACTCTCGTTAGCCCCAGCCTGCGTGGTCAGGGGTTATGGGAATTGTGTGGCCCAGCAATGTCTGAACGGCCACAAGTTCTTCATCTCTGCATTACACCATATTGACTCTCCTGGTGGTTTCCTGATAGGTTACATTCTTCCAAAACCTGGAGAGAGAGAGAGAGAGAGAGAGAGAGTATTATCAGTTTGGAAGAAATGTGACAGCCAACAGTTTGAGCAAGGGGAGGCCAAAGTAGAGAGCAGCCCATGTATATATTAGTCTTTGGGGATTTACTGAATGAATGCAGATTTGCTTCCACTGTGCTCTGCCTGTTTTTGTTTATAAGGATACAATGATACTATAATATTGCAAATGTAATAAAACAAAGGCAAAGGGAAAAGACTTAAAGGACATGTGTGCTTCAACACTGAAGAGGACAAACTTCAAGAGAGAACATTTGAAGCCCCATCAAGAGACGATTAGATCTAAACTATGCCAGCCTATGGACTTCAAAGGGGCTTGCTGTAACTGCTGGTCAGTGGATACAGCGATTCCCTTTCATTCGGTCATAATTTTATTTATATGCTGCTTCTTCCACACAAAAAATCACGCTCAAAGTAGTTTACAACAAAGGGAACAGTAACATTTCTCAAAATCAACAATCAAGAACAATGCCATAGTAGCATAATAAAACAACATAATAGTAAGTGTAACAACATAAAAAAAATCATTTCAGTGCAATAAGTATAGTAAGATTACATTAACAACATTAATCTTGCCGGCAATAGCAAAACAAGGGAGTTTGAGTTTTACCTTGGTCCTAGAAACACCTCTTCCATCATGTTGCTCACCTTTGAAGTTGTCTCCTACATCATAATGATGTCAGATGATAGACAGGTGGGTGATGGTGCCCAGATGTCAGAGTTGGTCCATGAAGGGTGGAGGAGATAACCCTTGCTGTAAAGAAAAGTGAAATGTAGAACAGTGATGTACTTTGCATGACAATCTGATACATAATAGTAGGGATGCAGACTTTCTGTACCTTTCAGACAGGACCAGGGCCCCATCAATATGAGACAGATTGGAGGAAACCTGGAATCTATTATTATCTCTCTCTTAGTTCCTTCTTCTTTGAATATATTTAATTCAACACAGACTGGGTCTTTTTGTGTGTCACACCAATCCACCCCAAACATTTCCCTTCTATTGAAGCTTCTGTGCTGGGTAGAGGGAAAGCTTTGTTTGTGCTGTGCAATCCCTGATGAAAATTGGATCATCTGTGCAGGTGAAAATGAGTCCTGTGCCATTAGATAATGTCTGTCCACCTGTCAAACTTGGCCCATGGGGTGGATGTGGGAGATTAGGATCCAGTCTGCTGTCCAGATCCACCCCAGTTATATACCAAACTGTTACTTTGAATATTATATATACAGTGTATCCTGAACCAGGGCCAGCCCAAGACATTTTGGCACCTGAGATTGACCCCATATTGGCTCCAGGGAAGAAGGGTGAGGAAAATCTACATCAGGAACAAGGTGTGGGGGAAGAAAGATCAACATTGAGATTTGCTACCCTAATGGCTCCTGCCACCTGAAGTAGTTGCCTCACCTTGCTTCATGGGTGGGCCGGCCCTATCTTGAATACTGCAGATATTAAATGGGGATCAGGGAATGGGTATTATGTTGTGGTAGCAAATTTTCAGGGTACTGTTTTATATATGCATTGTGGCCTATAAAATTGGTGCTATAAAATGGAAGGTAGGCGGTACAAAACCACTTTCCTATTTAACTGGTTAGATTCCTGGTTAGATGAAACAAAATGTTTGTGTGTGAACCATTGATGACTCAAAAATACCTATTAAATTTATTGAGATTGTATTAGAGTATATATTGCAATCTTGTGAGTCTGTTGAAAGAATAATGAGTGATTTACAATATAGTATTTACTAACTTGTTTGTTGTTCTAAAAATAGGCATCACATTTTCATCTAATTGTAGACAACTGTGATTAGATGTGATGAAAATAATTTCTAAAAAATACTTCATACATTTGGTGAATTTCCAAAGTAGGATTATACTGTATTGTATAATAAAAATATCAGTTTTAGAGGATCGTCATCTGGCAAGATGAAAGCTAGCTTCTTTCTTTAGTCTTAGCCCTTTGTCTGCTTTTATTTTTAGCTCAGCTTCTGTGCTTGCAAGTGTGCAATTTAAACTTGCATCATACTTAAAATGAATTTATGTGAAAGTGGGCAGTAATTGTTCTTCAAGCTCACTTTCCCCTCAGCTGGCCCTCTTCCTAAAAGATGACTTTAAGTGTAACTGATGAGATTGTTTAATGTTCTCAAAATCTCAGGTAGAATTTTCATGATGTAAGCAGCCTCCAGAGCAGCCCCAAGTTCAGCAAGGGCAGAATTATGTTTGACTTCAAAGAAGTATGGATAGAAATAAAGGGCTGTATCTAGCTTATTTATTGTTGGAGTAAACCATTGAAATGAATGGACCTAAGCGAATCATTAACAGTATTTTCGATGGGTCTATATTCTGAGTAGGAGTAACAGTGGCTACAATCCCAGTGTTTGTATTTATAGACTGTGGAGAGATTTCTGGGAACTTGTAGTTAGTCACAAAATCTCATGCCCATATCAACCTTGAATTGGGCATGCTGCTGATGCGCCCAGTGCACTGCACTGGTCATTTTTTTTATAAGCCAGGGCCTCACATGCCTCATGTGCAAGAGTAGGAGGCTAGGGTGCTTAAAATGTTTAAATAATGGTGTAAATTTGCTTGAGTATACATTTGATTGGTTATTTGGGATTTTTTTTTTGTCATTTGCCAGAGTATACTATGTTTCTTTCATATATTTGTTCCCGTCCATAGTTTAACAATAATTAATAAATAATACAATTTCTCCTAGTTGAGACTTGATGTAATCTGACTTCTGTGGAGCACTAGGTGGAGCCCTTTAGCTGACAAACCTGAACCTGCCATTTCTTTTAAAGGGTGAGTGTTTGCCTGCTGCCCATTACAGTTTGTTCATGCTAACCATATTAGCTGGACCCATTTGTAAACATTCCCTATCCTCGGAGCATTGGAAAACATACTGTGGTAGCTGGAATTACTTTTAAATTGTGCTAGCTGATGCACTTATGGAAAAACATTCCATGAACAACAGTTCTGTTGTGCAAACAGTTCCATGGGCAACAGTAGTGCCACACGATCAGCATTGTTCTGTTTCATAAATACTTACAATTTAAATGAGACAATCCTCTGTTAATCCATTCAGAATAATAAATAGCACCATTTTACTAAGGGAAAAGATAATACCAATGGAACCAAAGGGAGCAAATGGCTGGAAATCCAGTTTAAGTCAGAAAGGTAAAGTACCTACTTCCTGGTGGTCTAATTTCCCCTGTGCTTGCTATAATGGTTATTGATTCTAGTGGAAATCCAGTAGCAGGACGGCAGGTCATTCTCAGTGACAGAAGGCCCCAGATTTAGTCCTTGACATGAAAGGATCAGATAGCTGATAATAGGAAAGGCATCTCTATTTGAAACCCATGAGATTTTCTGCCAATCCAATATAGGACTGCTCTGCAAGTGTGACTAAGACATGCCCTGGTCTGTTTATGCATCTCTGCCATATGCAGCCCCTGTTCAAGCAACCACATTATAGCAGAAATGTTAAAACATCTGGTTCTGTGTACTGCAGCTGGTTACATTGAATATCTGAAATGGAAATGAATAATTTGTTCCTGATCGCTTATAAGACAACTGATCACAAATGTCATTGTTCTTTTGAACTGAGAGAGGGCTTGTGGTAGAAATCATGCAGAATGGCCCTTCATGTTTTGGCAACAAAGTAAATTTATAGTGTAACTTTTAAATGGGCTAATTTTATGAGTTGATCTGAATAAATAAGGTTTTATTGTTATTTTGTACTTGTGCACTTATTTCCAGGAATTTATACTGTGCCTGTCATTTGGAATCCTCTTGGCCCCCCCCCCCCGCAAACTTTCCATTTTCATCATTCATTACGTTACTCACTGTACTAAAGATATTAGATAAAGTTTGTTTTTTTTTACACACACATACACCTGTTCAATATTAACTTGGTATCTGTCTTTATGATAGAGGATTTATGAGTATGCCATCAGACATTGTCTGCACTGGCTGAAATCTGTATTCGGCTGAATTGCTCAAGGGTTAATATTTGACACAACACGAGGTGAAAGAAGCATTTTAACTTTAATGACAGCCTTGGCAGGAGACTATTTGGTTAAACTATAGTACACAATGCATGCTGGCTCAAAATGTTCCCAGTTGCGAAGGAGAAAGGGATTGGCTGAGCTCTTGGCTTTCTGTGTAGCAAGGTAATAAATTTTTAATAGGCCATGATACTCTCAGAACGTTCAAGGTAAATGCCAAACGTGTGCTCTTTGGAACCGCCTTTCCAGCTATTTGGTGCTAACACACACCGGTATCAGCTGGCTGAAGGTCACCTTTCACCTTCACTGCAGTTTCAGGAGAGTCCACGTGTTTTAGAAGTGCTCAGGAAAAGTGGAATGCAGAAGAGCAATGTAGCGTGGTGGGTAGAGTGCCTGGCTTGGATCTCAGCCACTTGAGTTGAAATCTCTCATTCATGTGCACTCCTACGTCCGTTGCCCTCTGTGCATTCAAGGAATGGTGGGATAGAAGTCTGATTTGTAATTGCATTCTGAAACGATAGTGAAAAATTAAGCATTGGAGGAGTGGTTTTGAAAGGTGCAGTGTGCGATTTGTGAATATTTCCTTTCAAAGACCCATATGTTCATAAACGAACACACATTTTTATTTCTAACTTCTGGTTCCAAACCTCTGTAGGGAAAAACCTAGACGAGAAGGCCTCAACAAATGTCTGCGTTCGTTTCAGTAAACTGCTCTAGCAGCTACTGAGGCCTCCTCATTTTATTTTTCACTGGCTTTCAAAGTGTGTGGCCAGTTGCGGTTGTGTACAAGGCTCCTTACTCAAGTGTCCTGCTGCCAGCATTTGAAATTTGCCTGGTGCATTTTCCTCCTGGCTATTGGCCACTTGTGACCACTAATTGAAGATGGCCAGGTGCCTGACGTCTCCACCATCTGGAGGTGCATGCCTGGGGATCCTTGGATCGTGACTGTTTTCACACACTAAACAACACATCCTGTAGAATTCTATCCATTATATTTTATCTGTGCAATCAGAATGAATTTCAGGAACCAAAATGTCGTATTGAAAACTGCTTTCAAGCTGTCTGGCCCCCAAATGGCGTCTAGGCATTCCATTTTTGCAACTGTAACTCCTGGTTTAAGGAGCCACTTGGCGCTTAGCTTATATATCTGAGTTTCTAACACTGGCTGCTGCCCCTTTGTGGAAGCCCCATTTTGCCTGCCTGCATGTTCCTATAATGCCCTGCTAGTATCAAGTTTTATTCTCCCCACTCTGAAAATTCTGCTTATGAAAATGGGCAAGTATTGCTGTCTTGAGGAGCACTTTGTTCTTATTAAAGGTAACATTTAGAACTTGTTCTATATTCAGTGAGAGCAGAGGGGCCAATTTTAGCACAACCTACTTGGTTTTAATTACAAGACTCTGATTCTCAAACACGCTTGTGTAATTTGTCATCTGTGGTTTGCAATGCTCTTTTATTTGGCTGGTACAACTTGTGAAGAGACGTGGCCTTGCCAAGCAGCAGTAATCCCATATTCACACCACATAGTGCTGCTTATGCCTGTGTGGGCTGGCATCTTTTATCTGTCAGAGATTCATCTCTCCTCTGTCAGAGACAAGGCATGGAACTATGCATCCATAACTGTTTCCAGTAGGATACTAGTTACACAGTCATTCTGCCCAAAAACTGGGTTGAGGAGAGCTTCGGAAGCTGAGTCAATTGGTCCATTAGTTCAGTTTCCATTGAATGGCTGTGGCTCTCCCAAGATTTCAGGCGGTTCCCCCCCATTATTACCAGGATTTGAACCCTGCATGCAAGGCAGGTGCTCTGCCATTGGCTGAACTAGATAAACATGGTATCCTTCAGTTAACACATACAGAAACTGAGCAAGAGAGTTGTCACCTTTTGTCTCTCTGAAATAAAATATTTCCACATATGTGGCTTAGCCCTTCGGTGTAAAAAATGCCTTTTAGGTTGCTTCTTTATGCAGAATAAATAAATAAATGGCTGAAGGGATTAAAAAGAAATATCTACCCAGTGAATGAAATAGTGTTAACGTCAATGTAGTGTAGCAATAGACCAGGTCCTGAATTTCTGCATTCCATCTAATTTATCCTCTGGACTATAGAATTTGCTGAGAAGCTCTAATTAGTACTAGTCTGAATAAAGAAGGTTTTCACATTCCACCTGAAATCCAACGGTGAAGAGTTTATCTGGGCCTCATGGGAAGTTCTGTGAATTGATTATCACAGCGTACTCTTCATTAGCTGAAATAGCACTGAATGAGATTCTATACTGAATGGCTCCATGTTACAGAATTAAACATCCTTTATCCTCTGCTCCTGTTGGTTTGTTTTCCCAGAACCTCTTTTTCCAGAAGATAAAAAAATCTTGGAATTCATATGGGCAAAGGCTCTCCTGAAGGTACACTGGGCCTAAGCCACATTTCAAGATGCTCACATTTCACAGAGTTTTTCCTTGTTCTGTAAATCTGTGCTACTCACTTTCTGCAGGTATGCTGAAATGTAACACCACGGTCCTCTTTATTTAATTTCTCTGATGCCCTCAAAGCTACTGCTTATATAGTCATTAAGTAAAGTAGCACTGAAGGGAACCGCACCCCCAGAGTTTCACTTTACCGCATTACACATACTTCGCTTTGTCTTAGACGTTTTTGATAAATCTAATTCCATTGCTTTAATTTGGGGATTATTGAGGCATGTAGGTGGTTGAGCTATTTTGCCCACAATTACACAGCATGTCAAGAAAAAAGCTGGGAACATAACGTGAGAGTATTGGTGCTTTGCTTTCCAATATCGTTCATTAGCTTTTCCTTTGACTAAAGTGCAAAAGAAGCCGAATGCAGTGTTTCTTATAGTTCTGAACATTTTATTATGGAGTAGCAGAGGAAGGCCATGGGGTGCTTTGCCATTTTACTAATATAGCTTAAATTGGCACAATCTTGTTTCCTTTCTTTATTGATCTTGGTAACAGTTTGTACAAATGCTTTTTTGTCTTCCAAATCTCTCTATAAAATGGCAGCCTATTTTTCTTCCTTAGGAGCTAATTATTTGGGGAATGATCCTTCCTGCACAGCGTAGCTCCATTCCACAGTTGAATCCCCACTGAGTTTTTAAGCAGAGGTTGGATGGTCATCCTTCATGCATTCTTTAGTTGAGATTCCTGCATCGCAGGGGGTTGGACTAGATGATCCTCAGGATGCCTTCCAACTCTGCAATTCTTTGGTTCTGTGCTTTAACCTGGTCCCCATTCTCTTGGATTACTGGGGCCTTTAAATGCATGTCATGACAGTTCTCCAGAGTACTTTTGGGTCAAGCAGCCTACTTCCAACCTGAAATAGATGCTACATTGGATACTGAGTCTTGAGCAGTGTTGTCTGTTCTGTTGTATGAAGAAAGTTTCAGTTGTTGACCCCTAAGTATGTGAACAAAACAGTTGGGGCTAATGTCCGTCATGGCTGTATACTGGAGGAGAGAATTCAGTTGGTTACTGCAGCATAATTCAGGGGAAGGAGTAATACATACCTCCTTAAAAGTAGCAATTGTAAGACCACTGCTGAAAACTCTTGGTCCCCTTGTGCTGGAATATTGTACCCCCGTTTTTCTTTTGCCTGGTGTGTGTGGTCCTATGGCTGGTGGCTTATTGGCTAAAGGCAGTGACTTATGAAATGGGTTGTCTAATGTGCATTCATGTCCTGCTTGCCCCCTTCCCATAGAAATCTTGCTTGCCACTGTGATGGATGGGCTTTTGGTTTGATCCATGAGGGCTCTTCTTATGTAAATCTATTTCAAGCCAGCTTCAAGCCTAGGTTTGGGTTAAAGGCTGCCATTTTCCCCTTGGTGGTTTATCTGCACTCTTGGTCCTCGTGGATCTCTCTGTGGCTTTGAGACTATTTGCTTTGGTATCCTTCTGGATCACCTGCATACATTATTAGTGAAGGTACTGTTTTACTGTAGTAGCAGTCAGGAGATGGTGCTGGAAAATAATTGATCTTCCCTGTGGAAACTTTCCTTTGCAGTTCAATTCTTCCAGGCTCCTCCTTGTTTTCCATGCTTTTTAACCTCTGCATGAACTGCTGCGCAAGATCATTTGAGGAAAGGTATCATCGGTTTTATTGTATGCCACTTTGAGTGCAATTTTAATGCAGAAAAGTGGGATATAAATAAGTAATAATTAAGGGAATTAAAATCTGCCAGAGAGATGTTGCTTCAGGTGGTACTGCCATCTGAAGTATCTGTAAATAGAGCTTTTGTGGCACTGGTATACTGCGTTGTGAAGTGTTCTGCTGAGGGAAATTCACTATTCCATTGTGATCTTTATGGATCCTTTAAAAATGTCTTTTTTAAAAATTCTGCCAAACTTTTTGAGAAGCAGGATTGGCTCTGGTTTAACAGGAGATGAATTGGTGCCAGCATTTTGTGTACTTTGTATTACAGATGAATGTTTAATGATGTTTTATGATTACTTTATTGTAAGCTCCTTTGAGGATCTTTATGGCTCAAAAGCAATCTTAATCTAAATCATAATCTAAATATGATGATATTGAGCCAGTCAGTTTACTTTTCCCTTTTAAAGCAACATTTAAGCTGTAATCCTATACTTGTACACCTGGGCGTAAGCCCCATTAAACTTAGTGGAAGTTTCTTCTGAGTAAACCTGACCTCAATGTGTCAGACGTGGGAAAGGCTGTGTGCATGTGCTTCCCAAGGAGCTGAAGCCCTGCTCTTAACCAGGATGTTTGGTTTTCTTTTCTACCTGCTTTATTTCCTTTACTCACTTAGCCTCTTTTATAGAAACAAGCAATTTACCATTAGCATATATTTAAATGAATTGATATGCACCGTGGTTTTCCTGCTCCTCTGGGTGAGGCAGTGACCTTAAATAGGAGTTGCTAAACAACCAAGTTTACTTACTTCTCTTTGCAGCTTTACAGGAGGTATAAAGGATTATGCTTCTTATGTGCAATTGGTCATATATAGTGTAAATAAAATTTACACTAAAAAAAAAAAATTAAACCAAGGTCAGTGTGAAGGTAAATAATGTGGCTAGGTAATTACTTTAGTGTTTCTCTATTGGTATTTGATGTTCAGGGTCATTTGAGGAGCTTGGCTTCTTTCTTTCTATTACTGAAGTTAATGGTGATTTCTTCTCAAAAGTTTATGCCTTTCCCTGTCTTGGAAATGATTCCATAATGGGAAAACGACTCTGGCAATGCTGTCTACTTTACTTTCTGTATTTTGAATCAATTCATCCTGACTAATTATAATATTTACAAAGCCCTCTTTAACAAAAATATAGGGTACATCTACTTTTTCAGGAAGTAGTAGCCTTCCTGGGGTGGGAATATATAATGTAAAACCTTTAAATCCTCAAATAGCACATAGGTAGCATAAAAGAAATGGTGGGGGGGGGACCTTTGGCAGAATGGCAGGTGAGTGATTGGCATCTGTGGAAATTGCCGTTAGAATAGAGCGTTGACAAGGGCAACCAAAGCTTCTCAGGTTGCTGCTATGCCTCAGCCTGAGTTGGATAAACAACAGTAAGGACAAGGAAGAAGAATTTTCCATGCTCTTTCATGTAGGATTCTGCAGTCTGGGGTGATAATGATGACTTGTTGCCTCTTTTTCAATACAAGCAAAGTATGGAACCAGATTCTGAGCTGGGGAAAGCAGGCTGAGTCACAAAGGGGGTTGCAACTGTTTTCTTCTGCTCCACTGGGAAATGAATAGCACAGAACTGCTTCTTTGAATGTCATCAGCTCTTATGGAATGCTGGTGGTTTAAATGGCAGGTTTTGACTAATCTCCATTTATAGGTGGGGAGAAGGTCAAGGTTTGCAAATCAGGGTTGTTGGGAGTATTGCCACCTTGATTGCTGGGAATGGCTGGGCAGGGGAGTGCCAAGGATTTAAACAAAATAACCCTAATCTTCCTGTATGGCTGGGAATGTTCTACAAGATGACATTCCTCTCTGAGCAAAGAGTGGTTTCTGGGACCTGGGCTGCAAGGCTGTGTGTGAGTGAGTGAGTGAAGAGGAGAGAGAGAGAGAAAGGAAGGAAAGAAAGAAAGAAAGAAAGAAAGAAAGAAAGAAAGAATCATTGTACTTTGAACTTGGGCAGAGAGAGGAGAGAGAAAATAATTTATCTGTCATTAGCTACACGAAGGTACACCCTTGAAAATGTCTGCATAAGAACCTTAGAAGAGCCCTCCTCAATGAGAATGAGGTCCCATGTATAGCCCAGTCTTCTGTTCTCACAGTAGCCAACCAAGGGTGAAGCCAACAAACAGGACATAAGCACAATAAGACTCTCCTATTCATGATCTCCAACAACTGGTATTCAGGGACATATATAGTAGCATATAGCTATCATGACTGCTAGCCATTTATAGCCTTTTCCCTGATGAATTTATGTAAACTCCTTTTAAAGTCACCCAAGTTGGTGGACAGCATCACACCTTGTGGAAGCAAATCCCATCATTTTAATGTTGCACTGCATAAAGTAGTAAGAGCAAGAACTCCTTTCTGGCAGTCTGGTGCAAAATTAGGTGTGCTTTTATCTCCATTATAGTCTGTAAGAGAGCACATCCCAGCTTCTGCCAACCTAGCAGTTCGAAAGTATACCTGTGCAAGTAGATAAATAGTACCACTGCGGTGGGAAGGTAAACGGCATTTCCGTGCGCTCTGGCACTCGTCACGGTCCTCCGTGCACCAGTAGCAGTTCAGGCATACTGGCCACATGACCCTGCCTATGGGCAAACATGCAGTGAGATGAGCACTGCACCCCATAGTTGCCTTTGCCTGGACTTAACCGTCTGGAGATCCTTTACCTTTTTACTTTTTTTATATTACAAAGTCCCCATAAGTCTCCAGGGGCCTCTCCCTCCACAGGAAACTAAACTTTGGAACTTCTTGCTGCTTGGGGAAGTGGGAAACACTTATGCCAAATGTTCTGTTCTTAGACACTTGAACCAGTCCCTACCCTTGCTCCCATTCTTGTCTTCCTTTATCAGATCCAGTCTTTGTTCTTTGTGTTTGCCCCATATGTTGCATGCCCTCCTGACAAACAGCCGTGTCACCATCAAGTGTACAGAACCCACCACTATTGGCTTGAGATATGTGTTTAAACAATGACAATAATTCACATTTGACTGCAGAGGTTGGTAGTGTTTACTTTCAGGGTTTGGTCAGGGAGAGTGTATTTCATCTCAAATTCCAGAGTAGGGCTTCCTGAAAAAAGTCAGTACTGTAGTGCTAAAATATAGCTGAATGTAGATATGAAATCTGCATGGGGCATATACCCTGGATAGATTAAAAAGCATATTGGGAAAGGGGATTGGAGGGGCTGCTACTCGCAAGAGAAATCACGAGATCCATCTGCACATAAAAATCTCCCGATGTGCTTTTGCCCATGTTACCTACTGAGGCTGTCTTTTCTGCATAGTGCTATATTGTGCAGTGCAGTGTGGGCGAGGGTTGCTGCAGTGAAGTAGACGTGCCGTAATGTGACACATAATTTTCATGGCAAGCCCTGCCCATATTAAAGATCATGGCCCAGGTAGGAACTTGATGGGGAAAATGGGAAGGACTAAAGCTGCTATTGTGAGGCCTCTTCCCCTAGCAGATGTCTGTGGGTGAGGTGGTGTCACCTCAGTAACAGTCATTGGCTTATGTTTAAAATAGCTTAAGGCAGAATGTAATGGTAATAGTAGTCATACTTCACATTTAGATAACTCTTTTCAAGTATTCAAATTCTTTATCTACAGTGGTACCTTGGGTTACATACGCTTCAGGTTACAGACTCCGCTAACCCAGAAATAGTGCTTCAGGTTAAGAACTTTGCTTCAGGATAAGAAGAGAAATTGTGCTCTGGCGGCGCGGCAGCAGCAGGAGGCCCCATTTGCTAAAGTGGTGCTTCAGGTTAACAACAGTTTCAGGTTAAGAACGGACCTCCGGAACGAATTAAGTACTTAACCTGAGGTACCACTGTACTTTTATCTCTCAGTAATCACTAGAATGGCCCTGCAAAGTCAACAGTAGTTGTAGTCTCCATATTGTTCCTTTTGGGAAACCTCAGCGTCTGAATGATGTGTTGCTCCGGCCTAGCAATGTTGTTGCTATGTGCTGTGCCTCAGATGTATTTGCTGCAGATCAGCCTTTCATTTGGATGAAGTGCATTTTCCTGAATTGTCTTTCATGAGATCACTACTAAATTCCTACATTCCTCTTTTCCCTTTCTTTCAGAGCCAGGATGAAAGATACGCTTTCATTGCAGAGTGGTATGATACAAATGCTTCACTTTTTCGACGCTATGAGCTTCTGTATTACCCAAAAGATGGATCAGTGGAGATGGTAAGACTTGTTGTTGTTATTTGAATTTCTATACCACCCTATACCCGGAGGTCTCAGGGCGGTTATAAGACAACCTCGCAGATTGCAGTGGTTGAGAGCAAAGTAGGCTACCCTTAGCATTATTGGTTTGGTCTTATGTGAAGCCAAAAACACAAGAATTGCTATTCTCTCTTAGCTGCTAAATTGTCCTAGAAGAAAAAAAGCTTTTTTAGGGTCTCCTGGTGATACCATAAAACATCTTGGTGGCGGTGGTGATAAAGGTTATTGTCAAACTAGGACTAATTGAACAGCCTTGCTTGAGATTCATTCATCCACTGAGTACATGGAAGACTTATTTTGAGCGCCAGTCATGGAGACTTGAACCTATGATTCTGCTGCCTTTCCCCGGTTTCCTGTATGCATAGCTATTTACCATGGGGATGGTGAAAACTTTGTCATGAACTGGCTCATATAAGGCAAGGTTTCTCTTAATTGAAGACACATGGCACCACTGCCTCACTGAAGCTAAGCAGGTCAGGATCTGGTCAGTGCCTGGACATGCATGCTGCCTTGAGTGCAGTGATGGAAAGAAGGTGCTATATGAATTTAAACTATCAAGCCAATATATGGTTTCCAAGGTTTGTCTAGCTTCACCTTATTGGCCTCTCCTTTAAGAGTAAAACTCCATTTTGGAAAGCTGAGAAGCAGCCATTTCTTGTTGGACATGTGTTAGAGTTTAATTTGCTGTGTTTAAATTATGTTCTGATACACAGTATTCTGCCCACCTGTGTGCCCTCCTGTTTTTCATATTTTAAATGCTAGTGAGTATGTTACTGGGGATTGTATATAATGTCATTCATCAGATGCCCAGATCTAATTGGCTCAGGGACATAAAGGTATTGTTACCAAGACCTGGTGGTTGCACAAAAGACAGAGATTGTGGCTGATCATGTGGAGTCCTACCCATGTGATTCAAAGAGAGGATGGAGTTACCTTTCTTTTGTGCTCTTATATTCTCTTCTGCATTCTGTTTCAGTGAAATTGCCAATTACTGAAATTGTTCCTGGTGCCAGAAAAAACAAGCAATAGTGTACTAATAATAACAGAATCTAAATCAGGGAAAGAATGGCTGCATTTTATGCCAATTAAAAATATTTCTTTGGTTGGTAAGAGAGCATCTTAATTCTGAGTTATCAGAAACCCACTTTCCTCTTTGCAAACAGAAATTGGTTCAGTAATGCATCTACTTATATGGCCATCTTTCATTCCCTGAGGAATGCTTATCTTTACCAAGTTGCTAAAGAGGAAAGCAAGTGATAAAAGCAACTCATTGTAAGACATACTGTCAGGCAGTTTATTACCCTATGTTAACCCCCTCCCCCAAATGTCCTTCTTAGAATTCAATTTCAGATGTTTAATGATTTGTAGACCATTAAGATCTGGGACCCATGCACATAGCCAACAGCTCCTGTAGACAAGCTGATGTTGAAACTCATTGAGAGTTGGGCTGCTTTGGGAGGAAGAAGTTGGGGCGGGGGAATAAAACTAATTAATATTAATAATAAATGGAAGCAGCAACCATCTGAAAAAAGGAGATATTCCAGTGTGCCTGTAGAAACTCATTCATGTGCCTAAATGGGTTCTTCGGTTCTAAGCCAGCCTAGTTCACTTACTCTTGGTTATTAAAGAAAGCAACAGGGAGAGGAATAAATCTGCAAGCTGTATTTACCAAACCAGATGTTGATTTTGCTTTTGTTTACCCACTTTGCTCTGCACCTGCCTCTTTGTTTTAATCAGATTTATAAATAACTTAAGGTGTACAAAGCATATAAAAACCTCAGAGGAAGGGGAATTGTTTTGTTGTTTTTAATCTTCCAATTTGTCACACTTCTTGGTAGCGATTGAGAAGAAACTGGAGCATTTGCAGTAAATACCAGAAGCTCTGGCAAATATTATGGAACAGAGCCAGGAAGTAATTGGGATCCCGTATTTTGAAGGTACATTGGAGGAAACAATAACTTTATTATTTGACTACAGTAGCAAACCAATATTGGATTTTGAATGCCAAATAAGCTAGAGTAAAAATAAGTTTCGTGCTCAGTCCTGTTCAGACATTCTGTGTTGAAGCAGTTTGGTTCCCCTTTCACTCATTCCAAGTGCCTTCAGTTTGGGATGGTTATTGAAAGTATTTGTTTATGATCTTCAGTCAATTTGAGGAATACCCAAAAGGTTACTTTTGAAAGTGATAAATGGTAAGACAACTCAGTATATTCAGTGACTGCTGTAGTACTATATGCAACTGGATCTGTTATTATGTGTTGGAGGGTGATGCTTCAATCCTGTGCACACTAACTTGAGTATAAGGTGTTTTGGACACAGTGGGCTTATTCACAGTGGGCTTATTCATACCTTGTGTATGATTATGAATGATGATAATATATGTGTACACATAGTAAAAATGTAAAGGCATGTATACAATGTGTTTTCCTCTCAGGCTTGGAAAAAGTGACTCCATATAAAGATAATTTTGGCCATACTTGCAAGTAATCAGATTTACATTTTTAATAAGTAGGAATTGTTTTTAGGAAAAGCTAGGAACAGAATTTGTTTTGCCATTTTTTAAAAAAGTATGGTTAAAACTGCAACCCCATAAACATTTACTTGAGAGTAAGTCCCATTAAGTTAAGATTACCATTTTTTTCCCAGTTGAATCCAGGGACACTTTTCAACTGCCTACTAAATAGATAGATTTTGTCAAATTTGTAAATTTGGGGACTGTCCCCAGGAAATGAGGACGTCTGGTAACCTTCCATTAAATTCAGCCGGGCTTACTTCCAAGTACACATGTCTATGACTGCACTGTGAAGCAGATCATTTAGTTCAGCTCATGATACCTCTATTTCTTCTGTGCCTCAAACCATTTGGTATAGGTGCATTAGAAAAAGGATCTCTATAAATGCAGATTGTGAAGTATGAAGTATTGTAGAATCCAGTACTTCAGAATCTTTTTCTTTAATTCTTATTTTTTATGCATCCCTCTTACTTTCCAAGGAACTCAAGGTGGCTACCAAGTCAGAATAATAATAAAAAAAATTAAATCTAAAACAACTCCCAGTTTAAATCCCATAATAAAAACTAAAAACCAAGAAAGCACAGTAGGTCTAGCACAGCCCAACACCAGGACCTCCCCCTCAACCAGCCATCAGCCAAATAACTTTTTGAAGATCTACGTCTTTTCTAGCCATGACCTTAGCCCCAGTTCCCTTCCTATTGAAAGAATATAATTTTGGGGCCTGACACATTTTCCTAGGCATTCTGCAGGATAGGTATCATCCCAGAGTATGTCCTAGCACTGGTTGCCATCAGCCTTGCCTTCTGAAGTTGAAGAATCTGCAGCAGTGCCTCAGATGAAGTTTGGAGCCTTCAGAAAGAAATGTATGGAAGGAAGTGGCTCTTAAGGTACCCAAGTCCCAGGTTGCTTAGTGCTTTAAAGCCCTAACCCCAAGCAACTTGAATCGAACACAGAAGCAAACTGGTAGCTGGTGCTAGTTTTGAAAAATTGGCACAGGCACATAACAGTAGTCAAAGTAACTTTTAAAAAACAGTATCTGTTTCTCTTTGTGCATGATATTCTTCTTCTTCTTTTTAAAAGTAAAGGTATTTTAGACCTGCATGTAGATTATTCAGTCTCTTTACCTTACCAGTATGACATGAAGAACCGCTGCCGATTCCTAAATCGCATCAAATATGAAGATCTGCAGTTTAAAGATTTGTTTGTGGGCAACAAAATTACTATCTTCTCACGCCACCTCAATTTGGTTGACTATGGGGATCAATATACTTCCCGCATGTTGGGCAGTCGCAAAGAAAGGTGAGAGGATATATTCTTTGAACCTCTTATTTTCTACCTTATAAACTTGAGGCTATTGAGATGTCTGTGCTCCTTCATTCTCTTGCAGGCCAGGGTGCCTGGACCAGCTGGTAGCCTCCAAGAGAGAAAGGGCAAAGAGAGAGCCTTGCTACAGTGATTGCTTATTAGTTAGGGATGCATCCTCATTTCCTCTCCTCTCTGTGTGCATCACAATAGCGCACAGCCCTCTAGGAGTTTATTGTCCAAATGTCACACTAGTTAAAGCACAACACCCACTCCTCAGCAAACTCTTTCTCTCGGCCCCCTAAGGAGAAAGAGCGTGATGTGCACCCCCTAAATTCTGGTTATATTTCAGTTACCCTTCAATCTCTGGGGAAAGAATAAGAACCTTAAGTGCTAGCACTCAAGTGAGATAGCAAGATACTCCCTGGATGTTGATGATTAATTTGTTAATCATCTTCTAGATAATCTTCTCAAGGCTATAAACAATAAAAATAGTATATTACCTTAGATGGTTGTCAAAAGCCAATATCTCCCTCAGCTAAGCGACCCTCCAGCCCACAGTGTGAGAAAGAATATTAACAATGAACATTACTGTGATGTTGTCACAACCCAAAATACCTCTCTGCAGCCCCCTCTCTATTCAATATGGGAATAATAGAACTACACTACAAAAGAGCAGGAGACAGGGAGACACTCATTTTCCTGGTGTGAGACACCATGATTACTGCCCCCCAATATTCCCATTTAACAGGCCTCCAGAGGGCAAGGCAGAAAGGGCAGCCATCACCCAAGTGCACATCCTGTTGCCACCATTCTCCCCTTCCCATCCAACTTTTTGTCATATGTGCCACTTGAGAGCCAGTGTGGTGTAGTGGTTAAGAGCGGTGGACTCGTAATCTGGTGAACCGGGTTCGCTTCCCCTCTCCTCCACATGCAGCTGCTGGGTTACCTTGGCTAATCACACTTCTCTGAAGTCTCTCAGCCTCACTCACCTCACAGAGTGTTTGTTGTGAGGGAGGAAAGGAAAGGAGATTGTTAGCCGCTTTGAGTCTCCTTAGGGTAGTGATAAAGCGGGATATCAAGTCCAAACTCTTCTTCCTCTTCTTCTTGTACTGGTCAGATATTTGATCCAAAACCTTCAGCTGGTTATATGAAGAATAAAAATGCATATAACAGACATAATAACATATTTTTGAAATGGTATTTGTTTAGTTGGAGATTTACTTAAGCTCATATTTTGACAACTTATTTTGACTTTATTGGTTTCTTTCCCTTCCCTCTCTAGAACCTTGGCTTTATTGAAACCGGATGTAGCACTCAAACTTGGAGATGTCATTGATATGATTATTAGAGCTGGTTTTACAATAACTAAAGCCAAAATGACGAAAGTTTCAAGGTGAGGTTTTAATAATTTGAGATTTTCAAAAATCGGTTAAACTATTGTTTACCTTGAATGGGTGACTGTTGCCAACCTATATCCCCCCGTGTTATCTGGTCATGTTCCATCATGCACAGCATTTTCGTGCTCTGTCCATCCCCTCCACAAACAGCAGCCAGTGAATCAGAGGGGAGATGGGAAAGGCTGAGCCCCATTAAGTGATATCACCCATATGCTGTAACTGAATACTAGAGGAAAATGCAGGGAGGAGATCCATGGGATGGCGGCAGCCATGTATTTAAGATACTGTATCCCTTTGGGTCCTAGCCATGATCCAGACAGATGTGGTGAAGTAGGTGTGGTCCAGAGAGATGTGGTCCAGAGAGATGTGGTGCAGCACTCTGTATGCTGCTGCATATGCATATCTTGTCAAATGGGACACGGGTGGCGCTGTGGTCTAAACCCAGTGGGCTTGCCGATCAGAAGGTCAGTGGTTCGAATCCCCACAACGGGGTGAGCTCCCGTTGCTCTATCCCATCTCCTGCCAACCTAGCAGTTCAAAAGAACGCCAGTGCAAGTAGATAAATAGGTACCGCTGCGGCGGGAAGGTAAATGGCATTTCCAGGTGCTCTGGTTTCCATCCCAGTGTTCCGTTGTGCCAGAAGCGGTTTAGTCATGCAGGCCCATGACCTAGAAAGCTGTCTGTGGACAAACGCCAGCTTGAAAGTGAGATGAGCGCCGCAACCCCATAGTTGCCTTTGACTGGACTTAACCATCCAAGGGCCCTTTACCTATCTTGTCAGGGTTCATGCCCCAAACGACCCGGGACATGCCTGCTCTGTTGGAAGCAGAGTAGATAGCTCCAAAACAATGCCTGCTTCCAAAAAAATCCCTCAGACTCAGTAATCTTCATTAGTAAAATATTTACTAATGCAAAAATAAACTTGGCGGTACAATTCCAGATCCCTGGTGGAGTGTGCAAAGACCCCTGAGTGAAAGCCTGGACTGCTGCTCCCAGCTTGTGGAGGCAGTACTCAGCCTACTCAGTCTGACTTGGGATATGGCAGCTTCCTTTGATCCTGTGAGGGCTCAGAGAAACCTGATGGCACAAGCAGAACTCTGCTTGTGGTTCTGTGGGTTGAAGCCATTGCTGATTAATAATTGTTTTTCACAAAAGCATTAATGATGCGTGTTTTTAAACAAATCTTTTGTAGGGCAGAAGCAGTAGATTTCTACGCAGATCACCAAGCTAAGCCTTATTACAAGTAAGTTTCAATTTGCAGGATGTTTTGACTTGTACAATGTGCCCAGTGAAATATGAACAATAAGTATGAAATTGACATTGATTTTTGCTTGATCTTTAGATTTATACCAATAAATTGTGGGTAGTATTTTTAGAGGTATATGGGACTGTGGAGGCTTGCAGGGTTGGCTTACCTCCTGGTTTCTCCCCACAATCCTGAAACTGAGCAGAAGCAGCAGCTGCCATATACTGAGTCATGGTCAATGATAGCAATTACAACATCTTACCTTGCTTATTTAACTTGCAAAGCCTTAAATAGTTTGGAATCAGGTTATTTGAAGGATAACATAAGAATCTAGTTTCAAATGGCTTGCAGGTATGCTGCTAAGACCTACCAGACTGACAAATACCAAAGACAGGACCTTATTTAGTAGTGGCCCCTCATCTATGGAAGTCTCTCTCAAAAGAGGGACCTATAGCCCCATTCATTTAAAAAATGCACAATTTTTTAAAAAAAGATGTGTTTCATTCTGCATTTTATTGAGGTGTTGACTGCTGTTTTTCAAACTGTTGCTGTTTTTAGTTTGGAATGGCATGGGTTTGTTTGTGTATTAACATTTTCCTTGTGTTGTTAAATAATTTCATAAACCTCCTTAGGAAGGCTTTGCCCTGAAATGCCTCATGTATATTTCTGAAATATAAAGAAATTATTTGGCAATTGATGCTTTTTCCTCATGACTAGGCAAATGAGAAGGGCTAGTAGCTCAGTGATAGAGTGAATGCTTTTGCAGTGCTGTGCAGCATATGTTCATGTGTGTGTTCGTGTGTGTATTTTGTTAATGGGAGCCACTTTTTATTTTTAATATTTATATTTTATTAAGGTGATTTCAGTTAAAAGAAATAAAGTGATATAGAAAAAGAAGAAGGACAAGTGAGAGGGAGAAAAACAACAACAACAAAGATACATATAAAAGCGAAAATATGAAAAAAGCAATATACGATATTCCCATACATTCTTGTGATTGAACCCAGTTACCTATGTTTGAGCAGTAACAATGAGTGGAGAGTGACAGAGGGAGAGGCTTACCATGCAGCCCGGATAGATTTGGCAAGCCTTATTTGTCCTACAGGCTGCCAGTTCATGAAGAACTAGGAGCCTGGCACTTATGCAACTACTTAATCTGAAATAAAACAATGATAGAATAAGAACTTGGGTATTTAAGGGAGTCTGCTTTCATCTCCAGTACAGACTCTCTTAAAACATTAGACTGAAATTATTCCAGATGTTGTTGTCTGAAGGTACTAGAACAAGCAAGCTTAGACCTTTTGGGGAACTCATGTGAAATTGTGGTTTTGTTGCAGCTTTGTGTTTAGAAAATGGCTAATTATATCCTGCATTATATCCAACACTGTGCAAACAGTTCCACTCATACAACAGGACCCCTTCTGTTCCTAATAATAATAAAATTTATTATTAAATTATTATTAAATTTATTATTAAATTATTAAATTTATTGTTAGTATTATTAATTTAATTTATATATACCCTGTCCATCTGGCTGGGTTTTTCCAACAAAAGATAAAAAATACATGAAAACATTAGTCATTAAAAACTTCTCTAAACAGGGCTGCCTTCAGATGTCTTCTAAACGTCAGATAGTTGTTTATTTCTTTGACATCTGATGAGAGGGTGTTCCACAGGGCGGGCGCCACTACCAAGAAGGCCCTCTGCCAGGTTCCCTGCAACTTGGCTTCTCGCAGTGAGGGAACCGCCAGAAGGCCCTCGGCGCTGGACCTCAGTGTCTGGGCAAAATGATGGGGGTGGAGACGCTCCTTCAGGTATACTGGGCTTAGGCCGTTTAGGGCTTTAAAGGTCAGCACCAACACTTTGAATTGTGCTCGGAAATGCCCCCTACATTAAGGTTACCAGACGTCCCCGTTTCCTGGGGACGGTGCCCAGATTTACAAATCAGTCCCCTGACAAAATCCATCTATTTAGTAGGAAGTTGAAAAGTGTCCCTGGATTCACTGAAAAAAATCTGGTAACTTTACCCGACATGCCCTCCCCCCAAATCTCCTCCAGAGGGTTCCCCAGAGGGTTGAAAAGAGAAATAGAAGGAAGTTCCATTGTGCAAGGAGAGATCTGTGAGCGGGACAACAGTGTTGTATACCACCTTCGGGGCTGTTGGTTTGCTTGCATTTAGGGCAGCTGAATCCCGTTTGAATGTCCTGTTCAATGTGAATGCTAACTGCTCTCTTTTCTGCTTGCAGTGAGCTTCTTGAATTTATGACAAGTGGCCCTGTTGTTGCCATTGAGATCTTGGGAGATGATGCTATAAGCCGATGGAAGAATTTACTAGGACCTGCAAATTCTTCTGTGGCCCGTACTGATGCCCCAAATAGCGTTAGGGCATGTTTTGGAACTGATGGCATAAGAAATGTGGCTCATGGTCCAGATTCTTTTGCTTCTGCTGCTAGAGTAAGTCCCCCCCTCCCCCAAAATTATATATTTGATAAGGTGAATCTTTCTGCATCTGGATGACTGGGCTTCTACTGGCATATATATTATACAAAAATGAGTTTGGCTACTTCCAATGTTTGTAGTCTGAGCTTGGTTTAGCTACATGGCATATAGTAGCTATATGGCTTAGCTCATCAGAAAGAAAGAAAATACTCAACCCTGCCTTTTCTCCCCTTACCATGTATAGTCAAAGGAAACCCTTTCTCAAAACTCTTCTAGAGAACCTGCGCTTGACAATCTCTTACAGAAAATGTTAAAGAAATGTTAGGAAAGGAAAATGCTTCCTTCCCCACTGCCTGCCTTTATGCTGGAAGGAGGCAGGGGTGGACTTTGGTAATATGGCGCCTTGAGCAAGGACAAACCCCACCTTGCTTATTTTCATGCCCCCATCCCTCTCACCTTCTGTTCTGCGCATGCTCTCAAATGCGCTATGTCATAAAAAGGTAAAGGGACCCCTGACCATTAGGTCCAGTCGTGACCGACTCTGGGGTTGCGGCGCTCATCTCGCTTTATTGGCCGAGGGAGCTGATGTACAGCTTCTGGGTCATGTGGCCAGCATGACTAAGCCGCTTCTGGCGAACCAGAGCAGCACACGGAAACACCGTTTACCTTCCTGCCGGAGCGGTACCTATTTATCTACTTGCACTTTGAGGTGCTTTCGAACTGCTAGGTTGGCAGGAGCAGGGACCGAGCAACGGGAGCTCACCCCGTCACGGGGATTCGAACCGCCGACCTTCTGATCAGCAAGTCCTAGGCTCTGTGGTTTAACCCACAGCACCACCCGCGTCCCTGCGCTATGTCATAGTTGCGGCATATTTTGTGCTCCTCGGCTTGGTACCCTGTGCAGAAGAACCACCCGCCCCACCCTAAATCCAGCTTTGATGGGCTGGCTGCCATGTACCTTAAATGCATGAGGTGACCGGGGCTTTTTCGCTGTTGTTTAAAAGAAGGAGACTGTGCTGCTTTGCGCCTGTTCCCTTCGCTTCCCAGAAGGGCTACAGCAAGGAAATGCAGTACGATACTGTATTGCTCTGAAATTACTCTAGGAAGTGTGGCAGGCAACTGCGTGATGTTTTGCATCACTGAATCTTTGCTAGGGAGTGGCCGTAGAGGAAGTTGTGCTGTGAGCAGTGAAACCGCCTTCTTTTAAAGAAAATCAGAACAGCCACCAGTCAACTCATAAAGCTGAGCTGAGTGGCAGCCCCTCTTTCCTCCCCTCTCCAAACCCCAGGCTATTTGGGAGCTTCCTCATTGGTGCAGCATCCCAGACCAGCATCCCTTGTCTGACCCTGACACTGCTTAAATTAAACAAATGGTAATATTAGAGCTTGGTTTCCCCCCCCCCCATCTTGTGAGAGTGAAAGCTGCATGTCGATAAGCAAATACACTAAGGAACAGCTCAGAGTTTTAATGACCTTTTGTTGCGGTGGATTACGAAGCCCATCTGAAAGTTCTCTGCTGGAACTGCGGCTTGACTAAAGGCCAGGCTTCTATATATATCTTTACAAGCCATAAGAAAACAGAATGGACAAAAGAGCACTTTTGAGCTTTGCTCTTCAATACCTGTTTTGCTTTCCATGGAAACACGTTTCTTACGCCTGTCAGGAGTAGCTAAGAATAGTGTTGCGCACAGCGCCTTAATTACTCACTTATTTGTTCTCTGTGGAATAGCAATTGCTTGAGAACTCTGATATTTTTCTGCCTCCCTTTATTTTTTCGTTAAAATTAGTTATTTTAATGTAGGATGCTGGACAAATAGAAGAATCAACATTTTTATTTGTTATATTGCATACATATTCATAGCACTATAAAATGCATGTAACTAAGGAACTACAAAGTGTGAAGGCAAAAGAAAGCTGGTGTAGTCCTTAGCACTTGGATGTAGCCAATGGGGTATTGAGGAGCGTACTGGGAAGCCATCTAGCTCAGTTGGTTAGCTGGTGCTGGTAACGCCAGGACTGCAGGTTCGATCCCTATATGGGTCACCTGCATTGCAGAGGGTTGGACTAGATGACCCTTGGGTACCCTTGGGTACCTTCCAACTCTACAGTTCTGTGATTCATTGCTGTGTTGGTGTTTCTTTGCCTTGGAATGCTGCGGGGATCATTTAATATAGGCTGAGAAAGAACAAAATGGTGGTAAATTGAGTTATTTTAAAATGCTTTTGCCTTGGAGGCTGTGCTTTTAAAAAGATAGTTCATTTTTCACTCTTAAACTAAATATTTAGTTGCACAGTTCTCTTAGACGTGACTACAAATTCTAATACCCTAGTGTTTTTGCTTTACTTCATAATTATTGGAGTGATGCACAGTGGTTCGGATTGTGTATTGAATGAGCAGGTAGCACAAACTGTTATGTAGCCTTGTACCAGTTACCAAGGAAACCTGTAGGATGCAGCATCTGTAAATTGTTCTGGGAAGAAAGAAATAGCTATTAAAGTCAACCTGAACTAAATCGTTTGCCCTGCATACAAATGAAGGGACCACCTGTTAGAATTTGTTATAGTTAAAGGTTGCTTTGTTCCTTCCCAACCAATAGTAGGTTGCATTTACAGTTTGTCACCTGCTGAGTTATCCAGGGCAGTATCTCTTATCGGCATGTGAGACATACGACTTCTAGGGTTTGCTTCTGCTTTTCTGATTTTTGTAACCATGGGTGTGGGGTTTTCCATTCCTGGGGATGGAGAGACTCCAGCGCTCAACCCTGCAAGACGGCCAGAAACATCTCACCATGGGTTGGTCTCTGTGCTGTTGACTTTTTCTTCCTCCCTTCAAGCCTTGTCTCTCCCACTTGCGGAGATGGGGATGTAGTTGCCCTTTCTCTTCTCCTCTGGGTTGGCTGTGCCTGTCTTTTTTTCTGCCTGTGAATTTTCCACTCCTATCCTCTCTGTTCTCCTCTCACTCTTCCAGTGCATTGCTTTGTACCTCTTCTCCCAAGGGAGGGGAAGAAACAAGAAAGCCAAAGGGCAGGCACCCGCGATTCTGATGTTTGTTAGGCATTCCTTAGGCATACTAGATGGTCTGAAAGATGTCATTGGGGGAAAGTGGCTTACAAATATGATTATAGAGCCACTCTACAGTTAAGCCAAGAAATTTTTTCAACATTTTGTCATTACAAAGTCTGAAAATTATGTTAATCACGAAATCCAGGTAATATTGGTACAAAACCTGGCATGGAGAATTCACCTTGTGAAGGGTGCTTGCCACGAAGAATGGAGTTAGTGATTTAAAAATGTTGTATTGAAGGGCAGATGCCCTATGTTTGTGCTCACTCAGAACATAACTTAAATTATGGAAGGTGAGTAGTTCCCTTTGCATAGGTAGCAGCATGAGCAAATTTGAACGTGAAGCTTAATGGAATACCATATGCCTATGGGGTTTAATGGAGTGTAAGTGTAAATATGTTCAAAACCATGCTTCTGGAGGAAAGCGTCACAGAGCACTTTGAAATACAGCCAACGGCTAGATAATAATAAATGGGGGAGGACGTAGGATTTCAATATTGCTTTGGGAATATGACTCTGACCCTCATAAACATAACTGGTGTCCTATGACTATGAATCATGCAGTTGTGCACAATTAAATGTATTTAATTCCAATTATTTTCAGGAGCTGGAGTTGTTCTTTCCCTCCAGTGGAGGCCGTGGACCTGCAAACACTGCAAAATACACACACTGTACTTGTTGTGTTATTAAGCCTCACGCAGTTAAAGAAGGTAGGTGACACTGACCTGACCCTCGGCTGAAAGTGCCCTTTAGCATCTCTCTTCTTAGCTGAGTAGCTGCCTAGATTTAGACTTGCACTATTGCTACCATATGTGTTTTGTGCATGGCTGGAGGTAAGAAAGTTATGTTTTTATTTTATTTTAGCTCACAGCTTGTTGAAATTTAACACAGACCAAATTGCATAAATACTTGCGTTTGAGAAATTATGTTCAACAGCGGTTGATGTTCTCTGTACTTCTACAAGGCTGCATGCTAATATGTACTTGTCCATAGAAGGCCCTTGTGTGTGTAAGTAGCAAAATACCACACAACCTGTAATGTCTGACCTCCTAACCAGAGGCAAATGAAGAAGAAGCTGAGTGGGTGGTGGTGACCCAGATGCTGAGCATCTGTGATGCCCTTTTGCCACACTTCCATCTTGGTAACTTTGTTCCCTTTGTCTGGAAGAGAAGACGCATTCTGTGACAGGCTAGCTAACAAAGCATTCTTTGACAGAGCAGCCCAACTCCTAAAGGACTACAAGATGTACGTTCAAACAGATTATATTCCCCTTTCCGCCAAATAAAGCAATCAAAGCAAGGGGAGACTTTGAATTGGAAGACATAGATGCACTTCCTTTTCAGGTCACTTGGGTACCTGGAAACATGTCCAACAGAATTTTAGCCTTCCCTTAAACCAGTTATAATCTGGCAACATCTGGAGAGCCACAAACTCCCCATGCCTGCCTTAGGCTAATTTACACACGCAGTACTAAAATACAGAGTTAGTACTTAAAAATCCTTTTGATTTATTGAAAACATATTATTTTTGGTGGAGTTCTTTGTGTTGTTTCTTCATCAGATCAGCTGAAATGTTTGATGTCTAAACATAACCTTATATAGAAAACTGCTCCCTTTCCCTACCATCAAACATTGGGAAATGATTAAGACTGTTTACAGTATGATTATATGCTTTGGTTCAGCTGCTGATAATTTCTAAAACAAATTTGTATAAGAAGTAAACGCTAACCAGAACCTTACTGTGATCTATGCAGCCTTTGGGGCATTGTAGTTTTTAGACCCCTCTTCCTAAAAGTTGATATGGAAGATTTGACATCAGGTTACCAGGCACTTGAGGGGGCAGCTGGAGCATGTTTAAACTTCTTACAAGTGAAGGTTCTGTGGCTTTTCCACCACTAGGCAACTGTCATAAATCATTATATGGTGGGATAAGGCACATGTGAATCAGTATGCGTCAGTTGTATTCAAGTTATCTAAAGCCAGCATTCGCTATTTTTCTAAATGATGTCTAGAGGAAGTCATGTTAGTCTGTTGCAGAAAATATTACAATTCCTTGTGGCAAAATGATTTGCATGGTATCTTATCAATCCAAAATGCTGGTGCCTATCATATGACTTATGGGTACTTGGGAAAAGATCTGCATATTTCTTAGTAACAACCCTTCTACTTGCTTTACTTTAAAAAACTAAGGCTGCAATTCTATATCCCGTTACCTTGGAGTAACTAGCTGATCTCACTGGGACTTAATTCTACATAGACAAGTATAGGATTGTGCGGTCAAAACAGCCAGCGCCCATCCTGTTTCTGCTGGAACTAATCTGACAATTGCAAATAAAATCTGTCCATTGCATTATTGGAAGTTGCTCCCAGATGCTTAAATACATCACTCCTCTCAGCTGTCTACCATCTTTCAGTGCAACGTTTGCTTTTATGATTTAAAACTGTCTTTTCTTCCTGCCCCTTCTACTTTGTTATGGAAATAATGGAAGTGCTTTTCAGAGATTGCCAATGCCTACCTTCAAGAGGCCTGCAACTGTTCAGTTTTTACGTGTATTTAAATGCATACGTTGTTGTATTTCTTCTTAAATTTTCATCTAAATTTTCCCACCATCTACTGATTAAAAATATCGGTCCTACAGTGGTACTTCGGGTTAAGTACTTAATTCATTCTGGAGGTCTGTTCTTAACCTGAAACTGTTCTTAATCTGAAGCACCACTTTAGCTAATGGGGCCTCCTGCTGCTGCCACGCTGCCGGAGCACGATTTCTATTCTCATCCTGAAGCAAAGTTCTTAACCCGAGATACTATTTCTAGATTAGCGGAGTCTGTAACCTGAAGCGTATGTAACCTGAGGTACCACTGTAATTTAAAGCCGAGACCATGGGTTCTTATCTTTTCTCTGTCCTTATTGTGGGTTCACTCAATAATAGTGGAGGAAGACACAGATGCTCATCCGGATGTCTCATTTTAAAAAGCTTCTGGTGTAATGGGGTTTGAATCTGCCCTTGGCAAACCTGATACAAGCTTTGTCTTGGGGGCCTCTTGGTACTTCTGAGGACCTCATGTTTCCTGCAGAGAGCTGATTCTCAATGGCTGTGAAGTCCTCTTGTATCGTAGCTTTGCTTTTCCATCTGAACCCATGTTTTGGGAGCCAAGGTAGATGATGATTTATGTTTTTGGCTTAGTTTTTTGTATTCCCCTCCTCCTCCACTATGGTGGTTTCTCTAGATCTTAGCTGAGACACATATTCAGTCCACGTGGAGTGAGCTACTGCCCATGTGCAGCCTTGTTTAATAAAGGAACAAAAATAAGGATTGTTGGTTGACCCTGTATCTTGTGACTTTGCAAGAGAAATCCTGTGCTCAGAATGTGCTTTTCCTGCACTTAGTAACCACAGACAATGGTTGCTGTTCCCAATCTGTAAAGATGGGTGAGGGCTTCTAAATTAAGCAGAGTATATCTGCTGCAGCTTCTTAGAATTTAATCACAGAGCGAGGCAGTTGATTTTCCAGGTCCGTCAGCTGTGCCGAATTTATCTGTGTTGTAAGTATTATCCTTTGAAGGCAATTGTAGTGAGATATAATTGAGGACAAGCTGAGTGGCAAGACCCAGAATGCAAAATGCATACCTTTTTCCCATGGTGTTTTGCATAAATTGTAATTCAAAAGGAAGTCAGCTAACAGGAACATGATTATAGTTTCAACTTAGGTTGAGATCTAAGAGATCGAAGTCCACAGGCTCTATATGAATTATTATACATCAGCTGAATTGGCAGTGCAAAGTCCTCTACAGATCATATCTTAAGAACCGTTAAAGCACTCCCATAATGTATGTTCTTATTGGACTTATGCCCAGTAAACTGAGGTTTTGATAAGGGAACTCTGGGTTTTACCAACAACCTTCCTCCCAGTATTCACACAAGCAGGAGGATACCTTCTTTCTTCTTAACCCCACCCACTTCTTCCAGCTGTATTCCCCTCTTGCCCTTGTGCATTGATTTTTATATTGGAGTTGAAGACTGTAAAAAAATGCCTAAAGCAGATACAGTGGTACCTTGGTTCTCAAGCGCCTTGCTACTCAAATGCCGAAAACCCGGAAGTAAGTGTTCCGGTTTTTGAACGTTTTTCAGAAGTCAACGTCCAATGCAGCTGTCGGCTATTGTTTCCGGGGCACCTGCACCAATCAGAAGCTGTGCCTTGGTTTTTGAACATTTCGGAATTCAAACGGATTTAGCGGTGTGTGTTCTGAATGCCATAGCTGACTAACTGGCAAGCCAATTAATAGATTAATCTCTAGATCTCAAAACACAAAAGGTTGTTGTTCCAACCCTAGTTGTTCATGCATGTGCAGCTTTTACCAAAGCCAGCACCCTCTGATTGCTTTTAAGTTTTTAGATCTGCTTTCTTTGAATTTGCCCTTATGTGTCACAAAGCAGCGAATTGTTAAACTGCAGAGTAGATGTTGTACCGCATCACTTCATCTGATTAAAATGCGCTTGAAGATTATCTGTCCTGTATCGGTGCCTAGTAACCTAATGCTGTCTTGGAGACATAAAACCTTCCCTCTCTTGTTTTTTTTATGCCCAGAGTTATTTGTTATGCATTTTTGCTAGGATTAGTATTACATTCCTTCAGTTGTATTTAGTAATGCCTGTGATTTCTTTTGTACTTTGTCACTAAAAATTAAATCCTAAACGAACACTTAATCTGTGGCTCTGATTTGGCTTAGAGTAATCACATTTTAAAGATGTAGTCTTCCTAATTTTTAAATAGCCAGTTTCCTTATTGAGTGAGGTCTGAATATTTTAAAATAAGTTTAATCCCCCCTCCATGTTTTATGGGCACCAAAATATTTGTCAAGTGCTTTCCTCATTATCCAAAACTCAAATGTCGGCATGAGCTTGTTTTTGGTGCAGAAATCAAAACCCAGACTTTTACAGAAATAAATAAATAAATTATACTTATCTGTTACAGAGCTGGGCATATACAGTGGTGCCTCGCAAGACGAAATTAATTTGTTCCGCGAGTTTTGTCGTCTTGCGATTTTTTCGTCTTGCGAAGCACGGTGTCGGGAAAGTTTTGGAAAAGCTTCAAAAATCACCAAAGTCTTTAAAAACCTCAAAAAGGCTACCACACCGCGTTCTATGAGTTGCTCCTCGAAGTCAAGTCGCAACTGTATTAACGGTGTTAAGAAAAAGGAAACAAACTTGCAAGACGTTTCCGTCTTGCGAAGCAAGCCCATAGGGAAAATCGTCTTGCGAAGCAGCTCAAAAAACAAAAAACCCTTTCATCTAGCGAGTTTTTTGTCTTGCGAGGCATTCATCTTGCGAGGTACCACTGTATTTGAAAAGTGAAACTCCTGTTTGTGAAAGGCTTCAGTGTTAAGGATAATGCATGCATTTAAATTTGTCTTTCTGTTTTATATTGGGATCATATGTCACAGCATCTGTGATCTTTTTTCTCACCAGCTAGCTCTCTGTTTCTTGCACTATTTCTCACTTTCCCCAAAATGTAACAATATTTGCACATCTCTAATGTTAGGCCAGGTAGAAAAACTATACAAATTGAATGAGTTGCACTATTTGGGGATAAAGCCTATAAATGGGAAGGGTGGTTTGCATAATTTGGGTGTATTTTACTTCACCTTAAGTGTGAAAAATCAGTGTTGTATAGCATAATCCTAATCATTTTTACTTGGAAGTGATTTCAGTGGGATCTGCTTCTGGTTAAATTTGGTTACTGTTGAGTTGCAAGGAGCCTAAACAGTGACATTTCTTCCTGACTTGGTCACAGCCTTTCATGGTTATTGTGAGCCCATATGAGCAATGTGCCTGCCTCATATACCCCAAGTAAATGTGCAAGACACAAGTGTTCTCATAAAAGCGACTGTATTATAAATGTTTGATGTGCTATAGCAAAGTAGCCCCAGGACCCCAGCATTTGAGATGAATTTCTGTAGCCAGTTAAAAAAAAATTTTTTTTTCTTCACAGGTCTGACTGGGAAGATAATAAAAGCAATACTTGATGGAGGATTTGATATTTCAGCCTTGCAGATGGTAACTCTTCTTTGTCTTTGATCAGACCTTTTCTCTGATGAGATGAGGGAAAAGCAACCTTTGCCACCTGCTGCACCCTCTCCTACACTAGCTTTTTAATGCATTTCACCTGGGCAAAGCCGTTCCTTCCAGCAGCAACTCCATACATATCAGCTGCCTCTTACACCTGCCTATTTTTAAAGGGTGTCAGGTTCCCAGTCTGCTCTCTTGCAGAATACAGAAAATAAAAAAATAGCCTTTTCAACCCTACTCTTCTCCCCCAAAATCATTACCAGAGGAGGAGAAACCTATATTTGTGAGTAAATCCCCATTAAAATTGGTTGATAGAAATGGACAGGAACAGGCTGCAAATAGTCTATATTGAGGAGTGTCTGTCTGGTTTTGCTCATAGAGGAACAGTGAGAGCTGTTGCCTTCTTTCTCATTTATGCACAATTTTCATTCTTGCTGTCTGTATTTTTCTTCCTTCCATCTCAACAGGTGGGTAAACAACACCTTATTATTCTGCATTTCAATATAAGCTCAGTTCCTTTTGGCTGACTTTGACTAAGGCTGACTTTGACTTATCAAGGTTACTTAGTCTTTAAAACTGAAATAATGCTAGCCAGCTTGTCAGAACTGACTTAGGTAGTAGGTGAATATGCATGTTTCTCTCTCTCTCTCTCTCTCTCTCTCTCTCTCTCACACACACACACACACACACATATATATATATATATAGGTAAAGGGACCCCTGACCATTAGGTCCAGTCACGGACGACTCTGGGGTTGCGGTGCTCATCTTGCTTTACTGGCCGAGGGAGCCGGCATACAGCTTTCCGGGTCATGTGGCCAGCATGACTAAGCTGCTTCTGGTGAACCAGAGCAGCGCGCGGAAATGGCGTTTACCTTCCCGCCAGAGTGGTACCTATTTATCTACTTGCACTTTGACGTGCTTTCGAACTGCTAGGTGGGCAGGAGCAGGGACTAAGCAATGGGAGCTCACCCTGTCACGAGCAAACTGCCAACCTTCTGATCGGCAAGCCCTAGGCTCTGTGGTTTAACCCACAGTGCCACCCGTGTCTCTCTGTGTGTGTGTATATGCCATTATTTAGACAGTTGTCTATTATTTATTATTATTTATTACTTCAATTTGTATCCTGCCATGGTGCTCATGGCTGCTAACAGCGACAAGATAAAAATACAGTAGAGGTGCCAAAGGTTATATAACCAACACAAATACAAAAGAGCAGATAAAAGTCAGAACAATAAAAATCCAAGTATAAAAACAGTGGGCAATTAAACACCTTGAGCATTGCAATAAAGAAGTTGCCCTGGCAGGCCAAAGGTTTGTCAAAATGAAAAGGTATTTATTTGGCACTGGAGGGTCAACAGACAAGGGGGCAATTGAACTGTGGGAGGGAGGGAGCCCAAAGCTGGAGCACAGACACTGAAAAGGCCTTCTCTTGTGCCCCTGCCAAATGCACTCTTGAAAATGGCAGGACTGAGAAAAGGGCTTCCCTGCAAGATCTTGGCACTCAAGCAGGCTCCTACAGGGAAAAGTGTTCCTTCAAGTAACCTGTTTCCAAGCCAGCTAGTGCTTGCATAATGAGTACTGTAATGCTTACCTTTCTAATGTAAAGTAGTACCTTGGTTGTCGAACAAATCAGCTCCCGAACGTCGCAAACTCGGAAGTGAGTGTTCCGGTTTGTGAACATTCTTTGTAAGCTGAATGTCTGACGCGGCTTCCACAGTTTCCGATTGAGTGCAGGAAGCTCCTGCAGCCAATTGGAAGCTATGCCTTGGTTTTCAAACCGTTATGGGACTCCCGGAACAGATTAGATTCAAGAACCAAGGTACTGCTGTATTTAGATTCTCCTTGTCATGTGGCTCTCTGACCCCAGCATGAATGTGCTGTATATTCCTCCTTCCCCTCCATTTAACAGAGTTGAACTTGCAGCGGCAGCGAATGGAATCTTTTTTTAAAATGCGCTTTGTTGAGTTTTGTACAATCTAAATGGTACACAAAAGAGTAGCAATAAAATAAAACAAATATGGGTATTTTGTGATTTGTTTGATAAGATGAGACATACAGAAAAAAAAAGAATGAATCACAAATGGGATCTTGATCTCTGGTGTCTTTTTAATTTTTATCAGCTTTTCCACATAATACTCTGTGAGGGATTAATTGAGAAATAAGTTAAAGTCTCCTCAGGTTGTGTATGAAAAGAAAAGGGGCACCAATAATGCTTGGAGATGTATACACTTGTTCCCACTGTACACAGAATAAATACTTTTCCTTTCTGTTCTTTCTTACATACAGTTCTATATGGACCGTGCAAATGCAGAGGAATTCTACTCAATTTACAAAGGTGTTGTTGCTGAATATGCTGTAAGTAAGCGCTATAAAGTCTCTCTTTGTTTCAGGGCCCATTTTGGATAGAATCTTAATGGACCGTCCTGAAGGCTTATTGTCAAGGGCATGGCACAAGCTTTGAGGGATTATAAAGTCACTTTTCAGTGCTGCTCTTCACCTCAGCCACAAAGATTTCAACCTAGTAATGTTTCTGAATTGGCAAGACAGACTGCGCAAGTGATGATTTTAGTTTGGCTCAACATAAAACTTGTCTTTTTCAAATATTTTAATGGATAGTGAAACATGGCAAAAGTTGTATTTGATATTGCTGCAGTGGCTGAGTTGAGTAGGTTTCTTCCATCAAAAATTCTTGATACTAAGAGGCTTGGTTGCAACATAACCAAATGGATAATGTCTGTATTTTTTTAAGATCACTTACATCACACTGAGAAATGATATATGCATTGCGACTTCCTTTGTCCCTGCCAGCAGCAGCTGTGGAAAGGAGGCTTGGAAAACCAGAGCATGATGTTTCATTCATTCATTCTTTCATTTATTTATATACTACATTTCCACAAGGTTGTATCCAAGCCGGTTCATTACACATCAGATGAACATATCAATACAACAATTTAAAATTAAAATATTAGCCATTCCAAATAAAACTTTGTGTCAGTAGGTAAATCCATGATAATTATCAGTCAAGCCATACAACTAAAGCAACCAAATAACACAATAGAAATAAAGCTGATTTGTCCAACAGCTTAAAACACAAGAGGGAATGAAGCTTAATCAAAGAAATAAAATATACAGTATATTCCAAAGAGGGGGACGTGGGTGGCGCTGTGGGTTGAAGCACAGAGCCTAGGACTTGCCGATCAGAAGGTCGGCGGTTCGATTCCCCACGACGGGGTGAGCTCCCGTTGTTCGGTCCCTGCTCCTGCCAACCTAGCAGTTCGAAAGCACGTCAAAGTGCAAGTAGATAAATAGGTACCGCTCTGGCGGGAAGGTAAACGGCATTTCTGTGCTCTGCTCTGGTTCGCCAGAAGCGGCTTAGTCATGCTGGCCACATGACCCAGAAGCTGTACGCCGGCTCCCTCGGCCAATAAAGCGAGATGAGCGCCACAACCCCAGAGTCGGCCACGACTGGACCTAATGGCCAGGGGTCCCTTTACCTTTACCTATATTCCAAAGAGGTGATGTTGTGGTATGGAATAAGTTCTCTTATGGATCAGTAATTGGTTAAAGAACAGGATGCAAAGAGAAGGAAACAATGGACACTTCAAGCAATGTAAGGATGCAAAAGATGGAGTCCTTCAAGGATCTTTATTAGGATCTGTGCTTTTTCACTGATTGAACACAGTGGTGGTATGATGAGAGTCACTATGTCAGTGAAGTTGAAGAATGCAGACTATCCCCAGAATATATAAAAATCATGAGAGAACTGACACATTTCATTAGGAACATTTCTGTTAGAATGGATAGAACTGCCTTTGAAAACTTCATGTAGAGAGTAGGCTGGACTGGCTTAGATTTTCTTAAAACAAGAAATGATGCAAATTGATATACAGGTGCAGAGTAAAAGGTATCAAAAGCATTTAACAATCTGTTCCTTTTTCCTGTTGCAGGAGATGGTTGTAGAGCTTTGCTCAGGCCCTTGTGTAGCTCTAGAGATTAGACAAGTAGATCCTGAAAAAGTATTCCGAGATTTCTGTGGGCCTTCTGATCCCGTAAGTAACTTACTTGAAAAGTTTGTATTGGGGCCAAAGCAAAAATGATGCATGAGGTTTGAGATTGTCTCCATCAAAGTTTTTGGCTTTTACTTTAACGGAGCCTGGAGGCAGTCGGCTTTGTTTTTTTATTGGAATTTAGAAAATCTCCCAGGAAATCTAAAATTCCTTCCAAAGCAGCTATTAGTCCTACAGGGGAAAATATACCTGCATGATTCAGATGCCTAACCTCCTGTCAGATGCTGTTGTGGTTGCTCAAGAGTAACCAGGCAGGACTCTGACCTGTCTTTTCCAAGTTTATTTTGGTGCAAACTATTTACAGTGCAGAGCATCATAAGTTCATGTCTGGCTCAATCGCTAGCGGAATACGGGAGTGGTCTGTTCTTGTACCTCCCCCAACATAAAGGTTTTGTCACCCCCGGCGTTTTCCGCCCCTCCCTGGGCCTCAAGCTACTGCGCATGATGGGCGAAGGCAGGGGTGTGCTTCCCTCCTCTGGCTTGCTGAGGGGTGGTGTTAAGGCTCTTTCTAGCATCCTCTGGCTTGTGCACCTCTTCTCCACTGGAGGTGGGGGTTTCCTCCTCGCCGGAAGAGGAACTGCTTCGCAAGATTTTCGGAGGCTCCCTGTAACACAATTCCCCCTCTTCCCCCTCTATCTCTCGCCTCTGCACCGATGGCAGTTCCCTGACACACCCCATACCCCACCTTGGGAAAAGTGGGTATCATAGCAGCTGCAGTGGAAAATAGATGGGGCAATGGGGGAGGGAAGCGTTAAACACTCTCTACCTTAGTGCGGCTTCTCCAGTCAAAACTGAACCCCCCTCCCCATAGCTTCTTTAAAGTTCAAAAATTGGGTAGATTCAAGTGTAGATATCTTGTGTTGCATCTGATTTGCTACTCTGTTTTAAAAGGAATGGACAAATCTGTTAATTTCACTTTCTTTGAGTTTCTCATTTCTCTAGTCTCCAATTTGCCACTTTACTTTTTAAAAAACATCCTCATGGAAATTCATCAGCATTTATCCTACTTATTCACATTACCTCAAGCAGTTTCCCCTAATAAAGTGCATTTTTAATTTAATTTTAACGAATATATTTATATATAGTGGTCCACATATTTTGGTTTTTTAACGATAGCTGTGCTTTGGTTTCCAAATTGGTCTGAGAGCTATGAATTAGGTAGGGTCTATTAAAATGCAAACCAGATTTCTCCCCCACCCCTTCTGCGTGGCAGCATAGTAACAGATAACAACTTTAGAAGCCTACATTTGAAAAATGTTCTATTCAGCTAATATAATGATCACTTAGAGTCATGGTTTACAAGCAGAAAGGACAGCTACACCTTAACATGTGTCATTTTTGTTGCTGTCATATGCAGCTATGACCATTGCTAAGCCTTCTTTGCGTTAGATATGAAAGTACATCACTGGAGTACTATTTAAGCTACTCTAATCTATGCCAATTCAGTGCTTGTTACTCAGAAAGCAGTGTGAACAACCATACTTTAGGATATTTGCCTCTTGCTACTAAGCCATGTTGGCAACACTGCAGCTCATACTGAGCTGCTGTTCTACTGGGCTAGTGTTGTTGTCAAAAAGGGGTGAAAGTGATGCAGACATTTAATAAACCTAACTATCTGTAAAATGGCACAGATGGAAGGGGTCAGGCCATAGATCTATGGCAGAGCATCTGCCTTGCATGCAGAAGGTCCCAGGTTGAATCCCCAGCATCTCTAGGTAGGGCTGGCAAAGATTCCTGCCAAAACCCTGAAGAGCTGCTACCAGTTAGTGTAGACAGTGTTAAGCAAGATGGGCCAGTTGTCTGACTCGCTATAAAGCAGCTTCCTCTGTTTCCTATGACACTGGTAGCCGCTGCCAGATTAAATATTTTAAATATTTAATCTGGCTATTAAATATTTTAAATGCTAGCAAAAATCAGACTGTAGAATTGGACTGCTTAAACAGTCATGATTCTAGTAGTGCAGTCGTATGCACATTGATTTCGAAGGGAGTCCCTCTGTGTTTAAAAGAGGTTGCTCCCATGTAAGGCTGCGCTTCCTACTTATGTGGAAGGAAGCCCCATTGAACTCAATGGGAGTAATTTCTGTGAATGTATGTCCAGGAGGAAGGATCTAGATACATTCACATTGGCGCAAGCACATTGTCGTCTTCTGATGACTCTCTTGCGGAATTCCACACCCGAGAAACAATGAATTACTTCCTGCGACGGTAAAACAACTTAGCATATTTGAAGGCAGATGAGTTTATGATTACAAATAATTAGGCTGCTCTTCACATTGCACTAAGCAATGCAAACAGAAGGGAAAATGGATTCTCCGTCAATGACAGACCGTTATCGACTGGAGTTAGAAAACAGATCAATAAGAAGCTGCAATTAGTATGTCATGCTGTCTGTGGCTGTCTCTAGCGGAAAGGACATGGTTGGATTTTTTCAAATGTTATTTAGGGTCAAATATAATCAGTGTTCCTTTTCCTTATTAAAGATAAATACTGTAAATTCTATATTGCATACACTAGTTATTGTCAGTCTGCTAGAAGCTTGGCATTTTAAGGTGTTTGCTTCTGAAATGGGTAAAAGGGCTTGTGAGGATGTGCAGGCCTACCTCTGTCCCTCCAGGACGTCATGGATGCTGGCCATGCCCCCAATGTGTGATTGGCATTATTTTAAAGGCGACCATTTCTATGTGTGTAAAGTTGGGTCCCCAATCCCCATGTAAGAAACCTTCCACACCATACCATATTTTTAAAAGTTTCTACTTGGCTTTAATCCAAACATCATTTGTATGTGTGAGTTGAAAACAATAGCTTCAAATTACTATGAACTCTCGAAACATTCTTGAAAAGCGTTCAGTATTTGGTTTTTAACTCCATCCTGAACTTTAATGACTCTATGAAGCAGTTCTCCCATTTATTTTTGGGGGGGGGTCACGTCCCTGCTCGCTAACTACAACTTCATATTCCTGTGTAAAACTACAGCCTCTCCATGAAAAAAATGCAACACACCCATCAGAAAGAATTTTTTTGAAGAATGGCTGTGTCTGATGTGGTAGTCTGAAGTTATCAGCCGGATAATTTGATCATACCAACCCTCTCTGCAGAAATCTGGGAATGCTTAAGATATATCAGGATATATCAATAGAGGCTAGGTCTGTCAATGGAGAATCAGGTGAACACCGGCATTCCTTTATTAGCAAATATATATATATATAATCTGCTGAATTTATGTTGTTAGAGCTATATTGTGTGCATATGCAATATATTCTGTGCTAGAGGAAACATTCCTATTTTGAAAAAACAGCCGCTGCCACCATTTGCAATAGCTGACAGCCAGAACAGCTGCAGTGTGAGCTTTTGACTCTGTGGTTCCTTTCTCATTGTCTTATAAACCATTCATTAAACAAAGCCTTTTTAAAAGCAATAACCAACAACCCTGAATGTGAAATGTGGGCGACTAAATGACTGTTCGGTGGATTAATAATTTAGGGTTTGCTCACTGGTCTGTTCAGCTTGCTTCTCCTTTCTACTGCAAGACAACCTGACCAGAATTTTGATCAGTTTATTTCTTTGCAGTATCACAAACATCCCTGACTAACCAAATTTGAGATTATTATTATTTTTTTAAAAAAAGAAAGATGCAAACAATAATAAATATAACTGTTTTGTGTCGCTTCATTTCAGATGTGCAGGGAGAATTCCCAGTGAGCCAGCATGGCACTGAGAAGGGTGTTGACAACAATTCTGGGCTATTTTAAAACCCCAGCTCTGGGTTAGGAGGGCACACCTTCTCTTGCTACCTCACTCAGGGCCATTTCTCACCTGATGCAGAGCAAGCCAAAGTATACAACCCACAGGGAGCTGTAGCCAATCACAAAGCCTAAAATTTAATGTGCAGGGCTGCAGAGCCACATTTTGAACATTCATTTCTATGCTTCTTTGCTTTGCTGTGTACATACCACACAGTTAAAGCATATCTATCCTCCGCTAAAGAATCCTGGGAAATGTAGTTTGTTAAGGGTGCTGTTGCTCAGTGAGGTGTAAACTATAATTCCCATTATTCTTTTTTTTGTGTGTGTGTATGCTTTAAATATATGGTATGTATGCAGCCTTAGTCTAGTCCATGGGCAGGCAAACTAAGGCCCGGGGCTGGATTCAGCCCAATCGCCTTCTAAATCCAGCCCGAGGACGGTCGGGGAATCAGCATGTTTTTACATGAGTAGAATGTGTCCTTTTATTTAAAATGCATCTCTGGGTTATTTGTGGGGCATAGGAATTCGTTCATCCACCCTCCCCAAAAATATAGCCCGGCCCCCCACAAGGTCTGAGGGACAGTGGACTGGCCCCCTGCTGACCCCTGGTCTAGTCACCTCAAAAGTTATGAACTCCATCTTGGAATGTGATTTTATTTTAGACTGTGATGACTGGCAGGAGTGTAGAGCTTTATCCACTACTCCAAAAGCCCCCAGAATTTCAAAACTATGCAAGATTGTTTAGATAAAAGCTTCTCCTTGCATGCAGAACAATTTTATACAGGTGCTGAACTTATCAAAGCCCTAAGTGGCTTTGGGATATAAAATGCCTGAAGGAGTGTTTCCTCCCACACCAGCCTGTGCATCAAGTTCTTTAATTAAGGCCCTTCTCCAAATACCATTATTTATGTATTTATAGCCTCTGCTTAATCATTGTGTATGTTTGTTAATCTTATTGCTGGAATCCATTAGATGAAGGGTAGTCGAGAACTGCTTAAAATAAAATGTTTTACTCAAAAGTCAACCCTGCTAAGTTGGGTGGGACTTAGTAAGTGAGTTTAGGATTGCAACCCTAGCCAGGCATTACAGTAGTTTGTTTTGTGAAGGTGCATACAATTGATGAGTGCATCTACACCAGTGGTGGTCCAATACATTTTGCTACTGGAGGCAAAGGACAAGATGGTACCCCCACCTTCCATTCCTGCTGAACTAGGAGCTGAATCTTAACTTCAGCAGTGATGATATCATCTTGTGAACCTGGGGCAGCAGGCTAGCTTAGGGGGTCCAGGCCATGCCATGTGGCATGTAGAGTTCTTTCCTCCCACAGAGAGGAAAGAATGAGGGGCTCTGGGCAGCAGCAGTGCTGCTGCCAACTGCCAACATCTGCTGCATGAGACCATTGCCTTACTCTGCCCAATGATAGGGCCAGCCTTTACCCTCGTGGATTCAGTAGATACTTGCAAAATTCAAAATGCAGCAAGCTGTTGTAGATTGGCTAATTTGATAAGACCTGTGATTAATGAGGCAGGTGCCTGTTGTTGGTTGTCATTCGCCTGATGCTTATGAGGTATGCGTGTTGCTTTGCTTGTTCCTGCTAATATAAAGTGGCAGGCATCTCTTCCCCCTTACAAATGGATAAATAGCATGTAGGCAAATCATTAACTGACATTAGAATGGAATTAGCCATTCAAGCCTTTAACAAAAATCTCAAATAATGCTTTATTTATGGGTTTATAAAGACTTCCAATATTTGGCAGCCTCTAGTAAATTTTGTCAGTGCAGCTAAGAAATAAAAGAGCTAAAACAAGGGCATACAATATTTATTCAAATAACATTTATTTATTAAACCCATGTATTTTTAAACCCACTTTTCATCTGTATGGGGATAGTCAATGTGGTGCTCTCCAGGTGTTGTTGGACTTCAACGCCCATCATGCCTGACCACTGGCCATGTTTGCTGAGACTGATGGGAGTTGTTGAATTAATGCATCCTACCTAGCAATGGAATATTTATTTTTATTTTTTTATTTATTAAATTTATGTACTGGTCTTCATCTGAAGATCTTGGGGCAGGTTCTGAGCATAAAAATACAAAATAAAAACACGAAATACATAATAAAAACAAGAGCAAAAACAAAGCAAACCCATCTCCCCCCCAACAAATTTAAGAGAACGTAGAATATTAATTAGCCAAAGGGCTGGTTGAAGGAAAAGGTTTTGCCTAACACCTAAAGATGAAGGCACCAGGCGAGCCTCCCTGGGAAGAGCACCCCACAAAATGGGGAGCAACTGCAGAAGAGTCCCTTTCTCATGTTGCCACCCTCCGGAGCTCTCATGAAGGAGGCACATGAAGAAGGGCCTCAGATGTTGATGAATACAGAGAAGAGCTACTTGCGAAGATCTTTAAGCTTTGAGATGACGATATAGGGAGAGGCAATCCTTCAGGTACTGGGGCTTGATGAAGCCATTTAGGACTTTAATAGGCAAACATCCCTTCATCAATTTCTCACAGAAGCAAATAAGCAGTCAATGACACTCTTTCAAAATCGGTGTAACATGATTACATCTGACTCTACTGGTCAATATTCTGGCAGTCCAGCAGCTGTGCATACTACGTATTACAGATAATCTGGTTGAGAGATAACCAGAGAATAGATTGCTCTGGAAAAGCTATCCCTGCTAAGAAAGGGGTGCAGCTGGTGAACCAGTCAAAAGTGGGGAAATGAACTTCATGCCGCTAGGTCCACATAAGCCAGGCATGGCCAAACTTGGCCCTCCAGATGTTTTTGAACTACAACTCCCATCATGCCTAGCTAACAGGACCAGTGGTCAGGGATGATGGGAATTGTAGGCCCAAAACATCTGGAGGGCCAAGGTTGGCAATGCCTGACATAAGCATCCAGTGGCAATGCTGGATCTAGAAAGACTCCCCACCACATGCCTTCTCCTTCATGTATAGTGCAGCCCCACATAGAACAGGCTATATTATATCCTTTTTTCTCAAACTTGAGAACCACTTACCCGTAATGTGCCACATGTTGTCAGGATTCATCCTCAGGGTTCTGTTTTGGCCTTCATCTAGCTGAATCCTGCCCCCAAGGACTGATGCAGCACCTGCACAGCGTCACCTGACAACGAGAAATAGAGCTGAGTGTCATCAGCATGCTGTGAAGCCAAGCAGAATTTCCCCAGTGCAACTGCCTGAAACCAGACCTGTAGGCAGAAGCAGACTCACTGTAACACCATGCCCCCAATTCCCAAATTATAGCACTGACCCAGTAAGATACCGTGGTCAATTATGTCAAAAGCTGCCGAGAGAGCAAGAAAAATCAATAGAGTTGCATTTCCCTTGTCTCTCCCCTGATAGAAGTCAGCAATCAGAACAAGCAGGGCAGTTTGTTGAATCCAAATTGAAATAGGCCCAGATAATAAATTATCTCCAAGTGTGCTAGGAGTTTCAGCACCACCTGTGTCCTGACTCCCTTGCCCAGTAATGGGATATTGGCAACTGAGCAGTAGATATCATCTCTTGCAGGAGTAGTGTGTCCTCCCGCCGCCTGCCCTGAAACCTTTGCCATTGGCAAAGAAGTGGCACTAGTATCGGTGCTGATTTCAGGTGAGATCTCTCATGTTCTGCAAGATCTTGCATGATTTCAGGTGAGATCTCAACAGAAATTGGTGCCAATGCTGGTGACACTTCTCTGCTGGCAGTAGGGCAGGCGGGGCACCTGCAGGGGATTCCAGTGCCAGAGGCAGCTGCCACATCCTGCCTTAAGGCTGCATTAGCCCTGGTACCCTGAGTCCAAAGAATTTGAGGTTTTATCTTCTGTTACCATCTGCCTGGCTTTAGATGGAAGTGGGTCAAGAGGTTGATCTTAAATGTCTGGGTAGCTTCATGCAAGAGAAGGTGACCCTTTTAGGTGTATTTGTGAAGTACAGTGGTACCTCAGGTTAAGTACTTAATTCGTTCTGGAGGTCCGTTCTTAACCTGAAACAGTTCTTAACCTGAAGCACCACTTTAGCTAATGGGGCCTCCTGCTGCCGCTGCGCCGTCAGAGCACGATTTCTGTTCTCATCCTGAAGCAAAGTTCTTAACCCGAGGTACTATTTCTGGGTTAGTGGAGTCTGTAACCTGAAGAGTATGTAGCCTGAAGCATATGTAACCCGAGGTACCACTGTATGCAATACAAACATTGCGGGCTTCATTGTGTATCACTACGTAACAGTTTGGAAGGGCTCTATCTTCCCTGTGGCTTCTTTCAATACCACTTTGCTTGAAAGCCCAGAATCACATGGGAAGGACTAACTGCACAAGTCATTGTTGTCAATTGAGGATGGGGGTGATCACGAGGGATTTGGTCAACCTACACGAGCAAAGGGTCTTTGTTGTCATCCTCACCCTTCCATGCCCCCCGCCCAGCTTGCCAAATGCTGGAAATCCAAAGCCAGCAGTGTGAAACTAAACGAGATACTTTTCATAGACCGATTCCTCCCTGTTCTTCGCAGGAACTGGCTTGGCCAGTTTGAATGCTGACACGTTGTCTCTCAAATAGCCATTTTTGTAAAATACCATGTTAAGTATGTAAGGACTGTAAATGCTGCATGTCAACAATAACTTGCGCTGGAAGCCTGCTGTTACAGAATTGGTTGATTTATTCAACCCAGTATATGAGAATCTGCTTCCTCTCTCTCAATAGTCTGTGTTCTGCCCTTTTCTGCGAAACCTGTTTTTATTTGCTTGCCTGTTTGGCACTCTATCACAGCAGGAGGAGTTCTGGGCTGGTGATATCAAGTATCCTGCAGGGCTTCCCCAGTGTTGTCATTGCTCCAACACACCACCCCTGTCTTGCTAAGCGGCAGCACCATAGTGCAGGGAGCTGGTCTTCTGAACCATCTCATAATCTCTCTGAAATGTTTGCTGAGGAGCAGGTAAATCTGAGCACATTAGCCACCATTTTTATTGGTTCTGCTCCCCTCCCAGTGGCCAGATGCACTGAAATTTAGAAGGCGAAGCTTTCCCTGTCACTTACTTTCATGCCAAGAATATTTTCATTTGCTAACTTACTACAGGTTGTCAGGCTGCAGTTAAGGACAGTGTTGATCTAGTAAAATTGGTCCCATTCAGCTTGCTGGAATGTTGTAAATGTTGACTGGTCCTAATAAAGGCAATGTTTTACTGTCCCTGGAGTTTGTTTTTCTAATTAAAATGTTATATTGAATTATGAATATATACACACTATATTTCATTCAAATTCAAATATGTTTTATTGGCGTGTGTACATGCATTAATGTACTAAATGTCCGTCTCATCTTTGTCCTACTTGTTCTCAAATCATCCCTGAAATGTAGGCCAGATAGCTACAAGAGAATTTACAGACAGCGAAGAACAAACAGTTCTTAACATTTCTAAGGGATTTACTGTGAACAAGTGTTCTTCCCACTGGACTTTTCATTTGGTGTCTCATGCTGATAGACTTTCTCTGCTGCAGCTTTGCCCAACCTGGTGTCTTCCAGAAGTTTTAGACTAGAATTGGCAGTAGTCACAGTAGTTTCTCTTGCAGCGTTAACAAATGAAGCCTCACCCACAAATAGAGAGGAATTTGACAGGTACTCACCCCATGAGCAGGGACCCTGTAATATTTCTATGTACCTTCTCTATATGTATGATTGTATTTTGATTTTGAAGCAATACAACCTCTACAAAATGCACCCCAAAGTTAATTGCACCATGTAGTCTTTTGCATTGCCTGATCGTAAAGCTGGTCTGGAATCTTATAGTTATTGAATGGGAAATTATAGTCTGAAAAGGATGGGTTGCTGCCATTTAAATCAGTTGCCTTTAATGAAGAGACAGGCCTTGGCTCATTTGTCACCTCAGTCTTGAGTTGCTCTCCATCAGGAAAAATTACAGTTCAATTACTGGTTTCTGCCTTTCTTTTTTAGTGGAGCTTCCACTTCTCCAATAAATTTGTACAGACTTGCAGCTGCACTTTTGTCAGCTGATGCCTGAAGCAAGTAGTTTAATTTATAGCTTGAACCCTCCTTTACATGCTGCTTAGAAACTTGCACATATTAACAGGTGCTTTTTTGATGGCAAGGTGGAAAACCTCTGCACTGCAGCAGTCTGTTTTGTTAGCAAAACTGCTCTATCGACTTTATAAAAAAAACTTTTATTATCCAGAGCAGCATCTCCCCCACATGCTTGAGCCTGCATGAGATGTATGGATAATGTTGATATGTAGATGTCCCAGTTTTCACATGGCTTACTAATTGGAGCTTACTTTTGAATTTCAGCATTCAGACTGGCAAGCTAGTAGGAGGGTTTATAGTTCTGCAGTGTGTATGACATGAAAACGGACACATAGGACTGAGTGAAATTGAGGAGTACTTCTTGCAATCATTTTTGGCAGACCAAAAGGTTCCAACAATTTTTCAATGGTTGTTACAACGAGGAAACATTTTCCGCACCCTGAATTGGCTCCATTTGTTCTTTCACAATGCTGTCACATAGCCAAATCGGATTCGCTAAAAAGCATTGTTACATTATCCATTTCAGAATATGATCTCCAACTGGTGAATGTCCACACAATTTGGATCTCACAAAAGCCGTCTATTCTATCCCAAAATTGAAAAATAAAATGAAATGTGCTACACATAAAGAGTTATAGGTCTCAACAGTAAGATCTGAAGCAAACCTTTGACAACATTGTGGATATCTTTTATGACAGAGAAAACAGAGATCAGAAGTTAAAGAATTAGGAATCAGTTTTAACTTTATATATTTAACATGAGATGAAAATCCTCCTCTCTTGCATAATGTTGAACTAGCTTGAAGTAAAACGTATCATTTTAGCCCATCTAAAATTATAGCAATGTTCTATGGCAGAAGCATTCTACTTATTGCTATGTAGTATTCTTGTTTGCTACATAATGCTAATTGTTAGAACATGCACCTGTGATGAATTTCAGAATATTAGTTTTTGATAAGAAATACGACACAAACAACCAGCGTTCTATGGCACCTTAAAGACAACCAGTTTGATGTACTACAATAAAAGTGTTAGATTTGAAGGTGCCCAGGGATTCAATGTTGGTCTTGTACAGTGGTCTAATTTAAGTATCCCTTTGGTATGTGGCACAGTGTTGGCTTGCCTCCCATTGCATGTAAAAACTTGAGGAAATCAGAAAAATATTCAAGCTGTAAATGCGGGTGGAATCTCAACTAGAAAAAAAATCCAGGTTCCTGCTGCTCTAGGTGCCTAAAAGGTTACACTTATGAATTCTAGACTGTTGCTCACCATCTTGGGAAGCATTCTTACCTAAAAAGAAATTGAAGTTCATTTAGGTACTGGGCTAGTAAAAAAAAAAAGATTTCTGTTGAGCAGATTGGTGGAAGTATCCATCCCTTGTTTGCCAGCCTGTTTGGTTTCCATATGTTCATCATAGACAACATGGTGATTCTTTCCCCATGGCCAACATATAGAAACCAAGTAGAATGGCAGAGGGCAATAGCCAACAGAAGTTCCCCTCCCTCTCCTCTCCTGGCATGCACTCTGGCTTCCCCAACCCCCAGAAACAGATTTGGGGTGTGGTATAGGGGATGCACAAGGAGAAGAGAGGGACAGGAAATTCTATTTCATAAGTGGAAATCCTTGACCTAGCGGAAACACCCAAGTTCAAGACAACCCAGAGAGACCACTCTTATTTGCTTGCCTGCAGCGAGCAGGTGAATTCTTAAATGCAAGGCCCAAGTGGTACTTTAATTCTCTCTGGCCTGTTGCTACAATACTTTTTTCCTCATTATTTTACAGTTCTTTGCATATGTGAAGGGGAAGTCAGGATTGAGCCCTTTTACTTTTGGTAAATACTGTACTATAGTGCAAAAAGAGTTCTTTATTATATAAAATGCTTCTATGAATATATTTCTGTATCTTCACATAACAAGCCACTTTCTTCACCTGTTAATATTTTTATGTTGCACAGGAAATAGCTCGTTTTCTGCGTCCTGGCACGCTCCGTGCTATCTTTGGTAAAAACAAGATCCAAAACGCTGTTCACTGCACAGATCTTCCAGAGGATGGTCTTTTGGAGGTAAGGCTCAGTGATGCATCTTTATATTATAGGATGTTAAAGGAGTCTGCGAAGCTGTTTTGAGCTTTACAATGAGATGCTAAGCAGAAGTAAAATTACTATTTAAAAAAATTATAAGCCTTTCACGTTTGGTAGGGATATGGGAGAGGGCCTTCTCAGTGGCTGCTCCCAGACTTTAGAACTCCCTTCCTAGAGAAGCTAGAATGGCTCACTACTTGTTGTCCTTCCACCGGCAGGTGAATACTTTCTTGTTCCAATAGGCTTTTAGGAACCGACTGCTTTTAATGAAGGGCTGGTGCTGTGCTGTTTTTATTGTGATTATTTGTACGGTTTGAATAGATTTTATATACGTATGTAGTTCTAATTCTGTCAGTGTTCAATTGTTTCTTAATGATTTTTTGGTATGTTTTTTGCATGGGTCCCGTCAGGGGGAAATGTGGGGTATAAAGGAATACATAATAATAGTGAATGGTGGCAATAATTTTAATGGAATTTTAGTTGAAGTCGGCATCATGTGCAGTTACTTGTACAGTTTTTACTATATTACTAGACAATAAACAACTGAAGCAAATGGAGAATTAATTCTGAATACAGTCGGCGAACATTTTGCATGGGATTTCCATTCCCGGCCCCCATTCACCTTGGTGGAATGCATATAAGCATGCCCCACCCCAGTTACACCCCCATTCTGCCCTTTTTGTGACTGGGAGTGATTGTGCATCATTTGGATCTGCGTTAATCGGTTGCTGCCTGTAATAGCAGAAGCTGAAAATACTCTCCAGCAAAAGTTTTTAAAGGCTTACATTTTGTAGCCTTCATGGGAATTAGATTGAAGGGTGGTCCATAAATCACTATAATAAATGAGTAAACGTTTATATACAAACTGGATTTTTATTACTTTATTAAAGTAAATTACTCTAGGGTGAACTCATTAGGACTGATTTTACATATTTTTGTGTATGTGTGTAGTAAAATCCCCCACTCACCCTTGATGCGTTTGGCTGTGCATGTAGCAACTGAGTTATTTGAATAGTTCATCTGAAGCACAAACACAATTGATTTGTAAAACTTTTATAATGCTTACTGTAATAAAGATCTCTAAGCAGTTTGATGTGCTACCATAAGCCTTTGCCTTGGATAATGTCAACCTTCATGGCTCTTTTGACTATTCTTTCAGCAGCAGGGGTGATTCTAGATCATACGGTGTCAGGCGGCTGTAAGCAACTCCCGCAGCCGGTTGCCAGGAACGTACAGACAAGGAAAAGTTCTTACCATCTGCTTTTTATTCTATATTTACAGAGAGAGGCTTGGAACACAGCCTCTTGGATAAGGGCGTTGTCCCGAGTGAATCTCCACCCCCCCTTCTCCCCCACTTCCTCATTTGTCTTCAGCATCACCTCCTCTATGGGTGCCGCTTAGTGCTGTCTGTCTTCAAGCTCTTTGCTCTCCTACTTTTAAGGCTCGCCAGGTTCTGGGACATGGTGGGTCTGGATTGCTTTCTAGTGATAACCTGTCAGCCATCTGCTGCTCTGGCTCTGCCTCCTCCTCCTCTCCCATTATTTCCCAACTTTTCCCCTCATCTTCCTCTGAGCTGTGACTTCCCTCAAACCCCTGTTGAAATTCTGAACTGTCTTCCTCTTCTCTGGAAGGGTCAGGCTGGGGAGGTGGTCTCCACCATTCCTCTGCCCAGTCCCTGACATACGGATGCTATCAATATGCTGTAAATCAATATGGGTCAAAGACAGAGTATTAACAATTACACCTTTGTGGCTTGCAAACCATTGGCCTGCTCTGTTGCAAAGAGCATATTCTGTGCCAGAATATGACTTCTTTTTGGTGTAATTGTAATATATCAGCATTTATCTGAGGTTTGGATGTTGCGTTTGCCTTTTAGAACAAGTTGGTGAGGAAAGGGCAACAGTCATACACAATAACACATGTTTTTGTTTGTTATTATGATATGCATTTTGTGTTTTTATATTTTAAACTGCCATGTGATATTTGGATGAAGGGTGATAAAGAAATTGAATGAATTAATGAATGCAATGTGGGGTGATAGTGCTTTGCCACATGCAAATAGCGTGAGCCCTTGCTTTGCATTTCTTTTAAATAACATAGGCACAATACTCTGTTGCCATTCTGTAATTCAGTCACCCATTGATGCAGCTTTAATGCCAACAAAGCACTTTATGTACTGGTTACTTCTCGCCTGGCAATTGGACCTTATTCAGCAGTTGCAATGGATGTCTTATCAGTGTCACATTAATAATGCAATGGCGCACTGAACGCTGCCTTCCGATTCCCTGGCACTTGCAGTCAGTGATTTGAAACCCCTGCACTCGGATGCACATCTAGTGTTCTTCTTCTGTGGCCTCAGGTTACAAAGTGGTTAGTGGTGGCCAGTTTTATCAAAGCCATTTGATTGTGGCTTTTGGCTTCATCCATAATGTTCTTAGTACAGTGGTACCTTGGTTCTCAAACGCCTTGGTACTCAAACAGCCAGGAACCCAAACACTGCAAGCCTGGAAGTAAGTGTTCCGGTTTGCGAACTTTTTTTGGAAGCTGAGCGTGCTCCGTTTTAAGTGTTACGCTTCCGATTTGAGTGTTATGCTGAGGTCTGTCTGTTTTTGCTATTTATTTTGTGTTTTTGTTTTTACAGCTCTTTTTGTTTTGTTTTTGTGACTGTGGGGAACCCAGTTCTGCTACTGATTGATTGATTGTGTGACTGCAGTACATTGTTTATTGCTTTCATTTTATGGATCAATGGTCCCATTAGATAGGAAAATTCATGTTAATTTGCTGTTTTAGGGATTGTTTTTAAAAGTCTGGAATGGATTAATCCATTTTGCATTACTTTCTACGGGAAAGCGCACCTTGGTTTTGGAACGCTTTGGTTTTAGAAAGGTCTTCCGGAATGGATTAAGTTTGAGAACCAAGGTACCACTGTACTTCTACTCCAGCAAAACTGGGTTGCCTAAGGAATTTGCATAGAAAGCTGCAAATCCCGATCTCCTTCTCCTCTCTGCCCCAGTATGGTATAAGGCTACCGTTTTACTTATTTTTAAAAGTCAGACAATATTAATATTGGTTGTTAATGAAATTGACTACAGACCATTAACTGTAGAGGAGTTGATGGCACCAGTATATATAAAAGCCAGGTATATAAACAAATTTTAGTGGTAATTTTTGGAAGCTTAGAACATATTTTTATATTAGCAATTTCTATACTCTTTGATGAGGAGGGAGTAAACCTTAATTATACCACTGGAACTAACATCTCTATAGTTTTTATCTCTGACAGCCTGATCACAAGCAGGTATAATCAGAAACAAGCCCTACTTTCAGTTGGGCTTGCTTCTCAGTAAATATGCTTGAGATTGCAGCCTTGTTTTAGCCCTTCATCTGCATATTGTGAACGGATTAAGTATACTTAAAAATATGTTGCAACATAATATGGGCAAACTGAAAATAGTGAAGTTAACTCGTTAAGAGATGGTGGATCCATGCAATGTTTTCATTCCTCTATTCAAAATGTTGACACTACTTATGAACTGGGTTGTGAAGAACTGCAAAAAAATAGGTATTTTAGCAGGTGGGGAATTGGTAAGCAAAACATCTCACTGACAAAATTAAGGGCAATAAGAGACTCTGTTCTGAGGCATTCTGTTGCTGCTGGCATGGTGGCCTCCCAAAATATCTTCCACACTCTTGTGAGTATGGGTATTTGCCCAACAATCCCGATACTTTATGTGGAAAGCACATTTCGACATTATCACAAGCTAGTAGTCTTCCTATTAGACATATCTAAAGTGATAATGAAAGACTTAACGCCCTGTGTGTGAGAGACTGTGGGAAGAAAGCAGGCAAAGATTGAAGTCTGGTTTATGCAACTGGGTTAGGAGTGTCCATTTCCAGCTCTAGCCATTCCTGAAGGGGGATAACTTTGCCACAGTGATAAATGAACTGGAAACCTCCTGTCTAGATTTATTCTAAGTGGGGCTATCCTTGAAGACTGTTCAGAGACTTCATCTGGTGCAGAATGCTGCCCTGAACAGCATGCTAACTTGGAAGATTATTGTACCTGTTCTGCATGAACTGTACTGGTTGACATTTTATTATGTTTTTATCTGTGCTGGAAGCTGCCCTGAGTGGCTGGGGAAACCTAGCCAGATGGGTGGGGTATATAATAATATTAATATAAATAATATAAATAAAAAGAAATAAATATTTCCAAACCCAATTTAAGATGTTGATGTTGACAAAGAAGGCCCTAAACAGCTTGAGCTTAAGTACCTGTGGAATTCTCTGCCTCTGGAGGTGCATCAGATGTTATCAGAACGTCAGTACCAGTGGCACCTATTGACCTAGGCTTTTGGGTCTTCATTATATTGCTTAAATAGGTTCTTGCCGCACTTTGAGTTGTTGAACCTCTGTTACCTTGCTGCTATTTTGAGTTTATAATACCTTTTTGTCATGTTAATGCATAATCTTATATTATTTGTTGTTGCTGTGCTGTGTGTCGTACTTTTATTTGTGAACCACTCTGGATTTATTTATTTTTTTCAGTCAAAAGTTACTGGATATATGAACACAAATAATAATACTAGACCCATGTATACAACTAAACTGCTCTTAGCTGCCCAGTGTAGTTGGGATAGAGAAGGATACATATCCAGATAAACAGCTGTTGTGCAGCAGCAATGTTGATTGGGTTAACATTAGATGCTAAAGTACTCTGTCATAAGGTGCTGTAGCAGTAAGAGACTTGCTGTGGTGCAACTCTTCAGAGCAAGCAGGAAAGGAACACTCTCAACTGAATGTTCTCGTCGTGGGCATTAGAGTGACATGACCCAGAAATGTAATTAAAAACCCTCTGATGTTCTTTTCCCACCATAATCTCTCTTCCTGTCCCCACTTCAGTTTGGAAAGACAATAAGGAGGAGCGGTTCTGTATAAACTATATCACATTTCAATATCCTGAGGGCAGTCTCTGGGCCAAACTTGATACAGCAATAGGAGAGAGCTGGTCATGAATCTCCTGCTGTTTTGAGAAGTTCAGTTGCAGTTGTATGTTGCCTGTATGTTTTGCCCTCTGAATAGCAGCTGTAAGAATCCCTGCTGGATCAAACCAAAGGCCCATCCAGGCATCCTCTTCTCCCAGGGACCAACCAAAGGCCCATGGTTAGTCCACAAGCCGTCCATGAGCGCAATTGCATTCTCCCCATATAAGGCGCTCAGCCCTGCCCCCAATCCACCCTTTTAGTGATATCTTAGGGTCACTTTCAAGCACAATTGCCCCTCAATCAGATGTGTGTAAATTGAGAGTTGCCTGTGTTTACTTACATTTATTTAATGGGATTTGTGCACCACTTAATTGTAAAAACAAACAAACTCTTAAGCAGTTTACATAAAATAAACAGAATAAATTAGCAATTTAAATATGTTAATGTCTATGTATATATGCACATTTTAAAAATCATTACTACAATTTACATTTCACAAAAGGCAAGCCAATTAATTGCCCATCCAAATCAATTATTAAATTAGAACCTCATCCCAAACCACACATTTCAGTTCTTAACTGGTTAATTTCCTTCCAGATGAGCCAGACTTGGTTCCAAAATCAATTTCCCTTCCATTAATTATACCAATTCAATTCAATTACCTCAATTCCAGCCCCCTCCAATCAAATGAATTTCAACAAGAATAGGGTGGGATCACCATTCACTTCAGGTGGTAGAGGCCAGTTGGGATTCTTACTATGAGGCAGCCTAGGCAATTGTTCATTTGTTCTTTTTAACCTAATTAAGCCAGTAAAAAAAAAAAAGCTGCCAATTGAACTGATGTACAACACTGTCAATAGAAATCTCAAATGCCCCTGGGTTGGGAAACAGCATCCCTTCCTTTTCCATTTGGGGGACAATTGTACAGAAAAAGGTACCATTTCCTTTTCAGTACAGTTGTTTCTGGAAATTAAACAAAATAACACCATTACCTTCTCTAGGGGCATCATTTGACTGACTTAAGTTTAAAAAGAGAGAGCTAAGATCTGTGGCCACCTTGACACATCCTGTTTGTCCAATATTTGATATAATAAACTGGAATGTGATCTCAGGAAACACTTGAAATGCCAGTGATCCAGCAGGAAATGCACCATTTACTTGGTGGTGAAGGTTGGTGGTGATATTTTATTTATAGATAGAAGGTGCTCCCAGAGAGTAATCAATATAGCAACAGTAAGTTGAGGTATGTTGTAGGACTAGCTCCTGTATACTTTTATTGTAGAAATCTCCTGAGACTGTACTACTTTGGGTTGCTGGTAGGTAAATCCTTTACTATTCACATGACACACAAAAATGTTGTCTGTTGAAAACTAGCAAGTTGAGGAGAAACATTCTAGCTTCACCTTACTCTTGACAGGAGGGTTTTCTTTGTGCAAAGAAGAGCATTCAAGCATTGAATCCACCCAACTGCATCCTGAAATGGCACATCCAGGAGACCTGTGGGTCATATTTTATTTTATATTGGCCTCTTATACTTTCCGACGGGAGAGAAATTTTCATTGTCAGTGACTCTCCCTTTGTTGTTTGACCCTGGACTTTAGGCTTCTTCCGCCTTCTGAAAATACCTTCACTAAGCACAGTGAAGTTAATCAATAACCCTCACATGACTGATTTGAGCCAGGAAAGAAAGGAAGGAATTTAAAAAGCTATTGGCTGTCCCATAATTAAGCCCATTTCATTCATAAAAACTGAATTGCTGTTTTTCTCCTGCGTCAGTGGAGCTAAAGCAGTAACACACCTATTGCAAAGTCCTCTTCAGCTTACTGAATAAAGGGCTATAATTATTATATATCAGAATGTATTGGTGTCTGCAGTAACATTTTTGAGCAACTTCCTTCTTTGATGTTTTTTTAAGGCACATAACTGAACTTTGAATTCAGTGCAGTCACAATTAACCTTGAAAAGTTGTAATTGTGAAGTAGGTTCCAGATACAGTGTCAGCTAATCTTTTTTTCTTTTAACTATGCAAAAGTACACCAATACTGAGTTGATGTATGCACACTTTTAAAGATTTTTCTACACATTATGGGGAGTACATATAGGCCAGATGTTGCTAGCTTACAGATCCCATCATTTCTCACTATTGACCATGCTGACTGGGGCTGATGGGAGTTGGAGTCTAGCAACGTCTGGAGAGCTATAGGTCAGCTACCCCTGATAAAGTCACTCTTGAAGGAAACAAATGCCATTATATCCATCTGTCTTTAGTCAAAAATGTTTCTGTAGATTAGAGTTGGGGAACCAGAAGTCCTCCAGACTTGCACTCCAACCCCCATCAGCCCCAGCCAGCATGGCAAATAATTGAGAATTGATGGGAGTTGGAGTCTTAACTACATTTGGAGAGCTGCAGGTTCAGTGTTGCATTGCATTCAGAACCCTGAGGAACTCCTCATTGAAGGCTCAGTGGGACAAAAGAGCACGCCCCAAGCATCACCATCTGGAAATGACCATCCAAGTAGGACCAGAAGCACCACAAAGTGGTGACACCACCCCACTAACTGGGACAGCTGTTCCAGAATGATACCATGGTTGATGGTGTTGAAAGCTGCTGAGAGATTGAGGAGGATTAACAGGGACACATTTCCCCTGCCTCTCTCCCAACAGAGGTCATCATACGGGGCAACCAAAGCAATTTCTGTGCCAAAACCGGGCCTAAACCCTGATTGAAAAGGATTTAGAAAATCAGTTGCCTGGATCTGATCTGTGACCACTCGCTCAAAACCTTGTCCAAGAAAGAGAGATTGGCAACTGGCCGGTTGTTACATAGATTTTCTGAATCCAGGGAGGGTTTCTTGAGGAGTGATTTTACCATTGCCTCCTTTAAGCAGGCAAAGACCAGCCCCTCTCGCAAGCAGGCGTTCATCACCTCCCTGGCTCAGCCAGATATCCCTGCTGCTAGTTTTTATCAGTCAAGAGAGGCAAGGGTCCAGAGTGCAAGTGGTTGCCCTGAATGATCCAAGCACCTTGTCCACATTCTCGATCCTTAGTAATTGGAACTCATCCAACATAACAGGACTAGTCAGTGCTCTAAACACTTCTCAAGATTCATCTGCTGTAACAGTGGAGTCAAGGTCCTGGCAGATGCAAACGATTCTATTCTCAAAATGCTTTCCAAACTACCTGGAAAAGTTCTGCTGGATGACACAATGAGGATGCAATGGAGGCAGCAAAGTAAGCCTTCTTTGCTGCCTTCACTGCAACTAAGTAGGCTCAATGATGAACCTTCGCCATTATTTGATTGCATTTCACTGGCGTTTTCTTCCACTTGCATTTGAGCCGCCTTCCCACTTGTTTTCTCACTCTTAAGTGCTAGAGTATACTAGGGAGCCAAGCGAGCTCCACAAAGTGGGAGAGGGCACTCAGGAGCGATTGTGTCACCTCAGTAAATATGATAAACGGTACAGTAATAATAACAATAGTAATCCACAGTCTCAGCGGTGTTCTCCATAGTTTCGTTTTCCGAAATCTCGGCAAACCCGATAATGCAAACTCTTCTTCCCAAAGAGGGAATGATCTAATTGGATTGCAAATTTCTCATGTGCTATTGCAGAGTACCATAGAAAGTCACTGTAAACCAGTAGTCTGTGAGGCTAGATTTCAAGTTCGGTTAGCAGAAAATTCATTAAATGGAAAAGCCCTTGGTGTAATTGTATATGAAGTAAAACAACATATAGCAAGATTTCAGTAATCTGGCCCAGTTTCATATGCTGAACTATGCCAATTGGATTCCTATAGCAAGACAGTTCATATAGACACCCTCCCCCCCAATTCCCCACCTGCTCCAAACAGCTGCTCCATGCAGCAGATTGGAACCAAGAGAAGTTTTCTTTTTCTTTTTCAGGCATATTCCAACAACTGTCATTAATATGTTGCACTCAGGATATGCCACAAGTATGCGTAAAATGAAGGGAGACACTCCTTGACATCCTTGAAATAAGCTAGCACTTTAAAAACTGTTGCTATATCAGCACAGCTGTTGTGACACGGGGACAGATTGTGGTAGAGCTGTGTAGATCCATGCTTGAGATGGTGGTGGGAGGGAGAACAGTGTGTGCTCTTAAATGCATTCCAGGCCGGAAGCTCTGCAGTAGATTTCACCGAGCCACCTTTGAGATGAAGCAGGATTTGGAGGAAGTTTGTAGTACGCAGAGACAACTAGGTCCATTTAAGTGCCAATTTACCACGGTGTCAATGTAACTGCTTGGCAAACCAGGTGTTGTTGTTTTTTTTAAAAAATCCTGTCTAATGGAGAGGAAAAAATTGCCAAATATCCTTACTTTAATTAATAATCAATGGAAGTAAAATGGTGGTAATGTTCAGATTACAGGTTCACAAAGTGCTTACATGCACTCCATGGTAAGTAGCCATTTGTTTAATGATTTATTGTATTCTACCCCGAAAGAAACATTGTAGAAGCTCAGTCCCCCAGAGTGTGTCTGTGTTAGCTCATTTTCATGTGATCAGTTTTTTCCCCAAAATAGTAGGAGGAACCAGTGCTTCCTGAATCATGGTCACCAAAAGGGCAATCGTATTTGGGGACTGAAGGATGAGTAGGAAGAGAAATTGTGAAATGAATGTAAATGTGACAAGGAGTGCTGGTGCCACGATTCACTACCTCACTTTGTAGAAATGCAAAATGCTAGTTATTGGAATCTCCGAAAGCAGAGCAGTTTGGTCTCTGAGCTTTGTGTGTGCCAGCACTCCTTGTTCTGTACATTTAGCACACTGTAACAGTTTTCATCAGTGATGTTTGCCAGTGCCCAGGTCCTTTGGAGTCCTTTGCCTGAACCACTGCTCACACCTTTTCACAGCTTTATAATGTACTTACTTTAGCCAAGTTTGAAGCATGCTCAGTGATGAATGTTGATGTTAAAGGTTCTGAGTGCTGAATGTGACGTTTTTACAGCTCATGTGCTTTGCTTCCTCTGTAGAAACAACTTGTTCTTGTATGGTACTTGCCTCTGATTTAAAATACGTAATTTGGAATGAAAGTGTGCTTGGTTGCATTCATCATATGAAACACTGCCAAAGCCTGTATGATATGCCCTGATAAATTTTGCAACGCGGAGTGGGTGTCCAATTCCAACTCCAGCAATTATGTTTCATCTGCCTATATATGAGAGATGTAAAACAATTTAACAGCAAGTAAGCCCTCTTCATATCACGTATTTTACCGAATCAACCTTTGGGCAAATATTTAAAGAAAAATAGTAAGCTTTTATCAGTTGAAGGCTGACATCCTATACACGCATACATGGGAGCAGGGGCAGACCTTGGGAATATGGCATCTTGTGTAAGGCCAAAATTTGATGCCTTCCCTGCCCCTACCCTCGCACAACCTTCTCAAAGCTGGCTAGGCAAGGCCTTGGGCTTTGGGAAGGAAGTGTAAAGCTCTGGCAGGGTCCTGGAGCTATCCTGTCTCCTTCCCAAAGCTGGGAAAGCACTAACTAGGCTTTGGGAAGGAGGCAGGATGATGCCCTCTCTGTTTGGCACCCTATGCAGGGGAGCCAGTTGTGCAATCCTGAATCGACCTCTGCCAGCAGTAAGAGACCCTGGACTCAATGGGATTTACTTTTGAATGGACCTGTAGTAGGGTGGAGAAGCAAAGAAAGGCTGGCTGTTGTGACAGTGGCTGTGTTCTGCAGGGTGTTGAGTGATGCTGCATGATAAAATGCCTTTGAAATGGAAAGGCGTTTCAGAAACAGATTTGTGATATGAAAAGGGGGAGCAGCTGTTCATGTGGACTCCCCCCCACCCAGGTTAAACATTTTCCTGGCCTAGCACAAGCCCTAAGCAACATTTCTGAACCTGCCTCATTTAACTTTCATTGCCACACAGTGAGCTACACATAAATAAATGGAAATTCTGAATATATGTCTCTGCGTTAATGAGAGCTGGCAATCCCCCCCCCCAAATGAAAGCTGGGATATGATGTTGCTCATTCTACCACTGCTACTGTACATAATTTGTTTTCTCATTATAAAATCTGGAATAAAATACAGAATCGCAAAAATTCAAATTTAATGAAAGATACAAGTTTAAATTTTCGCTGCATTGTGTTTTATTTGCAATAAAAAACTATAAAGTGTGAGAATGTTTAACTATACAATGTATAAAAATGGCTACAAGCCTACATTTTCTTGACCTAGTATTCAGTTGCAGTGAAATGCTGTAATTGTCTTCTCAGAAGTAAGTTCCATTGAGTTCAGTTGGGCTTCCTTTTAGGTAAGTAGGCATAGGATTACAGCCTAAGGGGTTCTGTTACATATTAACTTCTGGGTGACTATCCAGCCAACCTTTTAGCAGTTTGGAATTTAACTCACCTTTTCAGAGGGCTGTCATATTTGTAAAACAGGAGAATCAATTATTTAAAGTAGCAGCGTCCTGTTTATCACAGGCTGGTCCTTCGTACCACATTTCCTCTCTTTAAATAATTAAGAACAGGGCCATTGTTTCTCCCTGTCATTTGGTGATGCTGCTGTTGCAATACAGCCATTTACTAGGGGCAAAATCCCACACAAAATGCTTTTGCTGTTTAGTGAAGAGGGGCATTTTGAGTGCTGGTAAGGCAGTAGACATGAAACTTTCCATCTCATTTCATGTTCAAACATACAGCTCGTATGATCTACAGGTTTCCTCATACCATCTTTTAGGACCTCACCTTTAAATAATAAAAAGAAAATATCTAGGCAATAGCCTGCAGAAATTCTAAGAGATACACTTCTTACTGATATCTTCTATTACTTTGGTTCACTGTTTGCTGGTTTATGTGTGCACTCGTTTTTGTTCCTTTGCTTTTTATAGCGTGGAGTAATTTTATTTCTTCATGTGGATTTTTGTCATGTTTTCAATCATGTTAACTACTTCGTACTTTCAAGTAGAAAAATGCATTTAATATTTAGAATAAATAAAATATGAGTGCAACTGTTCTAACAATGTATGTGCTCGTTAGACAATGTTAATTAATGCAGCAGTTTTGTTTCATAGTATTTCTTCAAGCTGAGTGTGTGGTTAAGGCATGAAAATCATCTTCTTCACAACTTGTACGAGCGAGAATGGTGGTGGGTTGGGTTTTTTGTTTTTGTTTTTTTTTGCATTCTAAATATCACAGTTTCTTTGTTTTACCCATGCTTTCTTGTATAAGCATTCTGAGGAAACTTTACAAACCAAGCTTGGGTAAAAACGATTAAGCATGATCTGTTCTGGATTCATGCAGTCTACACAAACCTTTTGTACGCTTTACAAACGCATATTAGAATCCTGAGAATCTCACGTCTTCCTTCCTTCCTTCCTGAAGTAATTTTCTACTTCATGTAGCTGTACAGGTTAAACTTTTACTTAGGATGGCAAATCCCCACTTGGCAATTAATCTCTCTGAGTGACCTTGGCCAGTCACTCTCTCTTAGCCTAACATACCTCACAATGTGGTTGCGAGCATAAAATAGAGGAAAGAGAAATTGTATATGGCGCCCTGAGTTCCTTGGAGGAAATGTGAGATATTAATGTTGAGGTAGCCCTCCAGCAGCTAAAAGGGGTTGGAGTGGCTCCGAACAGGTTCACACTTTTGTATAGAACAGGCACGGTAGACGAAAGGAGTATGTTGGTTCTCATTTATTTTTAAAGTGGACAACCCCTTAGGAATTCTAAGACTCTGGAATTACAACTCAATAAAAGTTGGATATATTGTTCTGATTCAGTGCAATAAAAGTGCCAGAATGACCTGCCAGAAATGGCAATTGGCGAATTGCAGGCATATCTGCAGCTGCTACCTCAGAACAGGACTGGCTGGCTTTTTAATAGTGTATTCTGGAGGCTTTTATCTGATAATTTCCTTCCATTTTGGGTCAAAGATGACTGGAAATGTACCGTGTCCAATAACTCTCACCTGAATCTTTTTGGAGGATAATGATTTAGTTGTGGAGTAGAAGTCAGACCATTGGGCATCAAGTTCTCTATTCCATAGTTGTATGTATATTTGTGATACCTTCGATAACATGTTTGAAATATCTTTTGATGCTTTTAAAGGGTGTAAGCTTAAGAAATGACAAAACCCACCTGTTGTAGAATTGGGGCTTCTGAAGCATCCCTAGCGTGCTCTCTCCCACAAATCCCAAAAGCCTTAAAAATAAGCTAACCCAAAACTTTTGTTGGATTTTTCTCTACATACAGGTTAGTTGAATACTTTACTCCTTCTGTTTGTGTAGGAACTGTAATCTAGAGAAGGCATGTGGGACACATACTCCCCATTGCTGTAGACCCTGTTATCTCCAGGGTCTGCAGCTCAGGAAAGTGGGCCTCCACATCACCATGACCGCCATGGTTTTCCAGCTTTCAGGATATTCCCTCATTGCCCTTGACAACTCAGTGGATGGGGGGACTGGTACAAGTTCAAAGTACAGTCCCTAACAGAGCAATCCAGGATGTTTCATGCCTGCATGTATAGGAAGGAGCACCTAGCACTGAAGAAATTGACTAGGTGGTAGGAGCAGCAGTGGCTAGGCGGATGGATGATGCAAATTTGCCAGGGCTGAGAGTAGCTGCCATCAGTTGCTGGATTTGTGGGCAGGATGGACCTGTGGGAATTCATACAGTTTGAGGAAGTGGAATCATCCTTGGTGGAAGAGTGCTGTAACCATGCCTTAAATTCCTCTGAGGCAGGAGTGGGGAAAGCTTTTTTAGCCAGAGGAGTCACCTTCTCTTATAGACACACTTCCAAGGTGCCAGGGGTGGGTGGGACCACATGCAAAAGGGGACGGAGCAATGGTTGTGGCTCTTACCTTTATACATAAAGGCAAAGAGACCCCTGACCATTAGGTCCAGTCGTGGCCGACTCTGGGGTTGCGGCGCTCATCTCGCTTTATTGGCCGAGGGAGCCGGTGTACAGCTTCCGGGTCAAGTGGCCAGCATGACTAAGCCACTTCTGGCGAACCAGAGCAGCACACGGAAACGCCGTTTACCTTCCCGCCAGAGCGGTACCTATTTATCTACTTGCACTTTGACGTGCTTTTGAACTGCTAGGTTGGAAGGAGCAGGGACCGAGCAACGGGAGCTCACCCCATCGCGGGGATTCGAACCGCTGACCTTCTGATCGGCAAGTCCTAGGCTCTGTGGTTTAACTCACAGCACCACCTGTGTCCCTACCTTTGTACATAGACTACGTTAAAAGTCAGGAGGTTCTGCACATATACTCAGCTCTCCATCCTTCATCCAGGCAAGCATTTGAGGAGAGTGCAGAGCAGGAATGGTGAATGATGTGACCTGGAGAGAGATGTGGCTTGTGGAGATTCCTGAGGGCCAAGGAGAGATGGTCTCATTTGGCCCCTTGGTCTTGAAGTGCCTCATGCCTGTGTTGAGGCATGAAAGAGCATCACTTGTCGAATAGCAGAATTCAGGTTGTGGCAAGGATTCCTGCTTTACTTTTCAAAGGTGTTGAAAGACACCTTTGTAGACACCTTTGCCGTTGTAGACAGTGCCCAGTATCTGTCCTCCATTTCTGTTTTAACAGTTTTATTATTTGGGGGATGCAACCCTGAAATTTTCCCAACTAGGTTTCAGTATTATTTCCTAGCATTTATGGGATTAACCACAGCCTTTAGCGCAACACTGTTTCCACTTCTCTGAAGTGTTTGCTTTTCTTTGAGTCTTGCATCTGACCTCTCACTGCTTTTAGGGCACACACTGTTCAGGAGATAATTGTACGCACCAGCGGTATGGTTAGGACTTTTGTAACAGGTTTTATTATGGGTTACACAACTATGTAAACTTCCCGGATGACTGGAGGGTAGCAAGTATGAAAATGACGCTCGTTCGTATGCTGCAGGGCAACTTTGTGTTCTCCAAGGTGAGATGATGAGCGATAAAAGCAAAGCCATTAATTCTCTCTTAGATACGGGAACAGGAAAGAGTTAGTTTATGTGGAAGGTTTTGGAGGAAACAGGGTATAAATTTCTGTGCCGAGGTGGTTGTGTCATGTGGGATTCCCAGAGATCAGCTCCCTTGGTTACAATACTAACTTCTGGTATCCAACCCTTTAAAATAATTGTCAATCTAGGTCCTCCTTTTGCTTTTTACCTTAGTAGGAGCAGGAGCTCAACACAAGAGCCAGCAGTTAGGAAGGGGAGACTGGTTTATTAGCTCACCACTTTCTAGTTCTTTGGAAATTACCTGTGAGAGTCCACACCTGAAAAGGATTGGTAAAACTGTATTAAGTAAATGGTACTTACTTCTTTCACTAAGAAAGAGACCATAAACCCAGTTTCAAGAGTTGTATCCATGTGTCTTACTTCAGAGGACAGGCCTTTTAGTTGAAGGGCTTGTTGATCCAAGTCCATTTTAAAGATAAGGAATCATAAGGGATTGCAGGGGCCTTGAATTGCCCATCAGTATTTAACCACCTGCAGAGAAAGCCCATGGGAATCCTGGCCAGTGTTCCCCACTGTAGTGAGATGCATTGTACTACTATTTAAATTATGAGTAATTACGTCTAAATTTTCATCTGTACACACCCTATGCATTTTTGCATAACCTTTATCCTCCCTTTTTGGTGAGGTGTAAATGGTCACCCTAACTCACTTTGTTCCATTCTTTGTTTAAGAATGGACTTTAACAAAATTGATTGAAGAACATCCATTTATGGCTGCTTACAATGAATGGTGCATCTAGTGTTTCAGAATGGGGTGGGAACTGTTGCAATGTACGAAGAGACACTTGCAATGCTGAACTCAGAAGAATCCAGAGTTCCCCTGCTCCAGATCAAGCCCATTGTAAATCAGAAACCCAGTATTGGTACAGTCTCTGCTTTAGAATGGGCTTCCTGCCAGCTCACTCTTCCTGGTACCTCCCTTCCTTCTGCAAGCAATTTTATCATTGGAAAGAATTTGGGAGCGGGGAGAGGTGGCTAACAGTGGAGGGCATTGTAGGTCCCAACCGTCAGCATGCTTAGAAAGTATTATCCCTCTTCATTCCTGAGCATGCTGAGGAACAGCTATGCTTTCAAGCGTTTTTCTAGTCCTTCATGTTTGCCAGTCACTGGTGCCCTTCCCTGCCACACTCTGCAGAGGCAAATTTGGGAAGGGGAGGGAGCGACAGGAGAGGCTAGTAGGAAGCTTCCAAAGGTAAGCCCATTTTGTAGACTTAGAGAACAATCAGTTAGCATGTGCTAGTTTGGCTCCTTTGGGGACACCAACCTAATTTTGTGACACACGAGAAGGTGTTTGCTCATTTCCTGCTAACAAATATCTTCCTACACTCTGCAATGGAGGCAAAGCACTAACCTCCTCCAACCAGAACATGATGTTTATTGCCACAGGCCATATTTTAGATGGTTTCAAAACAGTGTGCATGAAATGCAAAGGACGTTTTTAGCTGGTTGTTCAGGTTACAGTTTCGACTAAGGCTGCTTTGAAAATAACTCATGGTCTGCAATAAGTTTGTTTCTCTTCATAGGTCCAGTATTTTTTCAACATCTTGGACAACTAACTAGAGACGGCAGAATTATGGGGCATACAAAAAACAAGCCACAGGATGGAAGATGTGTGTTTATTCATTTATTGACCAATGTTTTAACCTGACTGAAATACAAGATCAACAAGAGCACTGTATTTTCCTGGCTATTACATATGTTAGAACATAGAGGTTTGCACTTTAGACAACATTTAACACCAGTTGATGGGGGTTAACTGCATTGCTTTTCATAAAGTTCAAAATAAAGATTTATTTTCAAACATGTGGCTTTGGTTTATTTTTATACATTACACTTTTTTTCTTGCAGAAAAAAAATAAAATTGTACAACTGCATAAATATAAAATTCTTCCACCATGGAAATGGTTAAAACATTCAATAAAGACAGCACCACTGCATATGATGCCTCTAGCAGGAAAAGAAAATATACAAAGCAAAATAATTATTCCTGTCACTGATGAGAGTGATAGGCTGACTCAGATCTCTCACACAACTTCAGAACGGGTGCGGGGAGACGGGGAGTAGAGAGAGAGAGAGAGATAGAAAGACAACATTCGCTATAAAGCACAATACATAATCACCTACGCTCCTTAGCGTTGCTTCAAAGTCAAGGTAATTTTCCCTGCCACCACACTAAATAAAGTCCTAAGGCTACAGGGAGGAAGGGGGGGAGGCTCTATGGAGTGCTGCTGAATAATCTCACAAGTGGGCCTTTACCATTTTAAAAATGAACAAAAATATAATAATTAAAAGTACCATGCCAGTTTTAGTCCCACTGAGTATTTACACCTTGGACAGCAAATATTTGCTCACAGAAAGTAGAAAACAGGTACAATAATACATGGCTTGAAAAATGATCGGAGTAATGCACCTATAGTACTGTACACTAAATAAAACTCACAAGGCAGCAATATTTAGGGGGCAGAAACACTGCTTACTACAAGTCAGTTATGGAATAATAATTTACAGTAGAAATGGGCATGTCCCAAGGCTCAATTCTGTGTTTGTTTTGTTTTCGTCATTTACAGTAGAATAAATATCTTTGTTGCTATTGCTACACTTTTAAGTTTACATTCTAACCTAGTTAAATGCAGAAAGCTAGTGTAAAGCATATAGATTACGTGTAGGTCCCATACGTATGACAGTTTTGTTCAAGACTAGTAGGTTTTTGTCTTTTTTATACTTTTTTAAATGGCTAAGAGGAGAGAGAAGAAAGAAACTGTGCTTGCGATCAGCTGCTTTTTATGTCAAATTTCAAATCAAAACGTCCCTGGAAACGATCCTTGTCACTGTAGTGGATGTTCTGACCATAGACCTTGCACTCGACACGCACTTCCATATCATACGTCAGGTTGGTGAACTGCACGGCCACAAGGGGCTGCTGGTACTTGGGCTGGAGGAGCTTGCCGTAATACGGATAGTACTGAAGAGGAAAGCCGCCATAGCCACCCATGCCGTAATATTCCACGGGGCCAATTTTGTCAATGTCGTCCTCTTTCTGAAGGAGCGAAAGGGAGAAGTCACTTGCAAATTCCGCATTCTGCATGCTCTGCGTACCATATTTTTATTGTTCACTATTTGGTCATGACTTAAAGCTCCCATTGTGAAAAACAGACTGTCCCACTGAAAAGTCACTTGAGTTTTCTATGTACCTTTCCAACACATTCGAGTGATTACAACTGTGGAATGAGTGAAGGCTAATGTCTCCTTAGATGGATTGCCTTGGCCTCACTTGTAGCATGCCAGAAGATGCAGCGATGGCCACTTCCACAGTGATGGAAGAACAGCTCCCCATGTCATGAGGAATGCATGAAGGAATGGACAAGTGGGGGTCACTGCCACTGTCCTTAATCCAAACTTTCTTGCATTCAGTTGAACATCTGGAAAGTCCACACACTGACAACTGTGCAACTGGGAATCCTGTCTTTCCAGGGTTCCCAGTTGTAGAAAAGCAAGCCTTCCTTGTGTACACAAACATTCAGCTGAACACACCAGAGAGGACCATGTTGCGTTTCTGCTCTCCTTAAGAGATTCTGAGAAACACCTGGTTGGCCACTGAAGGAAATAAAATAGCTTGGACTAGACTGTCCAACAGCGCTCTTCTGTGTTCAGCATTCCATCCCTTTCAAAATGTGCTAATAGCCCTATTCAGGAATTATGATGGTGTGTTAAATTAAATACTTGAGGGGTGGGCTGCAGTGATGAGCGCACCAGCTCCACCCTCTCAGTTCTTTGTTCCACTGCACAAGTTGGAGGACAATCTGAAGCAGGGAGCCTCTTGTTCTTGTGGAAGCCCCACACGTTTCAGAACACTGATTTCCCAGGGTTATAAAAAGCAGGTGGGGCCCCTACAAGTACTTGTTTGAGGCAGTAGCCCTCCCAACTCATGCAGAGTGACAAGAACAACAAAATAGAGCTAGCACACATGTTCCCACAGCCCCACTCCCCATTCTCAGCATTTACATAACCTGCCATCTCAAGATCTCGCAGCTCGTACACAAGTGTGGCAACTGGAATCAAGTTGTGAGGTTGGGTTAGGCATTTTCAGGGTGAGGTTTGTTGCTGCCTTTTACCCAGCACACGCTCTTTTTCTACACGGACCCATTCTGCATTTCTTTCTCTGCCCCTCTCCCTGCATCCCTCTCTTCTTTTCCACATGCTGGAAAGGGACAGTGTTTAGTGATCTCACTCCAACTCCTGTTGGGCAGGGAAGAGGAGGAGAGATTTTGACTTGGTTTGGCTTCAACTGAAGGACATTCTCTCATGACAGGAGCTGTCGACACTTCTGGTATCAGGTCTCGGCTCCTAACGGAAAAACAAAGGGCTGGGTTCTCTCCGTTGGGTGTTGTTTTGAGTCTCTACTTTTAGAAAAAGCAACAGCTGTTTTATCTTGGTATTGAGTGATACTGCTTTGCTTGGGCAGACAGTGAATCACTCAAAGCAAGTAAGAGGAGAGATGGCAAGGGAGTCCATTTAAAAGCTAACATGCATGCAGACAACATATAAGAGAGCAAACATAGGAAGGTGCCTTATACCAGGTCAAGTAATTGCTCAGCCTAGTTCAGTATTGCTGGCCCTGATTGTCCAGGATTTCAGGTCTGTTTAGGTTCCCAGCTTCACATGGAGATGTCACGTGGGACCTTTTGAACACAAAGTTCTAGCACTGAGCAAGCACCTTTCTCTATCAGCAAAGTACTCCTGCTCAGCAACCTGCATTCATTTCACTGTTGGACTTGACCAGGGTTTCCTGCCATGATGAATGCTTGTTACACAAACGCTAGGTATTTCAGATTTTCAGAGCTAGGGTGTCACTACAGAGAAGGGCCTCTAGTTGCCACCAGCCTCACCTCTGATGGTGGCAGTAGTCTCCAAGGGAGATCATAATGTATGGTTACGTGGATATAGAGGCAGCAATCTTGCAGGTCTCCCAGGCCCAAGCCATATACGGGTTTCAAAAGCATCACTGTGAATGAGGTGCCCAGATGTAGGGCAGAAGCCAATGTAGCTGCTCAAGGACTGGTGAGATAGGATCCCAATTTAGAGGCAAGCAGTTGTATATTTGAACTAACTGCAGTCTCTGGACAGTCTTCAAGGGCAGCCCCATCTACAACAAATTACGGTAAGAACTTGAACTATTTTACCTTAGCAGCGCAGTGAACAGGAATGATATAAGGGTTGAATCTTGCCTTCACCTCAGCTGGGATGGAGTCATTGAGTGGAGGCTAAGAGGAAAACAAGCACATTACAAATGGTTTAAACCAACTTCAAAACCCTTGCTAAAAGACAAACTCCTTTCTCCAATAAGTGTATTTGCCAAATATACCCTCCAGAAGCCAATTAAGATGGTCAAGTGCCTATCAGTTTGGAAGTGAAATGGAGCAAACTAAAATTAAAATAGGAGCCCTACAGTTTGTAAATTAAAAGAAAACAAGTCTGCAGAACCTGCATAGACAGGAAAAAAAATCAGAGAAACCCATCTCACAGGGTTGTTGTGAGGATAAAATGGGGAGGTGAGACTCATGCACACCACCTCAAAATCCTTAGAAGAAAAGGTGGTAACTAAAATAATTAAAGCATATTTCCCCCACTTGTGCTTTTCTAATCCGGAAACTACTTTAAAACTAACAAAGGCTTTTATTTATTCGAGCTCTTCTTTGCCATATAGGGGAAGGCTAGTAGATTTGTGAGGAAGATCTGGGTTCACAGTCTCAAATCAGCCAACGTAAGCATGATTTTCCATCAGTGGACAAATAAGCTCCAAATACTGCTCACAGACCCAGAGTGAAGCAAATGAAAAAATATCCAGAAAAAGTTTGAGAATCCTCTTAATTGCTACATGGCTGGTCTGGTAAGCAGCCCTCCTCACCGCCACTTGCCAGTGGAACATAAGTTTGGTCTCCTGGCAAAAAAGCATATGATCAGTATTTTAAAAGCCAGCAGGGCCTCAAGTCTAGTGGTCACCCCATTGTGTGACGAGAAGATGAACAGTGTTTCCACTGGTAAGAAGAGTCCAAGCAGCCACCAGGTGTTTATTTGAGACCAGTGGCAAGGACGAGAAAATGGAAAGTAGCGTATTTTCCCGAGGTTTTTTGACTCAAAAATCGTGTCCAAAAACTGGGGTAGTCCAATACACGGAAAGTGGCATGGGGGTGAGAAGCATTGCGCCCGCCAGCCAGCCGGTTGGTGCGAGCGCAACTTCCCCCGATGCCGCAGCAAGCGGAAAATGATCTAGGGAGTTTCCTGCCCACAGCTGCGTGGGGGGAGAAGCTCAACAACTTTGGGCCATCTCCCCTCATTTTCTTAAAATGGAGTCCCCCAAAATAAGGGGGGGGGTCCTTATACATGGGGGCATCTTCTTGATGGAACAATACCGTAGATATAAGCAATCTTGTAGAAGATAAGACAATCAAAGACTCCTCCAACACCCTCCTTTTTCCTATGTGGTTGTGCTACCAATTCCCACTTTTTCCTCACCCCCCTCCTTTAAAAACAGGCCTAGCAGCACTTGCCTTTGGTATGAAGCCCATAATCCTGTTGAGTTTGATGAGGACACATGGTTTGCCGTCTTTGTAACCAAAGCTGGGGTCACTTATCCCAGAGCAGTTGTCCAGCCAGGAGCGAAGGAACCTGCAAGATGGCTTCTTGCCCAGGCTGGGGTCAATAGGAGCTTCACCTTTGTGGGTGGAGGGTTCAGCTGGAGGTGGGGAGTAGGGGAGAAAAAGAAAAACCTTGCTTATATGCATTTTGATCAGCTTGCCACAATCAGTCATCTCAGGGATATTAAACCTTAAAGGCTCCAACTTAAAGTGTCTAATGGTGAATCCTACACCTGCTTCATATTATGAGACAGTGTAATAATTTTGCATGGGAAGCATCCACCTAGCTTTAAGGAAAACTTCTGATAATGAAAAACTGAATATTTCCCAACGTGCACTTATTTTCCCTGCTTAAATCTAATTGCTTGCAGCTGCCAGGTACCAAAACACACAGCCTGCAGACATGTCTCTCTGTGACATGTGCAGTATTGATCATGCCATTTTCCTAGATCATGGTGTGTTTAAAAAGGACTGCATGCACGAGCTAACTGCTTGGGGATCACAAGAGCTCTGTCTCATTTCAGAGAGGCCTGTCCCATGTCTACCAGATCCTACAGAGAACAGGGCTCCTTTGCCTTTAATAGTTATTCTAGGAAGGTCACAAGACATGTGGCTTCATCACCAACATGGGCTGTTGTGTTAATCTTACAGTGCCTTCCCGATGTTCACTGGAGACTTTGGCTCCGTACACATATACCTTGATATTCAAAACAAATAAGTTTCCCTTGCAGAATTCTGGGTGCTGTGGCTTACGCCTCGCAGAGTTACAATTCCCAGCAACCCTTAAGAAAGCACAGTGCCCAAAATCCCTTGGGCGGGGGGGGGGGGATGTCCTTTACAGATTTTGTGTACAAGGCCTAGGGGTTTACCAGCGCCATCAAGCTAAGATGGTGCAGCAAACAAAATTACTGTCCCCAAACGCTACCATGGAAGGACTTCTCCTCTAGTTTTAAAACTGAAAGTGGTTTACTTTAGGTGCACAATTCTCAACTGATGAGGCTGGTTTGCCTGAGCAGGTACCAAGTGGACAAGGCTCATCCCTAACCCCTCTCAGGCAAGCTTTATGCTAGCAAGTCTTGTTGTGCAAGCAGGCCGAGTGCTGACTCAGCCCTCTCAGCTGAGCAAAGTGTGGACAGTTCTATGGTACGCAGACCCACCATCTCTTATAAAATGGCCATGTTCTGGCAACCAGACAAGATCTGGAATCTGGGTTGTCCCCAGACAGGATGGAAAGCTCTGGGGTAAGCAATTCCCAGAAAAGGAGCAGTGGGCAAGAAGGGGAAGGCCTACCTTTTCCCTCGTACCCCCCAATTTTGCCCTGCAGTTGCCTCCCCGCAGTTGTTCCCCTCTGAACTGTGGCAAACATGCCTGGACCCCTGACTAGGGGTGGGGGTCCCAAAACCTACTAAGTATTTGGATGGATCCCTCAATCCAAAACACAGCGAGCAGTACTAGCTAGGTGGTCTCCTTTGCTTCTTACAGCCTGGTCTTTTCAGTTGCTGTGTTGGCAAATATATAATGAATCTATAGCAAAACTGCACACAACAGTAGGGTTCTGGTGTCTCCATCCAACCCAAAACATTACAGATCAGTGCTATCGTACCAACAACCACCAGGGGCTAAGGAAATTGGTGAGGTTATTTCAAGCCATATTGTCTTCAGCAGAGCTAGGATTACTGAAGCATGAGGAGATAGTTACAGTTCGTTGCTGGGGTAATAATAATAATAATAATAATAATAATAATAATTTTATTATTTATACCCCACCCACTTGACTGGGTTTCCCCAGGCACTCTGGGTAGCTCACAGCACATAGGGTGAACAGGGAATCAACTGAGTTATTTGCTTAAATAAAAGGGAGTTGCCTTTTTCCGAGTGGGACTGGAAAAGTTACTGGCAAGGGTTGTTAGGCACCAGCAGCACTTTAGATGGACCAGACTAAAAGCAAATACATCCGAAACAAAAGTTATGTGCAAATAAAATCTACTCACTGGCACAAGACTCAAGCTCAAAATCTGCCTCTTGCTCCTGATTAAACTCATAAGCCTTCAGAAATGTATCCATGAGCTTCGTGTACTTCTCATATGTGTTTTTATCACTGGGATTGAAGGAAATCTCCATTTTAAATACCTGGGGAATAGCTGTCAGTCCTGGAAAGGGAAAAGAAGAAATCATGTAACACAGAGACACACAGAGCAAAGACAACTGATCTGTATCGTATTGTGCTTGCCCCACCATGAAAAGGATCACATCCAAACTTTCCTTATGCAGCAACAAACCAGAATAATTTTGGAACATGTATAGGTGCAGAATATGAAATGCTGAAACTGTCACCTTCCTCACCCACCAAAACAAAGAGAGCAGACTTTGGTGCTTACTGGCACAAGGCTTTTATTTTAGCCCTATTTGTTTGGAAGTAAAATACTGTATTTTTTGCTCTATAAGACACACTTTTCCCTTCCTAAAAAGTAAGGGGAAATGTGTGTGTGTGTTATGGAGCGAATGCAGGCGGGAAGGCTCTGCTCAGCGCTCCCTTTAAAGAGCCGTGCACATGCTCCACAAGCTCTTTAAACGGAGCGCGGCTCTTGGGGGAGCCTTCTGCCTTAGCTGTGCTTCCGGGCAGGGGGAGCCTTCATGCCCCTGCCCGGGAGAAGCTGCGCATGGCTATTCCATAAGCCAAGACAGCAAAAGGCTATCCCAGAAGCCAGATCCCTCTTGCTGTTCTGGCTTCTGGGATTCAGATTTTTTTTTCTTGTTTTCCTCCTCCAAAAACTAGGTGCGTCTTATGGTCTAGTGCGTCTTATAAAGCGAAAAATACGGTGCTTCATGAGCTTGAAAAATCTACAAGCTCTTTAAATTCAGAAATACCTTGTTCTAAAATTCTAAACTTAAGAACTACCTTTAAACAAAACAATAAGTACAATTTTATTCTCTCCAGATCTCTGCAGAATTTAAAGGTACATCAAATAGAGAGGCTCATCGAACTCCCGCCTCACATGGCACTAGAGAGTTGCAGCATTTTCCTGGAGTGCACAGAGGACTGCGCACTGGCTATGTGTATACTCCGAGTAACATAAAAAATCCCAGGGTGCTTCTGGCCAAGGGCTCATGTTCCTGAGTCAGATTGCACAATTCACAAGGTATCTCAAAGCACATCAGGGACTCCCTAAGTTTCTGATTTCCTCTATGGCCTCAGCTGTCCCCAGAATTTCAATGCGCAGCCTGAAATTTGGCAGGCTCCATCCACTCTTCATCCACTTACGTGAAAAGAAAGAAAACAAACCCTTATAAGCAGCTTTTTGATTCCCCATTGCACTCACCAAGGGCAAAGCAGCTTCAGGTTTAAGAGATCGGATTTGGACCCGAATAAGAAATTGAATCAAAATGACACAGAGTTGCCCTGAAACAGATGAAGCTGCTTACAGAAATAATGCAATTCTTGTTGTCACTTCACATCCCTAACGCAAAGGGGCGCCTTTCTCAAAAGCCCAAATGTATAGTCCATATAAGAGCTTCAGGTGTAGGATTTCACCTAGGGAGACCCTGCCCACAATAGAGCGCTCCTGTATTGTAGATCATTCCAGAGATCCTACAGGTGAGATGATGTGCCTGCGTTAGCATGAAGGGCATCAGATTTCCAGAAGGACCCTTCACAAGCAGCTGGTTTTTCAAAAGATGGGGCAATGGAGACTCAGGCTGGATCTAGACACATCAAAGAAGCGTTTCAGTTAAACGCACTGTAAACTTTGTATGAGAAATCAGGCTGGCAAAAACGGAACTCCACAGCGCCACCTGGTGTCACAGTGTTAGAATGCATAAACAACACATAAAAAGTGTTCTTTCTTTGCCAATGTAGCTGAGTCTCCAGTCTCTTTTCCATTTATTTCACTGAAGAGGTTTCTGGGAAGGGAAGCTGTCACTTGTTTTTGCGGCACCCACAAGTCACGCCAGCCACACATTTGAATGTACCCCCCCCTCTGCCCCTGCACTACAACATCCTTAAACTATTAGCTAAGATCACTGAACACACAAGATGCAGTGATGGCCACTGACTTACATGACTTCAAAAGGAGATCAAATTTACGCAATTTAAGCAATTTATCAAAGATGAAATATTATTTATTTCTCAACACATGAATTTAGGCATCTTAGGAACAGTTTGCATAAACTGCATTTAGCTTGCATGAAAATGCCCAATCCAGGTGATCCCTTGCCTGTGCCACTCAGCACACAAAGGTGAGAAAGGGGCAAGGGAGAATTACAAACAGTGACAGGAAGAGGCCCGCAGTTGGAATGCAAAATATTCAGCTATCATGCCACTCCACACTCATTTCATTGAACTAGCCCTGCATTTGCTTCGTGGGTCAGATTAGGAGCAGCAAAAACTGAACACAATAAAAATATGTTCTTATTCTAGAATAAGTTCTGTTTCTTTTTTGAGGGGGGGGGGGAGGTAGAGGCAAGAAGGGAGGTAATGGAAGATGATATTCGCAAGGGACAGATACATGTCACCATCCCGTACAAATGAATGCATTCCACATGTTTGTTCTCCCATAAGGTTCAGGTGGAGTTTTAATTGAATTACCCGATGCTTGCTTGATATCGATGCTGAAAGTAATGGGAGATGAAGTTCATGCTGCTTCACTGACGGCCACACACTGAGTTTGCTGTGGCACAAGCTCCGTTTCCCTTTGGCACATCCAACTTAGAGCCGGCAGCCAAGACCTTTTCCAGACACTGCCATTATATAGTAGTTGTTTCTATAACCAAGCTGGGCTCTCGGTTCTCTTTCTGCTATGTCTCTTTCTCTCCTACCCCGGAATTCAGCAGGTTCAACAAAATAATTGGAAGGATTTAATGTAATAGGGCCTGAAACACATACAAAGTTTTATCCTTGTCCTCAGGTCCTGCTTGTGAGCTCCCCTTTACAGCATCTGGTTGTCTACTTAGGATGCTGTACTAGATGAGCTATTGGCCTGATCTAGCAGGCTTTTCTTATGTTCTTATCCTGTGAGAGATTCCCAGGTAGGGGAATGAGTTGTAAAATCTGGGGTGATCCAAGAATGGTTTTGTGGACTGTTAAGGGTACAGTGGTACCTCGGGTTACATACGCTTCAGGTTACAGACTCCACTAACCCAGAAATAGTGCCTCGGGTTAAGAACTTTGCTTCAGGATGAGAACAGAAATTGTGCTCCGGTGGCGCAGCAGCAGCGGGAGGCCCCATTAGCTAAAGTGGTGCTTCAGGTTAAGAACAGTTTCAGGTTAAGAACGGACCTCCGGAACGAATTAAGTACTTAACCAGAGGTACCACTGTACTGCTGTTTTACAACCAAGTTCTCAGTGCTCAGACAGACTGTTCTGCAGTGGCCCAGTTTGTGCAACATGGTAAACCATAGTTAAATACTTTACCATAAAAGCAGATTTCACTCCTCATCTGGGATGGGTGAGAACAACATGTCATGACCCCTGGTTTATCGCAGCCATCCACCACCCCAATATACATTCTGTTTTCTGACTATCTTAAATTGGGTCTCTATAATAAAATCAGTTCTCATGCCAGAGTTCATCCCCATACCTGGAAGATTAATAATGGTAGTCAAGGGCTACAACAATTTGTTGATCAACTATTCCCAGCTGTCTCAGGTTCACTACATTTCCCCCTGTAGTTGAAATTCTTGCACGTGCAAAATTATTTCTGCTGAGTGGTGCCGCTGCCTATTCCATGTCACAGGAAAAACACTCGTGCCACAGTTCAGACATTACAGCAGCACACATGTTTTTCCTAGTAAACATGGATTAGTGCAGCACTGGAAAGCTCAGTCCATGAAAAGGCTCGCACACTACAAAGAAATTGTTTGCACCTTACTATTCTAAAAACAGAAACGCCATTTGTCTCTACAGGCTATTTGAGAACTAAACAGAAATCTTTCATTAATTCTTAAGATACAATCCAACACACACACACACACACACACACACACACACACACACGGCTTAATTTATTTCCACCTATACTTTCCACAGCTTTGCACTGCATGCCTACCTCTCCAAAGTAAATAAATGTGTCCTGGCTCTTGCTAAAGGGCAAACAAGAATAACTCCTTCCAACAGCCCTGCCCTTCTCAGTAACCTTAGACCAACAATGCAGTGTGGGCATGTACGACAGGAAGCAGGAGGAGAAAGGCACCCAAATGCTACTAAAGAATTCAGGAAATAAACATCGTGCCAGTAGCTCACACTTACCAAAGGCAAGTCCAGCTGGCAGCCACTTAAGGCACCCACTGGGACCCTGCAGACCCCGGGGATGAAAGCAGATTCATTTGTTTTGCTGCTATTCTGAGGGCTGATTCATGAAGAAAAGGCATGTGCTACAGTCCTAACTAGAGTGAATCACTTTAAACTACTGGATCATAGAGATCTGTGTTAAAAAGCTTCCTGCATGTGGAAAAGCTACCACATTAGGGATGAGCGCTGTTAGTCAAGCTTCGTCCGAGTGCGTTTGAATGAGGATCCTGCAGTAGAGACCATTCCCTAGGTTTCCCCTTTGAAACAAGAGTATTTCCTTTCTCCCCGGTGTAGCATTTGTTCCCAGAACCATCAGAGTCATAAATCAAATGAAGTGGAAAGTTTCCAGTGTGATGCTCCGTTACTAAGAAAGCAGATTACAATAATTGACAAGCAGGAAACGATGGGTTGCAAATAAAGTCAGCAGACAGAGAATAATGTTAAAGCAGTCCTATGAATAAAATCGATAGGTTAGGCTGATAAAGGTAAGACTGGCAAAATTATTGCCTAGAGATTAATATTAATTGCTATCAAGCTGGCCAAAGTTCTGCATCATTACCCAATTGCATAGTCAGCATTGAGGGTCATGATTAATGCATGTCCCCTCGATTACCATGGGTTACCTCCAAGTATGATAAACTCTGGACCCAACTCACTGCATTTTTTATTTATTTAAATGTTCATACCACACCTTTCTATTAAAACACCCGAATGTGGCTTTCAGTGATAAAAATCAAGGCAAAATGCTTTTTTAAAAAAGATGAGGGAGATCAGGAGACAACAACAGTTCGACTGAAATCCTGGAATGTTTAACAAGGTCAGCCATTCAGCAGGTTCCGAGATTTATCTGGTGAAAGGTTACAGCTGTTTGTATTCCATCAAAGAGAATCAAGAAGAGCCAGTTATAGATACACCTCCTAAGAAAGCGAGTTTAATACCCATGGTGGAATTAACTGTTCAGTTACAACTAGTTACATACAGGATTCCACCTTCTTTCCAAATGTGGTTGCCCCTTTCTCCATCATTATTGCTAATAATTACTGAATAACTAAGTATATGCCAGCAGTCGTTCAAAGTGTCAGCATATGAGACACACTGTGAGCAGTTCTGAGACCCTGACAACCATTTTTCCTTGGCAGCAGGTGGACTGGATGCCATTTTAAAATATGGACTTCTTTATGCATTGCAAACAGACCCCAGACCAACTGCCCAAATATTCCAAAAAGTTGCTTGGGTCAGCATGCCTTTTAAAAATCCAGACTGCTGGACTTTGAATTGTGAGCAGCAGGGCAGGAGCGCCTAGACAGTGTCTAAGAACGTCCACCCCACAGGAAAAGGGGAAGCAGTAATACGTTGCTGATTGAGAGGTAGGATGTGGTGACGAGCTTTTGTCTGGGTATGTGCCTCTCAGAACATGCACTCATCACAGTTCTTAGGAGCAAGGTAGCCATAGTATGGAATATAATTGTAGAGTTGGAAGGGACCTCGAGGATCATCTAGTCCAACCCCCTGCAATTCAGGAATATGCAGGTGGCCCATACAGGGATTGATCCTGCAACCTAGGTGTTATCGGCACCATGCTCTAACCAACTGAGCAAACCAGGCTATATTCTAATCTAAGCGGGACAGCAAGATGTTCTGGGCTGAAAATAATAAGCATGTCAGTCTTCTCATTATTAAATGAGCACAAGGGTAAAGAGAGGAATTAAATATCACAGCTGAACTGTACATCTACAAACTGAAATTAGCAAGCCCTGAAGTTACTAAGGGAAGGCAGTCCTCTCCACACTGGGACCATCAACTACACAGCTGTGCAGAAGCACCAAATTCTATGGCCCCATCTTCCATTTTTGTTCACTAGGACATTCGGCCAATCTTGCCAGGTGGTCTAGAGAGGCACAGATCCTGGCACGATGCCTTCAGCTCAGGGAGCTGGACAAGAGTCACAGGCTCAAATAACTCATCCAAACCCAGCAAGTCTACATTCGGCACTAGATAGAGTCGTTTTTCCCCGTGGTGAAGCCAAGAGCACAGCAAGGAGCCAATTGAAGGGGCACAATTTGTTTTTAGACACAGAGAGCTATGTGGTTCTGCCAAGTTAATAAAATAGGGATTAACACCATGATAGCTCCCAAAAAATGAGCAGTGAGGACAAGCTCAGGTCCAGTTTTTTAGAGCCCTGAGCAGGGTGTGCTTGGCAGTGGTCCCTCCTCAATATCGATTGCCCCTGCAATGCCCAATACCACTTGGTTACACACACACACACACACACACACACACACACACACCCTGCAGCAGTGCTGCTTCCATCATCAACCTTGGCCTTCCCTGAAGTTAAGCAGGCTTACCTGGTGGTGGTGCTGTAATGGGAGGAGTAAAACAGTACCACAACAGCCAGCCCTTTACAGCACTAATAGATAAGCCCATGAGTGAGTGATAGCAGGCAAATAGTGGCTGCAGCAGCACAGCTACTGGGGGAGCCCAAGCGATGAGAGGCCTGGGGGGGGGGTCCAAGTAAGATGTCAGCCCATTGGACCTCATTCTCCCTTTTACCCTCATAATTCGCCAGTGAGGTAGGTGAGGCTGGATGCAAATGGTCCAAGGTCACCCAGTGAGCTTCATGGCTGAGTGGGGTTTTAAACCATGGTCTCCTGGTCCCAACACTTTAATGGCTCCACCTCACTGTCCCTCTTGAGAAACTGAGGGCTGTTTCATTCATGTATGAATTCTGGGGCTGAGACAGACTCTCTTCCTGCTGGAATTTCTAGAAACCAAATCCACAGAGTGCATGTCATGACTTCTTATCTGAGTTTCTGGTTCACGTACATCATTGGTGTCTATGAATACACAGTGAAAAATCCACATACCACTACTGTTACATGTTACATTCTATAAAAGAATCTCTGGCAAATTCCTACAGAAATTGCCTTTTATGTAGGAATTTTGCGGTGTTAAATCAGTCCTTAATCAGGCCTTGATCAAGACTGGGTTGAGCATACATGATCCTCAACATAATTCCTACAGTATGCTCTATTTCTGTTACAACAGAAATGCCCACGACAACTGACATCAAAGGTTAAGGCAGCAAAACAGTAAACATTAGGCAATACTTTTAAGTGTCATGGTCCTAACCTAAGCTAGTTATCATGCCAATTATAAGATACTGAAAAAGGTTTCCACCTAGTGGCACTATATAATGTTGGCTGCAATCTTAGTCTTAGGATAACCATTTATGCATTGCTAAAAAAAGAGAAAATGCATCACAGGGGAAAGGGTTGCAGAAGAGGAGCAAACACTCGAGTGTGTTAATTCATAAGTATAGATGCAAATTTAGAAATGATTGTGATAGGTTTAATAGAAATACCATACACCTCACCCTAGTGGAGGAAACTGTGCCTGTGGTGTCTCCTCACTGATGGGCAACATCAAGACTCCTGCCTTCTGGTGGTTTGTCTCTTTAAACCAGGCTTGGACTAGACAGCCCTTCAAATGGAGGACTATCCTATGTAAACTAAGACATATGACCATCCTAGTTTGCCATCCGCTCTCTTGTCACTCTCATGGTTTGACCCAAGTTAATGGAAAACCAGTGTGGTGGCAATTGACACTGGCAGACATGACTGGCTAGAACCATCGGCTCAGAAATACTGAAATGCTATGGCTGTCCACAAGGGACAGCAGGCACACAGAAGAGGCGATGTGCTTGAAATGGTACTACCCAAAAAAGGCATTTTAGCCATAGTGCAGTTCTTCTCGAGAGATCTTGCTGGATCATGCTATGGCTCATCTAGTCTAGCCAAGAAGCATCCTATTCCCAGAGTGGCTAACCAGATACCTACGGGAAGCCCATAAGCAGGATCCGAGCATGACAGGGCTGTCTTCCCATATGATTCCCATTGGGATGCCTACCATTGCAACAGTTGAGACTACAACAGAGACATCACAACACACTGTGAGAATGCTATCCGTCCTCTCTGCTGGAAACTTCTAACATACCTGGAATGCTCAAGCATGGGATAGCTGCTGTGCCCTTAATCACACAGCCAGCATCCTGGCTGTCACAATAATGGCAGCCTGCACAGCATAAGGAGCAGAATGGCTACAAACACACCGTGTATGGTATGCAGAAATGAAGTTGTGTGCAGATAGTCTTAGGGGGGTAACTTCTAGCATTACATCTGTCAAGGAGCAGACATGCAAGTAAGACTTTGCAACATGTAGTGGAAATGCCTGGAAAGAGCCACTAGTACATTTCCCTTGTGGGAGAAAGGCATGTTTGGACATTTCCATTTATTGCAGAGAGTCCGCTTCTATTGCTGCATGTTGTAATGCCTAATAAGGTGCAAAGAGGCCAAAGAGATCTCAGATAGGAAACTCTAAAGTTGCTCTAAATGCTATTTCAGAGACCAGATACTCACTGCCATTTTGCTGCTTTCCATAAGCTGTTAGTAGTGCAATTATGCTGCCATCATATGCTTTAAATGGTAGCAGCCATGGAAGACCTCCTGGTCAGTTTCTGGCAGGAATTTCCTGGTCAGCAGCCCTTCACCACTATGCAAGCCTTCCCTTCTGTGTCTGTCTTACTTCCCTTCTGTCTTCCCTTCCCTTCTGTGTCTGTCTTACTTCCCTTCTGTCTTCCCTTCCCTTCTGTGTCTGTCTTACTTCCCTTCTGTGTCTTCCCTTCCCTTCTGTGTCTGTCTTACTTTGTGCAAGTGACCACAGAAGTAAAGATGTGGTTCCGGACCCAAAAGAAGTGTGCAGCTGAAGATTGAAGCCCAATAGGCCCCTTTCGTCCACTGCTGCCTTGATTGCTAACTCATTATATAGCAGAAGTTTCCACTAGGTTATTGCAAGCTACATTGTTCATTGACCCCTACTTCTTCAATATGTGGAAAATCACCTCTTACATAATTTTACAATGCTGTAGCTAAATTTAAATTTTAAAAAGAAGTTAAGAGTTTCACTTTTGTTAGGCTCATAAACCTCTTTTGATCTTGTAAATAAAGCAGACATTCACCCGTAGACATCTGCCCCTTTTTTTAGCCTGGGGTAAGCTATTTTTGCAAACTTTTAAGTGCCCGCTACTGGTTACTTGTAAGAGTAGCAGGTAATTCCAGTTTTAAATTTGGGGGTGGGAGAGAGGGAATTTAAAAGAAGAACTGGGGGTGATGGGGACGCAAAAGAAATCACATGAGGGTGACTCCGAGTTTCCATCCCGATTCAAGTTCATATAACTAAAGATGGGAATATTTCCTCTTAAAGTGGAAATAAAGAGATGCTGACTGTGAGGGGAGAGACTTCATCAGGCAAGGCCTCCTTCCACCTGCCTTGCCCCACCCCCTGGCCCTGGGATTCTTCATAAGGAAACTGCGCCTGGAGGAAGAACTGTGAGGGGAGAGACTAGGCAAGGCCTTCTTCCACCTGCCTTGCTCCACCCTCTAGTCTCTGCTTCTCAATTTGTATTGTATTATTTGATGTACTGTGGCTTGCCGTTGTTTCACTGATTATAGTTTGGAAATTATTTATTGTAACTGTTGAGTGGTTTTCTGTTTAACTTTTATACGTTGATATTATTTTATACTATTCTAATGATAGCTGGATGTTACTTTTTTGATGTAGGTTGCTTATTTTAAAGTTTTGTTTTATTATCACATTTTTGTACTGCATTAGATTGTTATAAGATGTACATTTTTTGTTTCTTCAGCTTGTAAACCGCCTTGAGTATTGTAAGATAGAAAGATGGTATACAAATTAAAAATGTTGATGATGATCTAAGGATCCAAGTCACTCTAGAGAGTTATGATTCAACATGTATGCTTTAAAGCAGGGTTGTAATTCCCCCCCAATTTTTACTGTTTTATCTTTCGTAAATCACTTTGAGGGTTTTTAAATAAAAAAAATCAAGTGATGTATAAATTTTATGAAATAAAGAAATAATAAACAAAACTGTGGTGTACTGATATAAGGGGTATGGTGCAGGATGTGTTTTATGAAGCAATTATAATCTAGACTCACTCGCTGGATCATCATCATGTGATGTTGTACGGATGCCTGATTGTCATCTTCCAAAGCAACTACTCTATTCTGAATTTAAAAATGGAAAGCGTAATGCTGGTGGTGAACAAAAGAGGTTTAAAGCAAATCTAAAAAAAGTAGTATAAACACAGACAACTGGGAAACTCTGGCCTGCGAGTGCTCCAATTGAAGAACCACCTTTGTCAAAGGTGTCATGGACTTTGAAGACACTCAAACTCAGGATGCAAGGGAGAAACGTCCTAAGAGGAAGGCAGGCTTGGCAAATCCACACCATGATCAACTCCCGCCCGGGAACCAATGTCCCCACAGTGGAAGGACGCGTGGGTCCAGAATTAGCCTCCACAATCACTTTTGGACTCATTGTTAAAACCATGTTTATGGAAGACAATATTACTCAGCTACGAGTGATCACCAAAGAAGATAACCTAGAATAATGACACTTTAAAAATAAGGGACAATGGATGACTCTAGACAACACAGTAGGAGAAATCTAGCAATGTGGCGTGCAACACCAATTTATCAGATTATTGCTTGAGGTATAAATACTCCCAGACTAAACTTTTCAAAGCCTTATTATTCAATGTTTTAGAATTCCATGCATGTTTTTCTTTAAAATGATAGCTATTTCGCATAATATATTGAACTGCGTAGTCCACTGAGTAGCCTAATGTTTGCCATTTATGTTACAGTCCTAGCGAAACATCCACCAGTACATGTGTAGGGCTCTCGTATGACAACAGTCCCTGGAGGGGATTGTGGTAAACAATATACCCCCCAGAAGCTTAGGCTACCTCTGTTGATAGTGGCTGGGCCACCCAGTGTCAAGAGTGTTCAGTTTTGCCTTCAACAGTGTCCTCGAGGGCCTTACTTAATTTATGGGAGAAAATGCACAGGTGCATTTAGAGTAGGGTCCTTGGACTATATCCAAGTAACTCATTCCATCAACATAAGGATTTTCACTGGCACAACAGAACTTCCCCTAGTCGCCCTCTGCATGCCACTTAAACTGGCTCTTGGTTTTCCCCATAATCCTCCAGAACAGACTCTGGGACAGGGTGGGGAGTGGTGGTGGTGGTGAGTTCTGTGCAAGCAAAAATCCTTGCAGAGACGGAGAAAAGATAGTCGGAGACCACCCTTTGTCTGCTACCTATGCCTGATCACCCCAATAATTGAGAATACTGTGCTTGCCACCTGCACTTGTGAGAGCTGTTTACTCACTGCTACAAGGAACAGCGACCAGCTACAGTAGCATTAAAAATACAATGTTCCAACATTTGTTCCAACTTGCATCCTGAACCGACGTCTTTGCTTAAAATGGAGGCAGCCAATGGAAAAAAACACAGTGGTTCAACTTGATCTCAACATGAGTGTGTGTAGGCCTTGCTGGGGATTCAGTAAGGAGGAAATGCATTTCGCAGTGGGAGTTAGCCCACCAAGCAGCATTCTGGCAGTGCTGCTGCGGCCGTTTAAATATTATACTGCTATTTAAAGCTTCTGAAGGGTTTTATAGTGAGCAAGAGGGAGGGAGGGAAGGAGGGAGGCATAAATGATGACTGCCTCCAGCATCAAGCAACCCTGGGGTCATTTGTAATGTGGAAACTAACAGTTGCAAGACTCCATGCGCGCACACACACAGCTGGTTCCTACTAACTGCTGGGAATGGATAATGCTTGATAGAGGCTTGGTGGAGCAAGCAGGGTAGTTGCTGTTCTGTCAAATCATCCTGCTTACTTACATATGGCCAGCTTATAGGCACAGGTTAACAGTCATTTTCTCAATGACTGTGTACACACCCTACATTTAAAGCACCCCCCCAAAAAAAAAAATAGTCATGGAAGCTTTAGTTTCTCCATGCCAGAGCTACATGGGTCTGAACAAACACAAACCCCCGTGTTGCAAAACGTAACAATCTACAAAAAATGCAAACGCAACACGCTGGCTACTAACCGTTAGTGAATATATAATCGGTTATGATGTCATTCAAAATATACAAATAAGCCACTTCAAAATAATGTGTATATCATACAACACATCTCACAAAATATACAAGTAACTACAAGTTATATGTATCAGAGTCAAAGAATCAAACAAATCAATGAATAGCGAGGAACGCCAAGTCATCTCTCAAAGGAAGACGTCTCACAAAAGTCTCAAAGGAAGACATCTCTCCGAAGTCTCAAAAGGACAATATATCTGGAATAGTTCAACTGTTTTGGATTAAAGTCTTCATCAGCGAATAATTATCAATGAAATATTCATACTAGTGGGGATCATGCTAGTTTATCAGTGCTCACAGGGGCTAACAAATAAGCTAAAAGTCAAGACCCCTGTGAAGTTTCATGTTATCCTTTCATGTCACAGATTGTTCCCCAGCCCAACCAACGCCACTCCAATCCTAAACATATTTCTAGACAAGTGTAATGGACAGTTTCAACATCTGAATAAGCAAAATTCAGATTATAGCCCAAGGGACAAAACGGAAGGTAGTTAACGTATTTAGCAGCTAGCCTAGATTAGAAAGCAGATGTTCTGAGCACAACTTAAGACTCCCAGCACCAGACAGCAAGCACTCAAGGGGGCCGCTTGGGTTGGCACGTGAGGGATGGCAGAAAGTTAAGGTTGTATCCAACACTCTGCAAGTGGTTTTCCTCTCATTCAGTGAGACTTTCCCTTCCCCACTTTTCCCCTTTTACCCCCCCCCCAAATCTGCTCCAGGGGGTCCCCTGGCTCCCTGGAGCAGATTTTGAGGGCATGGGAAGCTGCAGAAGGAAAGGGGGAGGTGTTATGTTATGCAAGGAGATGCCACTGCAGACAGGAAGTGTTGGATACTACCCACAACTTATGCTGGGTGTCTTGTCCCCTGCAATGGAGCCAGGATCAAGCCCTGCATGCTGTGCCTTGGTAGCTTTAAATGAAGCTAGGCATTACTCTAAACCAGTAATTGCCCCTTTAGGGATTATTAGACTCAGTGACAGCACATCATTCTCTCATTTAATTTGGGGCTGCTTTTGAATCTAAGGATGTGTGCCATATATATATATATACACTGTCCACAACTGTGCTAACATTTACTCCTGGACTGTATGCACACATTATTGTTCCTTGGTTCATATATGAACAGAGAACTGCTGTGCTGGGGATAGTCCTGCCTCTAAGCTGCGAAGAGGAATACGCAGGAGATGAGAATCCACCAGAACTAACCCTTCCCTCATCTCCAGGTAACTTCTACTCCTTTACAGTATTCTGTTTTGCACACAATCATCTGTTGTCCAGCTATCATCAGTGGCATAGTGTGCATTTTATCAGCTCATGCCCATTTGCCAGTAGTGACACCTCCTGGACAGGCAGAGCCTTTTCATCACTGGCACCTCACTTGTGAAATACCCTCCTCAAAGAAACATGGTTGGCACTCGCTCTGCTCTGCTCTTATTTAGATGCCAGGTTAGGACACCCTCAGAGGCGTTTTTATGATTTTATGTCTTTCAGGCATAAATTAACTTTAGGAATTTTCCACTCTGCTGTTAATGGTTTCATGGAATTCTTGTATTCTTGTTGTTGAGAATTTAAATTTGTAGACCGCTTTAGATAAATTTGCAAGGAAGCATGGTGTATAAAAGTTTGAAATGAACTGAAACGAAAATTCTTTCCATTTTCCATTTTTTGTGTGCCTTGTGCCAGGCTGCACCCTATTCCAGAACATCCTTTTATCCTGCATTCATCCTGCTCCTTCTTCCACTAAATATTTCTAACTGCAATGGCTTTTCTGAACTGCCCTAACTGTGCCCCCTCCGTTCACTAAATGATCCCCTTCTGCATCGCTGCTGATCTGAATCACAGTGTTTTCTTCCCTAATGCAGACTGTAAGCTGCAGGTTGAGAACCCAGAGCCCTTCAAGCTCTTACTGTTCCACAACTCCCATTGTATCAACCTTTGGGCCCTGCTGGCTGGGGCTGATAGGAATTGGAATCCAGCAATATCTAGAAAGACATGCCCCACCCACCCTGTGAACATCCGAGATAAAGGTCCATGTCCTTTTGGCAGAGAATCTTATTGTGCAGTCTGCACAAATGGTTAAATGCTAACAGAGTCATGACTGAACTGAAAGTAGAACCGCCTACTTTTAGCCTGAAATGGCAAGCAGACAGCAAATACCTGGTGGGAAACCCAGTTTGCCCTGTGATGAGTGACAGTGCTTAACACAGCTTAGATGTGTTTGCAATCCACAAGAAGTAACTCAAGGCACCAGGAAGGTACTGTGCCACATAGACAACAAATATTCTTGTGGCCCCTTAAAGGCTAACACATTTGTTATGGCATAAGCTCTTGTGGACTAGACCCCCCCTTCATAATTGAGATATTATTCTCAGTTGGCAGGTATATAATATTCCTTATGGGTGTGAATGGTTAAAACAGTAGAGTAAAATGGAAATTAAATGCAAAATGTATAGTCTGTGACAGCTGGGGAAAGGCTGTAGCTCAGTAGTAGAGCCTCTGCTTTGCATGCAAAAGGTTCCAGATTCAATCCCCGCCATTTCCAGGTGGGATGGGAGAGAACTGCTGCCAGTCAGTGCAGACAATACTGAGTTAGAAGGACCAAAGATCTGACTTGGTACAAGACAGCTTCCTATGTTCCTAATTCGATTAAAAGTTTGGTGTGTGCAAAATAAGCACAGCAGCAGTAACTGGTGATCCCATAATCACCCATGTTTGGTACGCTGATTAGCACATGTAGTGGGACAAGACAACACAGTCCCTCTTCACGTCCAAACAGACAGAATCAAACTTCTTGATTAATTGTAATTCAGTGGCTTCATGCGGGAAATCTCCCTTTAAAGTGCCTTTGTTGAAGAATGGAAACTTTAAATTAACTTAGCAACACTAGAATGGTTGCATTATTATCAATTAGCAGTCACTTAACTGAATTGTGACTGGCTGCACTTTCTGGTTTTTGCTGCCATTTGACCCAATTGCTCGCTACTTCCCCCCCACTACACTAGCATATGTGTGTACACACACGCCTGTCAACTTCATGTGTCTGATGAAGTGGGTTCTGTTCTGTAAAAGCTTGGGCCATAATAAATATGTTAGTCTTGAAGGTGCTACAAGACTCCTTATGTGTTTTTTGCTGCAGCGGACTAACACAACTGCCCCTCTGGACGTTGTACCATGAAGATGAAGCACAAATAAGCCCATGTGGAATGGTCTGCAGTCTAATCAGACACAGAATCCTAATACGCAACAAAGGATCAAGTTTACATTAGCTGATGCACAGCTCTGCCTTTTCCTGATTTTCTCTCCAGAGTGCCCAGAAGCAAAGGTGGGCAGCAGGGCTCTTGCTCCTTCAACAGGTATGTAGAAGAGAGAATTTTACCAGAAGCAGCTTCTCCTGAAATATTTGATGCCATACAACTATGAGGGAGATAGGAGTCCTTCATCTTCATTTCTGGAGCTCTCAGAGCTGACGTGCCCTAAGCAATAAAAGTCTGCTTTCTTAGAAAGTGAATTTGTTGTGTCAGAGCACATTAGCACTTTAATCCACTTTAATAGAGTAAATCTAAATAGGCAGCCAGTGATTCAATCCCTCCCACCAAATACTAATAGTCTGGAAGTGACCCTTCTCTCTCCCCTATCCACACTTTTTTTAATGGAGAGTAAACCATAATAACAAGTGGTAATTGTGCCACTAAAGATGAGGTCCCAACTAACTTTGGCTCCCAGCCCATCAGTTGAAGACTGAATGGTCCTTCAGTTGGTGGAACAGAGCTCACTACTGAATCACAGGTGGGGAACCTGAGGTCCTCCAGATGTTGTTGGACTTCTGCCCATGGCCAATGGTGAGGGACAGTGGGACTTGGAGCCCAACTGCACATCTATCCCCACAGCATCTCTAGCCTTGCTCTAATGAATCACAGCTATACCTGAGGTGGGCCCAAACGGCACCACAAATACAAATATATGGTTCAAAACTAAGAAGCGGTCCCCCAAAATGCACATAGGAGGCTAAAGGTGGGTCTCAGGTCTGAAAAGGTGGAAGACTATCGGGTTAGAGTATTGGGCTTGGATGCCCTGCCTTAAAACTCAACTCTGTTATAAAGCCTTGAGCAAAGCAATCTTGGCCTAACTAAGGTCACAGAGGTTGTTGCTCTGAACTTACCTGAACTTACTAGAGGAGCAATGAGATAAAAACCCATTGGGAAATTACACCGAGAACTGGAGGGCACACTTTTCTAGCAAGGCTGGCCCAAGGCATTTTGGCACCTGAGGCAAACCACAAAAAATTACACATGCACCCCAGCCAGCGAAGAAGAGATGAGTGAAGATCTACATCAGGAACAAGAGGGGAAATCAATCTTACCCAACGGTTTAAGTCGGAATCGAAGGCTGTCGGTGGAGAGAGAAAAGGCCTGTTCTGAGTCTCACCAGGAAGATACAGAGCCTGGGAGACCCCAGAAGGCAGCCCCCACCAATTCTTTACTAGGGGCAGGAGAAGATTAGCGGTGCCTCCTATTCACCAAGAGAAGCGGCATTGCTGGGGGGGGGAGCGCAGAGGAAGTGGCAGATCTGGGCCCCAAGGAGTGTGACGCAGCCATTGCTGCTACTGCAGCAGCAGCAGAAGTAGTAGTAGTAGTAATGGGTGATGCATTCCTTGGGAGCCAGATCTGCTGCTCTCTGTAGATCCTGCTGCCTGAGATTGAGCAGGCTCTGCTTCCTAGTGAAACAACAGGCAAGCCAAAATTTCCTTCTTTGTTACAGTAGACTACCAGTTCATCTGTGCCTGACCCTACAAGTTTTGAGGAAATAAAGAAGGCCATGCAGCTATTGAAAGAGGCAGTCAAAATCCAGCAGCTCTAAATAAAATCCACTGCGGCAAAATAAGCAAACACACACCACTCCTTCTGTGGGGGGGGGGTTGAGTTTGACCAGCGCCCCTCATCAGTGCACATTGTTACCTGGGGGTGCTACTCGGTCCTGATACTTGGGCTCGAATTCGCTGATGGTGAGCAGCATGACTTGAATGGTCCCAATGAAGATACCAGCCAGGCAGCCGTAGAAGATCACATAGAAGAGTAAGATCTTAACTGTGGCAAGAGAAAAAATAAACACATAGCAGTCAAGGATGGAAGGCTAATTATGCAAGAGGCCATTTGGGTATCCAGCAGTTTCTCAAGATTACAAGCGCCAAGTTCTGCAACAATTGCAATTAAAGAATCACGGAGTTGGAAGGGGGTTCAAAGGTGATGGAGCCCAACCAGAGATGTTGTTGGACTTCAACTCCCATCAGCTCCAAGCAGCATGGCCAGTGGGGAAGGATGATAGGATTTGGAGTCCAGCAACATCTGGAGGGCTACAGGAAATCCTGTTACAGCTCCCCAAAGGCAATGCCCTCAAAGAATAACACGTCATTGAAAATAGCCTGGACAGACCTGAAAATACTATTTGTGGTATCATATCTCTCTCTTTCTCTCTGGCAGAGAGTCAGAACTGCTGCTCACAGAGGGAGCAATACTAAGCACATTTACTTTGAAGTTCTGTAGAGCTCAATGGCCTTAATCTTACATAGGACAGAAAAAATTGTGGGCCATAGGTCTGTTCATTGATGGTTATTAGCCATGACAGACATGTAGAACCTCCAAGTGCAGAAAAATTAATTTTGTTGTTGTTTAGTCGTGTCCGACTCTTCGTGCCCCCATGGACCAGAGCACGCCAGGCACTCCTGTCTTCCACTGCCTCCCGCAGTTTGGTCAAACCCATGCTGGTAGCTTCGCAAACACTGCTTTCTTCCCATTGTTGGAAACAGAATACTGGACTTGGATGGATTTTTTGTTTGATCTACTTAGGTTCTTGGTGGGGTTCAAATCCAGTTATCTCTTTGCCCCAGCACCACAAATTCTAACAGTGAACACAAGCAGTGAGTGCCAATAGGACTGCAGTCAAAATGGGGACCCCAAGAAACAACAGGGAAGCATCCGGGTGGCTGGCGAAATGTTGAGGTTTGCAGAAGTATTTACAAAAACCATGAGGGGGCAAGAAACAGTCTGAAAGGTCTGAGCACGTGTAGGAGGCACAGAATGTAGGGTGATTGCTGAGAAAGGAAAACAGAACATGGAGAGGAGGAACAGAGTGGAATGCCCTACTTAGAGAAATTGACTGGTTGGAAATTCAAAGTGGAGCATTCCTTTAAGAAAGGAGGATCCACTGCAGAATTTTATTGTGGGTCTCACTATAATAGGCTCTAAACATAGCGGGTCATGGAGTGAACCTTGGACCTATCATACCTGCCCAACCCCTGCTTTGCAGTAGACCACAACATGTGGGCAAGAACGTACACACATGATAGGAAAGAGCTAGGTTCCTATGAACACAGAAATACACATGTAACTCTGGGCTACATGCAACGGCAGAGAGCTCTTAGGCACAGGAAGGCGGCTAGAAGCTCTTGCACCAGTGTAAATGAGCTCTTGCCGCCAAGTAAATGTGCTTGTGACTGTGACATCACAGACCCAGTTTGGGGGAGTCACATCCATATCTGAAGATGCATGAAAATTCAATTCCATGTAGCTCAGATGATTAGAGCATGGCAACAATAAGGCCACAGTTGTGGGTTCAATCCCCATACCGGCCACCTGCATATTCCTGCATTGCAGGGGGTTGGACTAGTTGACCCTCGGGGTCCCTTCCATCTCTATGAATACATCAAGAAACACCAAGTATGGCAGATCTCCAGAGTCAAAATGCCTTTTGCCCAACATTTATTTCAACTGTGGCCCTGTGGTCCTATGCGCCCAAACAACTTTTAGCTTGCTTTTATGTAGTGCATTAATAAAAGCATCTTGTAAAAGTCACACTTTGACTGCACTTGAGTTGTAATCAGCTAGATTCATACGCAAATTACAGATGCAATTAAAGGGTTTTTGTTGTGGTTAAGGGAAGGCAAAGGGGGACATAACATTTTATTACTAGGGTTGTTCCCAGGAATTGTGCGCATACTGAAATCTGGTTTTATCAGTTGCTACTTTAGAGGGATTACCTCTATAACATGCTGTTCTAGGCATCACAAGGCAGCCCTGCTGGGTGAAGATGCCAACTCATGCCCTATTGTTTTTTGTACTAAGAAGTCCACAGCAGCAAACATGTTGGTACTTAAGAGATCCACCCAGTGCAAGACTACAAATGGGTGTAGCGGTTAGAGCGTCAGGCTAGGACCTAGAAGACCAGGGTTCAAATCCCCACTTACTAGGTGACCTTGGGCCAGTCAATGCTTCTCAGCCTAACCTACCTGTTGTGGGGATTAAATGAGAGGGAGAACCATGCATGTCGGAGAAGTTGAGAAATAAATGCAATAAATAAATAAATAAATAAAATATTGGAGGCCCCATCTGCATTACACATTTAAAGCAGTATTATGCCACTTTAAACAGTCACTGCTTCTCCCAGAGAATCCTGGAAACTGCAGCTTGTTAAGGGGAAAACTTTCTGACATTAAGAGCTGCTCAGCAGTGAAACTGTCTCCCATGAGAGGTGGTGGACTCTCCTTCCTTGGAGGTTTTTAAACAGGAGAGGTTGGGTAGCCACCTGTCACGGATGCTTTAGCTGAGATTCCTGCATTGCAGGGGGCTGCAGTAGGTGACCTTTGGGGTCCCTTCCAGCTCTAAGATTCTATGATTCTAAGTGGTGCTGAAGGTTGTTATGAGCTCCTATTCTCCGCACAGAGCTACAATTCTGGTTTAACAGTCAATCCCTCTTTCCTGGGAGCTCTCATAGTTTTATTTCTTTCAGGGGGACAGGGGTCTGCTAACAACTGTCAGCACCCTTAAACTATACTTCCCAATATTCTTCGGAAGGGGGGAAATAATATCTATCTAAAGTGCTAAAACAGTCCTTTAAAAGGAGTGAACACCAATATAGAGAAGTTGCCGGTGAAAGATGAAACCCTAATCAAATAGGGGTTGTTTTCGTTTTCCTTTGAGGGAAATTAGACATGGAGACCAGCAGCAGTACTTTTTTTTTTTTTTTTTTGCACACTTGGGGCTAACACACTCTTCGGTAACCAGGCAGCAGTAGGCAAATAGCTGTGACGTCAGAGAGATTTGGACATTTTTTCCAGAGTACAGTCATAGGAGGTGCTGTTGTAACGAGCCAAAGAGTATGTCCGCTTACAGCAAGGTGCTGTGGGTAGGTTTTACTTTAATAATAATAAAATCAAAGTGCTCCAGAGAGTGAGGAGTCAGATGTTTTATGTCAGATTTATGACCAGGGTGTTAACAAAGAACCAACCACATCAAAGTACACAGCCTACTGTGCGCTATGGAAGGCATCTACTATATGAAGGAAGTGCATGGGTTATAAAAGAAACAAAACAGCTTATTTCCTAAGACACAGGTAAGAGCCTCAGCTGTTCTAGCTGTTCAGAAAGAGGAAATCAGGGACATTTTACTGGCCCTTCCAGCAACCAGGCATCTTTGCTTCTAAGGGATTCTAAGCAACAGAGTCTCTGAAGACGGGATTTTGTCTGAACACCCATTTTGTAGCTCAGTCTCTCTGTGGACTCCAGCTCCTCTCCCATCGTTAGGCAAGAATCCCCTTTTGCATCTGCCTTCTATGCAGACTCCGGCCAAGGATTTGAACCGGGAAGCTCCGGATATGTGGCACTTCCAACAGGACGCTGACTGGCTGGAGACGGTGCAAGTCTGGCAGCAGCAGCTGGCAGAAACTCATGCGTGACTACAAAAAAGTTCCTATACCAATACGTGAATCATTTCAAAAATAACACCGTAACCTTTTCTCTTCCCCCAGCTATCTTTTAAAAAAGAAGCTATTTATAACGTCAGGTCCTCTTAAATAAAGCCATTCTTATTCCTTACGAACAATCTTTCTGCTCCCCCTTTCCTTGGATCTGTTTGCTGTTTTGGCCTTAGTAATCAGAGATGTTTCTAAATTTGCACAAAGAGTTTTAGAAGGGAATGGAAAGTTCTAGATAAGACGGAAACTCCTCTGATGGATGGATCTACAGAGACACTCAAGATCACCTGCGGAAACCTCAGCAGAGGGAGGAGGAGGAGATTCAAGGGCACCCTCCCCTTCCCTTCAAGGGCAGACAAATCTAAATGCTTCCAATGCCAAAAAGCTCTGGGCATGCTCCATTCTACCCCTATGGGTATTGCTACAGACTTTTCTATCTGCTAACAACAAAGGGAGGAGGGTTGTGTTAAGCGCTTATTGTCTGTCATCAAAGGAGCCTGTTCAAAATAAATGCTACCTTCTCCACAAAGCAGGTTAGAATACAGTCAATGGCCACATGGAGCATTATGAAGGGTCATATTGAAAGAAGGAAAAGCAGTGGGAATAGTTTGATGCTCAGGCACCTTTCAGAGGTGTAAGCAAATGGAGAAGGAGAAACTGTGTGTTTGCCTGAAAACCTTCAGTGTCCTTTGCATTTGAGCCGGCTTGTGCAATGCAGAACCAAGGTGGTCAACTGGGGAAAGGGCCTCAGTCCTGGACCAGGAAGCAAAAGTGTGTTGGGGGGGGGAGGTTTGTGTGCATGAAGGGTAGCGGTAGCAATGAAAAAACATTAAGGTTTGACTTTTTAATTTTTTTTAAAATGGGCCCTGAACCTCAGTCTCATTCAAGTTGGGTTTAGTTGCTAGGAGACAGCCTTCAAGGACTTTATTATTCCTAAAGCTCCCTTTGCTTTTCCACCTGACCTTTTCTCTTTATCTCCGCTGCCAGCAGCTCAAGCAGGCCTCCCCCAAATAAAGGTGTGCATGACAAAAGGATGAAATCTGGCTTCCAAGCAAATGTGTGGTCAGTACCAAAGGTGGTTTGGTGGTTGTCCTTGGTGGTTGCAGTGGCACCCCATCCCCCCACCCTCTGATTCCCTCAGGGATCCCAACCCAGCCTTCCATTACCTCTTTGCTTGGGAAGGTGTCACCTTGACTAACCTTGAGCTGTGATGCATTATTAACCCTTTTGGGGTTGGGCAGAGTCTGGAAGGCAACCCTAACTCTCTCTCTCTCTTACGTTCACACGAACGATCACATCTCATCGTGGCCATTTTAGAGAGGTAGATAATGCAAACACACACAAGGCACCACTACCGCGTCCTTTCCCCTCCCTGAGTGGGCAATGGAGGGATCTGCAGTGGCTGAGGAGCATGGCGGGCGGGGAGGAGTAAGAGGGGTGTGTGTCGGGCTCCCCCCTCTTTCCGTCGCCCCCACCCCCTCCACCCTGCCCGCAATCACGACTCAGGCTTGGCTGACTACATCAAGTGCCCTTCAGCACGACCTTTGCAGGCGGGGAAAGCAAAGCAAGGCGCAAATGGGAATCAAGCGGCTTTTTCCTCTAGCGCAGAGGCAACAGGCTGCTTCGGAGTGACCCAAGTCATCGCGGGGGGGAAAAAGAGAGGGGAAAGCCGGGGATTCCCCCCCCCCCCCAATCTCTCTCTCCTCCTGTCTAGACGGTCGCGCCTGGGAAAAGCAAGTGAGCCGGCTAGCCTTAGTAAGCCCGAGGTGCATCTTCCAAAATAGCGAGGAGGCACGCAATGAATGAGACCCTTCTTTCCACACACGCCAAAACCACGCCACACCCCGGCAAAAAACACAGAGCGACGAGTCACACATTGCAGGGAAAGGCGCGAGCCTGGCACCGCGCACGATCCGAGACAGCCCTGGCGCTGCAGAGCGGGTCGCTTTCCTCCTCGACACGCCGACCAAGCGGTCGTCGGAAGCTGCCCAGCAGGGGAGGCTTGGGGTGGGGAGAAGCCAGCCTCGCCGGGCAAGGAAAGCGACCGGGAAGGTTTCGCGCCCCTTCTCCGAGCCGCCTGCCTCGGATCACAATGAGGCGGGCGAGCGGCAATTTAGCCGCGTGGAAAAGCATTTCCAGGCAGGGCACGCACAGGGGAGCTTCCACCTGCCGCCCACTGCCTACACACACGAGCGCGCACTACGGCTCTGCCTTCCCGCGCGGCTCGCCTGCAAGACCGCCTCGGGGGGTGTTTGGAAAGACGGGAGCCGAGAGGGCAAAAAGAGAGAGAAAGCGTATATGGAGGAAGAAGGTACTCACACCAACTGCCCCCGGTCCTCCCGAGGAACTCCTTCTTCTCCGAGTTCCAGATGAATTTCTTCCAGTTGCCATCGCCTTCCTTCTTCCCGCGAGCCATGAGCGGAGGTCGGCGCGGCTTGTCGCTTCACGACCCGGAGTTCTGCAGTCCGGTCCCCCTTCAGAGACCACAGCCTTCGCTTCGGAGCGTCCCCTCCGCGAAATTCCCGCCGGCAGGGCGCTCGCGCTCTCCAGGCGACGCGGGGACCAAACGGAAGGTCTTTGTGTGCCCGGCGGGGCGTCCCACCCTGACGAGGTGGCGCTGGCGCTGGCGGGCGAGCGGGCGGGCAAGCGGGCAAGCGCGCGTGTCGAGTAATCCGTGCCCGGAGAGAGAGAGCAAGAGAGAGACCGGCAGCCGGGCAAAGCGGGGCAGGAGGTGGCCTGGGGGCGGGGTGGAGGGAGAGTGAACCAGAGAGAAAGCCGGGGGGGGTGGGAAGGGAAGCCGAAAGCACGAAACCTGGCTCTGCCCAAGGAGAAAAATTAGCTGTGTCCCCTCCCACTCGTGCGGGATATATTGCCCAACTCCTGGGGCGAGCGCCGCCCACCCAAATGCCGGTAGCCAATGAGAGCGCCGCCTTGCCGGCGAGGGCGTGGCGCTTCGGAGGGGCGGAGGAGAGGACAAGTGCGCGAGCCGCAGGAGATGGCGGGAGCCGGGCTAGGTTGTCGGCGACGGCGGCTCTTCCCGCTCCCTTGCGTACCCCTCCCTGCCTCCCTCCGCCCGGGCAGGCACCTGCTTCGCGCGGCGGCAGAAGCAGGGAGAGGAGAGAGGCTCCACCTGCATGGGGAGGAAGGGAGGGGGAGAGAGAGCCAGGCAGGCAGGCGGGAGCCGGGCAGCTGAGGCGCAGCGGCGGGCGGGTTGGGCTCGGTGGGCAGGTGGACGGCGAGGAGCCTGCTTGGAAGCGGGGAAAGCGTCCGGCCAGTCCCGCAGAGAAGCCGCCAGCAGCAGCGCGCCTCACCTGAGCTCAGCCAGGGGTGGGTCAAGAAAGCAGCAGGGGAGGAGGGGAAAGGTCTGGCCTTAAAAAATAAACCAGCCTAGGGGATCCCCCCCTTCCAGGCAGTGAAAACGGGGCAGGCTGAAAACCCTGCAGATCTCTCAGCGTGTTGCGTCCATACCATGAATCGCAATATGGGTGGTTTTTTTCCCTTTGTTTTTTTCCTGTTCGAAAAAGGAATGTGGAAAGACCCGCGTCAAGTCCTGGTCAAAGGTGCGCGCCAGGCATACGGATGAAGCGCCTTGTTCCGCCCGAAGCGGCGGCTGGGAATGGTGACCAACGGCTTCGCCTGCAGCCGATCTCAGGGTGGAGAAGGGCTGGGAGGAGGCCCCGATCCAGGAGCTCCTGTCCCCGAGAGGTGCGCGCGAGCGCGCGCCCTGCCCGCCTGCTTTCCCTCCCGTCCCTAGTTCGCTGCTGGTGCCCGCTGGGGGCGGAGCTCCTCCGCCTGCCTGCAACGTCATCCCTGCAGCTTTCTGCCCGGGGAATGCCCTTCCCTGGGTCAACGTCCCCACTAGCGCGGCTTCGTGGCGGCAGCCCCCTTCCCCATTGCGGAAAGTCGTTGCCTGCTCAGCCGGATTGCTTCATCCGAAAGGTCAGGTAGTCCCAGGACTCCCCCACCCCACCCCAACCCCCAGTGCTGCAGGAGATTCCATATATTCACCACTCGCATCCCAAAATGTGCAGTAGAGCTATGCCCTTTGCTGGGCAGAATCTCTGGGATAGCTCAGTCGGTGGGGAATGAGGCTCTCAGGGGAATGGGTTAGAGTCCCACGTTGGACAAAAGATTCCTGCATTGCAGTGGGCTGGACTAATGACCTTCGAGGTCCCATCCAACTCTACAAAATCTATGACCCAGGGTTGTTGGGCCATTGCTCCCATGCAGTCCTCAGAGGTGGCAGCTGGGAACCTTGGGAAAGCACCCAAGGGTATGGTCCCAGGGACCAAGGAAGAATGCTTTCTGCATGGTGGAACTTTCCTTCTTCTTATTCCCTGTTCTCCCATTATGTCTGCAGAGTCCTTGAGAGCTGAGCAGGAAGAGCAGTGCACAGGGATGGTATATTTGTGGAGGGAGACCTCTCCCCACTGTCTTTGGGCTCTGCTCCACCCTACACTGCTTTTCTGCTCCCCTCCCCCTGCTATTGCTCCCTGCTCCACAGCTCAGGTCGCAGGCAGAAAAAGATGACAATGGGAGGCTGAATGTCAATAGTACATCTCAACCCCGTGCCAGCACAGCCCTCTCCAGTGTTTGCATTGGAACCACCTGCAAGTATTTGTAGGCAAGTGGCCTGGGAGCAGGAGGCCTGTGGGAAGGGACTGTAGCTAAAAGAGTGATTGGAGAGGAGGAGGCAGGACTTCAAAAGGGAAAAGAAAAGAAAAGGGACAACCAGGGAAGGAGAGATCCGGCTGTCAGGGTGGGTGGAATATACATGGCAGGAAGTGTTTCCTTCTCTGTTTGACCTTGAAGAACGTGCTGCTTTTGGACTCAGAGAGCCCTGCAGTAACATATACAGAGCTTGCTGGTCAAATTAAAGGCAGTGGGGGTGGGGAAGCTTTCCACAGCTACTGATTCTAACTAGGGCCTCTCCCTTGCCCTTGATCCCCTCCCCTTCCCCTTTTGTGTGGAATCATACACTGGCCTTGAGACATAAGAGCTCTCCGCATGGAGAGAGCCATTTACTACACTGTGTAGGCATCAAACCATCACTGCATGGCTTCTTACGCAGGAGTGCACTCTCTCTCACACACCTCTCTCTGTGCACCTGCCTAGGCCCACTCTGACACCCAACCAGGGCAGTTTGTGTCTTATAAACAAACAAACAAACAAACTCTTTTACCTTAGATACAAATGCACATTTTACTTTGTGGGTAGTTTGGCCGGCTTTGCCGTTTTTCAAAAGGAGCAAATGCATATACAGTGGTACCTCGGGTTACATACGCTTCAGGTTACATATGCTTCAGGTTACAGACTCCGCTAACCCAGAAATACAGTAGTGCTTCAGGTTAAGAATTGCAGAAGTAATGTTGGTTGGGAAGACCACTGCTTTGGAGAGAGATTTGCAATGGGGGGGGGGGTTGGATGGCGTTACACAGGCTTCCTCAACCTTGGCCCTCCAGATGTTTTGAGACTACAATTCCCAGCATCCCTGACCACTGGTCCTGCTAGCTAGGGATCATGGGAGTTGTAGGCCAAAAACATCTGGAGGGCTGAGGTTGAGGAAGCCTGTTGTTACACTTCCATGAAGGAAAAATAGGTTCTTTAAGGGGGGAGGATACTCCTGGACACAGATGACCTCATTGGTTAGCAGTGACTCTTACCAGTTTAGGCTGCTTTGTTAACTGTAACCCTATCTAGGGTAAATTTACCTGGCCTCAGTAGCACATGTGCTGGTTATGTCCAAACTAGACTAGGTAGGGTTGCCTTTGAAGATACAGTAGTTCAGAAACTTCAGCAGGTGCAAAATTCGGCCACCAGGATGCTTGTGCAGGCTAATTACCCATTCTGGGCTCAGTTTAAAGGAATAGCACAAATCTTTAAAGTGCTAAATGGTTTGGGATCAGGGTCAGGTTATTTGAAGGACTATTCTGTACTCATATGAATGAACCAACCCAGGTCCTAAGATTGGCCTCAGAGGCCTTGTCCATGGTACCCATCAACCCAACTGACGTTAGTGGACAGGGCCTTGTCAGTGTTGGCCCCACATTGGTGGAATTTCCTCCCTCTAGAAGTCTAGCAGGCCTCCTTTCTTTAAGTGGTCCCTAAATACTTTTTAAAACAAACAAATAAAATCCTGCCACAGTTTTTAACTGATTGCTGGCCCCTATATATGCTAAATAATTTTCATAAGGATTTTAAAGAATCCACAAATTGCTGTAGAAATACAGAGAACTGAATTTAAGATTGGAAAAATGAGAAATAGAGAGGCCCCAAAATAGACTGATATAGCCATCCCTACATGCCCCATACCTGCAAATTGGGTAACTCTGCATTTAAAGCTGTGGATCTACTGCCTTAGCATATAATTGGAGCCTGTGTTTGAGAAAGTTATGCCATTGCCCCCTGGGATGTGGCCTCCACCACCTGCATATAGCTCTATTCCACTAGGAACAGCAGTAAGCAAAGCCATATTTCCGTGCTCACATTACTGAGTTGTGTGTGTCCCTGTGTCCAAGAGGTCCTTTTTCTCCTTGTCTTTTGTGATGGCAGATAACTAAGTTACTATTTTAGAAATGGCATGTTTTGAACAAATTGTTTTTGTGTGTATGAAATTGCTTTGATGTGTGAGATGGTTATGTTTTCATTGTTGATGTTTTTTATTGTTTTATCACTTGGAGATGTTTTACATTATAGGAAGTGGTTCATAAATGGAAATAAATAAATAAATGCGTTTGTGTGGTTAGTTTTTTTTTAATGATTCAAGGAGCTTGTGTCTTTCTGAAAGGCCTCCCCTGCTGCCAGTACTTTCCCCCTTCTAATCTGAGCTTCAGCGTCTCGGTACATAACTAAGGCCCATTGTGACATCAACAACTATTAGACTAATTATCTCCTTTTGCCCTCTCCATGTGAGAATGTTTGGAAATACCAGGCTTACGGTGGCAAGCTGAACCATGCAGCAGATTTCAAGCATCCCCACCAACGTATTGCGGGCATCCAGTTAATTATATTACTAAGGCCTAGTCCGCGCAAATGGATTTTACTCATTATGGACCATATTCAACTAGATTGTTGTGCTGGTGGAAGCCAGTGCGCCGTCCCCAAATCTGCTCTGGAGGTTGGAGGAATTAGGGTGTCAGGAGGAGGAGGCAGGAGATGGGAAGAAAGTTCCATTGTGCAAGGTAACCTCTTGGGCTGGCTTAATCTTAGCCTTAGCACTATGTTAAATACAATCCTCTGTGTAGGGCCTGGTGTAGACCAAATAATAAGCCTTCATTCCTCATGAATACACACTTCTGCCTCCAGGAATATTCCTAGTAAATCAAGAAGTAGAAGCAAAAGCGTTGCATATTGAATCTGATTGACCCACACCTGTTCTTGAGGTAGAAATAAGTGGTCAAAATTCACATGCTGTAGCTGAATGAAAATGGTCTAATAACTCCTTATTACTATGCACATTTGTTTCAACAGCTGAACTGTAGCTTCCACTTGAGGATAGGGGGTTCCCTATCTTTTAAGGTGTCACCTTCAGAAAAGCAGGATTCCCCAATCTTTGCTTGCTGTTGAGCACTGAAAATATGACTCCTGGGTGTGTAGGAAGGGACCTCCAGCCAAACATTTGGTAGGCTGACAACATGGAACAGATGGGACTGAAATATATTTCATCGATGCTACCATTCTCCAGCCCACATGGCCAGGAAGGCAGGAAGTGGGCGGCACATCTCATCTCTGATTGAGAAGCAAGAGTGAAGCACTTGATTTTTCTCACTTGCTCAGCATTGTGGGTTACTTTCCTGATGCACTGATTGGGTTGGAGACTAGCACATTCAGAGAATGGAAAGGAGGACTCATTCCAGGATGCTAGTAGCCTCCTATGGAAGGATGCCTGGATTCAAATCCCATCTGCATCATAAACTCACTGAATATAAGAATGTGAATCCATATCAAGCCTTCGACAATAGGTAAATCATTATGGATTTATCTACAAGCCAGTTACAGCCAAAGGAGTGGGTGTCAGGAATGGGTGTTTCACTGTGACATTCTCTTTGTCTGATTGGCTAGAATTACGTTTCTAAATGTTCATCCTTGCTATGGCTTCATTCATTGGCTAAAAACACTGAAAGGTGGAAACAGACTTTTTCTCACAAAACAAATGAAGAGAATTTTAAATATTTTTTTTAAAAACTACAACTTGTCACAGAAAATATAGTCTCTTGGGTAGTGTGTCTGGATAGTGCAGTGAGCTAACCACTCATAGCAGTGAAATGTCTATGCTGTCTGAGCCATAAAAGCCATAAAAGTATCCCCCCTCGCAATAGTGATGCTCAGCCACATGCATTCTCCACAAATCTTCCAAAGTTCTGGTTTTGGCTGTCGGCTATTGCCTGTGTTGTCAACTAAAAATTTTGTCCTCAGAAGTCCCTACTAAAGAAGATTGGCAAATTAAGTTAATGGAATATGCAGAAATGCCTAACTTAACTGGGAAACTTAGAAATCAAGACGACAACAAATATAAAAAAGAATGGGAAATGTTTATTGCATATATACAAAAGCAATGTAAGGAAGTCAATACATTAGCAGGATTAAAAAAAAAACCCACTTGTAATGTTATGGATAATGTTTAAATAAGGAAGTAATTAGAGATAAAGATTTTTTGTTGACATGCATAAATGAAAATAATACAAAGGAATGAAGGGAGGAAGTGGAGGGAAGTCAGGGGATTTGTTGTTGTTGTTTAGTCATTTAGTCGTGTCCGACTCTTCGTGACCCCATGGACCAGAGCACGCCAGGCACTCCTGTCTTCCACTGCCTCCCGCAGTTTGGTCAAACTCATGCTGGTAGCTTCGAGGAATCCCAAAATATGGATCAATATTAAGAGCATATCTAGATGTTTTAATTGTTTTATTTTGTGTGTTTTTTTCTTTTTAATGTAATGATTGTTTGTTGTGAAAATTAATTTTTAAAAAATATAAAAGAAAGAAAGAAAATTTTGTCCTTTATCCAAAACAATGGATCATGGCTTAATGACATGCTATGCGTAAGAAAGGCCCAGTGTCCAATCCTAGGCAGCTCCAGTTAGAAGGGTCAGTTGGCAGGTGATGGAAAAGACCTTTGCCAGAGACTGGAGAGCTGCTACCAGTCAGAGCAGACAATACAGGGGTAGCTGGACTTGACCTGGTATATGGTAGATCCAGTGTCCCTAAAACACCACCTTCACAAAACACAATGGAATGGGACTTTGCCTTCTCACTGGAAACCAAAAATTCATATTGAATAAATATTTCTAGTAAACGTTTAGCAGGCTTGCATGTAGGAAAGCTTTCCCCCCCATAAAGTTTGGCACCATCCACCTTTTTGCTTTATACAGAGAGAAGTTCCCTCAGGGAAGAACCACATATCCTGCAGAATAAATTGTGGTACAGCAAACACATAACTTCTGATCAGCTCTGGCATTCTTGGTTTTCTTTCATTTGTGGCAGCCGGCCAGTGTAAAGACAGGCAGCCATCACCGAAGGTGGGTTTGGCAGCTGAAACCTCTCAAATCCTTCCTAAGCTTGATACTGGCCAAAAATCACTCTCCTCTTCTGTCAAAAGGAAAGGAATTGTGCCAGTATGTATTCTGTACCTATTAAAAGTAGTGAAATACATTCCTCCCCCCACCTCTCCTTTATAATTCACTTTCTAGAACATACTGGGTTTTGCCTCTGAGGGAGTTTTACACTACATTAAGCAAAAAGGTACATACCCTTTTAGAAACTCATGGGTAAAAGGTTAATGGGACAAAAACAAAAACAAACCACAAGTATAAGGATGGTGCTTGAAATAATGTAATAAGATGATTCGAGTGCATGCACGTGGAATGCAAAGAAACAAAACTTCCCACCTTCTAATTCTGTTTGAGTTGTTAAATCGGTGAACTTACATTATAAAGGAGCAGATTTTCCCAAGTATAAGACTAGAAAAACCTTAGTCATTGCTCCCTGATTAATTAGAAACTTGTTGGTGCTCCAAAACACAACACAACACTTCCATTGTATGGCTTGTGGTCAGTGTTCTCCAACCAGGTGCTCTCTAGATGCTGTGGACTCTCAACTTCCATCAACCCCAGCCAACATCCTGTCCCTGTTGGAATATGGTTCGCTGTTACTGTATTTTTATTGTAACACAATGTGATTGTTTTCATCAGCTGCTCAAAGAACTTTAAATATAGGGTGGTATAGCATTAAATAAGTAAGTCGACTAGGAGGCTGCAGCTCAGGGGTAGAGCATCTGTTCTGCATGTCGAAGGTCTACAGTTTAATCCCTGGCATCTCCCAGGAAGTCTGGGAGAGACTCCTGCCTGAAGCCCTGGAAAATCACTGCCAGCCAGTGTTGACAATACTGGGCTAAGATGTAATCATACCACCCGATAACCTATTTAAGTCAAGATGCTAAATTTTCCATGGCCCTCTAAGCAGCTAGATTAAAAACATGGTTAGCGAATTTATACACCCTGCACCCCAAGATCGCTAATACAATCGGGTGATTTTTAAATGTACTGGCTTACTGTAAATTATATAAAACTGTGTTAGCAATAGTGGCATTGAGTGTATTCAAAGCCTTTGATTGCGTTGATTGGAATTTAGAATTCATATCCCACTATCAAATTGGCACCAAATTTGAAAGGGCAGTATGTGCTATTCACAGTCTAAAGAAACAATACAAATGAATGGATGTTGACTCAAAATAAATGCAGTTGAATTGTGGTACAAAACACGGCTGCCCCCCTCCCCCCCCCCCCCGGTGTTCGTTTTCCATTTTAAAAGAAATCTTTTTTTTTCTGATGTTAACATGCAAAGTTCTGAGCATCTATTCAACCTAGGATCCTTTTGGGGAAGTCATGGTTTTGAATGTGTTGAATATGCTTTGAATGTATGGTCTGGATCTGCCCTTATCTTTCACAACAGGTTGATTCTGGATCTGCATAGTCTATTTGGCTGTTCTACTTTGGACAAGTCTATATACTTTGGCTGTCCTCATTTCTGATTTGCATCCTAATGAAAAAGAGAAGTGAAGTGAATTGTTACTATACTTGTGCTTCTCTCAATCATATATTGCTTGTTTTTGATAATATAATAAAATGCCTTTAAAAGTACAGCTTCCTCTGTTATAATGGAACAGCTTAATGTAGTTATGTTAGGTTTAAATATGGTAATAAGCACCTCAGAGCTTCTACCCTTTCCTGGGGAAAAGTGGGAATGCATCACAGTTTATCAGAATGATATGGAAAACAATCAGGCAATCAGGATTTTGGGCAAATAGGAGTGCCCCTTGCAAATATTATATTGATGTAGAGATACACAGGAAATGCCCAGCAAATTCATACGTATCTAGCTAACTGGAATTGTGTTAGGAACATAGGAAGAACATAAGGAGCTGCTTTATGCTGAGTTAGATCCTGGCTCCATCTTGCTCAGCATTGTCTATTACACTGACTGGCAGTGGCTCCAGGGTTTCAGGGAAGAGTTTGTCTCCCAGCCCTACCAGGAGATGCTGGGGACTGAACCTTCTGTAGGGAACACAGACTCTGCTTGTGTTGGAAGAGCCGAATGTCCCTCCCTCCCTTGATGAGCTGAAGAATGCCATCAACTCTCAGGCATGTAGTAATCAATACCAAGCAATGTGTCCTCCCTGGGAAACAGAGTGTCCTGATCCATAGGGAGGCCCACCACCATAGGTAGGTGGTGGCCTAAGCAAGGGCAAAGTTGGTAAGTCCAGGGTCCCAAACAGACAAGGAGGCAAAATAATGGAGGATCAGCACCTTGGAGAGGGACTGAGGTCCAGGTTTCAGTACCAAGTTAATAATCCTATAACTGAGGCAGAACATACAAGTTGTCTCAGCAATGTCCTGGGGCAACTGTCTGATCTTTATAGCCTTGGCTAAGTATTTATTGAATCTAGCCAGTTAATAGGCCAGTGTCTTCTTCTGCAGCTGTTTTCTTAGACTTGTTAGTATGCCTCCTTGGGAGTCTCTTGATTTTCCAAGGAGTCTGTGGACCAAACATTGTAGTTCCATTGATTACAGCTCTACATGGGGGACCATCCTTTTCCTCCTCAGGGCCGCCACTGTTGAAGGACTCTGTCTCCAAGGATTCCTGGTCTGGGGCCATGACACAGATCTTGTCAAACAAGCATCATGTCATTTGCTGCTAAGACAAAAAGCTTGGTTGGATGTCCTGATCAGCTGGCCTTTAGGGCTGGCCTTTCTATGAGTTGAAGAAGGAAATCTACCCCTTCAGTCCAAAATTTACCTATCCATAATTTGGTAAGAAAGCTTTCATGCAAGGGATGCACTGATTTGGCGGCAACAGGAGGGTGGGGATAAGATTGCTTCCAAGAAGAGGCAGCATGAACACTCACATTGCAGTTGTCATGTGTTACATGAAAATCAGGCATGTGTGGTACCATATTGGAAACAACCCACTATTCTCTTTTCCCTGTTTGTTTGTTTGTTTTGCTGGATAACCAAGAGGCATCTTATTATCAAAGAGCAAGGATGTCTGGCTCTCAAAAAGTCATAAGGAACAATTCAATCACAGACACCCCTCCCAGTGTCCTGTTGCAGAGGACAACCTCCTGATTTACTGTGGCCTCCTGAAGAAGAACTTCTCTCCACCCCTCCTTCCACGCAATAGGTCATCTTTGCATTTCCCTTCCTTCCCTTTTTCTCCTATCAGCTCTTGCACAGGAAACCACACGGCTTTGCAACAATGCACATTTCCATCCTAACTTCTTTCGATATTGCCGAAAGTCAGCATGCTGAATTTATGCTGAGCCGTCTGGTTGTTTTCATGATGACTTTTTGGATTTATTACAGTAGGTATTGAATTGGTTGTTTTTGCTACACACTGCTTGATGACGAGCGCTTTCTTAAAAGCCAGTTTATTTATTAAACATAAGGATGAAATCCTAAGGACTCATGTATGTGTATGTGTGTGCGTGTGCGTAAACTGAAGGTGGTTGAATTGCTTCATTCACTGCCTTGAGAGGCTTGTGCTAGCAGGTTGTGTTTATAGAATCACTGAATTGAAGAGCTGGAAGGGATCACAAAGACCATCTAGTTCAACCCCCGGCAATGCAGGAATCTTCCACCCAATGTGGGACTTGAACCCACAACCCTGAGATTCAGAGCCTCATACTCTGCCAACTGAGCTATTCTTCTGGGGGCTAACAATTATCTTGTATTCCTTTGTCATTTTCTGGTTCCTTTGGCAACTATTTCTTTCCCCATGGAAATCACAGAAGAAGAGAAATCAAACCATGCTAACTTGAGGACTGAAGTAGTTTCCTTTCCAATTTGTCTGGGGAGCCAAGAGGCCAAAGTGGTCTGCCCATGGCTTCAAATCTGTTGTCATACTACATTTTCAGCCATACTGATATCAAAGTGCTCTCTGCATCCTACAAGAATGATAACTGATGCTTTCAATGGGCACCTCCCAGGAACTGCAGGACTGCAGGGTTAAATTTATTAGACTTTCCCCATTAACCTAAATTTGTTCCATGCATCTCCACCCAGTATCCCTTCGCCATTTCCCTGGCCCAAGCTGAATATTCCTTGCATATCCCTGGCCCAATCTGAATATTCATTGCATAATCCATCTTCTATTTCCATAACTACCGGCATACTAATCTTTTGTAATATAATACAATTGGAGTTGGACTAAGTGGGATTTGGGTTGCCTCCAATCGTGCAATTTTATGGCTCTAAGATGGCACTGAAGAGACTGCTAAAATGGTCAAACCAGTTTCTATATTAAGTAAATAGCCTGTTAAGTATTGGCTGTGTTATGTAAGTTTGGGCCAAAGTGTTGCCACAGAAACTACAAGCTGAAGAAGCTTCTAACAGGCAAACTGAAGGGGACAGGCCTTCTCCCCTCCCTTAGCTGGAGGTGACATAAGCAAGGGCTATGAAAGGGAACAAAGGTGAGGCAGTTTTCCAACTGGGCTGGAAATCGACAGGGAAGCCTGATTTGGCCTCTGTGAGATTCCAGTGCTATGGCATTAGGGAGTCTCCTTAGAAACCTGGTGAGTTAGAAGTGTTCAGGAATTAAGTACAACCTGTTCTAGAAACGGCTGCAGTCCCCCTGAAGGAACAGATTCATAGCCTGGGAGTATTCCTGGATTCCAAGGAAGGCCTATGCCAGCCGAGGCTGATTTGCCGGCTACAGCTGTTCCTAGACAAGGATAACTTGGCCTCAGTTGTTCCCATTCTGCTGACCTCTCATCTAGGCTACTGTAATGCACTGTGTGTGGAGCTGCCCTTGGAAACTTTCCGAAGGCCACAGCTAGTGCAGAGTGTGGCTGCTAGGATGGTGACTGGGGCAGCCTCATAGGACCATGTGTCAGTGGTCCTGAAAGTTCTGCACTGGCTGGGCACAATACAAGGAGTTAGTACTAGCATACACCTCCCTAAATGGCTTGTGAATCAAGTATCTAAAAGAGCACCTTCCACAATATTAACTATCTCAGACCGTATGATCAGCAGGTGAGGGCTTGGTGTTGGTGCCACCAGTGGGGGGTGCTCAGTTGGTGTTAAGCAGTGTCAGGGCCTTTTCAGTGGTAGTTCTTCAGTTGTGGAATGCCCTCTCTTGAGAAGTGTGTTTTTCTCCCACATTATTGACTTTCAGGAGAAACCGAAAAACATCCTCCATGTGTAGATGAACATTGGTGAATGTGTGAACTCGCTCTTAGTCTCATAACTGGTGGTGGCAGCTGCCGTGGTTTTAATACCTAACAGATTATTTTATGTCAGCTACCATGTTAGGTGAGTCTCTTCTGTAAACTGCTCTGAGGTGTGTTTTTTAAATGTGGTATATACATTTTATGAAATATAAACAAACAATAAGCCAGCCATTATCACTATCAGTACTATAACCATAATCAATACTAGTAGAACTGGCAGCATTTAACATGTCTTTAGATAGGCCATACTACTTCTGACACTAACCTATGTAAATCTCAGGTAGAGAGGGGCAAATTTGCTGATTTCGTTTATTTGCTTTTCAGAATTTAAGTTCAGTTCTCCACATTTCTGCATCAGTTTGTGGGGTTTTTCCCCAGTTCAAATTTTTCATAATGCACATGTTTGTATGCATTTGGCCTAATATTTTTTTTTTGCAAAGCAATTCCCCCTAATCCCCCCTAATTATTTTCCCAAACATTTGCATTTTTTGTTGTTGAGAACTTTACCCTAATATATGCATTTTTATGCACATTGCTTGCCTGGAGATGATTCAGAGAACTGTGAAGGCTGTGTTTTGGCTTGCATGTTATTTCAGAAAGTGCCAATTGCCTTTAAATGCAAACCGAATCAAATTTCTCCCCATCCTTAACTTAATTTGCACGGGTGTGAGGAGAGCAGCGGGCATTTCCTTTCCACTGTCTCCTTGTAGCAGCCCCCACATCATCTCAGCCTACATTGTAATTTCAGCATGATTTCTGGGCATGCCTTTCTATAGAGTGCAAGTCCTGTTGTGTTAATTAAAATTGCCTTTCTCATCTTTTTCCTTGCAAAGACAGACTCTCATGTCAACAGATGCCCTGTCACCCAGTTAGATCAGCTTTGCAGTGAGCTGTCTGCAGAGGCTATAAACAAAAACAAAAGGGGAGTGAGAGCCATTCCACTCCGTGCAGTGATGTCTTAACATATGAAATCCCCTATGAATGGGAAACCTACCCTAAAGGCAAACACTTCGATCCACCCCTATCACCAGGGACCTTGATCTGGAAATACTTTGTCTGCTCCATGAGCATCTGACTTTGAAGTCTAGAGCTGTCCTACAGTACAATAAAGCCAATGAACAGGAGTGTATAACAATCAGCCAATCCGTGGCTCCAACAGAGTGTAAGATGAATACATCTGATGCTACTGTATATTTCTTTGTACATATGCAGGGAATTCAGGGTCGGGGAGCATGGGGATTATTTCTACAAATTTTACAGAATAAACAAAAAGATTTAAAGATGACGAAGAAAACAATTACAACTCAGAAAAAGAAATACAAAGACCCTTTGTGCAGTTTATTCGCATGATGGTAGATTGTTTCTGAAAAAGTCTTGAAAATTGCATTTATTAATTTTGGGTGAATGTTAGTCATCCTTAGAGTAGACTCACTAATGTCAATGGATGTAAGCAGGATAGACTAGAATTCATTGAATTAGTTTGCATACAATATCAAAACAAAACGAAATTATATTTCAGCACTACAGACAAGTAGAATATGTTAAAGAAGTCCTCACTTAAAAGAATGCATAAAACAGATGTTTACTAAAATAACTAAAAATTCAAAAATAATGGGGATACATGTCACAATGAAATTATACCCTCAGAATGCAGAGGATGGAATCCATTCCAGCGCTAACTCCCTTGTTCCATCCGTACAAGGATTTCCTCTTACGCAATGGAATGTTTCCCCCTTTCCTCACTCATGAACCCAATAAATCTGCTTTTGGTATTTCTCCAACCCTCCAGAGCAGATTTGGGGAGGGGTGGGGGGGCAGATGGGGTAGGACGGGAAAGTTCCATTGCAATACAAAATTTGGGGAGCTGCACATTTCAAAAGATGGCAATGTTTTGGTTCAAATATTCTTTTGGCAAGTGTGACTTATGTAGACATGCCTTTAAAGACAAATTGAATTGAATTTCTCCCTCATTCCTAATTGCCACCCACACAACGCTTCTACCTGGCTTTCCCCCTCCTTCTTACCTTGCTCAGAGAAAAGGCCAAGGGTGTGTGTTTTTCTTCAGAGTGATGCATTCTGAGCAAGGCGGTTGGGAGAATGCCTAGACCTGCCACTTTGCTGCAGTGGCTGGAAGTTTGGCTTTAAAACATCATGACAGAGCAAACAGTTTCCTGGCCAACTTACCCAGAATTCATTGCTCCAAGGAAGGACCAAGCCCTGCTGCTTGGTCCTTTCTCAGAGTGTGGTGGAGGAGGAGGGGAGAAAAATAGGTTAAATGGGCAGTATGGTGACACTGGTGCTTCTGCCCACAGTAGCAACAGGTGGGGAATGGATGATGAAGGGTAGAAGGAAAGGAGGAAGAAGAGAGGGGGTGATCTCCCCCCTCAGGAGATACAGGCTCTTGTGCCGTCTCTGGTGTCATGGGCCACAAGGGAGAAGATTCAACCTTGCTGATTTTGCAAGAGACAAAATTGTTTTTTGAAGCATGGCATCCTCTGAAAATCTTATGGGGAGGGTTCATAGGGGAGAAACTTTTGGTGTTCCAGTTTGTACAAAGAAGGCTATAGTTGCTCCCACGTCCTGTTCCCATTAGGACACAAGTAGCTGCATTCTGTATTGAGCATTTTCAGCTGCAGGATACATCATAGTGAGTGTACCAATCATGGTTGATAGGCCTCCATCCTTCAGGAAATAATGGAGCTGTTTCAAGCCAGTGGAAGATAGTAAAATGCTTTCCTGGACTTGAACGCCAGCTAAACATCAGGTGGTATTGCCAGATTCAGTAGGAGGAGAATCTTCATCACCGATTGTGATCCAGTAAAGGGGGATATTTATCATTGATTGTGATTTGCCCCTCCAGCCAAGATCTAAGCTCACCAACCATAATCACTGCCCTTTGATGACACAAGTACTTTCTGTGTTCCTCGGTGGTTGTCGTAGCCAAGAATACCTAAAAGAGCTGTTTGCCGGTTATTCTGAAAGCATTTCCACTATATTTTAGGAATGGGGAATATAGATGGAGCAAAATAATTTTCTGATAAATACAGCTTCCTGCATTCAACTGCAGGTCTCTTTGTTATGCTTTGATTGTATAGTTTCCTTGTTTTAGTTTAGACTGTCTCTGTAAGCTATCATTTAAATGTGTCCAGCACAAAAATCTCCTCCGGTCCTTCCCAATGAGAAAACAAAAGGAAAAATAAACAAAACACCTAACTCAGAAAAGTAGAGGAGCAGCAAAGCAATGGAAGAATATACGTCAAAAGAATAGCTGACTGTGTTTTGGAGAGTGTTTTGTCTACACTTTAGGATCAGCAAACGACAATTACATTTCTCAGATGAACTGATAATTCTCTGAGTTGCTTTTCTGGATTTTCTCCTGTTTGGATATGCAGGTTGAACAGGGCCAAACTAAAACATTCTGCTGCCTGAGGCAAAGAACAAGATGGAGTCCCTGCCCCATCCCCCACCTTCCAGGTACATTCACAC